CCAACCACATCCATATGCATCCTTCTCAGTCAAGAGGGTCCCCGCCCCCAAGGCCAGAGTCTCCCTCACAGGGGACAGTAACCAGCAGGGAAAGGGAAAGGGTAAGGTGTGAGCTAACGATGACTCTGGTGATAGAGCAACTGATGCTGGTCCCACCCATGCTCCTGAACCTGCCAACTTATGCACTGCCTTCACCACCTACTCTGATGGCACTCAACACGCAGCCCTTGACCTCCTTGCCTTGGCAGCCCTTGCCAGGGATGATGAGCCGTGATTACCAATTGCAGCAGCTGACTACCTGGATGTTGTTAGGGCACTTGATGTCTTCCACAACAGGGACAACATTGATGGGTGCTCACCAGAACAGGTTATGTATTTTGGGCTGTTGTCTGAAATCTACAGAGCAACAGACATAGTCAATGCCACTGTCTCCAAAATTTGTACACACAAAGTTAGTGGCACCACTCCATTGTCAGAGGTGATGATGATTAACCTGCTGGAAAGAAGCTCCTCAGGACTTTTAGAAGCTGTCACTGGTGGAGCCTATCACCATCTTCATCACCAACAAATCAGCAAGTTCCTAGCATGCCCTGCTTCTCAACTTCTTGATCAGATCTGCCCAAAGCAAGAGGAACCATCAGCTTCCTGCAGAGAAAAAGAAGAGAAGGAGGCAGAACGAGAAAAAGAGGATCAGTGGAAGGCACTGGAGTTGACTTATGTCAGCTCTGGAGACTTGTTTAAAGAGGTTGGTGCTCGACTTGGAATGGGAACTCACAACTCCAGCTGGGAGGTACTTCTGCAGGATGCATCATGGGTTGGACTTCACAAACACTATCATAATGCCATCCACTCCACCAACCCTCTCCCTGTGGCTCCCTTCGTCCCCATCCCTCTCGACCAGCTTCATTTTTACCTGGGAGGCCAGTCCCCTGTCCCTGTGGACCATGTCCTTCATCAGCACGCATGCTTCCAGTGTTGTTACTTGGGACATTGGTCTTGCCACAATGGACATGGCTCCCACTTTACTCCAGCCCTTGAGGAACTGCTGTCTCCATCACCACCAGCGCCTGTCACTTCACACACTTGTTCCTGTGTCTATACTACTTGCAGACCCCTTTCTGCCCACCCTGCCAACATGTCTGGCTCATCCTCAAGGGTCTGAGGACCTTAGAGGGGGGGTGATGTTATGACCATGTCAGGGGTCTTTCCTTTTTTGACTTTTCACAGTCACGTGTGTCACATGCCTCATTGTGTCTCTTGTAATCGTTGCCATCTTAGAAGCTCATATGTTGCAAGGCTCCTTCAGATCTCCTGCTGTCAAGGTATTTTCAATACCTGTCAAGACCATGCCTCCCATTTGATCCGGTATTCCACCACCCTCTCTGATGGACAACTTGTTCACTTCTTGCTCCGCTGACTTGTTTGTGTTGCTCATATGTTGTACTATAGCTCCGGTGTCTGACTCCTCACTGTGCATTGATTGTGCAGCCGGTACAGCCTTTGTCTCCCAGGTTGTTCCTGTGATATGACACCATATGACTCCCTCTGACTCATGTATTTGTCTGATTGTTTCATTGATTACTGCAGATACGCATCACAACTGGTATGGTACTTGTACTTAGGAGTATATAATCCCTCATACTTTACCTTGTATCCTCAGTTTTTCAATAGCTTGCAACTCAGCTAACTTCCTTCTCTTTCATCCTTGTTCCCTCCCTGTGTGATCTCAGAAGAACTCACCAGCAGAGCAAACCTTTGTTGGACCTCAGAGATAACTGAGCCATAAGGGTTACAACATGTTTGGCCTGTAGACTCCCCCTCACTCACTTCATGCCTATTCCATTTGAAGAAGTCACTGTGCTTGGGCATAACATATCCATGTCCACCTCACCAAACACCTTTGGTGTGTGACAACAATCATGTGCCTTAGTCCAAGTAAGGACAGGGGTTGTTTCACTCCAACAGATCCATATGCATGCCCCAAACTCTTGCAAGTGTGATACATTGGGTTCTTCCCCATGCTACCCTTCATAGGGTGTCTTCTCACAGGTACATGTCCATGTGCAATTGCATACATAGACTGCATGGTTTATGGCCTCACACCACAGGAATTTCAGCAAGTCCTTTGCCAGTAGCATTGCCTGCCCCAGCTCTATGACAGTTCAGTTGAATCACTCAGCCATGCTATTTTGGGATGGCAAGTATGGTGCTGTGGGTTCTAGCAGTATTCCTTTTTTTTTTGCACCATGTCACCAGTGCATTATTGATATATTCAGTCCTGTTGTCACATCTAATTTGTTTAGGGAGTATGTCTTTCTGTCTCTCCAACATCTGCACATATTCTTTGACATGTTCTGTTGCCTCCCCCTTTTGTTTCATGTAGTACATTGTAGTGTACCTTGTTGCATCATCAATAAATGATATGTGGTATCAATGACCATGTATGGACATCATTTGTGCCAGTCCCCACACATCTGTGTGAGTTAATTCTCCTGGCACCAAGGCTCAGTGTACTGCCTTGGGCAGGTGAGGTTTGCATGTCTGTATAGTGGCAATGCATGCTTCACAATTGAAATTGGGTGAGTTTGGATCAACTTTGAACCCTTTTACTAACTTCTTACAGAAGAGGCAGTGCAGTCTGCTTATCCTGATATGGCCAGAGTGTTTATGCCATGTTTTCCACAAGGTTGTTTCATTTGTGAGGCTGGTTTGCTTGCTCCTTATAGGTATTATAAATTGTAGTTCATACAAATGGTTTTTCCACTTTCCCAGTGTGATGACATCCCCTGAGGAATTGCACAACTTGATCTGGCCTCCTCCACTGATGGAGCAGCCACCTTGTGCATCTAAGTGGCCAATTGAAAATAGATTATTAGGCAATGATGGCACATGTAACACATTGCATAGATTGACAGTGACTGTCTGGTCACCTATTTGACTATTCACTGTGACTGTGCCATGTCTGGGCTGGCTTGGTGCCTATCCCAGAGACTATTTTGTCCAGTAGTACCTTGTAGGTAGTGAACACTTTGCAATGAGCACAGATGTGTGATGTTGTAGTGCTATCAGCCAACCACACATACACAGAATAAGTCTCTGATTTGGGGGACTTTGTATCTACACTTTCAGTAGAAGAAAATGCTACATTGTCTTTGGAGTCCATATTCTCCACCATGCGATGTGCCTTATCTGATCATCTGGAGTGTTTACTAGATTGCTTCCTATCCTGATCTCTACCTCAGTCTCTAGATCTCTGTCTCTGCCATTTATCTTTATTGTCCAGGTTGGTCCAACACTCTTGAGTGGTGTGGCCAAACCATCAGCAGTGTCTGCATTTGGGTTTATTCTTGAAGCAGCACTCAGAGGTTTTATGATTGGTGTGACTGCATATGTCACATGGGCCCAGGTGATTGACCTTATGTTTATTGCTCCTGCTGCTCTTGGCATAGTACCCACTCTCTCTGCCTTCACACTTGTGGCATTCCCACTCAGTGTGGAGTAATGATATTATCTCTTGCATAGATATCTTTGTTGTTTGTGAGTGCAACCCTCTGAGGAAGCTGGAGGTATAGCTATCCCACAAGGTAGGGAGCAATGACAGCAGCATGGCCTGGAACTGGGGGTCAGGCATGACATCACCCATTTCATACAGCCAGTTCTGCAAGTTGCATAGTCTAGTGATATGATTGGGGAGGTCCATGTCCTCCTGCACCTTGAGGCCATAGATCTTGTGCCTAATAGCAGTGATGGACTGCTGGCCCTGAGTCTCATGTACCACATGTAGATTATGCCACAATGTGGCACTAGTCTCTGTCTCTGATTGGGCATGGATGGTCTGATTGTTAGCAAGGTTTACCATAAGCATCATGTATGCATGTTTGTCACATTTATGCCAGGCATTCAATTTGTCCAGCAGGGTCTTGGACAGCTGTGGGTTGTCCCCTGTCACCATCTCATACAGATCTTGGAGGCAGAGTACAGTGGAAATCTTCTTTTTCCATGCTGCCCAGTTATTAGAGGTGAGCTTCTCTGTCTTGACTATCTTCATCTCCCTCTCATCCTCTCTCTCTAGACCTGGCTCACCCCCTTTGACAATGCTGTCATCAGCATTGAGGACCCATTGATGACTGGGCTCAGCCCTATCAGTTGTGACAAGGGGCCTGCAACTGTGGGTGAATCCATAGGTGAGTTAGATGTTACCTGCAGTGTCCTCAGGACACTAGCTCATGCCATTGGTGCTGCAGGTGAGGACTGCATTGGCTCATTGGTCTGTGCATTAGGGGGTCCATCCCCATTGGGCATCATGCCTCATGGATTGGCCAGCACCCTTACTCTCAACATCTCTCTTCTCCCCCTTCTGACAGATAAGTGGGTGGATCTTCTTGGCTCTATGTTGGTGGCTTGGTGACAAGGTCAGTTATGAGCAGGCAGGGCTCATAACCCGTTAGGAATGATGTGTGCATGGTGACTGATGTGGGAATGACTAGGTATGAGCAATGATATGTGTGAGGATGGCCAGCTTAGGACTCAGTATGTTCAGGCAGAGATGCAGGTCAACAAGGTGATGTTCTTGTCTCATGAGGATTCTTTCCCCTGTGGTAGCTACCTTATATCTACATCATACATTTGATATCTCGTCTGTTGGGGCATGTCCACCCCTACTCCCACCTTTGTATTTTGTTTTTGCTTACCCCCTCTTGGGGTTATGACATGTATCCTGCACCCTTTGTGTGTCATCATTTCCTTATCTGGGTGTGACGGCGGATTGGTACTCCTACACTTCTTCTCCATGGTCACTTCGTCAATGTATGAGACAAACACTGTGACCCTAATAGGCACAAGAAAAAGTCCCCGCATCCTGAACTGCCGGAGGGCGGGTGTATATGTATTGGATACTTAAATACTTGAACGGATTGGGTGACACAGGGTCAAGTTCGAGCTGCGCTTCGAACTCCGCATTGTCTATAGTTCTCTAAAATTGCTAGCTGCGGGGGTATCTGCCGTAAATCGTTGCCACTCCCCTCAACTATGGACGCTGAAATACACCAGCGACTCATCGACGCTGAAGGAGAACTGTTGTCTGCTTTATCTGATGAAAACCTCTTGTTGCCATTCCATTCCACGTGGTCAAAATTACAAGTCGATATTTCTGACATGAAATCGCAAGGTGGACTCAGGGAAGACACACTAGCATTGGCGCATGCCGTCGCATCGCGTATTTCTACTGTTTCACAATGTTACCTTGATTTACAACAAAAGCAGGAGTTTCTTAGGACGAGGTTCGCGAATAATGGGAAGGAATTTTTGGCACATCTATCCCATGCTCCTAAGTCGTCAGCTTCGTCAACTCAGCCAAATGAAGAGAGGTCTGTCTCATGACACGTTGGAATTCTCGTTTCTGACCAGTGTGGTTCCAAAGATGCACTCCTTTCATCGCGACAACTTCCAAGTGGCTGCTTGAGCACATTCATAACCCGTATCCCTCACCTCAATTCAAAGCTTCTGTCGCTGAAGGTTGCGGCTGTTCACAGAATTCGGTTAATTCTTGGTTTATCGGTGCACGGCGTCGCACTGGTTGGACGTCTCTGTGTCGTGACCAATTCCGTAACTGCAGAGCCGACACCGTGGATGCTGCATATCGTGCCCTGGTTCGACCAGATCCAGCTCGCCCGCTGCCTTCAGCCATAATCAAAGCTTTTGCGGCTATCAAGTCGAATGCTGAGGGGCTGTACTCGGCGTTCACCAAGAACAGCACTGCGATAGATCTTGATGTGGTAGGGAACGATACGGCAGACTATGGCACGCAGAAATTCACCATGGAACGTACCCGTCAGCAAGAAATCATCGGGAGGAAAGCAGAGATACATGCGTATCACGAGGACCAGCGCTCCGAAACAACTATATACCCTTCTCCATTTTCATCCCCGCCGCCTCTAGCATCAGCTATTCCCACTCTTGTCCCCTCATTATCGGATGAAAGCGATGATGAAGACCAAGATGTCGCTCCCCCTGTCTTAGCTGGTCGCAAACGTAGAGCGTGTCTATCAGAAAACCAGTGTGCTCCTTGCACTGAGCGCCCAAAACGTTTATGGCATGTAACACGTTGTGATTGACACTTTGCTGAGCTGAGTTTGACCCAGTATCCGGTCTTCCCCAACCCCAAGTACTGATACAAGCGAGCCTCCGTCCCCTTCGTCCGACGAGGGAATAACGATTCACGCTTCGTCAGAACCGCAAGCTAGCCGTGCACTGCCTCGTTCTCGCAAGCGGCGGCTTTCTGAAGGCGCTCAACCCAACATTCCCAAACGCCCGCACGGTTTGCCCGTTGTGCCTCGCCCTCAAGTGGTTTCCGATCCGCTTCCCCGAACGATATCACATGAAAGTGATATCGAGGATTGGTTCCAAACCAATTTTCAGACACTATTTGACCTCCCTGCTCCTGTCGAATGCTCAGATCTTGACTCCTCTACGCAATGGGAAGTCTTGTTTGGTGGATATTCGATACCCTCAGCTTCGGTCCAGAGTGAGCTCCATTGTGAGTATTAGTTACTTTCCAACCCATCTCCACTCATGGAATATCAGTGACACATTCACCACCGGCGTCCTCCGAGGTTGTGCTACAGGACGTCCTGGAACGCAGTAATTTCGGCGACTTTGACGATCTTTTCTTACCCCTTGGAAATGAGGCTTCTGAAGATACATTGCCGGGTATACGTTCGTCGGACCTCCTGCTCTCCCCGGAGCAGCAAGTCGTCCTGTCCGACGGAACGCCTTCCGTGGGAGGTGTACCATTCCTTGACAATTGGGTAACACTTTGCGAAGCCACTTCTCAGGCTGAGAGTGTCAGCACCAATACGTCTGAGTTTGGCTTTCTCGAGTTCTCCGACCTCTCGGTGCCACACCCTCTGGTAGACAGCCAGGCGGCCTTTGTCCTCGGGGATATTGGTTTGCCCGTTGGTGCTTGATATCGTAACTCCATTATCTTTATTCATAAATATGCGTCATTGGCGTTCCGCCGTCGCATGTTGCTAGTTACTCACCAGTGATTGCTGTCCCGCTACTGCTCCACCTGCTTTCTCTCATTTGCAACCCATGTTTTTTATGTGTATTTTTCAAATTGTATCTATAAAACAATTACACTATATTGTTCACTCGAGGAGGCGTGCTCTGTCCGACTAGCGACGGCCTTGCGCTATACGTGCAATCCCCTAGCTTTTGCTGAACATCAGCCCTGCAACCTCCTAGTTGCACTTCGAGCCCAAAGTCACGGTCAAATTAGATCGTTCATCATTGAATATTGATGTTAATGTGGTTTTTCAACCCTGTTAACATTAATGGCGGCTGGAAACACTGCTATCGTCTATCCCCCATTGACCAACAGTCTGCATAGCTGCTGCGTCCCCACCCTCCAATGCCGGCAGTTTAAGCAATGCACTCAACATAAGCCACGGATTTTTTCCACCCCCATAACACAATACTTCTCGCTTGTACCTTTCTCCCAGTTCCCGCTCGACAGGGCTTGACGAAAATATGTGCCGCCATACATACGATGCAATCGCGCGGTCGAAGAGGTACGAGTAATACGTTGCCCCATAACCAAAAAGATGACCAAATTGCGTCTGGAAGGAAGTCCCTGGTGTGTGTGGAATCAAGCCACGCGTATTGGTTAAGTACGCAAGGACTGCAGTAGAGTCGAATTCCGAATCTAAAGCCAATGGGGAGTGGTATATTTGGTCGAGCACCGAAAGCAATACACTGCTGTGCGTGTCAATGAAGTGGCATGGATCTCGATGGTTGTTACCAGTTTGGCTATCCGTCGAAAAGCCGTTGGTATCGAAAAGTGAGAGCACGGTCGGTGAACTGAGGAAGTGTTCCATGAGAATGGATGGCAGCTCGACGAAGTCAGTCGCACAACGGGTACCTGAAACGTTATGGTACTCGGTGCGACCGATCATTGCTATACGGGACAAAACTGCATTAGCAATCGTACACGCTGATACAAGAGCTCACAGTGCATGGCGTGGCCCATTTCATGAAAAAGAGTCTGCACCTCGTGCCACTCGAGAATAGTTGGTCCAGAGTGAACCGAGGGTCGACTAAATTCGCACAGTAGCACGACAAGAGGAAGTTGGTATTCCCCTTGGATACCACGTAGCCTATGTCGCTTCACGAGCTCAAAGCTTTGTGAGGCCTTCAGCAACCCCTCCTCCACACTGTCCACTCTAATGTCACCTGCTTCGTCATCGTCGTCAGTGCGCCGTGAACACCTCACCGTATAATGGGCAGCTCCACACGCTTTTCCGTTTCGCGCAAAAAGATCAGCATATATCCAGCCGATGACCCCATGTTCCTCATCTACAACCTCTACTTTGCGCACATCCGGATGCCAGACTTCACCAGGAAGAACCTCTGACGGCCGCAGCCATATACCGTATAGATGCTTGAACAGGCGTGACAGGCCCATAAAAACCCGTCCAAGGGAGAGTGGAGGGAGTGGAATCGGCGGCTCTGGAGGTTCCGGAGGACAGTAGTACGATCTATCCCAAGCTTGAATGACGGGCAACGACGTGGTCTTGAGATGGGCTTGCTTGCGGAGCCTCAGAGCATGTAAAGCTTCCTGCGCATGGACAGCCGTCCGATCTAAAAACGTGTCCAGGAAGTAGTTCACGTTCTCTGCAATGACAATTCCAAGGTTTAGGAATAAACTGACCGTCAGTCCACTGAATCACCCACCCGGAGTCTTGGCCATCTTGTCGTGAAGAACCATACCAGCATAACTATCCCAACCAACTAAGCATGCCAACTCAGCTCGTGCGCGCAAAAGCCTCTCCAAGCATTCAATCTGCCGAAGGGTGCTTGAATGCGCAGCCACGTATAGCTTTTTGCGCGGCGATTCTAACGGCGCAGATCTCATGATCATATAAGCCTGGTGAGATCCGGGATACACCAGTAAACTCTTTTGCGTGGAAGAAGCTTGTCGTTGAAGCCTGGCGCCCATGCCAGTATCCTTCAGGCCCTCCAGTTCTGACGCGTCAATTAATGCAGCCGGCCTTGGAGCGGAAGCCTGATTGACGAATTCGTGTCCAAGGGATAGGATTTCAGAGGAGAGGGATACGAACTTCTCCCTGCTTTCCGGTGGCAATCGTATGGCTGACTTCTCAAAATCACGCCAAAATATAAGCGCAGTCTGATAAGCCTCAGGACCGAGTGACTTGACGATTTCAGGGTCATGCAACACCACGTCAAGAACCTGAATGCATTGTAAGCAACAAGCTTACAGTGCTAAGGGCCCACTCGCCTCATACAAGCCAATGTTTGTGTTCAGCACGTTCATGTACTCGCACAGCTTTTCGTAACTGTCGTTAGCGGACTGCATCCATTGTGGATCGGGATGGGCGTTTCGGAGGAGCTCAGCAAGGTCAATGACGCCACAAAGTAAATCGCTGAGCCTGTCCAGGTTTTTAACGACCTTGAAAAGCTCGCTTCGCGACTGTGCGGCGCGCAGAATACGTGCCGTCAGTAGCTGGGCGCGTACCAAAGTTGAGTCAGCTAACGCGGTGAAAGCTGAAGGCGTCGTCAAATGCGTATGCTGGAATATCCCAGTCACGGGGACTGCTCGCGTCCTGTGGCTGGACTGAGGCTGATCGAAGAGAGACACTAGATCAAAGTCGTCTGGTGAAGGCGGTATAATTGGTGTCAGCGTTGACGACTTGCGGACCGCAATATTACTCCGGCAGACCCTGGAGCGAAACGAAGGCCTGAGAAGCTTCCGAAAAACATTTTGAGTTAGTCTGGCTATCATCAAGTGATGACGAGCGGATAGTTTTTGGGAGTGCGTCAAGCCAACTATTACAGCCACTGACAATGAGACGTTTACATAACCCAGCCTCACAACTCGCCAAGAAGCACCGACGACCCCCAAATTTCGGAATCCCATCCAAGTCAGTTTTCTTTCAACTATCGGAGTCATATATTGGTCCCGCAACGCTAAACAAGACCGGGTACAGGTCGGAAAAGTGCATAAATTACTACGAGAGCATGGAATAACATTGACATCGTTAGAACGCTGAGATGTATGATAACGTCGTGTAAGAGAATAAAGTGACTGACTATAGTATGCTTAAACCAATGCTGGTAGGTGGTATGGATGAAAGATGAAATACAACCTGTAGGGAAATGCTTGGAAGGGAAGTGGCTCCTGGGGACAAACCGTATCAAAAAATCAGTGTGGCCTTGGCTGCTCTGGTAAAGGCGGTGGACTATCATCAATGGACCCATCTAAATCCATGTCTTCCCCGTGTCTGTTGACTGTGGCAAATTGACCGTCGTTAGTTGCGGGAGGTCCCGTATCTCCGTTGTGATGGTGGCCATTTGTAGCGGTCAAAGCTGTGCTGCCGGTCACGGTCGTTCTCCCATTCGTCGCTGACGGATGGATAGGCTCCACCGCGTAAAACCAATACTTGCTCTTTTTCTTTCCGCCAACCTGCTCAACCGCAATCTCGGTCGGTTTTACTGCCGCAGCACCGTCCGTCTTAGGCTTCGAACTGCCATTGGTTGTGGACGGCGCGAGAATATTCCCTGCAGCAGCAGACCCAGGACTCGACCCACTCTCCTCTGTCCGGGCTCGTTTAGGCGGACGGTCAAGTTGCGTATCTTCCGACGTTCCAAGGCGAGTCGACCGTCTTTCACCCCGCCATTCGTGTGCCAAAAATTCTGGCGAAGGGCGCTTGCCTCTTGTAACCCTCGTAGATCTCCGTCGTGCCTGCAGGCCCGTTGCGCGGCGAGTAGACCGTTTCTCACGAGAATGGGAACCATCGGTGCGTTCAAATTCGTCGTCATCCTCCTCCTCGAATGCGTATTCATCAGCGTCATCCTGGGGCGAAGGTCCAAGTATTAGCAGTGAATTAGTATTACCCCTCGGCGATTGACTTGCCTCGCCGCTCTCCATGTCGTTGTATACGTAGTCCGGACGGCGTGTCTGACGGCGTGTCCGAGTTTCTCTAATTTCTGCCTGGGCCATAAGGACATGTCTCTGTTCGATCTTTCGGCGGACCCTTTGAACACGCTAATCGAGATCATGTCAGCGAAATATCCAACACACAGCATGTACCCTTTCTCTGAACTAACTGCATTTACGCAACGGAACGCGACTTACCGCTAGTTCAGCTTCGACGGCTTCGACACGACTCTCTAGAGCCTGTATTAAAGCAACATGGGCCTGTTCAATCTTGTTTTTCTTCGCGCCTTGCGGAGCGGAGGCCTTCAGACTTTGTATCACGGCGAGGTATTCCTCGCGCGTTGAAGACACGGTCTGGAATGTCGCCGTGACCTTCCAAGGGTTGGTTGACACATATATCCGTGGCGAATCTGAGATAGATCAAAGTGGCGGTCAGCGGAAAATTCATCCAGAACGGCTAACGCCGGAATCATGAAGTCAAAAAAATGCGGCCTCTGCACCAAATACACGCAAATAGGTAGTGGGGTGAAAAATGAAAGACACACGGACCATCCACAACCCAGTAGCGCTTTCGTGCACAGTCCTGTCCGATAGGAACGAGTTGCAGGTTCTCCCGACTCTTTGCGTCCGCTGGTTCGGGCGGGGCATTTGTGGCGTCCTTTTTTTTGTACTTATTTTGCGTCACGCCCCACGAGCGATCGATAACGCCCTTGATCTCCTGAGAGTGCTGTAGTTGCAGTTCCACCAGTTGGCGTAAAATTTTGAGCTGTTCCCGAACAACAAGGGACGCGTTTAGGGGTTATTGCGTAGAAATTACGAAATGTCACACACTTTGAGATCCCAATCGGCGGTAAAAATACCACCTTCCAGTTTGGCGAAAGGGTCCACGTTTGCCCCCAGCTGGTCGTCCCAGAACACCGTTCTTTCTGAGCTCTTGAAGGCTTCTGAAAGAACGTTGGAGACTGTAGAGGATATTTGGTCTACACTGAAAAATGGTTCCAACGTCGAGTATCTCTGCTGCACAGCTCAGCTGTGGCACATGCACTTACCTCAAGTTACGCGTCTGTGGTCGCAAATTGAGGATGAACTGCTGTAGTATCCTAGAGAGCATCGGATCGGGTTCGCGGGGAAGCAGCGCATTCTCGAAGCTGCAATCGGAGGAAATCGCGTGTTATATTTGAAGAAGAGAATGAGCATATCAACCGATGAACACTCACTCCATTGGAGTTTCCAGCCCCTCGACCTTGCCACGCAGATTTGTGAACCTGCATATAAAGGAGTACACGAATAGTGACTCCCATCTATCGGATGGATGCTTAGCATTTGAGGGTGGACAGATATGCCCTTTCTTTTCGAGCTGCTGCGCTGCAGACATGTTGCAGCCAAGTGTAAGTAGAATGTGGTTAAGAGAGTTGTCACGGGCTTGTGCGCCGTTAATCCGTGTCTACTTATATCAACAGCAGCACGCCAAATATCTCACAATAAGTAACTCCGCTCCACCCTTTCCTGTATCCAGTGTATATTCTCGACGGTAGGATAGTACATGACGGGCGGAATGACAGGATATATCACAAAAATACCAGCTGAGACAACGGGGAGGCACTCGGGGGGGTTGGAAAAGGGAGCAAGGGGCTTTCCCCATGAGTGGGCATGTCTTACCCAGGACCAACCTAGAAACTCGCTGTAAGTGCCCGCACATGAGAAAATAGTGAGGTGCACATGCCTTGGGGATATCGTGGTGTTCGCTAAGCGCTTCCAATTTAGCGTTAAATTCATTAACCCGGTCTTTGTGAGTCTTGCGAGCATGTTTCGCGACCTTGGCTACGAGCTAGCAAGAACAAGGAAGTGAGTCATAGATCTCCCATCCGAGTCTTGGGCTTACTCGTCGCCGCTGAACTTCCTCAAACCGTCGTTCCGCTTCCGTCTTTTTGTCATCCTTTCCAGACAAAGCAGGGGAGCCACGGTTGCTGCCTGGGGCGGAACCCGGCACAGGTTCGACGCCCTCGCTACCTAGTCGATGCTTATCTCGCTGTCGTTCTCTGTCCTGGCTGTCATCAACCTGCGATCGCGACTTGCCCTTCTTCTTCCTGATAATATAAGAACAAAGGCTGTGAGTCAAGAAATGCACGTACTTCTTGACAATCCCGCCCTCCGCGACGCCACCCTTGAACTTGAGTGAGCCTCCCGGGCGAAAGTCGTAGTCGGCCATGAACAAGAGGATGTGCTGACGTAACCCGACTCTGTTCCGCTGTGCTGGCAAACAGAGCCAAACAAGGCTGCCATCCAACTCGTCCCGCCGTGAAAAGGGCTTTGGGTCTGGGCACGGGGCTTGCGACCATCAAATTCTCGCGGAGGAGGGCATTGCTTGATGATCCAGTAGGCGACATCCTCAAAAATGGCCGTTCTGTCAACCCCATTCCACTATCTGACCTCGGTGCCGCCCGTCACGCGCTATTTCACTCTTGCGACGATCGCGTTGTCCTCTCTCTACCTCTGGATCTGGTGGTCAGCCGAGACCACCTACATACCATTTTTGACTCTTGTACCCGGCTCAAGCCTCTTCTACCCATGGACATTTGTATCTTCTGCTTTGGTGGAGGCGAGTCTTTGGGAGGTACGTCACAGAATTTGGTAAAGCTCTCCCTCCGAGCTTCTGACCTTGACCATAGCTCGCCTTCACGTTGATCGTAATCCCAGCATCGTTACGCTATTTCGAACGTCTATGGGGCTCTCTTGAAATTCTAAAATTCATCCTTGTATGTGTAACGGGTCCAAACTTGATTGTCTTTGCCTTCAATTGGATCGAATATGCGGCGATAGGAGATGCAGACCTGTTTCTGTAAGTGGTGCCGTACAATCTTCCGGACCCTCGTTTCTGACGCCGATTGCTAGGTATGGCATGCAGTATCATGGCCAAATGGCACTCTTCACAAGCTTTCTCGTGGCTTTCACTCAAATCATACCAGAACATCAAGTGCAGATATTCGGTTTGTTTAGGGTTCGCGTAAAGGTGTGGTCGCATCCTTTGGCATGGAATTCAAACTGAACGCCAGAGCAGAGACTCCCGATGGTATACGTGACGTTTTCCACTATCATGACGTTGCTTGGCTTCCAGTGTCCTTACATTATCATCCAATTTGGCTGGTTTGTTTCATGGATATATCTTCGTTTCTACAAACGCAACGTCACCGACACGCTCGGTGGTGTGGTCACATACGGAGACAGGAGTGAAACATTTGCTCTTACGAGCTGGTTTCCTCCACTTCTTCAGTAAGTGTGCCATCACAGCACTGCTCTTGTCTCGATTAACTTGTGCGCATTAGTACTCCGGTGTCAGCACTGGCCAATACGGTCTACAAAGTTGCCACCCGCCTTCGTTTGGTCCCTTCATCGTTTCCTCAAGACATCGAAGCTGGGTACAGTCAAGTGCCTGGCGGCGCACGAGCGGAGGCTGAAAGACGACGGTGAGTTTACTGCAATCTAAGCGACGGTGTCTCTGAATCTCTGTCAGCGCCCTTGCTCTCAAGGCACTGGATCAACGCCTGGCTCACTCGTCAAGTAACTTGCCTGGCCAAAATGGACCTTCTGGACAACCATCGCGTCCATCTCCCTCAGTGTCTGCCCCTCTTGCCACGGAGCAAAGAGGGAGTGTGAGCGAGGCAGATGTCGCTGATTCAGGAAGTACGGAAAGCGGAGAATGACACCTCGCTACTTAGTTTTTGTAAATAGTAGTTCAGATTTTCTTATTGTTTCGTTCACGAAGTCATGCGCCTTACATAATCCGTACAGCGTGCTTGCTCGAAGGCCCTTAGTGCCAGACCGATCGATGGTCTGAGGTCGCCGAGTACGACGACGGCTCTCCTCCACTCCACCTCAGTGCTCAGAGTGTCTCTTGTCGTCCTGCAGTCCAATAAGATAACGATGGCGACGAACCTACAAAATGGAGCAAACGTCGACCCTGACCAACTTTTTACCAAGTATACGATCGCTGAAGTCAGGGAGAAACAAATTCAGCTGAGGTACCTCATACATGTATATGATATCATACCTGAAGCTTAATCTGCGGAACAGCGCTGATGCCGAGGCGAAGCAAGAGGAACTCCGTGTTATGGTCGGGTGCGTCACGGTGTTCTGAATGTGACTATGACACTCTTTGAATGTATTTCGAAAGGGCAGGGAGCGCTATCGCGAGTTATTGCAATCCTCGACTGTGATAATATCCGTTGCGTCCTCTGCGAAGCGCGTTCACGATGCCCTGGATGAAATAAAGGATGCTATCCAGTCACAGCAGCGTCCCCCCGTGCGGAATCGTGTTTCGAACACTGCTAAACAGGGTGCGTTTTGACCAAGGCTCTATCTGCACAATCTCAGATTTCGTTTGATAGATTCGCATCTACATACTTTACAAGTTCTTTGTGCGCACATAAAGTTATTGCTGGACGCTCCAGAACAGCTATGGCGGTTAATAGAGAGGGAAAAATATTTCCAAGCTGCCTGGTTATTCCTTTTGGCTCGTGTCGTCCATCGTGCCTTGATACGAGACGATGCGCAGGATGAGGAGAGTTGGCTTAATCAGGGTGTGGATGTCCTTGTTAGTATCAACGTTTGTATTGTAATTCTGTTTCATGACGTTTTTCCTGCAGGAGCAATTCCCTTTGATCCAAAGGCAATGGGAGTCAGTGTCACATTTCCGCACTCAGATCATACATAGGGCAACGTTGTCTTTGAGGGCAACCGAGAAGTCATACGAGGTTCGTGTTGCCTTTCCGACCGCGTACCGTCGCTAAGATCATTGTAGGATACCTGTGCCACGTTACTGACCCTTCACATACTCGAGTCGCGACCATTAACGGACACTCTGACCATTTATCTGTCTCAACGCACAAAAACTTTGAACGCCTTACTTTCTAAAGGTAGTGAGGTCCTCTGGGAAATCTGTGCATAATGGGCAACCGGCGGAAGCGCGAACAACTGGAATATCAACACATTTTCACACGAAAGACGAGGTGAAGCGCTCCGTACAGAGTCTTCTGGCTGTTATCTCGGACACTCTCAACATTTCTCGCAAGATATTTGCTGCCCCGTCCGCCAAGCCTTTAGCGACTCAGGTACTGGAATATATACAAGAAGACTCACCTTCAACACCAGCCCAGACACTGCCTGTAGGATTTCTCGTCAATACGCAAACTATTATAGCAATGCTTCCGTCTTCCACGTATTTGTCTCTTCTACCCCCAAACATCAAGTCGTACAAACCTTTTGTTGACCTGTCGTCGTCTTCGTCGAATCTCTGTATTGAAACCTTGGAGGAAAAGCTAGGCGATTGGTTCACTTACTCAACTGCAAATCTGCGGGATGCAATACAACGAGCGCTCTCGTCACTTCATAGTGTCGTCGGAGCGTGGAGGGTCCGATTGGCTTTGAAAAAGTGGATTTCTCGATGTGGATTGAATGATGACGAACAGTCAGTTCTTAGTCGCTTTGTGGACGAGGCTGCGGGGGAACGCATTATGAGCATATGGAAATCAGCTCTTGTGCATGCAGAGGGAGCTTTCGTCGAGCAACTGAAAGTCATACGACCCGAAGAAGTGGAAGGTACAGTGACGAGCTTAGCACTGTTGGCAGGCAATTGAATGGCTCACGACACCCAGAATTTCCACCTTTGCACAGTATGTATTCCCCACTACCTGTTCTAGCCCACCCGCCCCCTGGAAGTGGACCCTCTTCTTTCGAAGCGTCATTCCAGGCGCTCAGAGCTCATTTGACAAGGCGGCTTCAAGGGCGGACACCCCGCCTCCAAGAGGTTCTGACTCTTTTGGAGGATACTGCAGTTGCGGTACAGAGGGATCTTTCCCGGATCTCAGGCAAGGAGGAACCGAACCAGTCCGTTTGTTTCCCAAGTTCCATTTACAATAAGTGGTGACTTTTTGCAAGGTTGATTGACGATCTAGTTGAAGCTTATCGCCCAGAAGCGGAAAATTTGTGCTCGAAGATTGTCGACACCCTTACCGAGTCAATTGACCGGCTCGTGAAAAACTTAGGTCCGTTACGTTTAGCCCAGGTAGCCTCTTCTCAGTTTGACGCTGTACAAGACTTGGATCCTGGAGCGAAGTGTTTGGTTTTTCACGGTCGGCTGGCTCTCGAATTGTCTACCAGTTCTTTCGCTTCGGGCATTGGTTGTGGACATGCTAGAGAAAGTGGTGGGTGCTGATCCTAACATGTATGCTAAATGTTTTCTAATCAAACCTCAGACTTTCGACAGGAAACCGCTGCGCTGTTCGCACGAGTTATGGAACGCTGGAAGGACCACGCGGCTTCCAGCGAGATCGCCAGATATACTGAAGGAACAATCGCATTGCAATCTCGCCTCACAGGTACGGGTCCTTCTACAGAGTTAGAAGCTCATCTTTAATTGAGTAACAGTGATTGCGAGTGCAGGCCCATCCCTCCTGATGTTGGAATGCCTTTACTCCCTTTCTTCTTCGTTACATACCTTGGGCTTGGTCCATCATTCCCTACCCTTTAGCCGCGTGGCGTTCGAAACCTTAACCAAGTTTTCTGCTTCGTTTGTGGATGCTGTCGACGACGGCTTATTCTTGGACCATCATCAAGCGCTCTTCGACTTCTACTTCCTTCGTCGGGTGATCTCGACATGGGGGAGAGACTCGGAGGTATTGCTCGACAAGGCTATTGCTCATGCAGAAGCAGAAGTAAGCACGCTTTCAAGTGTGGGCCCATTACCGATCAACTGATGTTTGCTTAAGCTTCGCTCCCCGGAACAGTCGCATCACGACCTTGATCGCAGCGCTTCGGAGACGCTGGCACGGACTCAAATGCTCATAACAGCACTCCTCCCCGTCTCCTCTACGCAGCCTGCAAACGACAGCGGTGATAAACTGGCCGCGTTGTTGTCGCACGGTGTGCCTAATGTGGACGCAACATTTATCCCTGCTGTCAACCTTACCCAACCGTCCTCGCGGTTTCCGCTGTTGCTCATTGACAGACGATAGCAGGATATCTATGGTTCATGTCATGTAATTTCCAGTTACTGCCTTCCTCGACGTGCGTCACCTACATACCGCTGTCTTCGAAAGGATTTTTGCGAGGTAATGGCCTCGTGCTGGGTCATGGATAGTCACTCGCGGATTCCCTGTTCAGACGTAGTCCAGATGTACACTCACCACAGCTAGTCGAAACCACACAACTCGTCCAGGATCCTGCTGGAAGATCCGGTAGAATTACCCCGTTTCAGACTCCCTAATGATGAACACCCGTAATAAAGATTGGAGGCACGCCAACAGGTCCAACTTTTGTACTGTAAGTTATGGGTATGTCGACCTCAACACTCCTGCGCAGTAGATGTGTACAGCTCTGCGCCACTGCGGTCGCCAATGGAATATGGGGGATCGTAAAACAACAGCGCCTCGGACAAGTAGTAGAGAACACGATGATGGCTAAGCCCCACCACTAGGAACAGTTCGTCAGCGGGATTGCAATATGTCATCGTATGGTTCTTGACGTACACAAGAATGTTATTTCTGGATGAATGGCGTCAACGCAATGTACGAAGAGGGGGCTTATGAGACACGTACATTGGGATATGAATAAGCTTCACGAAATACCCAATGAATCCCATGACAGCGAAGCCAATGGCGACAGCTCTTGATATTTGGAGGAATTCTAGATAGATGCATGGATTAACAAAACAGTGGAGAATGAACTGAGCATTTTGGAGGGACACCTTTCCGGGAGGGCTTTGTGCAGCGTGTTAGGAACTGGCGACGTTCGTCAGTGTTGGCCTCTAAGAGTTCCAGTACGCAGATCCAACCTGGTTGCCATCCCGAACGAATTCTTGTGGGATTTCCAAGACCTCCTGCAGTTTTTCAGACATGTTGGTGTTATAGAAAGTTGTACGAGTGAAGCAGACGTGTCCGCATTCCGTGCTTCCCACGGACACCCACCCAGCTGTGTTCAGGTGCCAGTGCCATCCAACAAGGTAGGATCAAAACTTGGCCCATAACACGCTGTCTGAAACACTGCAGGACACTGGGCTACTCGACAGTACCTTTGTGCACGCATGAATGTCCTTTGGCCGTGCAGCCTCACAGTTAGAGCGTCTCGCAATCGCCTTTCACCGTCCTAGCCTTCCTAAGCCTCCATTGCACAACACCAGAAACAACCGGTTCCCAATTCTTGTTACCAGCCAAATATGCTCACGGAAATTCAGTACATTGCCACTCGCTGCACAACCAGAGCCTTCCGTCCGACCGCAACGACGGGTACCGCATCAGAAGTTGGCGTCTGTTCGCGCACAAATACACGACGCGCTGGATTCGTTGGATGAATCTCAACCAGAGCGACATCCATTAAAGGAGGATCAGATCCTGCGCGTCCTCGACACCCTTGCCAGCTCTGCACGGCCTCAAGACCTCGCTCTGATCGAGAAAGTTCTAGCCAACTTCACGTCTCTGTGTGGTCTCCCCGTGGTAGCTGACGTCCACAGTCACATCATTCATGGGTTGCTAAGGCAGGGAAATCCTCAGACTCTGCTAAACTGGCTTGTTCAAATGCGTCAGAAGCCTGGGAACGTCCAGCCATATCTCCAGCATTGGCACATGTTTCTCGAGTACTGTGCGGACGTGGGTCATGTCAGGATGATACGGATTGCCCTGTCTAAGATGGCCCACAGCGGCTGCCCTCCTAACAACCGTACCCTCAAAATCCTCTTCAGGGCGATGTTCAACTCTGGGGCTTCTGTGAAGGACTTCCATGCAGCTTTCAACGACATAGAGAAGTACACGTTCTGGTACGACGAGGACGTTGCCAACATGCTCTATGATGGTTTCGTGAAGCTTAACCAGACTCAACAAGCAAGAGAAGTCAAAGCGGAGTTTAACAGGCACTTCCTTAAGAGAGTAATTAAGGAGAGCCCAAGACTTGTAGAATGGGAGGAAAGTCTGGCGCTCGAAGTTGAACGACATGGTATGGTCGACGCGGTCAAACTCTGCAGATCTCTTCAAGAAGATGGATACAAAGTTCATCACCGTACACTTTCCATTCTGTTACGTCGCAGCCACGACATCTCTGACTTGGAGTATGCCGGGGAAGCACTCGACTTGAAGCCATCCGCATTTCACTGGTCGATCATTATTGCCAACGCAATACGTGCTGGAAATCTCCCTTCCGCCCTGTCCAGCTACCGTCAGTTCCGATCGACTGGTTTACCGCTCAGCGCCCCTCTTTTACAACCCCTTATCACCGGTTTGTGTAACACTGCGACTTCAGGTTCTAGCGATGACCTGCTGGACCAGGCACTGAAGTTGTATCATGAGCTTGCGACCACATTCCCTCCGGCGGATCCTGATGCACTCCCACGACGAGAAGATCTGGATTTCATGCGCGAGCGTTCTGTCGGACCGGATGCTTACATGTATGGCACACTCCTCCGAGCTATGGGGAGTTCAACCGATGTGCAGAAGTACTCCAATGTTGCAATCTCTCTTTTAGCTGCAATGGAAGCCAGAGCCATACCTCACACTTCCGTAATCCTCGCATCACTGATCGTGATTGCCATGCGCTGTTCCTCAAGCGTAGATGAAGCTTTGGAGGCATACAGGCGTTTGGCTAGACAGACGAATGTCCCGCGTATCACTGCATGGGGTTATCAGTGGATTCTGGATACATTGTCCAAGCTGACGTTCGGAGAGGACCGGTCCCTTCCACCCGTATGGCACTACTTCGAAATCGTTAAGGATATGCGTCTTTCCGGTCTGGCTGTCACCCCTACCATATACGCTCAACTACTCAAGCATCTCGCCCACTTGGCTCCTGATGCCCCAGAGGTCATGAAAGACCGCCTCGCAGCTTGCGTTCGACGTGTTCACGATCACCTCACGCTCGACCCCACTATGACACCTAATATTTCACTCTGGAACCAACTCATGGACACTTATCAGCGCGTCGGTCTGTTCGCGGAAGCGTACAGAGTTTGGGAAATGCTGCTCGTGAGCGAGAACTTTGATCATGCGAGCGTCTCCATCATACTGGATGCATGTGGCTTCGCCAATGCGTGGCCTCTGGCTCAAAAGGTTCACATGAGGCTATCTGAACGATCTTTCCTGTTTAACCAGGGGAATTGGCATTCTTACGTGGAATGCATGTGTCGTGTCGGGAGATTGAATGATGCCGTGAAAACAGTTTGCTTACAGATGGGTCAAGGTCAGAAAGACGTGGCACCCAATGCGGATACGATCCAGGTTCTTTTGACATTCGCTACAAGGGCGAATCAGCAGGACGAGGTGCTTTCTCGGATACAACGATACCTTCCAGACCTTTGGGTGACGTTGCCATCTATGTTAGGAGAGATCGTCATAAAACCGAACCATGTCGCAATGTAGTGTTTGTTCGTAGATGGTTTCATTGCAAAGGCAATACCAAACTGGTAATCGTGTCTGTGGTATAAACATACAGTGCGTGGTGGTTGAACATTACGCATTCTACAGGTGTCCTAGAGCCTAAAAACCGCTATGATCACCTCAAAGTCTACTTTAAAACCCGGTAAAATGAATCAAGACGAAGCTAATTCCTCCACTGATGGACAGTCACACTGGGGAGAAACGGAGTCAGCAGCTCGTCGACAGCGGCAAACCAGAGAACTCACAATAAGGTTAAGGTCACCATAAGCTTGGACCGTTCGCTCAGAGGTTCATAGGTAACATGGGTAGTGATGACTTACTATCATCTATGCGACCGACACTGGGCCAGAACTTCTTCTCCCGCAGCCATGGCATGGGATAAACAGCCTGCTCCCTAGTATACGGACTGAATGCATGATCAGCCTAAGCCAGGAACAAAACTAACGGTCTCACCGATTCCACTCCTTATCGGAGACAATGATCGCTGACGGCGGGTGTGGGGCATTCTTCAAAAGATTGTTGTCCCGAGGTTGCTTTCCAGAAATAATCTCTTCAACCTCTCGACGAATTTGAATCATAGCATCGCAGAACCTGCGCAGCGTCAGCTAAGCAATGGCGCAGATCTGTCGCACGCACCTGTCTATCTCCTCAAGTGTCTCCGATTCAGTGGGTTCAATGAGCATACATGTGGATATGGGCCACGAGCATGTAGGTGGATGGAAACCATAGTCCTAGCCGAACCAGCTGGTCAGCTCACCGACAAAAGCGCTCTACCCCTCTTCATACCTGGAGACGCTTTGCAAAGTCCATGACTTTAAGACCAGCAGCCTTGTCAAACTCAGCGAGATCGATCAGCAACTCGTGAGCAACGCGGCCGTTCCTGTTCTTGAATCGCAACGTATAGTGTCCCGTGAGGCGGCTTGCCATATAGTTGGCGTTGAGCAATGCGACGTTAGTCGATTGGGAGAGACCGTCTCCGCCCAGCATTTTGATATAAGCCCAAGAAATGAGTAGAATCGATGCACTACCAAACGGTCCAGCAGAAACGGCATCGATGGCCTTGGAGCCGCCAGTCTCGACCAGAGGGTGCCTGGGAAGGAATGGTGCAAGATGCTTGCCAACGCAAATGGGCCTGAGATCGGAAATGAGTATCGAAGAATTAGGTTGCATGGCAAGTCATACCCTACTCCGGGGCCACCGCCTCCGTGGGGACTGCAGTAAATACTGTTTAGTCATGATTTGACCGAAACACATGGAGCACTAACATTGCGAATGTCTTGTGAAGGTTAAGATGGCAGACATCTCCACCGCATACTGCGGGGTTTGTCAAACCAACCTGAGCATTGAGGTTTGCGCCATCCAGATAAACCTGACCACCATGTTCATGAATGATCTTGCAAGCCTCAGTAACACCGTCCTCAAAAACGCCAAACGTTGAAGGATACGTGATCTAATACAGGTCAGACGGGCTCCAAGACAGCATATGAATGCCCACCATAAACGCCGCTAAATTGTCTTTGTGCTTTTCTGATTTCTCTTTCAAGTCTGCAAGGTCAAGGTTACCGTCGGCGTGAGTCTTGACTGCAACAACATTCAAACCAGCCATTACGGCCGACTGTCACCAGGGAATATTAGTTGGACATCGATGGGTAGGGGATACAAAACACATACAGCAGGGTTAGTACCGTGCGCGCTCAGAGGAATCAGACAGATGTCCCGGTGACCCTCGCCACGAGATTCATGATATGCCCGTATCACTGTCAAACCTGTGTATTCGCCCGCTGCACCGGAATTAGGCTGGACAGAGCACGCATGAAATCCGGTAATCCTGCAAAGATCGGCCTCGAGTTCCTGGTAATAGCATGAATGCGGGTATGAGAAGTGACAAGCGTGACATTCACACACCTCAATAATTTGCTTATAGCCCTTGACTTGATTAATCGGGGCAAATGGATGCACATTACTGAACTCAGGCCACGTGAGAGGAATCATGCTCGAAGTGCTGTTAAGCTTCATCGTGCAGCTACCCAACGGGATCATTGCATGGACAAGGGATAAATCCTTGGATGCGAGATGGAATATATATCTCAGCATCTCCGTTTCTGAATGGTGTTTGTTGAAAACAGGATGGGGTAAAAACTCTGAGGAGCGAGCGAGGGGCTCGGGGTACCCAGGGCTCACTGGCTGTGGGAGGTCTGCGAGGGAGTCACAAGTTCTAGACGCCGAGGTAGCAAAAATATTCGCAAGGACATTCAGGTCGTCCCGTGATACTGACTCATCCAGGGTGACGCCAACGCGTGAACCGTCGATCCTACGCAGATTGATATGCTTTAGAGCAGCTGCAGCGTGGACAACTTCTGCGTTCTTGCACACGGAGGACACATCTATTGTTAGAGTGTCGAAGAACGTGTCGTTGACAACCTTGAACCCAAGCCGTTCGACAGCAATCTTGAGGAGCTGAGTAAAGAAGTGGACTTTCTTTGCTATGCGAGTGAGGCCGACGGGACCGTGGTAGACGGCGTACATAGCCGCCATATTCGCGAGAAGGGCTTGACTGGTACAGATGTTACTAGTAGCCTTTTCACGACGGATATGTTGTTCTCGAGCTTAATGAATGACGGGTGAGCACACAAAGGCGTGCACTACGAGATCCACTCACTTTGCAATGCCAGTCTGTATGCTGGGTTGCCCAGGGTATCTCTGCTACGCCCTATCAACCTTCCAGGCATCTTCCTCTTCAAACTTTCCGTCACGGCAAAGAAAGCGCCGTGGGGGCCGCCATACCCAGCTGGAACACCAAAACGTGCAGAGTTTCCGAGGGCGATATCGCACCCCCATTCGCCAGGAGGGGTCAATAGTGTCAAAGCAAGTAAATCTGTAGCACAGACAAGCAACGCCCCCGTCGCATGCACCTCTTTAGTGAGCGCTGCATAGTCAGTGACCCGACCATTAACGTCGGGATATTGAAGCAGAACACCACAAAGGTCTGCGCGTACAATATCGTCGTTGAGTGCGGTGATGGCGTCCCCGACGACCAATTGGATGCCGAAACCTTTGGCACGTGTCCGCAGGACAGCAATAGTCTGCGGAAGAACTCCCCGGTCTACAAAAAAAGTCTTCCTTTTTTGGTTAGAATTGACGTATGCCATAACCATTCCTTCGGCGGCCGCTGTTGCCTCGTCCAAGAGGGACGCGTTGGCAATGTCCATAGCCGTCAGCGACATGATCATGGTCTGGTAATTGACTAGAGACTCCAGACGACCTGTTCGGAGTTAACAGAAGATCGAGCTGGTGTGGTCGTGTGACCTACCTTGAGCGATCTCCGGCTGATATGGAGTGTATGGAGTATACCAGGCAGGGTTCTCTATGACCTAAATCAACGTTTTAAAAGTGAAGAGATACGCTCCAGTCGCATATAACCTACGTTGCGAAGTATGACTGGGGGTACTACTGCATTATGGTATCCCATTCCGATGTAACTCTTGAACTTGGAGTTATTGTTACCGAGTAACTTGGCACGAGCTTGAAGTTCCGATTCACTCAGAGCGGGCATGGAACTATCACTGATAGTAGTGCTGGTAATGCGAATCATTGGGGGAACAGTCGCATTGAGGAATTCATCCATTGAGTCGTAGCCCAGCTGCGACAGCATAAAGGCAGTTTCGCTGTCATCAGGACCTATGTGCCTATCTGTGAAAGTGTCGAGCGACTCGAAGAGGGAGGCAGGAGATCTGGCCGTCGCCAGCCACCGCCTGCAAAGAGGGGTTCGGGGTGGGACAGACCAGAGGGCGGTTTGCCTAAGACAAGCAGATGCAATGCGCAGGGCTGCCATGTGTATCGCAGAATTCTGGCTCAGTGCTGTTGGCAGGCTGAGAGGATGAGGGAGAATTTGGAGGGAAAAACCGGGATAAAAGCTACGGGTATTCACCGAGCCAGGTTCGTTCACCGAGTCGATTAACACTTTTGGAGGAGATAGCCAATCCGACGGCTGGAACTCACCGATAAGAGTGTATCAGGCTGTCTATGCATGTCTTGTACTAATTTTTGGATTAGGATAGTCTCTGTGCATGGTTCGCCGGCTCTCAGACATGTTTGTTGAGCGAACAACAGCCATTCAACTTTAATCTTCGATTTCATGCTCGGGGACGCACCCTAACCTCAGCTTATCGATGTGAAAAACTTTTTTCACCTGCCTCTTTTGGGCAAACGCGACCGATCCAAACTTTTAGACTTTGAAGCAACTTTGAAGCTGTGCAACTAGTAGGCGCCATCAACTCCACCCACTATTTCGTTGGCTGCAACACCATGGTTGGTGCTGCATTGTGGAATGTATGTAGGTCATCGATTCACCGACACCCGGAATCCTGGCGCAGCGTTGCATCGCCTCGCAGCATGATCCGCTCTTGTCACGCCGGCACGTTTACTGGCGAGATTCGGACGAAACCGGCTATGATCGCTAATGGTATAGACACAATTTCTGGTAAAACAGGTATCAGTGTCTCGGGCCAGCCAAGTATTGTGTCTAATAGGATTTTCCAGACCGAGGGATTGCAGACGCTACAGGGAGACTCCCCATCGGACATACCTCCTGATGCGGCCAAGCCTGTTCCCATAGTTTATGTTACATTCTGGAAAAACTTGAAGATATCTGCGGACCTACCGTGGCGGGATGGCAAACCCAGAGAAGTTGAGGTACAAGATAAGGTCGCCAATAAGCAGACGCTGGCGGAGATGAAGCAATTACGGAACCACAGTTTACAGCAGTCCGTAACTATCCCGCGATCATAAATCGCAGTATTAAGGTCTGGCCATCGCCAGTACACACCACATCTGCAAAACTACCCGAGGGAGTGAGCAGGTTATACCTGCCTCCGTTTGGAAGTGACTTGTCGTAAGACTCGCTAAGACACTTGTTGGCCAATGAGAGAGCTCGCTCAAGTGCGGAAGAGCTGTTAACAGCCGCGTCGCGTAGCTGTTTCCCAGATGCAGTACAGCCGACGTGCCGACGTGTTTTTGCTACTGACTGGTGTATTTACCACCTCCCAGCTTGCCGCGTTTCTGTTGGTACACTGTGAAACGGAGTGGGTATGCGCGCTTCAATGTTGTCGTCCAGGGCACATCTTTCGCGCGGTAAAGGGGCCAGCTGATAACAGTGGCTCGCAGTCAGCTATTCGACGACAATACTAGGTGTAAGCATGCTTTATATTGACTGCTTTCCTTCTACTCTTTTAAGAGGGCTGCCCATGGGGGTCTTCGTTATCGAAAAGCTGCATTGTAGAAATCCCGGTCAAATTCTGTCGAGAAGCGAGCTCGTTAGATCGACTTTTTAGACTATCGGTGTGACATGCTCTGGAGACAAATGCAAGGATGCCCTATGACACCGCTGACACCTCGGGGTCCAGCGGCCGACGGTAAGCCCTGCACCTGGAATGGGGGGGAGGGCTCGGCTCCCGTCTCCATCGCCATTCACGACTGAGGCAAACCGTCATATGCCGCATGGCTCATTTCCACTATCCAACTCATGAGTGCTTCATCTTTAATCCTCACATCCTCCATCATTCTCCTGACACCCACGAATGCACGTCTGCCCCTTCTCTCTCCTTCAACCTCGTACGCGTATTCCTCGTTTGTAACATTATCCCCCTCATCTTCTACAACAACCCCTGGGAAACCAAATCGTTCACCATCCGCACGTGGAGCCAGGTCTGTTGCGACAAAGGAGGTGCGGAAGAGAATGCGGATGATAAGCAATGCCGTGAGTGATGTAGAAGGTGGATCAGCAGCAGGTCGACGGAAAGTGATAGTTGCATTGCGTAGCGGCGGCAGATCCCGCCGAGTCGGGTCTACGATAGGATACACCTCGTCGGTTAGTGAAAGAGTCACCATTTCATCTTGTGAAGCGTGTTTCGCTGGGAGTTGTGCACTAGGCATGTGGGTTAAGACATGCGACCTCAGGGACGCCTTGGAAAGCGAGATGGAACACGTTGACCATAGACATATTGGTTCGGTAACCCCGAGGGCATCTATATGTTGGAGAAGGTGATCGTATAGTTCACCCACGGACCCAAATGCTGGGACCGAACATTGAGACTTGTCCCACTGACATCTGAACCTTGGGCTGTCTTGTGCTTCTTTCCGTCGGTCAACCCCTCGCACAACGAACCGTTGCGGAGGACCCGGAAGTACCATCGCCTGGGCTTGGGGAAATACTACATTCACGTTCTTGATGACGTCAGACGCAACCAGAACAGGAAAACGCTCGACGTGCGGTGTAAACGCATCCTTGTAGAGGTTCCAGAAGTCAACTTGAGTCATTTCACCTTCTGGTTTAGCCACGAACATAGTTCGCATCCTGATCTTTTGGGTCAAATACAGTATCAAAACGATAATGTGTTTGACGTACCACTCGTAACAGCGTTGAGGTTCTGGCATTGGCAGAAGGCGGTCCAATTCCTCTCGCGTCAAATCATGGTCAGGTGTAACCATTGTAACCGCGGGGACCGTCTTTGCAGGGAAAGAGATGTCCTGCGACACCGTCTCCTCCACTTGCTCCGACAATAGGAGACTCACAAGAACGCGAAGCGCGCTTGGCATCAGGTGGTGATGAAAAAAAGACTTTACCATTGGTGGATGTGAAAGATGAGCGTAAAGGTAATTAAGGGATGCCTCCACCAAAGGTTTATCAACGAAGAGCGGAAGGTATCGTATCGAGGCAGACAGAGCAGGGGATTCTGCCTGCAGGCGGGGTAAATTTGAAGTGTTGAAAAATAGCTGGCCAAGAAGAGTGAGAGTCGCAATGATCAAAGACCGATTGGAAGAATGTTCTACTATGTGCAGTAGCCCAGCAAGGGGATCCTTCTCGTCTGCGGATGGAGTGGGTAGTACCACGCTCGGGGAGATAGCTTGCAGGAGCTCTATAGTGTTCAGGAGAAATTCATTGTTAGTTTCAGCATCCAAATCGAGATTAGTGAGGGCGCGGAAAAGCAGTGGTTGCGTCCGAGAGTGGTTTGCAAGCTCATGGACATTAGGCTCGTTCACGACTGAGTTGCGTAGGATAAAGAGCGACTCCACTGCATGCCGGCGTTTCTTCTCTGCGACCGTTGAGGATGTAAAGAAAGAACAACCTTCGGGCTCCAGATGTCCCTCCGTGACATACCACTCGGGCCATTCGAAAAGTGCTTCAGTCAGACCTGGAATGGCTTTGAGAGCGAACTGGTCATTCGTGCAAAGCCTGTGCAGCCGATCAAGCGCCCATCCTATCTCGGTGTGTATACCACAGCGAAGAGAGAGTACCATTCGGTTGCTGGGCGTTGCGTCGGTGTACCACCCTTGAAGACATATCTTGAGCGGGACATCCCAGAGACGAAAAGTAACGTACGTTCATAGTCATCGGTAACATTTGGTCCCACTCTCTGGGTTGCCGATTGAGCGTACCCACGATAGTACCCCGGCGTCGCGGTCCCCTGCTCTAACTGGTGTTTGCAACGCCATCCGTGCACTGCCTCGATAACATATGAGGCCTTCAGTACCAGCATGGTAGGAGATCACGTGTCCGTCTCATGTGACATAGAGGTCACAGACAAACCTGTCACGCCCAGTTGGCATCATACGGTGCATCTTATCTGTGGACGTCACTTATGGCATTAATCGAGGTCAGTAATCCTTGCGTGGCATGACGATGGTAGGTAGCTAACAGATCCAAAGGTTATAGCTAATGATCGCCTGGGACGGAAAGGTGTGTAACAGTCGCCTTTTGCAGCCCCGGTTCTGACATTTGTTCATGAAGTCCGTGTCAAGTGTAGTCCCGATGACACGGTCGGCGATTTGAAGAAGCTTATTGGCGCGCAAACCGGCACTGACTACAGGAAGATCCAATTGAAGAAATGGTAAATTTCTTCTTCTATGTGCTCCCCGTGGATTAATTTAAGTGGGACGAGTGGTGGCGCTCCCCCATTTTTCTCTGATGCCTTCGCTCGATTACCGTTTATTGACATGGACTCTTTTCAGGTATACTTTATATAAGGACCACATCACCCTCAGGGATTACGAAATCCACGATGGAATGAGCCTTGAACTTTACTGATGCCGAGGTTCGGTCGCAGGCGTGGCTCTTACACATTGCTGAGTCCGAACACCGTTCTTCCCTGTATCACCACTTCGCACTCAGCCATGTATGTATTTGCAGTACGATAAGGTACCACAATGCAAGGTTTGATGTACTGTGGCGCAGACACCACATATCGTGCTGCTGGTCATGACCCCCAATCCATAAGCACATGTGGTAGCTTCCCGCGCAGGAGCAGCTGCTGATGTCACCCTATTCAACACTCCCCTGGAGCTCTCCTTTTATGGTGGCCGCGAACTTTGTGTATGATGCAGAAGTTCGCAAGTGTGGCGTGGCGTGAGTTCACGGATTGACTGCTACAGCAAATTGGCTATCACTTTGCACCGGACCTGGGGTTACTATAAAATTCGGCCGCTTTTCATCAGGTCTCCGCAAGCATGCATAGGGCCTTCGATAACGAACCCGGTACCTACTATTTCGGCATCGCAACCAAGGTACGACTCACCGAATCTGAGCCAGTGATTGTAGGAGGTGACTTGAGAGCTGGCTACGCACGAACTTATACCACAATACGTTTGATCTCAGCCTTACAATTCTTCCGGCCCGGTCACCACGAGCTAATTATTTTTAGGGTGCGATAAAACCCGAGAACACGGCTTGTCCTCAACTTTCTTGTGATTAATCAATGACATTGTGCGTTGAGTTTATCTATCGGCTCCATGGTTAGTATGCGCTTCTTAGCTTTTGGGGCCGTGAACCCTATCTGTCCGTGTTTCATATCCGTCCCACTGACCTTACTCTCAGTTGGGTCCCCATGATCTGTAGCAAACTCGCTGTGACCGTGTTCGGCATGACCCCAGTCTTGTGGACTCTGTGCAGGTGTAATCTCTCCCATGTCGCGATGGGAGAAGGGGGGATAGTGGACATCCCTTATGCCAACATTGCGGTGGGCAAATACACAGTGAAATATCGATAACTAGCGAGGGTATCCACGAAGCGCCACGAGGTGTGTTTTGTATTGACAGGATAACCCGGCGCGACCAATGCCCGTTTTACTGGTACATGTGCAGTGCTCTATATTTCAATGAGAATACGATGAGAGTCCACCTCATTGCATAAGACAAGTCCGCCCCTAAGGACGCTGGATTGCGGGCACCGTACTAAATCAAGCAGATTAAATACATCCGCTAAGACGTCCGCGAGTGGGGCATCAATTGCATATTCACCATACACTAGCCTTCACAGCGGCCACAGTCGGTCTATACGTTTCTCAGCGAGTAACCGTTCCATCAGCGAGAGAAGGTATTAGTATCCACCACGACGTCACTCCCCACATGGATCCGTCATGGGGTAAGTCATCTTACACACCGTGACCCAGAAGGGCTGGCGAATTTTCCAGATGCTTTCCGACGCCTTGATGTCAGATGGCGACTTTCATAGCCGGCATATTGGTAATTGGCAGGGTTGGACGTAGTTGATCGAATACTGGAAAGCTCCGGCCGATGATGATGGATGTTGAAAGTCACTCGTTTGCCAGGAAAGGGCCTATTAGCACCTATAAGTATGCCAAAAGGCGAGTGACCCGGTTGAACCGCTGCTGCACGTAATATGGGTGCGCGGTTTGTAGGTTTTTGCTATGTACTTCCTGTACTCGTCAAGTCATCAGATGGAAGTCGATGACGTCGCTCTTTACGGCTGTGGGTAGAAGTCCGAAAACACGTTGTAATCTTCCTGCATAGACGTAGCGGCACAAAAAGAAAAGGTCTCCATGTCATGCGCCACTCGGAGGGATAATAAGGTCGCCAGCCATGAGGTTGCCTTCCTGTTGTTATACCCCATAAGTCAACCAGCCGGTCGGGCAGTAGTGGTGGATTGCAGGCGGGGTGTTGGCCTCGAGGCGGCCATGCAGTGAGGCAGTGGGGAGTACAATAGTCCGATGTAGCGCTGGGATCTGGTCCACACTGGATTCATATGCCGCAAAATGGAGATATCGTCTGTGTGATTGGGACCGACATAACGTGTGTGGCCTAGCAGTGCTTTTGTGGTCGCGTGCGCATGCTATGTTTCATGCGGGCAAGCTAAATTTTTGGTGCTCGGCGACGTTGTCTATGAAGTCATCGACACATAGAGATCTCTACCAGGGGCCAGATAGTGGCAATTGCAGTCACCACCCTCGAATTTGGCCCCCGGCGCTTTGATAGAGTTTGCCAACGAACCTCCAGATTCGACTGGATATCTGCAACAAAGGAAGAGAGCTGTAGGAGGGCACCATCCACCAACAATCCACAAGACGACGTGAAACAGCCGCCGCCTCGTGTTGGGCTTGCTCCGCCCTTTCATCAAGCTGTGGTTTTCTGTCCACACTCCAGAGTCGAGGTCGGACTGCTTGGACATATATAAACCCACCAAGAGGAACGCCGTCGAACACTAAGTTGTATCTCACTCAGTGACAAATCTACTACATCCAAATACTTCCTGACAACACTAGTCATGGCTCTTGGTTTGCCACCCGTTTCCGTGGGGCTCAAGGCAATAGCCCCATTCCTCCAGCGCGCGGAAGAACTCGTTGAACGAGAACCCGTTATCGCCTATTGGTGTACGTCTACTATTCTGCCGATCAGCGCCTGATCGACGATGGTGTTGACATCACCACCACAGGTGCATACTACGCAGCCCAAGTGGGCATCTCACTCAAGGCCAAGGATGCTGCATCTCGCACACTCCTCTTTGGTCTCCTTACAGCACTCGAACGTCTCAAGAACGAGATCGGTCCAAATGATGCGATAGATATGGAAGCTGCAAGTGCAGCATACGTCGAAAACTTCGCCTTGAAAGTCTTCAAGATGGCTGATGACGAAGACAGAGCGGGCAGAGCGAACAAGTGAGCGGTCACTCATTCCGTAGCGATATCGATATCTGAGCTAATGACCCACAGGTCTACAGCGAAAAAGTTCCTTGCTGCTTCAAATTTCTTCGAAGTGCTCAAGATTTTTCCCAAGTCAGAAGTCTCAGAAGCAGTACGTCTCCTGCCTCAGCTTGTTGGCCGTCCTCATGTTCGTCCAGACAGAATCCAAGCTGCGATATGCGCAGTGGAAAGCAGCAGATATTGCCAAGGCCTTCCGAGAAGGGCGCAAGCCAAATCCGGGCCCTGCAGCACCCAAGGTAGATCCGGAGCTTGTCACTGCGGAACTAGCTGCTCCCTTGCACCCCCAACGTCCACAGAACCACTCTCTTCTGTCTCACAACCTCCTACCACACCGCCCAAAACATTCCGTGATCCCTCTCCGTCAACGGGTCTGTATCGATCTCCCAAGCGGCATTCCCCTCCACCTCAGTTACCCGCTGCTGACATCACCCGAGCAAATGATGTCCCGATATACGGTGATGGACGGCGAGATGAGGAGGTGCTCACTCCAGGGCGGTGGAGCACGACCGCTACGCCTGGTTATGAGTTAACTCACGAGCATGCCTTAGAGGGTATCGCGGAGCAAGACGAAATCTCGCAAAGATCGACGCCGATTTCCGGCTCGCCGCCTCGAGCTACAGTTGGGCGGGCACAACCACCGTCGACTTCACCTCCTCGCCGGCATTCGCCCCGATTGGATGTCACGCTGCCTCCAGGTTTCGTGCCCACTGGTCCGCCAGTCCCCGAATATGCAACCCCCTGTATGGTAGACACCCGTGACGGCATTGCAGAAACATTCGTATCTCCTGTTTCACCGGTTGCTTTGCCATCCCATCCTATACATGCCGCCGTTCTGCCACCGCTACCACCTCCTGTGCCGGCATCGGAGCTGTCTCCATCCATGGTAGCAATGGCTCAGAAACATTGTCGGTTTGCGATATCATCGTTGGACTACGAGGATGTGGAGCAGGCTCGCAAGGAGTTGCTTGTCGCATTGGGTTTGTTGGGGGGACTACGTCCGCAGTACGAAAAAGCGGATTGAGATTCAGTACAGTTGGTAACAGGCTCTGACCAGCGCACGTTGAACGAATCGTTTATTTTAGGTCCTTGTCTTCCGTCTTCAATCCATCGAATATTTTCGATGGTACACACCGCACACCTCCATATATTAAATTATGATATAGGACCATTAGCATAGTGCTTAGCTGTAATATCTTTCTGGAAGTATCATCGCAGATTGTGGGATGAAATTTGAAACTTGGAAAATGGACCGCGCGCGAATAACGTATAGAAGGGAGCATTCACTAGGAAGACTACTCGCCCATTCCGAATACCGACTGCGCAGGATTCATGTCCACTGGACTATCGACATGCTGGGCATCAATAACAATTTTTCCATGTGGTTGCGGGATGTGTGGTGGCTCTAGAGTGGGCCGAGGAAAGCCCGTATACTGAGGTGGCGGTGAAGACAGGCTTGTGCGCGTCGCATCAGACGCTACAGAGCTAAAGGTGTCCATCCTTGAGGCGCCCGTTGACCCCAAATCCATCACAGGGGTCTGGAGTGCATGGAATGCCTTTAGTGCATCAGATAAGTCGTCAAGCTGTAAAGCGGTGAATTGGTGAATTGGTTGATGAATTGGTTGCATCCTACCTTATTCATGATTCGCGCGATGGCAACCTTGCGCTCTGCGAACTGATCTGCAAGTTTCGCGAACTCTTCATCGCGCCGGCGTTTAGCAAATACGCTTGCATCATCCTCGTCCTCGCTATCCGAGGTGGTATCTGTTATGTTTCCTCCTCCCATCTCACCTGCTCCAGGCGCTGGGGGGTCATCATCGTCTCCTACTGGTATTGTTTCGCCTCTCACTTTTCTCCGTGGGTTGCTCACTTTGGCTGTTGGGGAACGAGTATCGCTCGTAGCACCTGGATTTGTGCCCATAGTATATCCGCCTCCTGATGCACCCGCAGCACCACTCCTGACTGGGTTGCCCACTCCTTCCATCTCAGCATGCATGCGAGCCACTTCGCCCTGCAACTCGAGGATACGTGCAAGGCGAGTCCACAAATCCGTATCTCCTGCCGTTGGGAGAGATTGCAGTGTGGTTTGCTGTTGGGCCTGCGGGTCCGTCAAAGCCGTTGACGTAGTGTTTGCAGTAGCACCTGCAGATGGCACCGCTGACGCGTGCTCTCCTATCCGTCCTCCAGTAAAAGGGTCGTAGATTGGCAATGATGGGGGTATAGCTGATCCGCCTGCAGGTACGCTCGAACGTGGTAATGTGTCAGAGTCCTCCAAAGATCTGGTTTGTCCTGGAGCGGGAATGTCAGGCAGAGTAAAGCCGAAGACATCTGCAAGCACAGCATCTTGGGGTGTGAAGAGTCCCTCGTTCTCTCTCGCCTTTCCTTTGTTTCTCTTAGCCTGCGCGGGGTCTACGCGTGTATAGGGATCGTCTAGTGCCTCTGAGGACTCATCGTGGATATCAATCCTTTCCTTGGCGTCCAGAGGGATCGTGATAGGATGGTGCAGATTTCCAGCTTTGTATGCACTTGGATCATTGATGTGGGCGTGGACGACCGGCGGCGGGATCACAGACTGGGACGAGAATGCCGGTTCGAAAGTCGAGTGCGACTGAGAGCGTTTGACACCGGGCTGCGAGTCGTTTGGCGCTGTGTCTGACTCCGTGTGTATCTCAAGCACTGGCTGTGGTCGCGTCTGTCGACTGGACTTACTTCCAAACCACGAGCTGGGCATCTCGTCAGTGCCAACAGCACCCTTGCCAAATGCAGTGATTCCTATTTAGGATGTGTGCCGGCACTAGCCGAGCACTGGCTGCAATACATTTTTTTTGGAGTCGGCGTGCAATAATCGCAAGTGTGCAGAGGGGGAGAACGTGCCCCATGGCAGCAGCTGAGGTTTTGAGCCACGCATCTTTGGTAGTGCCGCAGACCAAGGACGTTGCCATCACACAACTTTCGCGTCAATCACTCCCGCATCAGCCAGGGAAACCTAGCAAGAAGAAAAACAAGGAGAAGCGGTCCCCAGTGTCACATCCCCCTCAGGGTTCCAGTGGTGATGAGCAAAGATCAGGAAGGATTAAAGAACCGGAAAGTGCACCTTCCAGGAAATGGAGTTGGACCTCGCTAGCCGATACGAGCGCAAGCTCGCATCCACCGATATTCACCAAGGATGGGAGGTCTGTGCTCTTCGCCTGGCTGAGTCGATGATCTCATTTTTTCTTGCCTAGTCACTTCTTCTCTATCTTCGGCTCGACAGTAAAAATTCACTCGACGTCGTCCGGAAAGGTCGTCTCGATATTACCAAGGTCACAGGACGAGGGCCACACCGATACCATTACATCTGCGACCCTTAGCGCACTTAATTCTTTTCAGCTGTTCACAGCATCCCTCGACGGCACCATCAAAGTCTGGGACTTCCTCGAGGGCAATCTCTTGCGTACTATCGACCTAGACCAACCCATACACCATGTTTGCACCCATGAGAAGATCAAGGATTGCATCTTCGTTGCCGCTGCAAAAGCCAAGAAATCAAAAGGCTCTTGTGAGTCATTCGTACTTCTAGAAGTTGGCCGAAACTAATGGGTTCGACAGCCGGCCACGGCAAAGACGCGGAGGACGAAAGTTGCGTAGTGCTGCGCGTGCCTCTCAAGTCCCAAGAGTCCGATAGTCTTACCGGGGCACAAAAAGTGTCGAATGTCCTTGCAATTGGGAAGACGACACGAACAGCCGGACTCGCAGTTTCTGCCAGTGGCGAAAGATTGATAGCAATCGCCGGACGGAAGGCATTTGTCGCACAGACTGCTGCTCTCAAATCCGGATTCATAAAATTCGTATCACCTGAGCCACTGACGTGTCTCGCAGTACATCCTCATGAGGAATACTTTGCTACTGGTGATGTCAAGGGGGTCGTGCGACTGTGGTACTGCCTGAATCCTAACCTAGTCAAGGTGGTGGGTGTAGAGAAAAAATCACAGACGTCTGCCTTTCACTGGCATGCTCATGCCGTTTCGTCCGTTGCATTTTCGACAAACGGTGCATACCTTCTGAGCGGTGGTGAAGAAGCCGTACTTGTTATCTGGCAGTTGCACACTGGGAAATGTGAATTCGTTCCCCGTGTCGGCTCACCGATTAAGAGCGTTGTTGTCTCTCCACCCAAAACATCCGACGAAGAGTACCTTTTAGAACTCGCGGATGCCACTCATACTTTCATCAGCTCAACAACCCTCAAGTTGTCGAGGGTATTTGCGAGGATTAAACTAGGTACACAACTTGGGTCTATTTTCATATATCCGTGCTCAACCTTGTCCCAGCTCCTTCCGTGTCGAATGGCTTCCCGTCTTCATCGTCCACTCCCCTTGCCTTCCATGGTCTTTCTGAGACCCTTGTCCTCCCATCCTCTCATCCATCATCACTTCAAACATTTTCCCCTTCAGCCCTCACTCTTGTGGCCGAACTCGAAGTTTCCCCTTCCAATCGCATCTCACGTAGAGGATGAAAAAATGCTGGAACCGACTCGGGTGGAACGTACTGTCATTTCCTCTACTGGAGAATGGATGGCCACCGTTGATCGCAGGGAAGGTGACGAGTGCTTCCAGGGCGAGGTATACCTCAAATTCTGGTATTGGGACAAGAAGAACGCATTTTGGATATTGAACACAAGAATAGACCGGCCTCACGGCCTTCGCAAGATCACTTCCATGTCCTTTAGCCCAAGCCCTTCGAATATTCAACTAGTGACGACGGGAGAAGATGGGAACGTGAAAGGTTGGCGAATACGAATAGCAAAAGACAAAAAAGGAAAGGAGGAAAGTAAGTCAATGCTACACCTGGCTCACTAGTCAATCTCACAGTTAGTTGAGTTTCCTGGGTAACGAGGTCAAGCTTGGGTTATAAATCAGATATCCCTCGACATGCTTCGTGGTCTCCCGACGGGTCTCTTTTAGCGGTCGTGTTCGGGCCATCTGTGGTTCTGTACGACCCCTACACAAATGTGCCTCGACATGTCTTCGTTTGCCATGAGTCTCAGCGACCTTGTGAGGCACATTTCATAGGCATGAGTGGGCGCTTCCTCGCTATTATTGGGGGTCCAAACTTAGTTATATGGAGTGTAATGTCGGGGTCAGGTATGTCTATCCTCAGATGCGTCGGCACTGACCAACTTATCTCTTTTAGTTCTGTGGCATGTCAGAAATAGTCAACCTTTCGATACATTACTACCCCACCCTCACCGGGACACTTTTATGACCATCCATTCGTCTTCCTCGACGCCTGCTCATGCGGTCGCTACCGTCTTCCGCGTGCGGTCACCAGTTCGTCAAATGGAGCACACGCTCCCGTTCGCCCTTCGCAACGTTATCTGGTATCCTCGACCGTCCACCCCAACTAGCAGCGAATCGTTTTCGCTTGTTGGTCTTACCCACAGTTACAACGTGGTTCTGATGGGAGATGATGCTGACCCACAGGCGAAACCATCTGTTCCTTCCAAGAGACTTCAAAAAGGACAGTCGTTACCAAGAAAGTCGTTGTTCGAGGAAATGTTTGGCGTACCCGTTATTTCTAGCGAGTCGGTGCAGCACTCTCGTGACCAGACTACCGCGAATTCAGGACCTGTTCTACCCTGGAGAAGCAGCGAGACGGCGGGCTTTTTCGATGCACCGTCCCATCTAATCCCGCCAATCCACACATTCTTTGACTCGTTGGTTGATAGCTTCCTAACTCTACGAGTAGCAGACGAGGAACGACCAGAGGAGCTTGATGTTCCTGAGGAAGCCGGCAGTAAACCGTCCGATGACGGTCCATCGGTCTTCACCAAGTCGGCGGACATCGCTACTGACAGTGTGCTTAACACCCTCATTCCGGTGTTCAGGGAAATAGCAGGTATTTGGTAGTTTCTATGCAACTTTAAACCCTGCTCATGGTCGGAAAGAGTCCTCTGATTATTCCAATGATTCGAAAAAAGCATCGGTCCCGCCAAATACGGCGCCAGCGCCAGCAAAATCCACTCCTAGACGTGTGTCCTCACTTGGATAAACTACTCCAATCGGACTCCCCGGTTCCAGAGCAATCCATTACGCCTTCGGGGCCTGTCAAAGCTGGAAAAAAACGGAGTAGACCATCCCTCGGTTGATCATCGTACTACCTGGGTCTGGGTTGGTATTTAAATGTTCTCGTTGTGTTGTTCAGCATATATATATAGGACGCTTGTTGCATCTTCTAGTCTCGCCAAGCAGTACCCGCAAACTATCATTGCTGCGAATGTAGCCTAATCCTCGCATACCATTTCTGAAGACTCTGACAAACACCCATCGATTTGAGGAGCATATAAGCCATCGTCACAGTGATGCAAGCAGATCGCCCTATCCTTCGCGGAATAGGTGGGCAGAATGCTTGAGGTGGAGAGGCAGGAAGACGCTTTGTACCACATCCTCTGGGGGTTGCTGAGGGACGGACAATGTTAAAGGTAGTGGGGACGTTGCAGATTTGGCGCGTTTGGATGGTCTCGCTTTCGTTCCGGTGGAACTGTGAAGTTTGGTTTGTTGTTCACATGCCCATTCGAGCGTCAGCATTCTTCCCCGGCTGACGGAATCATCTGTGGCCTATAGATCGTCCACGAGGCTCGCGACATTAGCGACAGTATAAGGGGCTTGTGCTTTGCTGTAGGTGCAGATCTGCTGGCTTTGAATACAAGTACGCTTCGGATACGAGTGTGATCGTAAGTCCTCGTGCTCTTCCCGGTTACCTGACGGAGTCCGCGTCTACGCATCGGATTCGGTGGTCGGCAAGTCATGTGAAGGTAAAGTCAGGCTTCCCTACAACCGAACGAAGCAGGAGGCACGTAAAATATGCTGGCTCTCCCGCGCCTTGAGAACGAACCAGTAACGCATTTGGCCCTTGTTCCGGAACCAAGTCGTTACAGTTTTATAATCCCTGTTGAAGTTGAACATTCGACGACGAGGGTTGCTGCCTTCAGATCAAGCAACCTACGTGTCCGGTTCTTCCGCGATTTCCTTTTTCTGCTGCGTTGAAAGATTGGTTTTGATGAAATACGAGTTCCAGATGGACCTGTTGAATGGCGGATAAGGAACGTCATAATCTCCTGTCCGACGGTAGCTCCTCCGGCGGCGGGAGGCTCGAACGATCGCGCCTTGTCTTAGGTTCTTCTGACGCTGACGGGACCTTGCGAGGAGGACTGCTGCTGCAGGGAATTGGAGGGGGCTGTTCGAAGAGCAAGAGACATCTCGCTGTTACGCGTGTCGACGGCCCAGGTAAGTCATTTCTGTGTATGGTCAGACATGGAGGATGGTCAGCTCCAAGGGGGCTTGTTGGGAAAGTAGCTAGTGTCTACGTGGACGCAACGTCGTTATCACTCGAGGAAATCAGTAAGTCGCTGAAGCGCTGACTCTTATGCTGCATGCAAAATCTATGGCTAGCTGGAAGGGGTATCGGGTGCACAGTAGGAAAAAAAAGAGTCGGTGATACTTGTAGACGATCAAAGGTGAATACAACAATCGCGGTGCCTTTACGTCTATTTACCAGGGATTACAAAGTTTAGGAGCGTGTTTTGATTGCTAGCAGAGTTATTGCTGCCTCCACGTCCTTGGAGTGAGTAACGCAGTCACTCCCGGCAGTGTGCACAGACGTAGCATCTCGTTTATGTAACAAGTTAAGGTTGTCTGACACCGTCCCTGCCTCGCTCTCGGGCCCCTTCCAGGGCTCGTCGTCGTCGGCCCGGATCTCTTTCCTGGCTCTTAGACACGCCCACTCTAACGAGTGAAACACCTTCGCCTCTGATGACGTGTCTGTTTCTTCCCGTGTGGGAGGTGAGTGGGGGGTGAGTGGCGATGATGGCATGTATTTCCACAAATCTGCAGAGCGCCGTGGAGTTGACACTTCCTTTTGGATATCAGAGATACCCAGGCTAAAGGGTGTGCCTGACTGCAGATTGACGGAGCCGAGTAGATCGCTCAGAAAGCTCTGCTATCTCGTCGAGTGAGATAGTAGAACGTGAAACGGAAGATTTCGATGCCGCTTTCCGGGAAATGTGGTCGCTGTCCCAACTTAGTCTGTCCGTTCGGATGCTTTGGTGGTATATTTTCTTTGTATGCAAGCGATTTTTTTCTGGACGTCTGACGTTTGTTCTGGAACCAGTTTGTAACGGACTTAAGTTTCCTGCGTGCTGCGGTTAGGGGGAAACTCGTGAGCTGATGTAGCAAAGTAAGCTCACATTCCGAGTTCATCTGCCAGACTTTGTCGCTGACCTCGCGAAGGGTGGGCGGTCATTGCGTATACTTTTTGTAGGGCTTCTGTTTGTTCTCGGGTGTTACGCCGCCGAACGTACACGACATGCGTTGATTGTCCTGCCAGATCAAGGATTGAAGTGGGAGGGGATGACGACGAATGGGGTGCTTTCCGAAGAAGCCATATTACTTATGAAGGACAGTACAGAGAAAAGGAGCGAAGTGTAACAATTTACGGTGTGTTCATCGAGGATAGTGCTTAGAAGTCATATGTTGACTTTCGATCAATCAAATGCGCGTCGCGTCCCACCACGTGATCTTGAGTCGGGGACACGTGATGCACGCGTGGCCATGTACCATAGCTTTTAACCGAAAGCCAGGTCGGAAAGTAACCCGCCTCGAGAAACAGGTTGAATAGTATTGTTCTACTCCTTATCGTACTTGATATAAGCCTAATAGATCCGTACTACATTAAGCCTCGTATACACGCTAATTGTCCTCATCGTCATCTTCATCGTCGTCGTCGTCATCGTCGTCATCCCCACCCTCTGGATCCCGCTGCAGCAACTCGTTCTCTTCTACTGTGTTGGTGCCGACAGGAGCAACGTACACGGCAGCTACGCTGCGAAGTTCCCTCACCGCCTGTACGGACAACGTGTGTACCCAAGGCGGGTTTAAGTATATTTTGGTAATGGGCAAAGCCATTTCTGTCCTTCGTCGACAGAAGTCCACGATGGTCGCATACGGCATTGCCTGAACTTCCAACGTTTTCAGATTGGGGCAAAAAGCGTCACCGCTTGGATAGTTACTAGTATCGTTCAGTTGCTTGTACTTGCCGGGATCGTCAAGTAGCAACTTGAGCACACTCGTTTTCAGCTGTGCGATGCGCACATATGCCAAGTCAGGCATCGCTAGAAACCACCGCGCCATCGCTGCCTTGCCCAGGGGTGTCATCTCCACTTGCACACCGTACAGCGTCAATAATCGTACTTCCGTGAACTTTGGCGTAAGTAGTTTAATGAGAGGTACGTAGTCAGTGCCGCTCAGTGCCATCAGCGTTAGGTCCAGTAAGTGAGGTGCGTTGATCTGTGAAACGATAAAACATGCGTATGGGAGGCTGAAAGACCCCAGAACCAGCGTTTTAAGATGCAGGAGATCGACAGGTATATGGTCAAAGGGTTTCTCAGCGGGTCGCGGACCAGAGCCGTCCAGTGCAAGCCTGGTTAACATAGGGCATTCCCGAAGGAGGGCCCTAAATCGTTCGAGAGAAGGGGCAACGTCCACAGACATGCTACGAAGATCAAGCGTTGAGAGGTTTCGCAGTGGTGTTTCGTCCCAATCAACGTGCACACCTGCCAGGCAAAGGTGATTTAACATTCGTGTTTGTCCACCGTTTAACAGGGGAGGATCATGATGACCGTCGTTGTCGATGTTAGGTCCAACCAACGGGTTAGGTGTGCCCGTGCGGTAAATCTCGAGCCTTTCGATGTTGATAGGAATTCCGGCATTTCCAGCTTCCTGGAGTTTACGGAGGACAGTAATGGCAGGGGCCCATTTATCGACAATAACAACCAGCATACGGATCTGCGGAAGCTTAACGAAGAGCCTGTCAAGGAGGTTTGACATCTGCTCGGGTGTGAAAACGCGTTGGTCCTCATTTTTCCCCAACAGCGCATTCCTCTCATCGAGACGAATGTCTATGGGAGCAGTTCCAGCTCGATCGAACCACGCAAACGACCGCTCATATGGTGCAGGATCGCGAAACCAGATAGCATTCCATAGAGTAGCGTCCCCGATGGCAAGTTCCCGCCACAACCGGCATACCCACGTGAGCCAAAGCCGCTGCACCACGCCTTCAGCGGGGTTGCCAGTCGACCAAACGACATAGCGGAAGATGTTGGCAATAATTTCGGGTGGAAGGTCATGAAGACGGAAAGTGCGCCAGTACATCCAAATCCTCAGGAACTTGAGCTGGACCGTACGGCAGATGACTGATGGGTCGACCCGGAAGCGTAGGTCTCTTATCTGTTGTTCCCCGTTCTTAATCTCCTCCGTCCATTGTGTCCAGAGTTCTTGTGATGGACCCTTGCATCTGCTTTCAGGCGTTGGTTCCGATGCCTTCGCAAGGGTGTCTTTCATGACTTGAATCTGTAGGGCAACGTAGCCGGGCGTGCCGGGCAGTGGGACTGATATTCCAGGATGAAGAGTTTGGGTGGGTATCTGTACGAGCTGGTGCGCTGGAGGTGGTGCTGAGTTTGGCTCCATGCTCACTGTAAGGTTGAATTGTCGTCGTTAACATCCCTATGACATTCATGACAAAGGCGAGATGGGGGGACCGGTTTGTACCCACCTTTCGATGCAAGAAAAATATTATTATGCGGCAGAGGATGGGTTGTGGGTATGCAGGTTGTAGATGAGAAAGAGTGGGCGTTGCGCCGTTTTATGGGATCCAGCTAGTCCAGTGGCACTTGTGGTATTTTTTGAGATCATTTGCAATCGATTTATGCCAGGGAAGCGGAGCGTAAGTCCTTGCCAAAGCGTGTTGTTTGTCCCTGTGGGCGCCCTTTATTTGTTGCTGGGAAAAGGCTGTTGACGCCTTTCAGCTCCCATCAGCGCACCCAAAGGACTCACCTCACGACGTTCACCATCGAACAAGAGACAAAGGTGCAGAGATGTGGACGAGGGAGTCCACCGAAACAACGGGGACACCGCCGTCTCCTTCATAAAGGATCTGATTTTCCCCGGCCACGCAAAGTGCCATGTTGCTTTGCTGTCCCTTGTCAGGCCAGTGACCTAGCTTTGCTATCTGTGGATAGCGAGCTGGACCGCCCCCCCTAGGATAAAACGGTGTCCTTGCTTGCCACGAAACGGAAGTGGCCGACGTCGACCGGGTCCACTACCCGAACACCCTGTCTCCGCGAACAACCAAATACGCAGCTGTGCAGGGTCATTCGGATGTTACCTGGAAGAAATGTCCGCAGTGGAACAAAGCAGAACCCGCCATCCCGGAGAACGACGCGCGAGGTGAGTCGGGGTCATAAATGAACTTTCTGGCCCCGACTCACCTCTGAAATATATGAAGGCCTTTTGCGGTTGCATAGGTGAAGTTTAGGATGTCAGCTCAAACACACCCAGTGGCAGGTACAAGGGCGTTCCCGGATTGACTTTGTGCAAGGGTTGTTTGCTTTGTGACCGTCGATTTCGCTGAGCGGAATATGACGTGATGTCGGGAGTCGCCGCCCACCGACAAGTCCATTTTTGACAGAACTCGGCTTTAATTCCGTGAACGAATACTTGCCATCGTCATCATACACCAGCTCTCGACCACACGTCTGACACTTGGTCCGCTGCCTGGGTTAAAGCAATAAGGGTCCACCGGAAGCTACCGACTTGTCACCCCTAAATACCATCCTTGTCTCTTGTCCTTTTCCACCTACTGTAGTTGGTGTTCTTTTGAACTTATACACCTGAAACTTGTAACCATGGAAGCAAAAATTCAATTTCTCTTAAATTTCCATCTCGTCCAGCTTACATAAGAGGCACGATCTCAAAAGTTATTACTCGACTACACACGTTACCGATCTTTTATAGTACATGGTACAACAGAAAAATTCACCAATCTCAAATGATATTCATACATATTCTTCGACATTCGACCGCTAGTGCCATGCACCAGGGATTCCACTGTCCCTAGAAGGGCCCGCGCGAGGTTGGTTTGACGTGGTCGGAATAAGCTCTTCTATCAAGTTGGTAACAATGTCGTCCTCCACGTCCCTGCTAGTCGGAGGATGGGCAATCAGCTGGTCTGTGACCTTCTGATGAAGGTTAGGGTGTGACCCCGCGGTGAAACCCATCTGTATGGAATAACATCAGCATAATATAGAAAGAACAAAGCAGCGCGACTGACATCTGATAATTTCCTCATGATTCGGCTCAGTACCTGTTCCCTAATCTCAACCGGAATGTGCTGACGTCCTGTGTGCCCGACAGTAAGACTACGCCTGGGAACCTCGAACATCTCCAGCTGGGGATACGGACCACGGGCGTTGCTGACAATATGAACCCCTGCCGGTGAGTGCTCTGGGATTACAGGGCTTGGCGCAACTACAGGCACCGGTATAGGGATCGGAGTATGATTAACACTCGACGCCTTCACATGCTTGTTGGGGGCGCTAATAACTGGGTCCAAATCCGGAATCCGTCCAGAGATATCGGGACTAGCTTATATGTCAAACACATAGTTCATGCCAAGCAGCTATTCGTATGCTTACCTCTCTAGCGACGAATCGTGCTTCTCATTGTGCCTTTGGCTTGACGCCCTCCTAAGTGCCTTGGCTTGACGATACTGTTCTTTGCGAGCTTTGTACTCCGCCTTCGCCTTTTCCAGATCCGCGCGCAGCTCCTCAGCAGAGGGGTCTGCATTAGGCCCCACCGACCTGGAAAGTTGAATTGGGGCTGAAGGTAGATCTGAAGTAACAGGTGAGGAAGCTACGTTGACAACCACAGGAGTATTAATACCACGAGCGCGGTTCTCTATCACAGGAGTTGAGGGCTCAACCACTACGGGTCGTGGTTCGGGTCTCAGATCATTGCGACCCCAGAAACGATGGGGGGGAGGACGAGGCCAACTCCTGGGTCCAGGGGGAATTGTGGGGATACTAATTGGAGGCGGTGGCGGTGGCGGAGGTGGCGCGTAAGGGCCCCAGAAAGGACCGAAACGGGGATGGTGATGACGGTGATAGTTTGGTCCACCGAACCACGAACCGCGATGACCCCTATGGTGGTTGGGCGGATCCGGGACAAACTGTGCCCCAGAATCTCCAGCTGTAGTATGTGCCTGCTCGCCAATGTTCGACGCTTCGGTATTATTGCCATCAGCACGCTGCGTTTCACCACCTTCGTGAGTCGGAGCGCCGTCAGAAAAGGTGCGGAACACCCTCCCTAAAGCCTCCGCAACTCTTCCGCCAGCTTCTTGTTCCTGCAGTACGGCGGAGTTCCTCAATCGTTCTCCCAGCTTCGGCTGCTGCAGTCCTCTGAATATTCTCCGCAGCCCGTGAGATGGCCTCGCGATGGGCGGCCCAGTAGGTTCCACTTGCAGCATTGGATACGAGACGGCGGATGCCTTCCCCTAGCTCAGGGTGAGACGCGATGACATTGGAAAAATTGTTAAGCAAGGTTGCAACATCATGCGTAAGGGACGGAGGTACGATGGGATCGATAGTCGGAAGGGGTGGGTCCTCAGTCTCAAGAGTAGTAGGCTCCTTAGCATTCGTCAAATGCACGTCCTTGAGCGTCTGTTCAGAGAATACAGGGGTGCTCTGAGCCTGGGCAGGAGTAGCCACTCCGTTTTGAGCGGCAGACTCATCAGCTTTCTCGAATATATCGACATTGCTCACATCAAAGACATGCACGGGAGGCTTGGGAGACATCTGGTCATCAAATACGGATCCGGAAATGGAATCAGTTGAGGACGCATCGTCGTCTTCCACCTTTGGTTGGAAGTCTTCGCGCGCCTTTCCCTTTCCTTTCCCAACAGCAGATGCCGGGGCGGGCGAGTGAGAACGAATAGTACTTCCATCCTGAGGATCATCCTCTGAGAACCTGCTGGCATCGCTGTCCAACACTTCGACGAAGGCATGAGGGCTGTCAGGGGCGCCCTTACGGAGAAACAGGCTCCCTAAATCCTTAGGTAAATTCTGCCATTCGTCCTCTACCTCAAAAACGAGAGGGAACACATCTGCACCTCCGAACGTGTTGCGGAAGGGGGGTTGTTGAGATGCTGTGGGTTGCTTGGGCTGTGGTTTAGGAGTGGTCTCTGTGGTCACCCGGACAGAGCCAAGATCAAGCACGGTAAGCTTGGGGATGACGGGATTTCCAGAAGCAGAGAGTGCCGCGTAGTAGTCGTTCAGCTCTTCGTTTGAACTGACAGTGATTTCGTCTCCTTCAGCGTCTATGTATGACACCCCGACACGTTCGCTAGGGATGTCAAATAAGGACGCAATCTTAGAAGACAACTAGGACCCAGCCCGGTGCCGTGTTAAAGTTGGCACGACGGGTGGGACCGTCTCGCTTGGTTAGCTTGAACTGAGTGGGAGCCATGGGGGGACTGCAGTGGAGACGGTCCGCCTCTTATTGTATCTTTAAAACTCCGCCCTGCTGCGCTCCACAGCAGGTCTCCTTAAAATACCCCCTAACTAATAGTGTACAAGTCATTTCGAAGTCACCTGCATACGTATGCCACCAGAGTCACGACACACCCCTCATGCAAAGATGGACAAAAGGGGTTCAATGTTAACAGGGTCGTTCAGCTGCGACGTATCAAGTCAGCTTCACAAGGACCCTCCCAAGTATACTGCAACTCACCCTATAGTTCATATTCAAACCGCTGAATTGCCGCCAGCTCTTGCTCCGTCAGGTCGAAGCCGTCGCATTGCAGATTAGAAACCAATCTTCTGTGGTCAGTTACTCTTGGGTATCACAGCTAGTCCACGTTGAGTCGCCCATCTTAGGAGAACCTGTGCAGGGGCTATGAAGCTGCGGTCAACCTTCTCAAAACGTGCCATTTAATCGACTACGTACTCTTTCCATGAGCCGAGGCTATGGCACCGATAATACTATGGTCAAGGAGAGATGGAGCAGTTTTCCCCATACCGAGCTCCAGATAACTTTGTGGGCCGAATGAAGAGTAGGCTGTCACAGCGATGCCCCAGCGTTTGCAAAGATCAACGAGCGGCTCCTGCGTCAAATACGGGTGTAGTTCAATCTGAAGTACTTGAGGTTCATACTTGGCATACTGCAGGACATCAAGTATGAGGGACCCCTGGCAATTACTGCACGAGACGAAGGCGGTGGATATCTTGCCACTGCTATTAGCTGCAGGATTGACATACCTCAATCCAATGTTCTTGACGAAGACCATCATCAACGAGTTCCTCCATAGCCTTCCATGTTTCGTGCATGGGAACCTTCTCTGGGTCACGTCAAAGCCACGAGCAACGGATTCGTACTCGAAAACTCACCCTAAATGTACCTTTCCATCGTCTCCCATCCATTCCGCAGGGTAGCGATGGTTTGGATCAACATATTTGAGGGAAATCGGGAAATGAATCAAGAACAAGTCAAAATAGTCGATGCCCCAATGTTCCAGCTGCATCCTAGTTACTTTCTTGACCTACAGCGGTTTACTGAATACAACCAATCTCACTCGAATGGATCAAACTTACATGCTCTTGGGCGTGGAATGTGTTCCATAACTATAGGAAAGTAAGCATCATAGGCAAGCGATAAGACGGGGATCATTTGCCTTGGACGTGATAACTTGTGTAAACGGGTGAGCTCCGCAAATGAAGGAATCCAAATTATCTACTTACAGATATCCTCACGCTTGACGATACCCTCTTGCAATGCTCGGCGAAGGCCTTCTCCGGCTTGTTTCTCGTTCCCGTAATCGGCAGCGGCGTCGAAGAGACAGTAGCCAGCTTTGATCGCATTGTAGACGGTCTTAAGGCAATTTCTGATCAATCTATGAAGCGGAAATTGAGCAAAATGAACTCACATCTGCGCAGGTCTCCTTGTTTACCTACACTCACGACAATGTTGTCCCTACATGAGTCTCTACCAATGAAACCGCAACAGATGTGTACTTGCCTTCCACAGTCCGAATCTGCACGGTCGGATCCACTATCAGCTGCTGCGATACGCCCATAGAATATCAGAACAACGTACCCAACTAACGGCATCTATCAAAGAACACAATCAATCTCTCAGCGTTGGGGAGTGGTGACTCTACTCATACCTTCTGCTCAGTTCGCTTCAGGGTGATGGTCGCCATAGTGGAGAATGATATGGGTGAGATCTGAGAATCACGAAAAGGGAGTCTATTAAATAGTTGCGGGCGGCCCGGTATTCGTTTGTGGGATGTCCTTGTGACAAGTGCCAGAACCATCAATGATCTTATCTCTGATTTCCAAATCAGGCAACCAGAGAGTTCAACTCACGACACTGCCAGCGTTCAGCTGCGACCATGGGCTTCTACGTGCTCGGCCTTGGGGCTACCGGCACCCTGATAGCTTACCACCTCCGTGCGGCCCTGCCACCCTCCCAGTCCGTTACTCTGATACACAAGTCGTTCAAAAACGCATGGGTCGCGCACCAACGCTGCAAGGATGTGCTATCCGTGGAAACTGGTGGTGTCATTCAAAAGTGTGGCGGGTTTCAGATCGAAGTCCTTGAAAAACACGACAGACCTGGTGCCGGCGTTACTTTCAATCCCAATCTCACCAGAGACCAGACGCCGAACTACGTACCACCTGCGGATGACGTCCACACAGATCCCATCACGGCCGTCTTCGTCGCCGCGAGGATGTTGAAAACCACGAATCTGCTCTCGCAGCTGCTTCCGAGGCTCAACCTGAGCAGCACAGTCGTGCTGCTCCAAAACGGAATGGGCATCTTCGAGGAGCTCGTCCAGCAGGTCTTCCGGAACCCAGAAACAAGACCGAACTTTATTCTCGCGTCCAACACCAACGGCGCATGGCTCAAGGGCACTGGCCACGTTGTCTGTGCCGAACACGGCACGCTGGAATTTGGCATCGTGTCTGACCCTCGAAAACGCGATTTCGAAGCTTCCCTCATTGCCGAAACGAAGCCAAAATACGAGCGACATCTCAGCCTCGACGATATCACGCGTCCGGGGGATCCGTTATATAACCAGTACCGCGGTCTTCGAGAGACGGTCGCGGCGCTGAATTCGTTGCATGCGCTAGGAGCGAAGTGGTCTCCGATAGCAGACGTGCAGAATGCCATGCGGAGGAAGCTCGTGGTCGATGCCGTGATCGAACCTCTCACAGCCCTCATGGGTTGCCGAAACGGTGCGCTCTTCCGCGATCGGGGCTCCGCAAACATTCTGGAGAATATTTGCAAAGAAGCTTCCGAGCTGTTTCGCAGGCAACTAGAGAAAGAGACGGAAGCCTGGGTGGATGCGCTCGGTCCAGATGTAGGATCCGAGCCAAATACCCGTCGGGAGAATGCCACCCGAACTTGAGGCGGAACATCTCTCAGAGGAAGTTCGGCAGGCTGCACGTCGCCGGGGAAATATTTCAACCATGCTTTTTGATATCATCCACAGCCGTCCGCCGGAAATCCAGTATCTTAATGGGTATTTGGTTGACCTTGGCAAACAACTCGGTATCCCGACGCCAGTGAATTCGACACTTTGCGATATGGTGTATATGCGTCGTTCGGTGCCAGAGAACCGAAGACTGTAACATACAGCACTGAGAAGTAACTATACGACCAGGTAACTTAATGGGAAGGGCTAAGAGTACTTAACGTTGTCACTCATAGCGGTGTCCACGCTGGATATACTACTTGTTACCTAAGGCGGTCCATGATTCCTGCAGCGTCCGTGTGAGACTCGGGTCGGATAAAACGCACCCTAAATTTTGGAACGGAATCTAATCGCAACCGTGCCCGTTCACATAAGATCAATGGTCATCGGCACCTGGTCTACCCCACTTGGCCATCCGCACAGCACCGTCATCCCAGTCTTGCACTCTGCGTAACGCGAGCAGGGACATCGTTGAGTATTCTGTACCGACAAAGCCGGCCCCACGGGACTGCAGAATGGCGTCCAATAGAACTGGATACCTGGATATGACTATGAGCGGGGGGGCGGAATCGATCTCGGACGCCTTTTAACGTACCACCTGCCGTATTTTTCCACAGTTCGTTCGGCCGCGTAATCTACCCAAGTCCATCCATATTTGCGGACTTCAGCCCACCAATTGGGATCTCTTTCGTCACTCGTCATGATGACGTGTGAAACGTTAATACCCTTTTTGTCGAAGAGTTCTTGTTGTACCTCTGCAACTCGCCGAGCGACTGCGGGTAGTGGCACGAAGCACTGATCATCAGAAAATTCGTTGCAGTAAATGCGGAAGTCGCCGTGCCGCATATGAATCGAGATGAACTGATCGACGGTCGTAAGTGAGAGACACAAAAACAGTACAAGACTCACAGGGGGGGTCGGCTCGCCATCTGAAATGTTCATAGCTCGTCTGGCGTGCTCGTCCGCAAGCTTCTCGAGCGTTGCGTTCCAGTGCATGTGTTTTCCAACGAACCTCCACACCGGGCTGTAATCCCAATTCCATTCCCATGCCTATGTAGAGGTAGGTGAGGAAAAATGTTATTCGAGTCTGAGATGAGACGTACGCTTGTCACCGCCGTGTAATACAGGTAATCATAACAAAGAAGATGATCGTCTGGAGGGAGGGATACCTGATGTTGCGGAGAGGGGTCGGGAGGTTGACTAATTGCAGTCTCCCGAGCTTCCGGATATGCCAGACGGGCGAGCTGACCACAACGGAAACGTGCTTATCATTGATATCTGGCGCAGTAAGTTTTCACCCAGTCTGGCGCCCGTGTGTATGAAAGGTCTGCGCCGCGTTCAGGTTAGCCAAAACGTGATAGGGAACGTAAGAGACTTGCCCAGATTTAGCTTTGGAATGAGGGAAGCTATCGCGCGGTGGTGCCCCTTGCTCAACGATCGGCCAGACCGCCCAGCACCCGAGTTCGTCGAGGGAACTGCTGTTGACGTCCTTGACTTGATCCCACTCTAGAACAGGGATCCTGAGAGCTTTGCTGAGGACGTGGGACGTCAAAAACATGGCCGAAGGGTAAAGTAGGTGCCTCCGGGCCGATATGGGATGGAATGAAACTTGGGACGATTGGAACGCGTTCCGTAATCAAGGCGAGGTATAATAAGTTTCCCTGATGCAACATGAGGAGCTGCTTATCTCGCTTGCATGGTCTAGAGGGTCTCTCACAATTGTCATTACGTCGTTGGCTGGCGCGCTAGAGGTTAGTGAGTGAGGATTACTGGTTTGTGACGAGACGCACTCCATCCTGCGTTCAACCACGAGGTGATGTATTTTGTGTCGTTCCGCAGGTTGTCTGAATGGAAGGCAAGTTAAGCGTAAGCGAGGAATGATGAGGAGGCCAACCTCTCAAGCTCTGGGTGGGTGGCCCCAAGAGGTAGGACTGTGCATCCTCGACTTCTGTGACAGGAGCAGCAGTGAGAAACGACTGGAGCTGAGTGGGAGTGGTTACGAGTGTAAGGAGGGCGAGAGCAGCGACAGAGACGATTGCAAGCGCGGCACACGAAGCAATGAATTGGCGACGGAATATGTAGTGGGATATGCCAGAGCGGGTGGAAGGACGCCCGGGACGACTGAGGTCATGATATTGATAGAGCCTCGAAGGTAGGGCATCGTCGCTCGTTAAGGCCATCGTCATCCTCCAAGGCAGACACAGGCAGAACAGCCTAGTATGATATTAAAATATTATTCTGGGTGGGGGCGTTGGTCACCCACCCCTGAAGGACAAATCAGTCCAGATTTGGATCGAACTTGTCAATTATGTAACAGATCTACTGACCTGAATCTCAGATTCCAAAGGGTTGTGTTCGGGGTCACCTCCGGAAGTCTCACTAGCTCGCTCTATAACTGTCCCCCCCCAACGTGTAATCTCCCAGCTCAGCGCTTCCTCTCGCCATGGCTTCGAGCTCTCGTTGCGATGCGTACACACTCAAGGTCGCCGCCGTCGTCTCCTTCTACATGACGGCCGCCTTGGTGGTAAGTCAATTTTACTCCACTTGTCCGCTTCATTAACCCCTGTTGCTCTCCAGATGGTCTTCGTGTAAGTTTATCGTCCCATATCCATGACTAGACTACAGTCTCAACAATTTGTTTTGGCACAGGAACAAGGCGGTCCTCAACAATTCTCCGGACCTTCCGCTCCTTTTCCTTCTTCTGCAACTCATCATCGCTGTGGTGCTCCTGCATGCCTCTGCTGCGATCACCTCTCGGGTCGAACTGCCCAAGCTAGAGCTCCAAACTGCTCGAAAACTCGTCCCGGTCGTGTCCGTTAATATAATTGGCCTTGTCTTTAATACTCTCTGCCTCAGAGGCGTAGAAGCGTCCTTTTTCCAGGTAGGTCACGCCTACTCGGGTCCGTCGCACCAACCTCACGCAGCTCGCTTCGCATTGCCAGATTGCTAGAGGTCTGAACCTTCCTCTGACCATCTTCGTATCTTCCATCCATACACACTCTAAACCCTCGTCACGAGTCATCCTCGCAGCCGCCGTCGTCACATTCGGTTTCTTGATGGGCGTGGCCCCCTCATCCACATTGCCTACCTCTTCCATTCCTTCTACTTTGTCCCTTTTCTACGGGTTTCTATCCTCTGTTTTCATCGCTTTGCATGCTGTACTGATCAAGTCTTCCCTCCCTTACTGCAACAATTCGACTATCCAATTGGCATACTGGACTAACTTGGGCTCCGTCGCACTCCTCTTGCCCTTCGTCTTTCTCCACGGTGAATTCTCTATTCTCGAGGATCTCGTTCATGACTCTACCTGGGACCCTAATGTATACTTGTGGGGAAGTCTCATAACGGGTATCTTCGGCTTCCTGCTCTGTGTGGCCGGTTTGCTAAGCATCAAGGTCACGAGCCCGATCACCCACATGTTTTCCAGCGTCAGTAGTCAGTCACTGTTGATGTGACCGATTGACTGAAACACTTTTCTGTCATAGGCTGCACGGACTGTTATCCAAACAGTATTGGGTGTTTGGTTATTCAATGACATTCTGACTGCGTAAGTAACAGTATATTTTCGGGACCAAGGACCACGGAATGATGGTTGTCAACGGGATAAATTATCTGTAGAAATCGTGCCGCTTCGATTCTTCTGATTCTTCTAGGAACAATGTAAGTGGGCCTGGAATCCTAGGTCGTCTGCGGAGAGTTACGGGCTGACCATCGACACCCCCCTGGCAGGTATTACACGTGGATAAAGTCGGCCGAGACAGTCGCTCCCCCTCCGCCCAGAAGGCAGAACGACGTGGAAGCCCTTGAGAATGGTCGGGTCGGGATTCCCAAAGATCCCGATAGTGAAATGACGATTATTTTCAACGCACCCGAGGAGGATAAGCAATAGACACGCTCTCGATTATGAACGCCTCGGACATCGCAGAATTTCATAGCATGGAACCCTGTTGTACGGACATTATTTTTACAGACGAACAAATTACATACTCTGGGTACATCTATGTACACAACGAAGGTGGGCTCTGAGATCTGATTGGTGGTTGTGGAGGCTTTCCGAGCAGTTTTCCAAATGGGTATCCACAGGTACTCAACAAAAACCTGGTTTGTTGATTCAGAAATGGCAAGTGAGAAGCCATCATTGGGGCTGGTGTTGGAAATGTGGACTCCATCACTCCATGATTATCATCGTGGGTCCCTTCTAAATCCGAGAACAATAACTGGAAACTTGCCACGCTCCGTCGGAAAAAGTAAATGACCAAGGGAGAAAATTCTGTGGGACAGGTAGTGTGCGTGTTGTGCTAACATTAGGCTAATTGGATTGGAAGCTGGCAGGGGCGAACTGGGCGAAGTTACATATAAAAACATATGGCTCGGGCTGTGCAGTGGAACGGCCGAGACCCGCAAGTTCTTCCGATGGATTGGGGCAAGCAGGTACTTGCAGGTACTCGGACAGGTTCAAACCGAGTTGGCAGGATATTATCCTGAGACCATCATTGGGTGAGAAGCCGCAAGGTACTAATATGTAAGTGGCCCGAGGCCACTGGTAAGTGAACCTGAATTATTTGTGACGGTCGGGGCTGTACCTGCTGTACCTGGAAGGCTGTGGCTTACTAGGTCTCAGGGGTGTGCGAAATCAACCCCCTGCGCACACGGGACCCATGATGAGAAGGGTAACCACACTTTCAGGCAGAAGCGGTTAGCGGCTTTATTGACGGGGACACGTCGCCGAGATCAAGCCTTGTTTTGCCTCGAGGCCCCTCTGAAACCCCAGCTGACCCGGGTACCAGTCAAGTATGTAACTCTTGATCTCTCCTGACACCACCACTATGTATTTCGAATTCAGGACCGATATCGTACCATCTATCTGCTGAGGCATCTTCTTGCGCCAACTCTTAACCTCCTCAGCATGCCCTCTGACTTGGACGCCGCCGCCAACAACCCCGCGCCATGCAGCGTCAACCGTCGCATGGGCGACACCGAGTTGTCATACTATCTCCCTGCAAGGGCAAACGGTGTGAACGACATGTGGGTGCCACCTCCTGTACAGGGCATTATTCCTCACTCGGTTTTTGATTTTTGTGGACGCAGGTACCTTCACATTGGGTTCGATGCCCCAGATCATCTCGTACAGCGCCCACGCGTCCGACTCGTATGGGCTATACTTCGTACGCGACACCCTCTTCTGTCGTGTTCCGTCGCGATGCATAGCTATGAAGACGTTAGATTCGTGTGCGTTCCCTTCGATTCAGCTTCCCCTTCACCTTCATAACGCACACATTACCCAGGTATACACCACCTCTGACACCACAAGATGCATTGGAAGATGCGGATAATAATCTCGAATATAAATCCGTCACCAAGGATGGTATGTCTTCCCCTCTCGTGTGGCCTGTTTTTACACTGTTCACAGAACTCATCGGTAATTATCTCAACGGGGAGCGCACGTTATCCAATCAACGTATATCCTACCTCATCATCTCCAGTGATACGGCGCCGCTCCCCACTCCACCACTCACTCCTCGGGAGCTAAGCGACGTACCCGAAACGGAGCCGGATCACAATTACGATTTATTGATCTGCGCAGCTCATTTCCTTGGCGACGGTATGGCATTACACCAGTTCGCAAACGACTTCTTTGGCTTGCTCGCGTCCGAAAGGAGCCTGCAAGAACTCGAGATTCTGCTTAACGAGGAATGGAATCAGTCTTGCCGTCTTAGTCCTGGAAAGGTTCACCCTTCGATGCTCCCTGACGATCTGCATATCAGTGTACTCACAGATATGATAGGTGTTTACACTGCCAAATTGCCTGGAAGACAATTTCGCCCCTGAACCAAGTAACTTGCGCCGTGCAATCTGCAAAGTAGACTATCAACTTTCTCAGGGAAAGCAGATCGTACGTGTCCTTGCGAGAACCACACGGATGTATTATTGGGAGTGATGACCCGTGTTGACTTGGCCAACAGGGTGGACAGGCTTTCCCACGCAATTCGCGACAGCCAAGGCGCACAATCGTTCCCACAGTGTCCTATGACGTAGACCGCACAAAATCTGTTCTGAAGCGTTGCAAGGCAAATGGTGTCTCTATCTCGGCTGCACTTTTCGCCATTTGTAACATGGCTTGGGCGAGAGTGGGCAATGGTCCACCCGACCTACCAACGCAAGTTCCATTACACGTCGCCCAAAGTAAGATCCGCTAATCTTCCTCATCAGCTTGATGTATTCGGCTGTGAACCTTCGGCCGTACTTTAAAGTAAACCCTCCACATGATTCCTACTGGTTTCTCGCCGTGGGATATTTCAACGTCGTTTTGCCGAACATTATTCCCCGCTCGATAGCGCCGAGTTCAACGTTCTGGCACAGAGCACGATCCGCAAAGGTTCAAAGCGCAAAAGTAGCCAAGACTCCCATGTTCGTATCTCGCTGTCGTCTGACGGCAGAAGAAAGGGGCCGACGTGCGCGAATGTGGGCGAAAGAAGACGATGAAAGGGAATGCGGTACGTATACCCCTCCGGCGCCAGCGCCTACCCCAGCACAACCCGTGAAACCTCGTGTGCCGTCCTCGGCACTCATTGGTCTTTCGTTGTTGGGGAACCTCGATGGAATGTACAAACATGCCGCATTCCCAGCTGTCAAGCTCCACACCCTAACCACAGGCAGTCGGCAACGTTCCGGAGGGATGCTGTTATTCGGCTACACATTCGCAGGCAAACTGTGGGTTAGCCTCGGTTACGACGAGAACGGATTCGACAAGGAAGTCGTGGAGAAATTTTGGGAGAACGTTTTGAGTGCGATGGACGAGTTTTTGTAGAGTGATGCTGGATAGACTTTCTTTGCAAACTGTGTAGAAACATTCAGATGGACTTGTAGATCCGCGTCTTGTTGACGCCCTGTATTCGTTACTGTGCTGTACTTTGGCAAGAGGACCGAACATGGTATTTGGACAACCTTGCAGTAAGAGATATTCTCGGCTTCGTTGTCACCGACTGACAGCGGGTGTCTCAATTCACGCATAGTGGCTGACAAAAAATCCAAAACAGTGCCATGAAAACAGGGGGCAATCAGCTGGAACAGTCTGAATCATCTACCACCGCGTCGCGACGCGCTTGGGGCTCCCGGAACCGTGGATGTGGGTGCGATAGGCGAAGAGCAACCGCTGTAAGATACGCTAAAAGTGTTCGTACCTGCACAAGTAGTGTCACCATGCAAGTATATATTTGCATGTGAACCGTAGCACAAAGCATCTGTTTTCCCCCGGGATCTAACTCCCCTCACCATCAACTCGGGAAAATGGGGGAACCTGCTGAAGCGCAGGAGACAAGGTTCCGGAAAGAGCCAGAAGGAAATGGGCTTGCGGGGAGAAAGCTCTTGCTGCACAGTAGCAAGAGTACTTCGAGGTACTTTAAGCATTGAAGATCGGGAACGTCTCCGAAGCACAAGGTTATTGCAACGTACGTGGCCTGCACTGATGTTCTCGCGTTCACCTGGGTAAAAATGAACGCGAGAACAATATAGACGCTCCTTTATGCCATATCCAGGAGCCATACAGTTGAACCGTTGCGTACTATGTATCAAGGCAGACCAGACTATGTAAGGTGGAGCTGAGGGGTGGCTCCGCCTTGTTGAGAGATTGATACATAGGATCTATGATGGGGACCGACAAGATTCCCTTGACAGACTTTATGTATAAGAAGATTACCAAAAATGGGGATTTCAAGCAATTCACGGGGCTCTTTAACCAAGGGGTAGGCGGGGGGAAACTAGAAGAGATGACAACGTACAAACTTGTGAGGACACAAACACCAGGCAAACATTTGAGATAGGCAACCGCTTGTGGGAGCAAATTCGAACACCACCCACGTGTTCTCGCATCCCTTACACATCTGCAAGACATGGACCCGTCTTTCCAGAGAAGTACATACCAATGTTTGCAGATGACAGTGTAAAAACTGCGTTCTTACCTCTGGACGTATGCCATCAGTTGTTCAACCAAGCTCACACAGATCCCAAGCTTGCATGGGACCTTCGATATGCCGTCGAGGGGCCCGAACCAGCCTGGGGTAGAGCACGGTTACTTCCAAGCCCGGAGCTGCTTGCAAGGTATCCAGAATTTGAGGAATAGTTTACAGTTCACGATGGAGAGTAACGATAAATTGGTTCTGAACAGATGGCATAGCAGATACAAAGTCCTTATAGACAGCAGCAGCAAACAGGAACGACAAGACAGAAACAAGGGAAGGTCCGGAGTCGAGAAACAACGACACGCAACTACCAGAAGCCGATCTCAACACGTTGACTATCAAATCCCAGTTCCAGATATGTTTCTACTCCCTCAACTTCACCGTGCCCCGCGAGACCTTGGAAGCCGACTCTGTGGTAAACCCTGGCGGCGTTATTTCCAACGCCGACGTACAGCACAAGCCTCTCTTTTTCAGCCAGTAGACTGGCGCGACGAAGCAGCATTAGTACTACGGTGAAGCAGCTTCATTCGATTACTTACTCCTTGCAGACGCGGCGGAGAAGCCGTTCCGCACATCCCAATTCCCTCCAGCGCGGATTGGTGAATACTTTGGTGATGGCAGAAACACGCCCAGACTGTCGAGTGGCCGCCACAATCGATGCAATTTCCCGTTCTCCATGAACACCTTCCTGGATCACGTGTACCCAGACTTCTTTCCTGCTGATCATGGCTTTTGCTTCCAGTAACGCACGCTCGGGCGTCAGAAGGTATGGTTCCTGCACACAACTGAGTCAATATGAATGCCATTTATCGATGCAATTGCTCACCGAAGTTGCAGCGAACTTATGACAGAGTTCGGCCACCTTAGCCGTGTGTGATTCATTCGCCGGGCCCAGCCAAATCGCAAGGTCGCGATTCTCTGGGAGGGGACGCAGCTGTGAAGACGGCGTGAACGTGGCCGCCGTGCAGTAGGAGAATGTGGCCCTATAATATTCGCGCTCGACATCAGTCCCGGTCAGTTCGGTCCAGATCCTCGCAAACTCGCAAGTGACGGCCTCGCAGGAGAACACAGCAAAGACTCTCTCTGGGGCCACGGATGCGCGAAGGGCTTGCGCGAGCTGTCCGAGGGGCTGGGTGATGTCCTTACGCTCCGTCGGCGGTTTGGTGGTGAAGATGAATACGGGGTAATCGCCAAGGACGCCCCTCGTACAAGAAAGGACGAAGGTAACCTGGCCGTTGTGTTCAAAATGTGCGATCCAGAGCTGCGAGCCGTCTCGGGGGAAATCCTTCGCTTTCAAAATGAAGGGGTAAATGGTGTTGGCTGCTCCCTCGTTACTCTTGAGGGCATCTATGACGGCGTCGTCGATGTCAGAGGCATGGGTGTAACTCTCTACACGAGAAGCCATTGCAGGAGTAGGTTGTTCGTGATTGATCCCTGCTCCCTTGCTGGCCCCTTTATAGCTGGGTGGGTCTTACATGATGGAATACAGGCAACGATTTCGATGTTCCCGGAGGGCAGTTCGACGTTCTGTATCTCCAGGCTAGCGAGCCATGTTCGGCACAAAATCCTGGGCCCCTGAATCATTCAAGTTGCCGGGCCACCTTGTGGGTGACAAGGATCTATGGTTGTAATGTATGATCCCGTATCTGGTAAACACTGGAACGGATATCGACAGGATGGCTCACTTACCTCGTTTGAAGTAATAATACAGCAACACGACATTTTTATTGGATGTTTTTCCATGCTAAGATCTCTAGCGCGCATACCATGGAAAGCCTTGGATTTCCGTAATGTGCTTTTGCATTGAAAACGTGCTCTCAACGGCCAGATTGAGGCCACTCTTCCATGTGCTAATGAAGTGGCAAACATGTGTGCTGACAACGTTACTTAATGTCAGCGAAACGCCAACGAAGATGAATGTTGTGACACCAGAAACTTTACACCATATGTCACATTAATGAGTGTAGTGTCTACCGAAATCACTCCACGCTCCGTTTCCTCGGAAGATGAGAAGGCAATAAATTCTAAGAAACGACATCAGTCTAACGAATAGTGTTAGCCATCCGTGGCCTTGTAGTGGCCATTGGTACCGTGACTAAAACGCCTCGAGAAAGGAACGGAGTCCGCCGGGGGCATCACGTTCTCGATGACCCCCAAAATTGCCAACAAACGCTCCTCGTTAAGCCTGCGGCCAACTAACTGAAGACTGATCGGTGCATGGTCATAGGTGTCAGGGCTCCATTGTCTTGTGATGAAATCTTCCATTGCGTTGCGGGGCGGTGAGAGATCAGCTGGCACCCACATCGGAGCCGAGTATTGTCCAACAGGAAATACTACAGCAGGGAGATCCAATAAGTTCCAGTGGGATGTGTAACCCCACCAAGACGTGGAGTCGTGGGGAGGTGCTAACGTCGGAGCGACAGGACAAAGGATGGCATCTACAGGACGACCCGTTGCCGTGCGATGTTTGGTAGCGTTCCAGTGCGCAAGTGCGTTGGCCCGAAACGCCTCACGTTCCACGTTCAAGCGCAGGATCTCATGTGGCGTATACGGCCGCCTGCCACGTGCATGGTCGAGGATCCACTTCGACTGAGGCACTTCCCATTCTCCTCCAGCTTGGATGGTTTCATGATACTCCGCACCACCATCCAACAAGTAGAGCTTGACCTGCGAGATATGAATATGAGAAAGCTAACCATTCAAGTTAAAGCGTGTTTTCCTACAATTAAATCCCAACCTTTCTGATGGTCCAACGGATCCCATTTGATGACTTCGTGACCCGCGTTTTCAAGAGCCTGCTTGTACATGTCTAGTGCTTGCAAGATCGGTGGATGCGGCCTGACGACGCCATCGTCATACAGGATGGCTATGGACAGCCTTTCCGGTAATCCGTGGCCCCGTGCAACGTTCTCTTTCCACGGCATCTCAAGGAGGGGAGGTTCCCTAAGCCATGGTTCGGCCTCCAACATAACCGAGCAAAATAATGCAAGATCCCTAGCCGAAGTGGCCATAGGCCCAACGCAACCAATGATGGCATCCAATCCGTCATATGATCCAAGCAGACCCGAGTGAGGTAGACGAGCCACAGAACCTTTCAAACCATACAAGCCGCAATGCGCTGCTGGGACTCTGACACTCCCACCTATATCTGTCCCAACGCCCAAAGGACTCCCGCCGCAAGCAATCAACGCACCCTCACCTCCGCTGCTGCCCCCTGCAGTTAAACTCCTGTTGAATGGATTGCATGTGCGACCAAACACGTTGTTATTTGTCTCCAAAGACTACCAAAGAAAATAATGAATCCCCAAGAATGGGAACAAACCGATTAGGTACTTACTAAGAGGGTTTGGGGGTTTTGGGTTTTAACATAGATGATGGCGCCAGCATCGCGTAATATTTTAACCACCAGGGCGTCCTCTTCGGCAACCGTGTTATAAGCCCATGCTGCGTCATTATTCAACGTCAAGGTATGTCGTAGTCCGAGGAACAAATTTACCAGTATACCCGGTCGACGTATCGAGGCCCTTGACTTTTATATGATCTTTAATTGAAACGGGCACGCCATGCAAAGGTCCTACTACATTTCCTGTCTTCTCCATATGCTCGTCGAGTTCCCTAGCTCTTTCGAGGGCATCTTCAAAACATATTTCCGTAAGACAATTCGTTGTATCTTGTGCGGCTACTGCAGCCTTGATGAATGCTGTTAGAACATCTACTGCCGTGTATACTCCTTTCCGGACGACCTCTGCAAGTGCTGTGGCGTCGCAACGGAGAATGGCCCTGTCCCTGTCGGAAAATCCCTTGGCGAGGAACGGTATAACATTCAAGACACCATGATCTACGTGGACGCGCCAATTCCGAAAATGTTTTAATTTCGTTTCTCTATCGTCCTGTTTGCGGGCCGCCACAGCAAGACGTGGAACTAGGTGGTTGAGAGTCATCTCGTTGGACGCGTGAATAGGAAAAGGAAAGTGGGCGAAGTAGCCTTCTGGGAGGTTTATCTAGATTGAAAATTTATCGGATGATATCCGAAGTGACGGCAGGGATGCAACGCCCTGTGATATCCTAAATAGCAGTGGGCGAGACGGACTGAAGTGTGCGACTGGGAGGACAACCGGTATCGACGGCCGTACATAATCGGGAATTGCAATACATGGCCAGAGAAGAGCCTCGATATGCCATCGTCTCACTGAAGAATGCGAGAGGAGCGCTACCACTGCGTTTCAGGCATCAAAGAATAGAAGCCGACTATCCGAGGACTCACGGGGTTCCAGATAATCTTGAGTTTGACCAAACTGAATGAGTGGAAGGAGTACTGACCAATCAGGCAGGCGCGCGCCTGTGATGTGTCACGCTTGTTACGTACAGTTACCGCATGAGCTTGCGCTTAGTCATTCTTGCTCATTAGTAGGCGCTCTCAACGATAACCTGCTATCAGATGGCTGCCACCCGTGTGCAGAATAACTTCTCAAACCGCGCCAAGGCCCGCCTTGCGTTAGAACGGAAATCGGCATTCAAAAGCGTGTTGGAGAACCCCTTTCGAGTTAAATGGTCTGCCTCATTTTCGTCACGCGGTCCTTGATCTCACCTTCCCAAGGCCGTCCATCCCGGTGAACCTGCAAAACCTTTGTCTGGCGCGCCTCCTGACATGCCTAGAACCGTTACCTCGTCGGCGCTCGGGAAAGGTCCGGACAAGCGCTGCGTCCATGTCGACGCAAAGCACTCCCCAGCCTGGCGGAGGCGGGGAGCCTCATCGCCAAGAACGCACTCTTCAAATAGCTGACCTAGCGTCTCCAAGTCTGGAACTGGTATTTGGAATCAATCAAATAACCCGAGCGCTTGAACGTCAGATTCGATCCGCACGGAGGCTTACAACTGTAAATGCTCCCGGACAGCCCGCCATTTCGCAAGAACCATGTTCCGAACTTGGTCTTGTTTTTGCATGTGCTGGCGACGTTAATCCACCCATACTGGTGGAACACATTCCTCATCTAGTGGCGTCTTATAATTCGCTCTCTATTGCAAAAGGAGAGTCAACAACTAAGGTCAAACTAGTTCCTTTGCCCAAAGGGTCGGAGTCAGTGCTTGCACGGGCTCTCGGCTTACGAACGGCAGCGGTCATCGGCATTCACGTGTGTATCATCTATCGCTCTGTTCCTTAGCATTAACGCCCTTTGATTGTATGAAGAAGAATCACCCCATTCTTGCATCAATTAGGGATATTTTGGACAGTATCCCCGACCTCGTTGCCCCGTGGCTTTCGTCATCAGAATCATCTCAACAGCAACTTATTCCCACCCATATTAAGCAGCTACGTACCAGTATACCAAAAGACATCAAAGCAGCGAAGGAGCAAAGGTTTCGAGCGAGAAAAGAATCCAAACCGAAATTTCAACCTTCTCAGCTGCCTTCACGGAAGAGCCGTTTGATTCTCACTTCCAATGAGGAGCGGATAGTTACCCAAAACTTTAGCCGTACACCTATCAAACTATGAAGTATGCGGGTTTTCTGCGACTTGTGTATTTTTCGGTGTGGGAATTACGATAGCGGATGTTTGTACTCGCAATTGACAAGCAACTACACAAACCCTACATGGGTGTAGAACCATCGTGTAGCTTCTTGAGGTTCTCATCTTCCATCCATGTTCATTGCCATCGTAGGCACTCGCTGCGCAGGCAAGTCCGTCGTCGAGGACTACCTAATATCGAAAGGATTCATCGCCGTGCACCTTGCAACCAAAACACTCGGCGCAAATCGAGGTCAGTTATAGGTATCCGTCAACGCTGCTACGTGATATCCACGTCGTGTAGAGCCTCAGATAGACGCCCAAACCAAGGAAACCAATGGCGACTGTAATGCGCAGTGCTTCCCACCAGGCACAGTGTTTGCCACCCCGAGTGAACTCCTAGAATATGTTACCCGACACTGGCAGTCCAACTTTGTCACCGTGGATTTGACCTCATTGGAGCTAATTAGTCCCTTCATAAAGAGACCTTTTTTCCTGCTTATCAAAGTGGACGCGCCGTTATTGCAACGATACCGTCGCCACGGTTTTGAGTGAGGATCCGGCCGAGCCTGTGGACAGCCTATCTGATTCGAGCGATAGCCGAAATCCCCTTTCACTGGAGGAATTTGTCCGCCAAGATGACGATCGCGTTTTTGGCACGTTGGGACTTCATGCCATACGCCCATTTGTGAAGGTCAACGTTCTCAACACGTTCCAGACAGTTCCGGATCTTTATAGCCACCTCGACTCCATCAACGTTCTCAGCACAGAACGGCTACGGCCCCGATGGGACAGCTACTTCATGGCATGGAATGTCCCTAGGTGCTTCTTCGGATTTATTAACCACGTTCCCAGACGCTTGCGGATTTAGCATCACAACGCTCAAACTGCATGAAGCGCAGGGTTGGAGCTATCTTAGTGCGGGACAACCGCATCGTAGCCACCGGGTAGGTATTTAACGTTCTTTAATGCCATACGCCCCCCGAACTCGAGGTTGGAGGTACAACGGCACTCCACGTGGTGTGAAAAATTGCAATGAAGGTAAGCCGGGCTACTGATTAGAATTGATAAGAAATACATGCTCCGGATATGAATCTAGGTGGCTGTGCGCACTGCAACGGCGTTTCAATTACTAACGGCACTGACTGTCTCTGTTTGCACGCTGAGGAAAATGCTCTCCTCGAGGCAGGTAGAGACCGAGTAGGGCCGAACGCTATTCTTTATTGTAACACGTAAGTCTATCGCCCGCCTATTTATTCGTCAGCTGCCATTGTTTTTCCCCAGATGTCCGTGCTTGAAATGTACAATAAAGATCATTCAGAGCGGCGTCAAGGAGGTAGTCTATCACCTGAGTTATAAGGTGTAAGCGTGCCGTTTTAGCATTAATCGATGGGTACTTACGACCCTTCATGCAGTGATGAGGACTCTGCTCGACTTTTTCAGGAAGCCGGAATACACATCCGACGGCACTTTCCAACTACGATTGCGTGACTCGCTCGCCACGCAGAAAGGCTACTCATTCAGTAGCAACAATATATTGTCATTGATGTCCCACCTGACTTCTCTTAAAAAAGCAACATCGCCCGTTAGACGGCCTGATGTAGCCATAAGCGCTAGCCATACGGCATCCTCGTTGCCCTTGCTGAGCGTCGCGTATAATTCCCTCGCCCACATCTGTAGCTCCGTATGTGCTCCGCGGTGTAAGAAACGCCTAAAAGCCAAGATAACGTCCCACCCAGCTCCATCTTGCATATAAACTCCGTTCACGGCGGCGGTCATCGTTTTAATAATTGACCGATACAACCGGTGAGAGTTGGTGTAGGCCGAGTCGGTGCCCACAGCGCCGTAACCTCTCCGAGCCAAAGCGCTTTGTCCGTCAGTGCTTTCGAGCTTTTTGAGAATGGCGTGAAAACGGGGCCAGATGTCGTCCCATATTCTGCGACCCATGAAGCTGCCTACATGGGTGGCCAGTGCTTCAATCAGCTCTGCTGTTGCACTGACAACAAACAACTCCTGGTCGTTAAGGCGGTTCAAAATAAACGGCCAAGCTTGATGGATCGAGGGAAGGAGTGCTGATTCAGGCATGACAGGTGTTGCAGATGTCAGAAGTGACAGAATGCGTGTGCGGATAACTGGTGAACCGTAGGTTAGAAAATGGACCGAACGTGAAACCATCTGCTTGGTGAGAGATTGCACTGATGTCAGCGCTTGCTCAGCGGGATCTTCCTCGCGTTGATCATCACCGATCTGCGGTTCGCCTTGTCCACCTTCGTCATGTCTGAGGTCGTGCCACGCTTGGCGTGGCGCAGGGCCGTAGTCCGTGTGATCGCTATCAAGTAGAGGATCGTTACGATGGGTGATCCAATCGTATAGTGGTTGGAGATCGTGGGCCATTTGCGAGTTATCTTCCGCCACCTCGTCACGGACATGTGGTTCGTCCGCTTCGATAGCCTTAACAACTTCTCCAAGTACCTCCATCAGGCCTTCTACGATGACTTCGTAACCGTGATATTCATCAAGTCGGTCAAAACATTCCTCTACAACGTCGCCCGCTTTTTCCACGATGTCACTGCCAACCAAGCGCACTAGGACCGCCAGAACCTTCGTAGCGTCCACGTCAAACCATCTGCGATTGAGACGACGTGACACTCCGTCGAGTGCATAATCAAAGTGAGACAGTAAAAGGCTTCCCGGCGATGCGTAGGACGTAGCATTTGCAATGAAGGCGAGAGCTGCCATGCCACTCAGGGAACAGTGATGGTTAGGAGATATTATTGAATGTAAGACAGGATAGATGACGTGGATAAGCAACCCCGTGAACCGAGCTTGCAGAATGCCTGCACCTAGCGCAAGGAGCTGCAGACAAAACGCTCGGTGCAGTAGCGATTGATCGTCGGCTGTTGGCGTCGTTGGCGGACGTGGTTCCACGATGTCGAGGGTTACTCTGATTTCCTTCACTCCCTTCACAACTTCTGTTCGGGGGGAAAGCTCGTCGCCTTCACGCACCTCTGACGGTGCTGTGCTTGGATCCACAGGCTCCACAGTCCATAGCTCTGCAACCTCCCGAGTTAGGCCCCTGATGAACTTCTCCAGATGCTTGCTGTAGCTCGTCACGCCCTGGTTCTGTAATCCATCGCTGGTTAAAGGTATGCCACTAACCCCCTCCAGCAGTCTAACCGCGCACCACAGTGACGACGCAGCAGCACTGGATTTGGAGTGGAGGCCAAGCTTCACGAACCACTCTACAGCATATAGGCAGTGATCTCCACTTGCACGGCCCAGAGCACGGAACATGCTCGCAAGGGGGTCGGTTGCATATCTGGAAATGGCATTCTTCAGTGTAACTTCCGGGAATGTGACTCTCTCAATAGTATCTGGATTCCCCTCCAAAAGAAGTTGTGATATGGAGACCGGATTGATGCTGACGGGAGGAGGTTTGAATTGGAGAACCGACAAAAGAGTCCACCCCCATTTTTCAATACCTCCACCAGGCCCCAAGATATAATGCAGAGTACCAGAGATAGAAGACAGTCCAATATCTTTAGGGATATCAGACATCGACACGGCAAGGCGGCAAATTACTTCCACGTGTCCAGCGATATCTTCTATTCGAGCATCTGCCTGAGAGGCGATAGAAACCGGCAGGGAGATCATACACTCTTTGGATATGTGCATCAAAGTCTGAAGCAGAACCTGGCGCACATTTGCTGGACTGCCAGTGAGGACGTGCAGTAAAGACGTGTAGGCAGCGTCGGCAACCCTGGGGTACGATGAGTTAGAAAGGGATAGTAGCCAGGATAGTAGAAGTGGCTGCGACTGGGGAAGGGTCAAAGATGTGGTCGAGAGGATCTCTTTCGCCATGTTCGCGAGCGCTATTAGAGCCACGGCCGTTGGATGATAAACCAGTGGCGTCAAGGCATTCAACGCGATATGCAGTTGAGACGCAGAAGCATGTAACCAACTAGGCGTACGAGTGATGAGGTAGGACGCCCCTGTTGTATCCTTCGTTGGATTCGGGGAGCAACTCAGATGCACCAGGTCCTCAAGGACAACGAAGCTGCGCACCGCGCCATCGGCGATACACACTGCGTCTCCTATAGATATGGCTATCGTATTCTGCATGACGAGCAGTGCACCTGCAACGATGTTACCGTTCGCCCACCCTTTGTTTTCTTGTGTACCCAGAGCAACCCTGGACATGGTGCTAACGATGCCAGGTAGCACTGACGCAACGAGGCGGTTAGGAGCATAAACCCTAATTATCACATCCAACAGCTGGAGAGAAACGTGCTGAAGGGGTCTGTGACGAGATTTAGACGTGGTTAAGAGGGAATCGATGGTCTGGCCGAGAACGGGTATGAACCTCGCGGATTGAGTGTGACCTTGCAGCAATGCTATGCGTGCAGAACATAGTCCCTCTGCAGCTCCGGGAGGCGGTTCCGAGTTGTCTCGTTCATGCGTTAGTGCTAGCAAACACATCGCGGCAGCTTCCCTGGTTTCATCACTTCTGAGCTTGTCTTTCCCCTTGCCCTCCAGGCCACCGAGTATAGAACTAGATAGCATAAAGAGCTGGGTCCATACTTCTGACTCGCAGTCCCACCACCAGGATTCGCAGAGAACCGTAAGTACGTTGAGCACTCGCTCTAGTACGCGATCGGGGATTTGTGCTAGTGCATTTCGTCGCAGTATCGTCGAGATGGGATAGAATACATAAGACGCCAGCGAAGTCGATAGTTGGCGTTCAGATTCGCGATGCAACGTATTCTCGAGATCGGACAGTAAATGGAGGACGGTAGGGACGTTGACGGGTGTTAGTTGCGACTTTTCCAACAGAGGCACGCATAGTGGTTTCAGCTACGGGTAAAATGAACTACGCACAGAACACGCGACAGGAAAGCATCCCACTTACCTTTTGAAACAAGTTTTGTTGTCGGTCGTCGCTGCTGGCTGCCATGCACAATCGTTGCACTCGCTCGTACAGTTATCAAGGGAGGTCCGGGGGGTCGATTTACCTAGAAAAGCATTTCCGCCTTCCTTGAATCTGAGGTCACAGGATCGTGTCATTTCCTTGAACTCTCCCTGCCATATCCTCACTGCTGAATGGTTTTGTTAGACTCATGAGATTCTGGTGCCAGCTTTCGGTTTCGGCGTCTGCCTTGGTCTCCAAAGTCTGGCTAGTCAATATGACGCGAAAGTGAAGAGATTACTCCTCGCCAAACATGGTCAGATGTCTGTTCTGGAGCGTACAGGTACAGTCACTGCAAAAACGAAATTTTAGCAGGGGGCATAACCAGATTCTCCAAATGTAGATAATCTGACCTTGATTTTTTTTTGTAAGATATGGCTATTAGTCTGAGTAAAGTCTGACTCAACGATTTTTGAGTAACATATCCAAATAATCCAATGTAGGCAATACACCAATAGCCTGACCTCTCATATGTGCATTTTGCCACCCTGACTATGCTTGACTCCATTGGCCATAGTCCAACTATAATACCATCGGAAGAGTGGCTCTTGCCACCCTTGCACCCCTCAGAAAAAATAATGGACTTTGTGAAAATTTTCCTTGGTCTCCAAGTTCACCAGTTTGCCATGTACACCATGAACCAACCCAAGGTATGTGGTACTTGAGTCCTCCAGCCTATCTACTCACCTCCAAAAGTTCCATATCGATGCTAACCAGATGGTTCCAACCTCACAAGCCGACGAAATCGAGTTTGTTGGTCCCCCAACAGTCATCAAACATAGGCCACACATCCTTCAACTTCATGTCCCAACCAGTGTCCAAAACGTTACACTCTCTTTCGAGCCAAACTCCCAAGGCCCTGTGGTACATGTGGCTAATTATTGTTCATGTGTCTTCCACTCACGGCCATACACCAGACCATAGAAATCTCCCTAACGACAATGTCACCAGAACTTGGCAATGATACCTTTCGTGCAACTCAAGCGTGTGTTGTTGACTTCGGTGCCAACGTTGGTACTGGTGGGGTTAAGTTGGGGTCTGCAGATGCCCATGTTTCAGCCATCTCAGTAAGTCATTGCATAATTCATATCCTTGCTGATGGTATTACATAGGATCCTCTACTTGTCAACATCGAGCCACTTCCTGCCATGCAAGGATTGTTCAGATGTATTCCAGACCACCTCTTGCCTGCTGACAAAGGCCAGACAAACCCTGAGGGTGGTGCTGCCCTGCCTATTGTGCCTCTCATCCCTGCCATTGATAATAGTGAAACTGAGCCCAAAAGTGTGGAGGGGACCCCAACTGTGGCTGCCAAGGTAAGTTGTGACTCATGAACCATTCTTTTTCTCAGTATTAACAACTCTTTCTAGAAGATTACTTCGGAAATACCAGTCTCATCTCTTCCCACGCAAGTTTCTGGCCCCTCCATTAGGCATACTTTTACCCTGGACAGTTTTGCTGGATTGGAGACATTTGATACTGTGAGTATGCAACTGTTGTGTGTAAGTAAACTTTGTCATTTCTGTTGTCATGTACTCATCATTATTCAGGAAAGATGGGCCCAAATTTGAGAGGGACTTATTGCTGGCCAGGAAAATAACAAAAGATGTCACATGCCCTTATTGTCTGAGTTCCCTCTGACTCTGTTGGTCACAGGTGAGCATGCATGGTTAATCCTGATTGCTATGAAGAATACCTTTTCATTATTAAAGGCACACTCGGCAACTTCTCTGATAAATCTAGCATTCACCTCATCATTGACATTGCCAAGCCAGTGTGGGTGCCAAATCTGTATGCCTTCATTTGTCACCTCAAAGGCTTGTTTGTTGTCAAGTGGCCTGATAGTGGTGAGGGCCACAACACGATTCTGCTTTTTACCATCACAGTCAATTCCACACAACTGGCAGAACAATGGTTGGAGAATGGACTCAAAATTAATGGTGCCAAGTGAGTACTGACATACAATTGCAAGAACGGAGCGCTGATACATACCTTGAGAGCTACATGATTGTTTGAACATGTCTTTGTTGCCCCTTTGTGACCTATGACTTTGCTTTGAAGCTCTGCAAGGACCTCCTCGACATCATTAAGACGAGAGACGATGGACTTGTTCTCTTCTCTGATATTGGTAAGTTTGTCCTCCAGGTTAGTGTTTGCTTCACTGAGACATTTCAGATTGGCTGTTAGCTGGGCAACTGTCATATGTAGACTCTGGTTGCTCGTGCGATCATAATCGGACTCTTCCATCAGGTAAGATGCACTTTGGGAGCGGGATGCTGAGTACAGAGTACTCTGACGATCTTCCAAATGTTATGCCCAAGCGCAGTAACTTCTTCAAATGGAATAGGCATGAAGTGCACAAGATGGGAGACTACGGGTTGAACTTGTTGTAACCCCTATGGCTGAGTTATCGCAGTGATCTGACAGAGGTTCTATCTTCTGGCGAGTCCCTAAGGTTGTTCACATGGAGAAAGAACAAGGATAGAAGTGAAGAGATGAAGCTCAGTTGCAAGCTATCAATAAACTGCAGATACAGGACCAAGTACATAGGATTATATACTCCTAAGTACGAGTACCATATCAGTCGCGACAGATGTGTTGCAATGTGTATCTGCAGTAATCAACAATCCCATCAACAAAAATAGGTAAGAGTCATATGGCATCATAGATGGGGGTTAGGGAGGCAACAAAGGCTATACTGGCTGGCACAATCAATGCACAGCAAGGAGCCTGACACCGGAGCTATAGTACAACAGGCGAGCAATATAGATGAGTCAGAAATGAGTCAGCAGGACAAGAAGTAAACAAGTCATCCATCAGAGAAGGTGGTGGAATACTGGATCAAAGTGGCAACGTGGTCTCAACGGGTATTGGCAATACTGTGACAGCAGGAGATCTGAACATTCCTTCAAGCATTCGAGCCCCTAGGATGGTGACAACTATCAGGGACACAACAAGGCACGTGACACACGTGACCAAGAGAAGTTGAAAAAGGAAAGACCCCTGACAGAAGCATAACATCACCCCCCCTCTAAGGTCCTCAGACCCTTGAGGATGGTGTCACACACCAAAGGTGTTTGGTGAGGTGGACATGGATGTAGCTGATGAATGGAGGTGAAGACCATAGCCCTCATGCGAAGAAGGACAGCCAGCAATGTCAGCAGTCATCCCTCGCACAAGAACAGGTTGTCAATGCCAAAGAAAAAGGAGGAGGCGAGTTAAGCGCCAATAAAATTCTTAAGCGCCCATGTATGGCATTCCAGTTTTCGATGTATCTCCACCGGTTCTGCAGACACCGAAACCATTCCCACACTCGCTTGTAGTGCTCAGCCATGCAATCCTACCTTCCAAGATTGGAAAGGATTTGCGCACTCCACACATTTCTACAGCACTCCCTCCAAAAGACACTCATTTTGCTAATTCTTCTGATATGGCTGCCTCCACATCAGTCATTTCGCTTGTCCCCTTTGCTAGGGACCATGGCTACATATATCTACCAGGAGTTCCTACCAGCTTCCGTCCTGAAGTGTCCTGGTACATCCCACCCTCGTCTGCCCCCTCTCAGCCCATTCAGCTTGGACAGCATGTTCTTTTTGTCAGTATGACCTCCAGGAGGACATTCTTTGGTCACCTCAGGTCTGTCATTCACTTGGAAAGGTCTTATGTGGTCGTTTCAGTCTCTCCAGTCCAAGAAGCATATGGATCCTTCCTCCCTGCCCCCTGCAACATCTTCATACCAGTCTTGTCCATCATTCTTCCAAAATTGCGACAGCTACAGTATAATCTACTGTTCTCCACTCTCCCTGATCGCATCCATGACGAGTATGATGCACATCTTGCCTCCTTGTTGCAAGATACAGCAGAAGATGCTCCCCCTTCATCCTCTCTTCCAACAGAGCCTCATTCATGAAGTTTTTATTTGCTTCACTGAGAGGATGGTTTGGGGGGGAAAGTTGTGATCCCCTATGCTCCTGTCACCCCACAGACCCCCAAAGCTTGACCCCTATTGACATCTGACTCACCCTGTCCACTTTTGGATGTACTATATTGGCATCAGATCAGCGCTGCCTCTCTGTCATCCCACTTTGGCCTAGAAGCGATCTCTTCAAGATGTGACATGCACAGCCTCCCCCTGATGCGATTCCAGTGCACTTTCCCAGTTCCTGACATTGCTTGACTCATACTTTGACGTTCTGACTGTCTTTGACTCACCTATTGCCAATACTTACCAATCTTTTGACTTTGCTTACTGATTCTTCGCTTTTTGGCTTACTTATCCTTACCAATGCTTACCAATGCTTTCCAAGATGATTACCCATCGCTTACATTCCTTACTCATCAGTTACCAATTGCTTACCAAGTGTTTACACCTTGTTTTCCATAGGCAACGCCCCTGTACTGTATATAAGTCACTGTACTTAGGTAGCAAAAAAAAGACATCAGAGAGCCCCTCTTGCTCGCAATTTATCATCTCTCAGTAAATCATTCATCAGCTTCAATAGTTGAGACTTTATTAAGGGTCTATCTATCATCTACTTTGCTTATCATCATCTATCATCCATATACTTCGCTCCAAGCCCTCCCTGAGCTCAGTACAGCTTAGGACATCGAATTAAGTCACCATCCATCCTTCTGTAGGCTGACAGCAGTCTACCCTATTGCTTTCCATCACATTCTTGCTCCCTCTTCGTCAGGAGCACCCCCAACCCTCAGCACTCATCTTTGAGTGTTGTAGCTTGCAAAAAACCCTCCCAAAGAACAGGTTCTACCATCTAGGTACCACATAGGCACACCACCACTCACTTTCATTGTCTTTTGTGTTGGTTTTGGTTGGTTTTCACCACTGAACCACACTTCAACTCACAATGGGTATTGGCAATACCGTGACAGTGGGAGATCCGAACGTTCCTTCGAGCATTTGAGCCCCTAGGATGGCAACGACTATCAGGGATGCAACAAGGCACATGATGCACATGACCAAGAGAAGTTGAAAAAGGAAAGACCCCTGACAGAAGCATAACACCAAAGGAGTTTCACTTTGCCCTTGACCAACTGACTGACCATGGGAAGATGCACTGGCATATGAGAAGGACATATGGTTATGGGTGCCCTCGCTGCTATGGTAAGTAAATTCGAGTGGTTGGTTTGACTGACCCCTTCCCTGATAGTCATAAGATGACCCCTCTTGTGGAACAAGCAAATTGATGGGACTTGTGGGATCCATCGTGTCATGGAGCTGATGGGGGAAGGAAAATTCTGGCAAAAAGAGCTTTAATCAAAGCATGAAGTGAGTGGAGTATAAATAAAGGTGCAATTTGTACCAACCAATGGACCATTGTGGTCCCTTCATTGAGCAGCAGGCCTGGATGTGAATGGATCGTCAAGTCTGCTGTGTATAGATGGAAGGCCATGTTGGGAATGCCCTGAGGGTGTCATTTGGGTCTGTGGTATGTGAGAATGCCTGTGTGTGACACCCTCTTGACTCATCGAGGACTGCAATCCAGGCTGCATGCCACCGCTCGGTTGTCTCTGGGAATACATAGTACTGTACCACAGTACAAACACCAAGTACTCACAAAGGAAGTGAGTGTGAGTAAGCACACAGGTGGGATGCTTTTTTTCAGGGGGTGCCAGGGGCAGGAAAGCATTTTTGAAGCAGTCATCATAGCGAGCACACCGAATATAATCTGATGTTACTATTCTGAAAAGCACAACTGAAGTCGAGAGGATCATCAATATTAATACAATGCAACTCAATATCATAGTCTATAACCACACTCGAATCCAATCTGAATATTATCTGCATTGTCAGGATTACCATGGTGATAAGTTTGTGAATCGAGTTGGGACAACGCTTGGAAACAAGAACACTTAGCTACTATAGTCAAAGGTATTATTAACTTTGGCTTCCCTCGACATATAGCACAACTATTATTACCAACCCGACTATCCCCGAACCTGATTAAAAACCTGTTTCCGCAGTGAGTCATTTTCGAGGGAGTCGGCGCCGTAGAAGCAGTGCGGTACTACTCTCTGTATGCCGAACTTAGCGGTAACGAGGACCCGGGGGAACCAGATTCAACTTTTGACGTCTCACACGTTGCCCGTAACCGTACCCTCCTATCTTAGGACAGCAAGGTATCCGCTGTTTTCGATTCGCCGTGGTCCAACCTACGTCCACCATTCATCTCGAGCCACCGCTCTATTTTGTGGACCGCGCTCACAGCTCTCCCTGGTTTACATGCATGACGGCATGCGAACTTCTCGACGTCACCAACGATGAGTTACCATTGGCGATACTGGAGTCAACCGCCCCACTCGGTCGCTATACCACCATCGGTTGCCTGCATATGGAGTTGCGCCACATTACTTATTCCACTGGTGACAACTTTCTCCATTCGCAATTGGGGGATCCTGTTCGCGTGTCTCTTTGGGATCTCAACACATGTGGTTGTGGGTAGCGGGCTTCATGAACGAAAGAAAGGCGTCGCTTTCAATGTTCCTCGCTGGGGAGGCTTCGACAGCTACTTGTCGTACGAACTCAGTGTTGAATCCTTCTCGTTACCCTCGCGAAGCGTCATCGTCACCCTGACATGAACTTTGTTTTCGTAGAACGCAGCATCGTCCTTGACTCGAATATTTTATCTTCAATCATTTTTAGAAGACAACCACGGGTGGTTCGCTGATACTACTGAGCTATTCCGCTCCGCAGCTCAGGAACACTCCACTCATCTACTGGTGTCGCTCATTCCTCAACGAATGCGCGGATGACTATTTCCTTATCCGATAACGAGACTTACAAGGCTCGTATTTCCTTGGCTCAGGAGCACCTTGCGGGTGAATCCTACGAGTTGTTCCTCACAGCGCAGACGAGGGTCATTCTTCGTGATCCTCCCTGTGTAAATCTGAGGTACATTCACCACCATGGCAACGACACAAGGTCCTGTGCGAGCTTGATCCTGCGTCACACGCTGGTTATCTCCGACTACATCCAACGACATTGTTTCCATCATCTCCAGAACAATTTCTCCCCTGTTCTCGCCCACCTGAAGCAACATTTCAGCTGCGCCCCACCAAAGGAACCGACCGCGAGGGGCCAGACGTCACCTGCACTGTAGCCGAAAGGATATTGAAGGAGAACCCACGGACAAATGACGCACTTGGTTGGGAGTCTCTGAGACGCCGTCTCTCCCTGGTGGGTACAGTATCATGCTACTCATCAAACCTGTCGCACCAAGGAAATGCAGTGTCGAAATCCTCCGCACCCTCGGGATGGCAAGCAAAATGTTTACTCTGGTGTGTTCGGCTGCTGGTGCGTAAGTTGGGGCCCAACGGTGTACTTGCAGATTGTCATACTTAGAATAACCGCGGATAGTAACCGACCCTGATGGGCAGTAGGAAGAAATGTTCGCCAAACTGCCAAGTTTTCTCTGTATGTTCGGATACCCCGTTTCGGTGGAAATTGGTCGGAGTTGCCTTGTAATGCATCGCGCGTATTTACATCACCTCGTCATGAATCCAGCTTCGTTCAAACATACATATATACGGGTGTTACTGGTCAGTTAAACTTCTGAAAAGGGGTCTACTATTCCGACGGCTGAGAACAGCTTTAAACCATCAGAGCGATATGCTTGAGTTCACTGAGGATGGTTCAGTAAAATAATTGCATCTCGATAAGAGTCTTACTTCTGAACCTGCTTTCCAACTTTCATCGATGGGTATAAACTTTCCAAGGATGCTTCAGACTCAGTTGGATGGAGGGACTTGGCACGCCCAAGCAAGCTGGGGATAGGAGCAAGATCGTAATCTGAAGACAAGTGCCAGAAGAATGTCGAAGATATCCGAATGAGAGGACGGTTTGGATGGCTAACTCTACGTTTGGCTGTCGTCTAAGAACGAACGTGAGCTAATGTTGCCTTGTGCCTGTGCATATCACCGTCGAGCTCTCACCTCGATGGTGTTATCATTAACCACAACTTCGTGGTAACCAGCTTTGATAAGACCTGCCGTGAGGTGCTCGATCTGTTTCCCTGACTGCACTAGTAAAAATCTACCAGTGGGAGGGAAGCGCACAGGTATGCGCCTCCCAGTATTCCGAGCCCATATATTCAAACCAGGAAATCGAGACCTTCCATGAATAGTGAGGCAGTTAAGATCCGTATGGAAACCCGCAAGTATCGTGTCTTTCTTGCCGTACTTCACGAGGTCGGACGCTGTCGGTGCAAGAAGGTGGGGACTGAATATCCTCCGTTAAGTGACTGAAAGAAACCTAGAAGGCGAAGAGGTGCGGACCCGTATTTTCCAGCATCCTTAAAGGTTTGACGCGGAAGTCCAAGACCAAGGGCAACCATCTCGGCTACGTTCTCGACACTGCAAATCAGGGCTTACTCTTAAAAATATGTACGATTGGTGTCACAGCATACGCGTCTTTCATGGACTTCCCCCACTTCTCCATGACCGATTGCCATATGTCGCTGAACATAGGGGCCTGAGGGATGACGTTCGGTGCATTCAACGCAGGATAATCCGTTTTATACGGAGGAGGCGTGGTCATTTTCCAAAAGAAACGACATTTGGGATCAGGTTGATGACCCGAGATGTCCAACGGACGCTCTGACGGGTCGAGGCGTGCGATGACGTCCAAGCATGACTCGTCCACAGCGCACTTTGGTTTCTCTGTGTTTTCCAGCGTGACTCCAACTTGGTACGAGAGCTCAGGTCGCTGATCCCTCTCAAGATCAGCGAGCGGCTGGGCGAAGTAGTCTTCCATAAGATCGAGGAAGGTATCGTTATCATCCTCTGATACCCGAGAGTCATGCAGCAGCAAGGCGCCGTAAGTGATTAAGGCATCAGCTGCCTTCGGGGAGGCAGGTCATTGAACTGGTCAAATCTGCCGACCAGAGGGGGGGTCTCACCTTCCTGCACTCCTCCTGGATACGTGGTGAAGTTCCGTCTCCTGAAAGAAATACGTCGACATCGATCACTGGCAGAGTCTCTGAGAGATTTGACATGACAAGAAATCAGACAAGTTCCTAATAAAAAGCACTCCATCTGCTGTTTGAGCGCTGCCACTGGTTGGCCTGTACACACGCCGAAGCCATGTGGTCGGCAGCTCCCGTCGCATTATCGATTCCCCCCATCTCAACACACAACACACATACCCATCCTGTCCAGCTATCACTATGTTGAAGGTATTAACCACAGTATGGTCTATCTAACCCCAGGCTCCAACGTTAATCCCTGTAGATCTTGAGTATGAAGAAGAACGAGGATGCAGCGGCCAAGAAGAAGCCGAAGACGAGCGCTGCCCAAATACGTGTACAGAAAGGCATGTCAAGCGTCGATATATTGAGGCTGCAGACCAAATGACAGGGACTCGTTAAAGATCTTACTGAGCTGGACTTGCCACCAACGATGAAGACTCACTTCCCAGACGCAACCAACCTCCTAAACTTCACTCTTACCATTACCCCCGATGAAGGTTCGTTGTCGCCACCACCGTATCAAACAAAGTCCTTTGACGCAATATAGGGATGTACCAGGGCGGAGCCTTCAACTTCTCGTTCAACATCAATAGCAACTATCCTCATGAACCCCCAAAGGTGAAGTGTCTACAAACGGTAGCCGTATATATTTGTCCTACACGGTTCAAACGCTCACTGGCGCACAGATATACCACCCAAACGTCGACCTCGAGGGGAATGTTTGTCTGAACATCCTGCGAGAAGATTGGAAGCCGGTGCTAAATCTGAATTCGGTCATGGTTGGGCTGCAGTACCTTTTCCTGGAGCCAAATGCAGACGATCCCCTGAACAAAGGTAAGATGTCACCCCCCTTGGTCTACTCCGGTCGCACTTATCACAATGTTCTATGCAGAAGCAGCCGAGGAACTCAGAAAGAATCGAGAACAGTTCTTGTACAACGTAAAGTCCTCCATGCGTGGCGCGAATATCAAGGGTGTGCACTATGACAAAGTTCTCGAGCATTGACCTCGTTGTCGTATAGATTTCACATTTTGTGCGCACCTTCAGACACGTGATCATAATGATATCAACCTAGCCATAATGCTAATGCCATCTTAATACGTCCGCGAATTTATACACCCATGACAATGGTCTCCATATCATAGCGCCAGTACACTGGATATACGGTCAACTTCCCCTGTAAGTAACATAGGAATATGGGCTGATGAGGAGAGGGATATGATAGTGTTCATCTGGGTTCTCGATGTCGAACGTGATCTACGGTAACATCAGCGAAAGACCAGTGGTTCAAGATCGGGGGCATCTAGTACCTCGACCCAAGGGTAAAAGCATTTCCGCCCGATCTTCTCAAAGTAGTCCGTAGGCTTGAATATTATCTTGTAGATGCCTGCTCGAAGCTCCTGTCCCGTATCCTTTGCTTCCGCAGAGTTGCGGGGCGGAAGCAACGTGGAGCAGCGTCCGTCACCATCAGTCACACTACCCAATCACGATCAGATATGATGAAGTCGATTTGAAGTCTAAGAAACAAACCCCTGAGCGAGTGGATTGAATACGTCGATGCCACCAGGGCCCTTGTGGTACACTTGAAGGGTGACTTCGACACCCTCAGCTGGTCTGCCTATAGACACGTCGAGGACTACGCGCTATAGTCAGCTTGTCAAAGCGACGTACGGGTTACCGGATTGCCCACCATGACAAGTAATCGGGCTCTTTGACATCGTAGCTTCAAGTGCAAAAGATGGGGCAGAGACGAGGAAACCCTATGAAGTAATGTATCTCAATGACTCGATCACGTGACACGACAATCTCCCTCGAGATCATCTGACCAAAAACTTGCATGCCGCCTTCACCACCGAGCGGGACGCTGCCTTTGGGCAAATATCTAGCATCCTCAGGTGTGTAAATACTACTGTAGACGGGAGCACTCGCTATATCGTTTTGTTTCTTAAAAGAAAAGAAAACGCGAGACAAGGCCGTGAAAAATTTGGCTGCCTTTCTCTCCGACGACGAAAACAATGAAATACCAGATCTCGAAATGGCAAAGCTGTGGAAGGGGATATTCTACTGTACTTCTCAGCTGACACTCTATGCTGACTGAGGTCCACTCACGTTTCATTGCAGGTTTCTGGATGTCCGATAAGCCTCTAGTACAGCAAGCACTTGCAAGTGAGCTTGCAGAACTTTTACTTACTATAAAAAGGGACTCGTCGTCCCTCCATTTCCTTCGGGGGTTCTGGACGACCATGGTCAGGGAATGGCATGGTATCGATCGCTTGCGGTGTGTTACTTCTGTGGGGCTTCAGGCAGTCATCTGACCGATTCCTTGCTCAGGATGGACAAATATTACCTACTTATCAGGAGATTCCTCAATGCCAGCTTCCGCCTTCTTATGCGATCTCACTGGGACAATTCTTCTCTGAAGAATTATAATGCTATCCTCACCGATTCAGGTGGACCACTCTGGCACGCATTCCCCTTCGTTCACCTTTAACTTCCCTGATTTATCCTGGAATCCCAGCCCGAATGATATAAAAGTTCCATCGAGTTTGTCATACCACTTGGCAGATATTTACTTGGAGGAACTAGATAAGGCCATCGCTTCGTTCGATTCGCCGTTGCCCGCGCCGTTACTTGCTCTATTATACCCTTTCTTTACTTTAGCTACTCAGACACCGACGTCCACAACATACAAACACCTCGAAACCGCACTATTCCGCCCACTTCTGACAGCCCTCAGGCCTCTACGGACACCAAATCCCCCGAAAAGAGCCCGCTTACCGGGTAGCCAGTTTACCAACATACTATCGACGGCCTGTCAACACGATCCTTCAACCGAGGGTGCGATAGGTGCCGCAGCACTGAGGCAAGGGGTACTGCAAACGCTATTTGATGTTGCTAGCGCTGAGAGCACTAGAGACTCAAATCGGCGCAAGATGTACGCACTATACAAGGAAGTAGCAGAGGACGATGATGCTTCCGAAGGTTAGATGGATATAATGTTAAGCCAATACATCTCCACAGTCACAAGTCCGGTAGCTCTCTCTGGGTTAACCTCCTCCACGTGGACTCCCTCCACCAGTCTTCCATACTGTCAATCCGATCCCACAGCGTTTCTTCGTCGACACCATAAATTTCGTATTTGCCTCCATTTAGCGGCCGACCTTCGCGTTTAGCTACTTCTATGGCAGCCTTATTCTGGCCCCTATGAACGTTGTATGAGAGACGGTCTTAATAAATGGGAGAGAATGCGTACTTCAGAAGTTGGAGGAGCTCGTCTCTGTCAGGAAAGGACAGTCGTGGTTCTAATACGGCCAGTATTGCAAGCGCAGCCCGAAAAAGGAAGGAATCGCCTTCAAGCAAAATCACATCCCATAACCGCGCGCAGGCTTCGAAAGGAAGATGGTCCAGAAAGAGTGGTGCCAACCAGTCGGGCAAATATGCAGCGGGGGATATTTGATGCTGTTTGAAATTAAAGTAGACTGTGTCACATTAGTTTCGCGCGTTATCGTGTTCAGCGTAAAACGACAACGCACTCTTGGGCATACTGTCTGCCAGCAGTGTGTCGAAAATTCTGTTCTGGTGGTTGAGTGCTTGATCAAAGTCTGCAGACTAATTCTGACCGATAATATGCCTCAACCTGATCTCTGCAGCTCAGTTAGACTGCGGTCTCTTTTCGCAGGTGCGACTTACATCATCTTTCGTTCCTGTACCACCATAAAAGGCTCTCAGACAATGCCTCTCCAAAAGGTTCCTCAAGGCAACGAAAGCTTGCGGTGTAGGAACATTAACAAGTATCATGGCAGCTAGTTTTGAAATACCGCGTGTATAGCCTAGCCCTTCGTCTGCACGCGAGATGACCCATGCACATAACACGTCTTTCAACTCTTGGTACAGAGCACCACTATCCGGGTGAAAGATATGAAGGGCGGGAAGTGTTGTGACAATATCCTCCTCCATTTCCTGGAGGATGTCCGAAGGAAAAACACCAGAGGATAGGGTGCGCCTTGCCCGGGAAAGGCAGCTACGGTAACTGTCTGGGAACAAATAAATAGGGTAGTGAAAATCCATGGAACAAAGAATACCTCTGCTCAGAGCAAGCGTGTTACCGATAGCACGCTCCCACATCACGCAGCGCAATTTAGTCGGAACGCCATTCCACCAGAGCTTTCGAAGGGTGGGATCCCGATGGACCACACGCCAGTCCGGTAGAATGTCCTTCTCCCATATATGCATTGACTTTTCGATGTTCAACTCGCGCGCCATTCTACGTTGCTGAAGGCCCTTGCGGCGCCGTTCTTCTAAAACGAGGGGCACGGTTAGGATGGCAACAGCACGATCGATAAGTGAAGATGCCATACCTGCTGCGCGACTCTCTTTCATCATAGCCTCCCAATCAGCCAGATGTTTTCGATCCTCTTCCCGGCTTTTGGGAGGAAGAAAATGGGGTCTTGTCTTACTTACTACTTTCTGAAACACGCTTGGTCCCACGGCTCGTGACGGTTTATGACTGCCCTGTGATGAAGAGGGAGGCAACTGCGAGGTAGATGAAGAAGAAGTGGGCTTGGCTGACTCCGGATATACAGGCCTGGCCATGGTGAAACTGTCGGGTTCATTGCCTTTCGATATGGGTTGGTCGGGGTGAATGCTGCCATCTTCGGTCGTTACAGACACACGCGTTAGAGGTGGTTGAGAGATGTCGATGTGGACTGCTGGGTAAGTAGCATTTGTTTCTCCAGGAAGATGTTCAAATGAGGCTGTATGTGCATCGCCGTCGACGGAGGGATTCGAATCTGCTTCATCTGAGAACCCGGGCTCGACAACTGATAATGATGGACTGATTGGAGTGTGGAATTGAGGGAATGGTGACTCCAAATCCACGTCCGGAGGGCCAGTGTCATCATTGAGGTCAAGAGTCGACACCGAGGCATCGAGCTCGCTGACAGTAGTCACATCGCCCTGCAATGTAGAAAGTCGCCGCAAGTGTTCGACGTCCCTTCGGACTGTAAATTGGCTGAACTCTGGTGTCTCGTCCTGGCCGTCAGCGTCCCAGACTGCATCGTCAGCCTGTGTGGCCCTGAGACTCTCCATATTCAATGTTGCGCGTGTTTACCTCCGCAGGACTCGTGTAGAAGCAAGGGTTGGTTATGTAAGCTGCCTAGTGAGTATGAGGTCGTGATGATCGCTGAAATCTTGCTCGTCTTAGCAGGCCATTCGTCCTCCATATTTCCTTCTGACCACACCATAAATCCCGCGTTTCGCCCTCTGCTGCATCCGGGCGAGGAACAATGTCTTCAAGCGATAGGAAGGATAGCAGCGAGATACCGTAGCATCAAGAAAGCATGCCTCACACTGACGCGATCACAATCGCGGTATATCTGTGCTTTGTGTGCCACATTAAATCAAATACTGAAAGACGAATATGAGGGCCTGGTGGTCGAAACCGAAACCAAACTGTTGAAGCGAGACCCAGAATTGGTAGCTCGGGGCTCGTTCGTCCCTCTCACAGCTATACTGGCCATTTTCTCGGGATGGGAGTCCCCTTTCATAGCACTGGAATCTCTGATGGAACAGATAGAGTCCAAGGACGAATGGAAACCAGGACCACTCATCGACATGCTCATGGCACGATCGAAAACGGGGACAAGCCGAATCGCAGACATATTTTCTCGTCTATCCACGGCCGTTCAACGTACCTGGCGTGCACAGTTAGCTGCTTTCTTGGTCCATGGATCAATAACAGCAACCGATCCTTTAGCTTCAGGAGACTATGTCCTTTTGGAAGGCTCGACGCCCGCTTGCGTGTCCCCTCAAGCACGCGAGTCTATCATGTACGTCGGAAGAGCTATCGGAACGGTGAAACACAAGAAATGGGCACATCAGACTCCTCGAGAACAAGCGGTCGAACACGCTCAACTGCTCGACACTGTTCTACCTGAAGACAGATATAAATTTGATTCAGTGATCGGTCAAATCCGGACAAACGTCAGTGAATGGCTCTGGCTACATGTCCTAACAAGAAAAGACGTGGAGGAAGCGGTTGTTTCTCTGTGAGCAAGATTCTCCATCGTAATTCTTCAGGTTTCTCATCATTACTTCAGAGCGAACTATTTCCTGCTACGTAACGGGGAATTCTGTCTCGCGCTCATCCGTGATATCGAGAAGCTGAAGATATCACGACTCACCTCACGCACAGGGGTCCCATCTATGATTAAGGAACAGGACCTCAATCTAGCATTGCTCCGAGCATCCCTAAGTACCACTGCCCAACATGACCCATCTTTACTCAAGCTCAAATTTAAACTTCCGTCTGGTCCCATCAGACCTCTCCTTCCATCTTTCTCGAAGGTCGGATCGGAATCGCTTTTGTCGTCCGTGAACGGCAGTTTCAATGAAACCACCTCTTTCGACGACCTCCTTCTCGGCACACCCCTTCTTCTCACGTATGACACGACCTGGCCTCTCGATTTGTTTCTGCACGCCTCCGACCTGCAAGTATACTCGGCCTTATTCGGATATCTGTCATCAGTACGTAAAACTCAGACCCGCATTCACGGGTGCTGGACGTCGCTGTCCAACGCCCAGCGGGCGAGGCGAAGGTGGACTGGTCTAGGTGAAGGTGGAACAGCGGAGGACCTCATGGTACGGCAGCAGCTGCTACGTTTCGGGTGGGGAGTTGTCAGGGACATGGGCTGGTTCCTCGATACCTTGCTGGAATATGTTATGGTTGATGTCGTTGACCTTGAGTTCAGGAGATTGAAGGACTTGGTCACTGGACCTGCGCGAGAACGATCCGAAGGCGTTGGTCGAGAGGGAGCAACGGTCACGCATGACGGTAACGTGGCACCCTCAAACCACGCTCGCCTCGACTTCACGACACTGAGAAACATTCACACTACTTATCTAGAGCGTCTTGTCGCGGGTTGTTTGCTCTCCAACCCATCTCTAACAGGCACCGTGCGGTCCATTCTCGAGATATGCGAGCGTTTTGTTGCGCAAGTTGAACGGTGGGGAGGCGATGTACTCCCGGCCCTCTTGTTTGAGGGCAGCCTTGCAGCAGGGGGACACGACAAGGTCGGAACGCTGGTTCAGGAGCGACTCCAGGAGGTCTCGGAGATTGATAAGGTAACTGAGTTTTTCGCTTGTCGCTCAGAGTCGTTCATGGCTTTTCCAGAGTCTGCATGAACTCTTTGAATCATTTTACCAGCAACTGACGCTGATGACGTCCTACCAGCCGTTCACTGCTGCAGGGGACGCATCCAGGTCGGTGCTGATAAATGCCAGCGTTGGAAACATTTCCACTTTACGGCGGACATTCGCCCGAGGTAAAGGTTTGGAAGGCGAAGGAGAAGTTCGCCGACATGTGGAGCAGTTACTCCTTCGGCTGGACTTTAATGGGAGATTTTCCAAACCAAAATGGCTTGCAGAGGATATGGAGGATGGGCTGTGAATGTTGTGATTGGCGTTGTTAGTGTCGTCGTACCCCTGGTTATCTAGCCGACGATCTAGATCGATCGTCCTCAGTGGCGATAACCGGGTCAGAAATTACCACTGTGGTCCTAGTAATTATAGTTTTTGTCCCAGTCCGGTACTGTGCGAGGAAACGGATATGGCCGGGACTGCAGCGACTTTTAGGCTGTCCCATCATCTCCGCCATCTTGCAACAAGAGCGACCATGCCCCCCCGTTTGTCTCCCCGTCTGTTGACTACGAAATCCGACTGACCGTGACGACAGCATTCACCCCTCGTCTCATCGGAGCTCCCAACACACTCGGTACGCAAAGCAATGTTCTCCGTTTCATTATCTTGATCTATGTCGGATAATAGATCACAGAGTGTACATCGAACAGAACGGTTCTGTCGTCTCATCGTTCCATGACGTTCCGCTTTTTGCCGACCAGAGCAATGGCATCCTCAACATGATCGTGGAGATCCCCCGCTGGACGAACGCAAAGATGGAGATCTCCAAGGAAGAGCCCTTCAATCCCATCAAGCAAGACACCAAGAAGGGCCGTTTGCGTTATGTCCGCAACTGCTTCCCTCACCATGGTTACATTTGGAACTATGGCGCATTCCCTCAGGTCAGTCGGGTCCTCCTCTCTATCTTCACTCTTGGCAATCCCCTCCCACTGTAATTAGACCTGGGAGGACCCCAATGTAACCCACGCCGAGACCAAGGCCAAGGGTGACAACGACCCACTTGACGTCTGCGAGATTGGTGAGCAGGTCGGGTACACTGGCCAGATCAAACAAGTCAAAGTTCTCGGTATCATGGCCTTACTTGACGAAGGAGAGACCGACTGGAAGGTCATCGTTGTCGACGTTCACGATCCCTTAGCCCCTAAGCTCAATGATATCGAGGACGTCGAACGTCACCTTCCTGGTCTCATCAGGGCTACGAATGAGTGGTTCAGGTTTGCATCACCTTCCACTTAAAAATCTGTCCCTAAAGACGTATGTGTGTGACAGGATTTATAAAATCCCAGATGGGAAGGGCGAGAACACTTTCGCCTTCTCTGGAGAGGCGAAGAACAAGAAGTATGCGACAGAGATCATTCACGAGTGTCACGAAGCTTGGCGCCGTCTGGTGAGCGGAGAGACAGATGCTAAGACTCCCGCGTACGATCTCTCCATGTACGTTGTTGTCAATTTCGCCATTCCTCCTCTTACATGCTCTTATAGTCGCAACCTTACCGTTGGTGGACCTGGCATGGTCACCCCGAACGATCCTACGTACGCGAACATTCCCCCGGACTCCAGGCATCCCCCAGCCCCCATCGATCCTTCCAGTACGTATTCAGAAGAAATGACGCGTATCACTTCTAATGTCTTGTCCAGTCAACAAGTGGTTCTACATCTCATCCGTAACGGTGTAAAATTATCGAGAATACCGCTGTCACTTGGGATTGCCAGTGTAATATATCAGTCTTGTGAAAATGAAGTTGTCCTCCCTGTGGGAGTAGATGCATCACAATTCTACAGTTACAGATGCTCGGATGTTATGCGGTACTCATGTATAAGGTCGCTCATAGTTTTATTCGGCTTGCAAGGCGGGATATCGGCAGTAACGGTCGGAAATGGAAGTAACCGTCCAAGTACCTGGGGAGCGAACATGAGCATGTGAACGCAAGGGCACACCACGTGACACAAACCTTCTACCGCAGAAGTTATTGAATACTCATGCGTAGTGACACCCGACACGGTATGGGTCTCAAGGACCTTGCCCGGCTTGCTCCCTTTCTTAGGGCTGGGTTCGGAACGTTGATACGTGAACGTGAACGGAGGTTCGCCAATTAGAGTAAAGACGATTTCAGCTTGATCGCCTGTGCAAGGACATGAGCTCTGCGTATTTCGTACGTCAGGTCCGCATACCTTCATGAATGTCTTGGTATATGCGCTTGCCGTGGCCCACCAGAGCCGAGGGAAGAGGATGTATTGTCATCTGCAGGTTGGTAATGGCCGCTTTACACATCTTGTGTTGATGGGCAATCGACGTAATCGTGAAATCGCCACTCTGCTGTTGAAGAATAGAGAATGGTGATACTTTGGCATCCCGGGTGTAAGATTTCCCGTTAATCCGGTACCTACGGATGGTTTAGTACTTAAGGAAGACAGCTAACGCATTCTCCACGCACCCGATGGTCCAAGGAGGAGTACCCTCCAACTCAAACTGGATGATATCACCAGCGCAGAAGTCCTTCTTCTTTTCAAGAGGGATGATTGCAGCCGTTTCGGCAACGTCTATCCAAATGGATCGGTATGAGGGGTCGACTGTCGCCTGCTCGCAGCGAGACGAGTCAAGGACGGAATCAATCGTGACTTGGTAAGGTCCGACAGAGGTGAAGTAGTAAGATGGCAGATTCAATCTCCAAATCTTGTCATTAACCTCAACAGTCTCCACTCTGACCTTGTTGGCAGCAAGGTTCTTAATTGAGAGTTGCAGTTGGAACGGAGGAGTTCCATCAAGTAAGATAGTGCCGTCGGGCGATGCGGGATCTTTGGGGCTCAGGACGTCATTAAGGCAGTAAGACAGACGGTTGTCCGACTTGAACTTCGCAGAGGGCTTTTGAAGAATTTCTTGTTCAAATAAGAGGCGTTCTGAGCGAGGGATTAATGTATGCGTGTGCTTGTGGAGTGGGTAAGCGGCATCGCCTATTTGTTTGACTTCGTAGTATTTACGACCGGGTGTAGACGTGTACAGCTGGAAACGCGTGCGATGCTGAATACTGCTGATTGTCGGTTGGTCTAGCACGGTTGTACCGCCTCCAGACTCCGCATTTGTTGCCACGTTATACATGATTTGGAAAGGCGGACGTCCTGACGGTTGAACCGGTTATCAAAGTAGCCTCCACACTGTACAGGAACACGAACCAGAAAGCTCAAGATCAACGTAATCGTCACGACCTTGACAGATTGGAGGAAGGATGTGCGAACGATTGTAAGGCTCAAATACAACCGACATGTGCAAGTCCAACTTCGCAGATGGTCGTGGTACCCAATCAACTTCATAAGTATTCTCCCCTGGAACAACAGCTCCAGGACATTGCATGTCATTGACCTAAGGGAATTGGATAAACAAAATCTCAGAGACGATCCACATTACTCACTTCCACGAGTTCATACGTCCCTTTCCCTCTAACACGGAGATAATCGTTTGGCGAAGAAAGGACTACAGTCTGAATTAGATCCGGAGTATCCACCCTCCGATACTTGACTTTCCAGGGCTGAGCAAAGTTAGGACACATCTGCACCTGAAACGTATGTACTTACTCCGTCACCAGTAAGCCGTAACGGCAGTCCAGCTGATTCGTCTTCCAGTATAGTAACCTGACGGTGACCATCTTTGCTATAGAACTTTGCACTAGGCTGTGAAGAATTAGAAAAGCATCTCTTATTACGGCTGCTGAAATCCTACCAGTACTCTCCGGACGTTGACGGATATACCTGGGACAGAAACGGGACGTTTACATCCATACATATCTTCCACAGCAACTGTGCCATCTATTAATTTCTGGGTAACGGGGTAGGAATGTTGACCTACCTAAGTCAACTTCGAACGTGCCACCTTCTTTATCAACAACGGATGGTATCGGCACTGGCACGCGCACGGGTGACGAACTGATGTCGCGGATGACAAGGGGGTCGGTGCTACGCGGGCCAACTACTTGGAATTCAAGATTCCACGGTGGTGTTCCCTGTAAAACGTAATTAGCGACCTTCCATAATAGTTGCTACGAGTCTCCTTACTCTGAGATCGACGTCGACGTCTACCACATTTCCAGAACAACTGTTCAATACCATTTTGTTCCGTCCTGCCGAAATCGGGACAAAACCGGCGGCAGCCAGCGGATGAACAATTTGGTCTATGCTAGGCCCATCGAGTGGTATCTTCTTGTAGTTAGAGTCACTCAGCTGTAGAAACGTGTAATAATAATGCCCGCTGTGCTCTGGCTGAAGTGTGATTGTCCCTCTTGATGTAGTAAATGTTTTCACGAGGTCACGGGGACTCTCGTTATCGCGCTGGGTGCGATAATAAACTTGGAAGGGAGGGGTGCCGTGGAGAATCAGTGCCGCCGAGACGCCCGTGTCCCCTGAACTATGAGCAATGTCAGGAAATTTGCTTGATGCGTAGAGACGCGTGTAAATACCACTCGTGGATGCGCTTCCATTCAATCTCAGCCGTAGGGAGGGGTTTCTGAACAACTTTGCACGTGTCTGGAGAAAGGACATCGCCCTCGCAGAACTGCACAAATCTTCAGCTTACTGTGCCATAAATGGGATTGTGTACGAACCTTGCCCTTGATATCGGTGATGGTGTATTCTCCGGGAGCACTAACGCCGAAACTCAACACTCTCGTGTTCGCTTCTGCTTGCAGAGTCAGGTCTTGCGGTTTCAGGCCTGCGGTACTCTCGGACGAATCGTACGTGACGTGGACGGTCCAAGGAGCATCCAGATGATCACCATCGTCGACCCCGAGGAATAAAGAGCTCTCAGACCCAATCAAGAGTGATGCCGGATTTCCAGGTCCGCACTGTCGAAAGGAAACACGAGGACGGGACAAGACATTGAGGGATTTTACTGTTTTGGAGTCTACAGTTACTCCAGTACGGGGTGATTCGCTAGGTTTCCCCTGGTCGAGTGAAACAACATTTCCTAGACAGTCAATGACACTCTCGAGAACGAAGGTGACTCGCCCCAGTGAATCGACGGAAAGGGATAGAGGAACTTTGAACTTCTGGGGAGTCCGTGTTCTACGAACAACTTCCCGTAAATCGCCCGACGACGAATGGGCATTATTGCCACCTTCAATATTGTCTACGACGAAAGTCTCTTTCTTTCCATTGACATCCTTGGACCACTTCAGGCTAAGCGGAGGCACACCACGAATATCAATCATGAGGTCCAAGCGGTTGTCTCCTGCGCAGCGGATTTCGCTTTCTGTGCTCTGCAATGAATCCTCGGTGTACTGAGCCGTAGGGCACGGAACAACCGTAACTTCCAGAGGATGCATTAGTTTGACAGCAATCCCAGAACTATCGAGAACCCTATCTAGCCGGACGGTCCCTGGTTTGGTGACACGTATATGAGGAAGAGACTCAGTTTTCCGTTGATGTAATTCAGAGGAAAGGGGACCATCGTCTCCGTCGTCGTATTCATCGTATTCGTCTTCACCTGAGCTGGTGAAACGGACAACTTGAAGGCCTTCAAGCCGTGCCTTCGCGATCGCCTTTAGTTCTTTCGCGTTCATCTCGACATGCTCTATGCGGCCAGTACCGGGCTGTCCCTCGATATATGTCAAAGGTGTGAAAGAGTATCTGACACTGGAAGGGGCAGTGCCGTTGACAAGGATGGGGACAAATGCGCTATGTCCAGGAGGGGAAAGGCAGAAAGGGTGCGCGTCCGGGTTGAGTTGTGCCGTGCTTATTGGAGACATGTGCACGGTATGTTGTCCCAATAGGTGCTGATTCCTGTCGCGGCGATCAGAGAAGAGCGACACAAGCCTCGAAGGCGACAACATATCCGTCCAGTAGAATGGTTCTGGAGTAGAAGTCAAATCAATTCGTTCTAGGGGTCACATTGTTTCAGTGCGCCACCATTTAATGCTGACTCGACCACGTACGCTGAAGGTTTGAACGCGTGTGCAGGTCAGGCGACCTTTGACCGAAATTCAGACTTATTCCCCCAAACAACAGTCCGTCTGCAAACCATAGCAAGAGGATTTGCACTAAAACTGTGGCCTTTCCGTATGTTAACCGCGGAATTCGCAGTTGCGAAAGCACGACAATATAAGCGAAGTCGATGCAAAGCCACTTCCTGCAATAGTGTTTCGCGTCGTTAGTAAAGAAGTTCTGGAGGACGTCAAAAGCTTTGGTAGCCTAGACGATTGTGAGCCAGCGACCACAAAGGCAGATAGATGCTTGCCTGTAAGAGCAGACCGAGGCTAAGATAATAAAGTCGTTGAGACGGTACATCGATGAAGTTCTCGGGGATGAGCGGACGTCGCGCAGACGTCGACGACTGCCCCGCCATGCTGGTGAGTGCTTTGGAGGGAAGACGACTGGGCACGTGACCCCAAGGCCATTGGGACTCCACTGATAGTACTTACAGTCACTCGACGATAACGGAATCCATCACAGTAAGTGGCACACTTGAATACTACAAGTCGAGCACGATCAATAACTGTATTCACCTTTCGAGTCAGGCTTCCAAGACCACATGAACCACATTCCTCCGCTTCCCGCTCTCGACGCAGACACACAGCTCGAGATCTACACCCACAGATCAATAAGATACACACCAGATGGTCAAGAGAGTGTCGATCGCTTAGCTGAACTCGGCTCTTCCGTGTTGAGCATGGCTGTCGTTCACACTCTGTTTTCAAAGCAACCAAAACTTCCTGCCGAAGAACTAAAGGTACGTCGGCCAGTTCGCCCCAAACCGACCACCCTCAGTCAAGAGCTTGTGTGAAAAACGCCCAGGAAAAACACAATGAAATTTTGATTACAAAAGTGCCCGAGTGGGTGTCCTTGTACGGGATGAAGAGCAAAGTAAGAGGTGTCGCCGACCGGTCGATCCTTGATAGGCCTGAAGTAAGCCTGGCAAAGAGCTGATCGGAACTTGCTCACGATACGCAGGAATATAACTTTCTGTTCAACTCGTATGTCGGAGCTGTATACGACCAGAAAGGATTTCCTTCCATCATTCAATGGATAGGCCGTCTTGTCGACCCTGAGGCTCCGACCATCCCACTCCCAGGAGACGGCGCATCCCCACCGCCCTATACCTCTAATTCTTCCCTTCATTCCAGCCCGGCGGCCACCACCTCGACAACCCTGTCTTCGGCAACCCTAGATAGCCCACCACCACAAAACGTACCACCGTCCATGACTGTTTTGGCGACGTTCAATCAAACATGTGCTCAACGAGGAATGACCATAAACTGGGACGCAACAGCGGACGGCCCATCTCATCAGCCTCGCTGGGTGGTTCGGTGCCTTGGTGAGTCACGACCTCCAACTAACCCGCAGGTGTGCTTATATGTGTACACAGTGAATGGAGTGCTCCGAGGTACAGGTGTCGGAAGAAACCAGAAGGTAGCAAAAGAAGAGGCAGCCAAACAAGCATACCAGTCGTTATGGGGGCGTGAGTATGTTCCTATACCTGCGTGATGGGCACACCCTGACATCAAACTGTTAGATTGATAGCATGCGACGGGTCCAATATGGTGTATAATCCTTCATGTCCGGTCGTGTTTCCACGTTCGTAAGTCTGTATCATTGAAATCATTGTATCCTACATCAGCCAGAAGAAAATATATGCAGCCACCAGAGCTAGTAATATCTTGAGCTGGGGATCCATATTTGTCCACGTTGACCCCCGGTCATCACTAGACGGGGAACCTCTGAGAGTTTGTCCTTGGCCAGGGAACGTGCCAGCAGTGGGACCGGTAAGTTGTTTCAGCGCGTTTTGGAGTCCCCTATGAATCTAGGTCACAGGGTGTGGTGTCAGAATTTCATTTGCAACTCACTGCTTGTCAGCGCCTTTAATCGTATGCACTTGCTTACCACCCTTAAGAAATACGAACGTTGGCCTGATGAGATTAAACCCGTATTTTAGTGGAATCGATTCCCGAGAAGCCATATTTCACATTACATAGCTGAAACACCGTATGCGGATGCGACGTTCTTCGCGGCGTCAACATCACATTTCAGAAAGTTAACACTAGGGTATTCGCTTTGCAAGAGCTTCGAATATTGGGGCTATAGCATGACAAGGTGGGCACCTCGACCAGAGGCTTAGATAGCGGAGAGGGGCCGCTCTTGTTAGATGCTCACCACGTTGCATGGAAATCTATGACCTGTCCAGGACAAACGAACATGGAGGTGAGTTGCGCTGCTGCTAGGTAATGCTTAGGACAACCAACCGTCAACTTATCGTTGGACCCGGATAATATAGTGGTCAACTGAGAAATGGATGTTAAGTGGGTGATTGCCATTGGGTAACCAGGTTGCTCGTGGTTAGAGAGAAAGTCGAGGTGTACAGTCACGTGCATGACCCTTGAAGACCCCATCGCCCAATAGCCATTCCCTGTGGTACTATATACATATTACTATACGACAGCCGTTTTCGAGGCGGCCGCGAACATGATTTCAGGGAGAACCGTTCCATATTCCGCGATATAAACCCATTGGTATTACACTAAAAGTCAACGCCCTGCACACGCGCAGCAACTCTACGTTCCTTCTCATGCACACGTTCTTCATTTCTGAGCAGACAGTAGTCCCCGAACTCGTTCTTGCTCTGCCACCACGATCCTGGGATCCAGAGCGTTCTCGTCAACCTCGATGAATGAGCGGCGTCGAGGAAGGGAAGGCAGACGACACGTTGCCAAACATCTTCGTCAATTGCGTACCTCGGTTCCTGCCGGGACGATGTTGGATGGTGAGGGAAATCAAGATCTACAAGGTAGTCACAGGATTCTACCGGGACCTGGCGGAAAATTAGCATAGATTCAATGCTGCACAGAAGGCCCGCACATAGAATTCCTGAGCCTCCTGGTTTAAGTCGTTTAGCCCCGCTGGCGTTTGTTTAGATCCTTGCCTATCCCACCAGGGGCCAAAAGAACGTTGAAAATGCGCTGGAAGTAATCCCGCGAAGTCACTCTTCACGAAGTCAACTCCGACGCCAGTGGGGACGAGATAATGTCCAGGGAAGCGGTGCCATTCTTTACCCACACAAAGTCTGAGGTTAAACTCCTTGATTGGTGTGAGGTCGATATTTGGCCGATCCCGCTCATCCACTTCGGCTGGAACGGGCGGTAGCAGGCCGGTACTGTTAAGCAAGCGAGGGAGTTCAAAGACCTCGAAGTGGCCATAGATATCAAGCGGTGCATGGTAGTAGTGATAGAGAGCGAGGGTACGGGAGATCGAAATAAGTCCCGAAGCAACGACGACGATGAGTGTCGCTGTACCGAACAATGTCGATCGAGATGCCTGTCGTTCAGTAGAGATTATCGCACCAATGGTCGCACCTGTAAATAATGACCCACCTTGTATGGGGAGTTCGTGATGCGGATATAAACTACTTCCATCCATCCGCGAAGGAGGTAAAGCGTCACAGCAGCGTTGAAGCATAGTAGAGGGTATATGGGGTACATGAAGCGTTCTTCTTTGTGGGCTTGCATTGATAGAATGCCGATCCAGAGGTAAGACGGAACCAAGCGCAATGCCAACACAGTAAATGGAGAACTGCGGCCAGGACTCGACTTCTGGTTACCAAGGCGTTTCTTGTCCACGAAGTAAGAAATTAATAATGATGGCAAGGAGGCAAGGGCAAGGATGAGGAGGATATTAAAGTTCAGGAGGAGATTTGTGATGTAAAAATGCCAGGGGGAGGTGCCATACAGATCTGGGCCGCGTTGAGCACCGCCGAAGATATTATAGCGGACGATGTTCCAGGGCACGAGTGTCCACCGACCATAGGCAACACTGTCAATGGCAACCACAGGGACCTGGCACAGGAGTTATTCTTGTTGACGTGTGAAGGAAAGGAAATGCATTACGAATATAAACAGTGAAACAAGGCCGGCAACGAACAAACGCTTCCAGCGAGTTATGATCCAACGTTTGTACTCGGTTGATACAACGGTGTCACCTGCAAACACGAAACATTCCTCGAATACAAAGGGTAGGGCAAGGGCTAGACCAAATGGCCACCCAACAATAGCCCCTGTGGCAAATAATAGAGTGACCAGTAAAGTTCTGCTACCATTCTTCAAACTGGATGGTTCAAGAGCATGAGCAAACGCGAGGGTGGTAGCATACATGACGAATGACGATGGCAGAAGCGCTAGTAAGATTTGAAAGGCCGTACGACGAGAGAAGAACATCCCTGCTGACCTGGAGAAGCAATCCACATGCCGGTGTTGAAGAGAAGCATGAAGAACAAGTATCGGGCGACGCGCTCGTTAACCTTATCAACAACCACCCTACAAAACTTGGCTTCACAGAGGGTGGACATGACAGCAAGAGCTATCCGAACCGCGAAGAAAGCTGGTCTCTGTGAAAGTATTAGTTGAATGTCATTGGTAAGCATCCCATGGAATGGAACTACTTTTCCGGAAGAAAAGAAGGCGCCTAATCTTGCTAGCGGAAGGTGGAGTAGAATATATCCCCAACTGCGGATGGCAAACGTTGGAGTGACTTCCCACGTCTGGAAGCCGTTTCCGTGCTCCAAAAAATGTAGGGGTTCCCAAAAATTGAACACTGTGCAATGTTCAAGATGTACTTAGAGGAAGGAGGATATACGCACCCTCGTCACAGTCTTGAATGTTAGAGTACATCGCTCCAGCTACACGAAGAAGAAGCAGTATTCGTACGGCTGTGCTATAGTCCGGATTCCATGGTCGCCGAGCAGCCCTGCGTATTTTTGAGCAGACGTTAAAACAAAGACCGCCATACTCACCTGCGAAGCTGATCTTGGAGTATGCCGGTGTGTCTTGGTTTTGGAGGTGCCGCCAGCTTTGGGACCTCTGGTGGACGTCGAAGGCGCAATACTTGGCTGGCCATGGTAATCGGTGACTGGGTCCGACGTGTTCTATCCTGCACCAACCTCTGTGTGCTATCACGTGATTATGCATGATCAATTAGCCCCTAAGTCGAACGTACTTTTGAAAGGAGACTGGCCCTATAATTTGGACATCTCTAGTTCCTCGTCTTTCTGTTTTTGTTTTGCTTTCTTCTTGTAGGCTGTGGAAGCAGTCACTTCAGGATCTCCACCTACGTATAAATGCAATGGTATCACGATGATGCTGGTATCTGGCATATTTGACCTTATCATCCCACTTGAATGTACTAGTCCACTTTCGCTGTCTGTCCGAATCAACGTCAACAGTGGTTCGCTGACGAACCGGTTATGGGTGTTGCCCAAGCCCCTGACACCTGCGGGTTTACCCGTGTTGTTTAATTGTCTCCGACCCCACTGGCGTGGAGGTGCACACAATCGATAATACCCGCTATGTAATATCTCTCATCCGATCCAATCACTGACCAGGACTTGGTCACTGAGCTACAATTTCGTTTTGCTGTTGCCAATCACACGGCACTGGGACACACGATGATGTCCATATATGGGTAGCCTGCGGTTCAATGTGCTCAAGCTGTCGCTGACTCGAGCGACCTATCTAACACTCCCAAGATGTTTGTCGACCTCCCGCAAGAAACTTTGCTTCACATTTGTACGTCCCTATTCATACATGCGCTTAATTACTCATGATACTCGTCAACAGTTTCATTTCTTGATCTTCCTGACCTCGCTGCTTTGGCTCGCGTAAACTGGCATTTGGCCTCACTGACAGCGGACCCCGTGCTTCATCGCACGCGCTTACGAGTCATCACGCCGTCCCGGGTGGATCACTCATTATTTGGAAGGAGCCCCCAAGGAACACTTCTGAGACCCACCCTACAGGAGCTCGTGCAAAGGGGCGTTTTGCGTGGACTACATATTGAGAGGAGATGGCGCACGGGAGGGTATCTCTATTCGCCTCACGTGGGTACTGTTTCCTCCTCTCTATGTGTACCCCCTGTTTCTTAAAGCGAACCGACCAGTGGGTGAAGCTGTATGAGAATAGCCTCCGCCTGAATCAACAACATACTCGGGCCGTGATCTCCGCTCATCTTCGACGCCGACCCCACATGCCCAATGCGCTGAAAGCGCTCCACCAATTACATGTCTTGCCTGATACCGAATCCTCAACACCATCGATATCCCGCACACTATTACCTGTCGTCCACAGGTTGAAGTGGTCCATTCAGAAGGACAGAATGGCAAGGATCATTCGGGGGAGTATGTGCGGTATGATGGCGAGTGGTATCGACTCTAAGGGAGCTTCGCATTCTCACTCGGACCGTTTCGGCGCATGGATCGAGTGCCACGGGCAGAATATTTTTGGAGAGTCCGAAAGACTGAGACTTGCTCTTTGCCCTGGTGTGAGAAAGATGATCCAATTCTACGAGAGGATGGCATGCTAAGTAAGTATTGGTGATGTTTGCAATGGTTCCTCTGCAAAGAGGACTGTTCCTATTGTCTGAATCCTCTTCTGTTGTACTTCTTACACTGGCGGGACCTGCCATTACGTAGAAGCAAGGTTCTATGTTCCTACAGTATCGCGGCACATATGAATGATCTCCAAGCACTCGTTTATGTTAACACTCTATCTGTTGCGGAGGTTCCGCAGTAGGCAGGATTTCTTAGCACCAGTCAAGTCTTTCTGACAAACAGGCATTCAGCGGGGCTGTTCCAGAATCGTAAGATGATTTTGCTCAGGGTGCTCAGTAGTAACATTGAAGTTGGTAACGCGGCGCGGGCGTCGTCACGTGACCGACAACGTCGTTAGTCCCGAGTTGTGAGCGCTTCAGGTCAAGATAATGGGCAAATCGCCGACGCCATTCTAGCACCATAAAACCTACCTAAAGTTACTAGGGCTGCCCTGTTGATTGGAGATGAAACGAGAGCTGGAGTCGTTGGCCGGAGACCATGAAGTGGATGCTCCACGAACGAAGCGACGCAAGGAACAGCTAACAGCTGCTCAACTACCAATTGCGACGACAACGGAGAACGCAAACGCTAGCAACGATGAGGAGAAGCTGGACATGAGCGGCTCAAGCGCTGACCAGGGGACGTTAAAGGAGCAGGCAATGAGGTTGTGGCAGGTGGTCAGGGATGCAGTCAACAAAGAGTGCGTCACAATACCTGAGTTGAGCGCCGCCTCACAGGTTCCGCTTTGTATCCTGTCCACATTATGACTGAAACTCACATCTCAGAGGCAACATATGCTCACCGCCATTCATTCGTTTGCCGTTGAAACGCCAGTATCCTGACTACTATTTTGTTATCGCGCAACCTATATGTTTGGATGACATCAAGAAGAAAATAGATGATGGCCGTTATCCTTCGCTCGACGACGTCAGACAAGACTTCGAACTATGCTTCACTAACGCAAAGCGGTATAATATGAAGGACAGTCCTATCTGGCTGGATGCCAAGTTCCTTCTCGTGAGTGTCCATGGAAAACTTCGTTATTTAACATATGGACTTTACCCCACGCAGAAAGTCGCGAATAAGGAATTTTCCAAAATTACGGGGAAGAAGGTGAAGAAGAGCGGTGAAGACGAGGACAACGGGGAGGAAAAGGATGAAGGTGAAGGTGACGACGACAAGAGAAGGAACAAACCTCCAAATATGAACCGTCTCCTCAAGGCAAGGCTTCAGAAGCTGGTGGAGAAAACAGATGAAGAAACGTGAGTCGAACACGGTTTCTTAGATGCACGATCTCCAACACATACTACTCCCAGGCATCGAGTCCTTTCTGACGCCTTCATGGAGATGCCATCAAAGAAAGACTACCCCACGTATTATAAGGAAATCAAACGTCCCATATGCATCGAGACTATATTCGTACGGCTCAATGACTACCTAAGGAATGGACTTTTCCATGTTGACTTTACGTGCAGAAACGTCTGAAACGCAAAGAATATTCTACATCGGAGGAGTTTGCAAATGATGTCGAGCTGGTGTTTTCCAATGCTTTAACATTTAACCAGGACCACAGCCAGATCTGGGAAGATGCTGTTACGCTACGGGCTAGTGGGACGTTATCCTGCTCTGTCGTCGATACTGACCTGCCGAATAGGACTACTTTCGTCAATTGATGTCTGATCTCCCTCCCCCTTACACGCTTTCCAGATACATGAAGGCTACAGGGAAAATTAAGCTGAAAGTCCCAGGCGGAGCAACGACAACGATCGCGGCATCCACATCTTCTCCACAGGGTACTGGGGTTTCAAAGGACCAACCAGCAACGCAAGCCCCACTAACGCTTCGTTTGCCTGCGGCGAGTTCTGTTATCACTACCAAAATTCCTGCTCGCCCCTCCGAGCCGTCGCCTCAAGCATCTACTTCTGCAGCTCCAGCGGCACCGGCACCTTCGCCCGTACCTACACCGATATCCGCACCAGCACCAGCACCAGCAGCTGCCCAAGCCCCGCCTTCTGTTCCGGTCTCGGCCACGCCGGTCACGCCCTCTCCCTCCATCCAGACCCCGAATGTAGTGGTACTGCCGAAAATTGCTGCCCCCACCCCCAAGGTTGCTGCTCAGCCCCTTACCTACGCTACACCTACACAGTACACCCATTACCCCAACGCAGCATACCGCCAATCTACACAGACTACTGCAACACCGCAGTCGTCTACGGTGACTTCAACCTCATCCACCAAACAGCATACTGCTCATTCGGTGTCGAGATCCCCTGCTCCGTCTCTCAGTGGTCATCGACCTCTTGCAACAGTTTTGATTGTCACAAAACCTCGGGGACGACCACTTTGGCTGGATTATCGTGACGGTGTCAAATCTTGGGCGCTGAGGCTTGGTCAAGGGGAACAATCATTGTCAATTGTCGATGTCAAATTCCTCCGCGAGGAAGATGGAGATAGCAGCGAGGAAGAAGCCCGCGATGACGCAGAAGGCGCGGAAGAGGCTGAGGAGCCAACCCCTAAGAAGCGCGGACGGGGTCGTCCAGCAAGAGGCGGTAAAGCCAAAGGTTCTGCCTCTGGGAAGGAGGTTCATGTCCCTAAGAAGTCTCAAGCGGCGACCACCCCTCCGCGTGAGAACATCCAAGTTGTACTAAACGGTACGCCGGCATCAGCAAAGGCTAACCAAGGAATATGGGAAATCGAACTGCAAACTGGCACAAACATTTTGGAAGTGGGAGAGAAGGGAGGTCATACCTGGAGGGTCCATATGGAAAGGTCATCCGTCGTTTGATGGTCTTGGTGATGTTCTATCACCACCTTCGCTACTTAGTCCTTTTAATGCGTAATGAATGCTGTACAGTCCCCTTGTAACTTTTTACATTATGAGGTCTTTAGGGTATGGTGATCCATCCGTTCGTTCAATATACACTGATCGAGTCTGCCACTACGTGGATCTCCGTCAGGACCAAAGTCACTGTCATGCTCCAACAATGCCTCAGGTTCATAGAGCTGATATCTGCCTTTCTCAGACACTTGGGTCTCTATGTATCTCTGGAGCATCTCTTCTCTATCCAACGGGCGAACCTCGTAGCCCTCGGACCCACGTCGTAATTTGATTCCTCCACAACCTTCTAAGTCGGTGTCCAAATCAGGCGAAGAACACTCCAGAGATTGCGTGCTGCAGTTTTCTTCAAAATCTGGATGATATGGGGGTAGAGCAGACGTATACGCTTGGTGACTGTAGGACTCCCGCATGTTCGAGCTTGACGGACGGAGATTTGGATTGACACTCTCGTTCCCATACGTCCACGGGCTCTCAGGGAGCTTGAATGGCATTTTCTCAGCGGTCGGGTCACGAGGTGGCCAAGAGTGCTGGCTCTCCACGTCTGGGATGATCGAGGGTTGGTCAGCAGCGTTTTGGTGAACATACAGAAAATGTGTCGGAGACAAAGCCAAGGATAATGGATCGTCCTCGTAAAGTAAGGAAAACTCAGGCCACTCACAATCTCCAGAGGACAGCTGGTATTTAAGTCCATGTCCTTGCGGTGTTGATGGACAGCACCATTTGAGGGGATTGTTCCCGAGCACGGAGGTGATATTCCGCCAAGCACCCAAGTCCTGCGCAATTATGAGTGAGGGTTATGATCAGCCCTCAATCCACGTACATAAGGATACTTGACCTTTAAGCACTGTAAGATGGGTCACACCGAGAACATTAAATGCCCACCTCGCGGATTTTTCCGTGCCGTATGAGAGTGGCTGCTTTGTCTTTCTCCCAACCTTCGATGGTTGTGGTGTTCGTTAGGAGGCCATGGAAATGATAAAGGCTATGGAACCGCCTAAGTATGGGCAGGTGCCCCGGTAAGAACACATACCTGAAAGCTCCCACGGTGAGAAGAACCGGAACAACAGTGACGAAGTTCATAATAATAAAGAAGAGTCCTTTCGCAGAAGGCTCGTCCTGGAGTGCGCGATTCAACCAATACCGATAACCACTTACAACGTACTCACAAAATAGCGTCTTCCGCTGAATGAGAAGACTCTCCGAGTGACCATGGCAAGGTGATACGAGCAACACACATCAACGTAAAACAAGAATCGAACGAAGTACCCGTAGTTGAAGTAGCCGATGCAATTATTCACCCACGGACAGTGGTGGTCTGTGAACCAATGAGGCTAATACGGTGAAAGTCCGTGCAAAACGACGGACCCATGCGCAAGATGCAACTGGAGGTCATATTGTCGAAATTGTCAGGGAACCAGCGAATGTCAAGGGGAGGGGACACACCGGTTACACTGTTTGCAATGATGAGCCCTTGGTGGCTTGTATCTTTTGCATGTGCGGCAATACCGGGGTCCACCAGTATGTTTCTTGACTTCGTATTCTTCGCCAGAGCCGATATCTGGTTCCTGTCAATATACTATGGTTAGTTGAGTGCCAGAGGAACATGGTCGCATGACAGGCTACCCAACCATCAGGCGCTCTACCGGGGTCCGTAACTATGCAGAGGTAGTAGTTCCACAGTAACATGACCGACACGACACTGGAGGGAGGCGGTCAGCAAAACACCCTCCGTCCGATGCTAGGCTCACTTGAAAGGTAGCAGCAAGAATATGAGCTCGGCTGTCCACATGTGGCCATACCAGGGCCATACGATGAAGACTTGGGAAGTGAGAACAGGAAATAGGATAAGAAAGAGCACGAATGTAACTGCCAACCGTCCTAGGAAAGTGTTCATGGGGACCTTGTGGATTGAAGCCACAGTCTGACTTTGTAGTATGTGTCGCTAGTTTCAAGTTTGGTGTGTTATACGTAGTACCACACAGTAACACCTCTCCGCACGGGCCTTTCCTGTTCGGCCATGTTGCAGCGACGGGGCGTCGGTACCACTGTACACCGTTCCAACATTCTACTGCAGAGTGGTATACCCTGTCGGCTGAGATGGGTTTTGCACTATTCTGACCTGGCCTCGGTGACGACGGGTGCTGACCCTCATCGCCCTAAAACTTCGCTAGGCAGCATTCTCACCCGTGAGTCTACCTTTCTTTTTTTCACAGTTCAATCGCACTCATAGACCGATGACAACACAATCAGGGTCCAGCAATCGACCAGCCCCACCTCCTAAGCGACCGGTGCAACGACCTTTGGATAATGTTCGACCACGCTCAGATGCGTCACATCCGCCACCCTCCGTACGACCCAGCCGGAATGCAAATGACAGCAAGGGGATAGAGCTACGTCAAATACCCTCTCAGCAATGTGTTCGGCCTGCGGTGGCTGTGGACTCGAAGGATGAACCCCCGCACATGCAAAACGCGGTTACAAAGGGCAGTACAATTCAATCACCCCAACTCGCATCTGAGAGAGAGCATGCTCGTGAATTTGTGAAAGCCCCACCGGAGAGCAAGGGCGAGAACCTGCCTCAGACCAATCTCGCTGAATTTTTCGCACCACGGGTCTACTCAGCTCAAAAAACCAGAGGAAGGGGAGGAGATTACTCCGGCTATCTTCCTCCTGCGGTCACCCGCTCACTTGATAGCCTTGGACCGTTCGAGCGCGCTCTGCTAGCCTTGGGAAGGAACAAGGACGTACCCTACGAGTCAAGACGCCGGGCGATGGAGATCATCAGCCAGAGCATTCCTAGTCGAGCGAGGAAGGGTACGTCCTTCGTGAGCAATCGGCCACAGATGCTAACACTAGCTGACATGATCGTAGCATGACTTTCCTCTCATTAGATGTGCTGAACCGACTCGATTAATACATGAATAGAGCTTCGAATAAACATAAGATAATCAGTGCACTGCTGCGCTAGTACGGTGCTAAGTAACAGCAGGCAGCTCGGTGCCGGCAGCCATACATTCCTCTCTCGCGTCTGACCTCGCTGAAGGCGAAGGAACTCGTATCCAAGACGGAATCTCAAAATCTCGGACTTCCTCTATTTCCGGGGGAACCTTGGTACCAAAGGCTGTAACATGCCTTTGAGTCTTTCGCGTGTTTAAAGAAGATCGATGGCGCTCTGCCCATTGCACGAGCATACAAGCCTCTGCTTTTGGCGTTCCCGAGTGCGCATACCTGGTACAGCGATCAGGGGTGGAGTAGGGAGAGTCAGAATCCTCTCTTGGACGTTTCCGTGGACGCTCCGGGGAACTGTTTCGGGGCACTGGCTTTGTGGGCGATATCGAGCGGTGAGAAAGGGCCTCTGAGTTTGCTTTTGGGGAGCTAGGGAATAACCACAGATGATCTTTCTGCCGAGCTGGAGGAACTTTGATCTTCAAGATGATGGAAGAGCTATTTGGCTGAGGAGCGGAAGGACTGACAAGCTCTTCCAGGTGACGGGCATCAGAAGAGCTCAGATTGACGCTGCTTTGTCGACTAGCGCTCTTGAGATCTGCTAGTTTTTTATCGGAAGGCAATAATGTACGATAACGTTCCTCCAACATCGACGCAACTTCCAGCATCTGCTGCCGCCGTCTTTCTCCTTCGTTGTGGGCAGTGGTTCCGTTGGCATGCAGAGAGGAACCAATTCCGTCTGCCGTGTGATCTCTTTCTCGTGGCAAAGAGAATGACGAGGCAGGTAGAGCAAGGAACGCAGAACTGTCCATAGCTCTGAGTTGCTCGATACGTTCCTTCAGCTTGTACTGCTCGTGCTTCAATTTCTCCTTCTCCCGCAACCGTTGCCGTTTCTCGAAGGTCTCGTACTTCCGATGCCTTTTCTCGTACGCTGCGTCTGATGTGTCCACCGAGACCTGCTGGGATCCCTGGATCAGCCGTAGGAATCAACTGAGCAGACAGCGTGCCTACCTCTGCTGACGACCGGGGTCTGAAGCGCCCACCCACAGAAGCATCCTCTGGCAAAAGTGTGAATTCAGGGGTCTGAATGATCTGCTGTTCCCGATAGGCCTTAATAACATCGGGCCGGTCAAAGTAGCGCTGTCTCGCGACGGTGTTCAGTTGAAATACGTTCGCGCATCTTGAACCGTCCGCTGAAGTGGAGTCCGTTGTCAATAGGAAGGGTGTGTCCGCAGGAACCAAGGGTTCGTTATCGACTGAACGGTGTGAGCGTGCGTGTAGTGCGATGTAAAATATGAAGCCACGAACATCGTCGCCTCTGCGCGTCTAGTATCATAAGGTCGACGTCACAACTTCCAATACCGGGGCCCCCGCGACGGGACCGCGAGGGAAGGACGCGTTTCTGGCGGGAATTCGGCGTTGAGTTTGACGCTGCATCTGCCATGGGCAGAAAAACACGGAGAGCGTTATGTGGGCCACGATGTCGACCGCTGTGCACTTAACCAACGCCGTAACGCGGGTAGGGCCGTCACTCTTAACGAAAAATTGCAAGGAGGGAGAATGAAACCAAATCGCTAACGAGGTCTCGCACTAGAGAACTATGTGGTGTAATGTTCACCGGTGCCGGTGCTCCCCCGTAATTGTTGATGCGAACAAGGGTGGGCCAAACGCAACCAAGCGCTCACAATACCACCAGCCCCTCCAACCTGGTACTATACAAACTGCCAACCATCGTGGGCCAGGACTGCGACAGCCTTGTCTACATCCCCTGCAGGTATCAGTACATAGTCCGTATTCCTTGGAAAATCCGTCAGGGCGCTGGAGATGGGCCACTGACGGGGAAGAACAAACCATGTTGAAATGACGAACACTGGGATTTTCGCCTCCTTCAGCGGTGCCGTGAAGTTGCACATCACCCCCGTCAGCCCTAAACTCCATATGAGCGCCGTATCACTTAAAGGTCATCGTAATATGTAGTGACCGAAGTCCATCGGACCCAGAATCTTGATACACTTCCATCGACCTTCACCCTCACATGCCTGATGGACAATGGAGACCTTCCTCGGCAGTGCGTGTTAGGGAGAATAAACCAGCTTGATTCAAAGATGCCCGGAGACTATCCAACACATCCAATATATCGTAGGTCACAGGGGTACTGCTTGATATCAAATATTTGTTGCAGAACTTGCAGGCGAAATGCAGGGTGGTCGGCAGGTGGAGGCATCGTAAAGCGAAGAGGTATGTGCAGATACGACGAGCCGCCCGTTAGACTCAATGATTTGCCATGCAGTCACACCGGTTTGTCCAAATACACGACGTGGAGGAAGTCCACAAGGTCAACAATAATCAACTAAACATCTACTTGTCGTCTGGTTACCACATTCTTGGTTGCATCTCCGTCGCCGTTTCAGACAGAAAGCATGAGCTCTCGAAGCAGACACGCTACAGGTCACACTGTTCGACTAGCTGACCTCGGTGGGGGAGTCCCGAGGTCATGCTAAACGAAGCTGAATAAATGAAATTACATTGGAGTGTATGTATCCCCGTCTGCAGAATCATCGCCAGGCCGTGTCCATGGGACACTCCAACCCTGTTGTGACTGCTCCGTGTAATACGGGACAGCCTGTTGCGTCTGCTGGGAATTCCATGGTCCCATGTTACCTGGCAATGCAAACCCGAAGGCAGATGCAAAACGAGGGTTAATGTGTGGTTGAACGGGGGGCTGGTAACTCTGCGACTGGAGACTTCTCGATTGTGGATAATACCAAGACGTTGGCTCAGACTGTGACGGTGAGTACATCGAAGCATCGCTGGCAAAATTCCCAGTCGTTGCACCTTCAAACGCACTTGGAGATGATGACGGGTGACCTCCAGGAAGCCCATGTCGAGCCACTATGATGGCGCCCAAGTCGGCCTCGAGACCCCCGACCTCTAGGACCCTTTACCTCACGTTGGTGACCACGTCCACGTTGGCCTCTACCCCTCCCTCGAGTTTCAAAAGTTCTCTCGGCCGCGCTGGGGTGCGGTCGTTGCGAGCGTACATGTGCAGGCTTGTCAAGTTCCTGACCTACTGCCTCAGGTGGGGGTTGTTCAGCGTAAGGGTCGTCGTAAGGTAAGGGAGCTTGCCGAGATGGGCCAGATAAACTATAATCGTCGTCATATGGTCCATGTGCATCGTAGGGATTAGACCTAGTGAAAAGTTCGTCAGACATCCTGTCTGGATACAGTTGCTGGGGCACAGGAGTGGTCTGCCTGGATGACGCAACGGATTGCTGGCGCCTGTTTTACAATTCAATGCAAGGGCCACCGAGACAATGTGAGATCCCTCACCTTTTTTTGCGTTGTTGCTTGAATGCCGCTTCCTGTTCGTCATCAGAGAACTCCAGCTCGTCCTCTGCAGGTTCTTCGTCATGTATATTGCTAGCATCGCTTCCACGGATCCTTTTAAGCTGTTCAACGAAGACGTACTTGCTCCTTCGAGGGACATGGAAAACTTCGCGTGACATTCGGATTTTCTCCGTGTCCACTGGGTACTTTTGATTGAATTTTATCTGATACAGAGGCTGCGATGTGGGCCCGAACGTTTCGTATATCTAGTCAACGTCAGCACCTTAGCGGAAGGAGGAGAAGACAGACTCGCATAGCCAAGGACTTTTCTATCGTCGAACACGAGTAGTGTTTCAGCGTCCAAAGCGCGTTCAGACAATGTTTTCAGGTTGTCAGCCAGAAGACCTTTAACTACGACGACATTTCCAACAATACTCATGACTTCGCCGACCTTCTCGAGAGTGTCTTCCGAACTAACTTCAGATACTTCGGGAATGACGATGCCTGCGTCGACTACCTCATTCTTCGTATGGACATCATGTCCAGTATCACCAGTTGCCCCCGCATCTTCGTATTCGTTGTCAGAGCCATGATCATGTGAGGCTAAGGCGTGAGCGTCCCTTAGTGTTGGTTCTACATTGGAGTCTTCCTCTGAGCTTGATTCTAACTCAGAATCCGAGGGCGAGCAGGGATGTGCTGCGCCATCCGGTACCTCACTAAAAGAACCCAGTAAAGCAAACGGTTTTGGAAAGGCAAGGAAACTCACTCTTGTTTTTCCTTGTCTTCTTCGACAGGAACAAGGTCTGCTTCTACCTCCACCTCGCTGTCGATCTCGTTGTCCGTGCTAGCGATCGAGTCGTCATCACTCGTCACTTCATCCGTTTTCGGGCAGGTTTTCGCGATGGACGGTGTTGTTGCAACGATGCCTTGGATAAGAAGCAGATCCTGAGGAATAGTGTGTGGCTTTCTAAACTCGAAAGCCATACCGAAGTCGTCAGCCGTCTGGTATGACGCGCACCAAATTTTTTTGGATTCCATCACAAATCACGTGACTGGACGCGTTGAGAAAAAAAAAAAGAGCTCGTTATTAGTTATTAGTGAACAACGTCTTCATGGCACTACTGTCTGTGTTCTACCGACGACCGGTATCTGTCTCCCCAGCATGCCTCTACGGAAGGGCGTCCTACTCCACTACGCAAAAATCACCCATACATCTGGTTCAGGAGCTGCGCAAGCTCACGGACGTTCCGATATCTAAGGCACGGGAAGCACTGGCTGCCTCTAACGACGATGTGGAGGCTGCATTGAAATGGATAGAGAAGGATCTCGCCGTTTCCGGTGCCAAAAAGGCAGCCAAGGTTGAAGGGCGTACGACACGGGGGGGGCTCGTATCTGTTTGCGTCCTTTCGAATGGCACTCGGCAAGACCCTACCGGAGTGTCGAGCGAATTGGGAGGTGTCCGTGCCGCCATGATCGAATTGAATTGCGAGACGGATTTCGTGGGGAGGAACGAGTTGTTCGCACGACTGGCGGCCGACATCGCGCACACAGCCGCGTTCATTACAGAACACGATGCCTCTTCACCAAGTTTTATCAGACCCTGTGCCTTGGACGTTCTAGGAGATGCACCACTACTTTCTCAAAGCGAACCCCACGTGCAGACATCCTCAACTGTGTCTAGTTCGATACGGGATCTCATTGCGAAAGTGGGGGAGAAAATCTCGTTAAAGAGAGCCGTCACCGTGGTGCATGGACCTCTACGCAGAGAATCTCATGTGCTGGGTCTCCGCGTGGCTTCATATCTTCACGGAGCTACGAGTTCTGGATTCCAAGGCCGTATTGGGTCCGTTGCAGTCCTGGGGTTGAAAACGCCAAGGCTGCCAGAGCTTATGTCCAGAAAGACGTTCGTGCAGGACCTCGAGAAGTTGGAACGCGCGATTGGTCGTCAGATAGCGGGTTTTGACACCCGTTCTATACGTTCAACCCCCGATGACGAAACTTCACTATACAACCAACCGTTCATGATGCTTGGGGCGGAGGGTGCAGATGAAACTGTTCGTCATGCCTTGAACAAGTGGAGTCAGCAGCGAGGAATGGTGGATGATGACGCAGAAGGCGGGATCGAAGTCTTAGAGTTTGCCAAGTGGACGGTTGGGCAAGATGTCGAGTAGGCTCATACCACTACTCATTTCGCGTATCGATAGTAGTATTGACAACGTCCCCTCATTATGTATGAAGTCAAGGTCTTTACTAAGACTCCATAGCTAAGTGGTTATAGCATGCGATTGCAGATCGCAGGGTCCCGTGTTCAAATCACGGTGGGGTCTGCTTTTTTTATTTTATTTTTCTATTTGTCCTAGTTTGTTTCTCCAAATGTGTGTATGACATAATCCAAGTCTCTTCGCTGCTGACGTTGCTCGTCATGAGAACCGTCCTGCGCAATGGCAGCGGAAAGCGACTACAAAGACATTCCTCGCAGGCAACCCTTCCACCCTTAAAGATAACTACCCTCCCAAACAAAATTCGGGTTGCGACCGAGTCCACTCCGGGTCATTTTGCTTCCGTTGGCCTCTATATCGACGCCGGTTCACGGTATGAGGACTCCTCGACTTCGGGAGCCAGTCATTTCTTGGACAGGATGGCATTCAAGGTGCGCCTTCTCTTTTTGCGAGAGACCCTGCTCTCTTCTAACGACGCAAAAAGAGCACTCGCACACGCTCGTCCGAGGATATGGCTAGAGTAATGGATAGGCTAGGAGGACAGATCATGGCATCCTCCGCTCGTGAAACCATCATGTATCAGTCCTCTCACTTTGACCGCGCCACTCCTCTTGCCCTCTCTCTCATATCCGAAACAGTTCTTCAGCCCACATTCGCAGTCGAAGAGCTCCACCTACAAAAAGACGCGGCCCAGTACGAGATAAGGGAGATCAACAATAAGCCGGAAATGATACTTCCAGAGGTGCTGCATGAGGTTGCATACGGCCTGCGAGGACTCGGGAATCCCCTCATGTGTCCCGGCGACCGTATAGACACCATCACTCCTGACCTACTTCGGCAGTGTATTACCAATTGGTACACTCCTGAGCGCATGGTTATTGCTGGTGCCGGCATGCAGCACGAGCAACTTGTCGAATTGGCTGACAAGTACTTTTCGTCACTTAAACCTACGACTTCTCCTTCGCCTTCCACGCCCCGTCTATCAACAGCCTCGGTGGCTCCGCCACACCTTCTTCCATCGTCACAGCCGTCTGTGTACAAATCACTCACCCGCGCAGCGTCATACCTGTATCCCAACTCTTATACCGACGTTGTTAATCCCGTCAATCCTGGCTCACTTTACGTTGGTGGCGTACGACACATTCCAAGCGTAACCCAGGAGTTTGACCATCTTTATCTTGCGTTCGAGGGCGTAGGCATACATGATGACGATATCTATGCCCTTGCCACTATGCAAGTACTACTCGGCGGTGGAGGCAGCTTTTCGGCAGGCGGTCCGGGTAAAGGGATGTATTCTCGACTTTACACTCACATCCTCAACCACTTCCCGCAAGTGGACCACTGCGCCTCGTTCCACCACATCTACTCTGACTCGTCGCTTTTTGGGCTATTTGCGTCCTTCGTGCCAGACATACCGATGCAGAAGGGGAACACGCCCGCCCAAATATTGCCTCATCTTGTGCATCAACTGAATTTGTTGATATACCAGAGTGTTCCAGCAGTTGAGTTAGAGAGGGCCAAGAATCAGCTCAAATCTAGTTTGATGATGGCATTGGAGAGCAGGGCAGTGGAAGTGGAGGATTTGGGTCGTCAGGCAAGACTCCTAGTATTCGAGTTTCCCCAGAGGCTGACATGATTATTCCAGATATTGGTGCATGACCGCAAGATACCTGTTACTGACATGACTGCAGCTATTGACAAAGTCACACCAGAAACCATTCGTCGCGTCGCAACCCGCCTTTTCGGACCTCAATCTGGGAACAAAGCATCTATTGTTACCATGGGTAGAGGAGATTTGGGGGATTGGCAAGCAACGCTCCGCAAATACGCCGTCGCCGACGTGTAGCACTCGCACTCAGTGCCGGATCTCGGACCATCACACTCATGTATAGGTTGTGCCAGGATCAACTATTATTCACAGACTTTGGAAACTAGACGATGATAACTAAAGGGGTATAACACTATCCTGTGTGGCAGAGGTACAAGATATCTTATCCACAAATGGTAGGATATTCTAAATTGGTGGGGTCTTGGGGTATCCATCCGTTAGCAAGTCCAGCCTGGTATGACCACTCATCTGCATTTTCCGCTTTCCATGTCCACATCAACCATCCATCGGCCTTCTCGTAAGAAATTACCTGCGCTTCCCAGAACTGTCGAAGGAAGGTCTTATAGCTCGAGCTAAAGGTAGATGCACTCCCCGTCCAGCCATTGCAGCTACCAACGTAGGTTGAGCCGGGATATGTGCCGTCGTAGCGTGCACCAATACCGCGCCCATTCAAGTACGTGGCACAGTCGGTGATGGCAGGTGACCATTCGCCAACAGCGAAGCCAGAGGTCGAAATTCGACAAAGTGCTTTGTGTCTGGCATGCCGCAGAAATGTGCTGCTGTTCGGTCATCTCGACGTCCTAAACGTGAACAATTAGGAAGGCTACGTATGCAAATCAAAGGACCTTACAGCATCCGAGAATACTTGATAGATATGGGTGTCCATCATTACACCCTCGAAGTTGGGCGGGGTTTCCCATCCGTTCCAGTAGCTGAGAGGCTGGAAGGCATCATGGATCATCTCGACTGTGTTGCCCTGCTGAGAGGTGCCGTAAGGATATCTATTGAATTGTGTGTGAACGGAAGCGTTACATGCTAGCCCTAAAATCGCACCTGATGTTCCCGTAGGAATCAAGGTAGTACTGCCGCAGAGGATCCATCATGGACGAACCGATATAGCCTGCTGGTCTAAGCACATGGGCATGAGGAACCGATCGAGCCCATAACCATTAGCGAACTTACTCGTTCAAAGGAGCAATGATGGGTACAACGTTTTCTTGACCTGCAAACATGGAAGCGATGGTCTTTATGATGTCATCGGTGCGCTGGATGTTGGTTTGATTCGACTGCCAAGTAGGGTAAGACATCCGGTGCCCTGAATTATCATAGCTGCGTTTCCCCGGTGAATCGCATTAGCAACAGATTGGTCCAACATACGCACCCATTCTGGCTTCCAGGAGCCCCGTGTAGATCGACGATAACGTGCAGGCCGTAGGTACTTGCCCATTGCACGGCATTCTGCAGATAAGGCAGCTGGCCCTGAATGTACGGTTCTCCCGGACCGACTTCAAAGGCCCAATATCCGATGGGAATGCGGATGTGGTTTAAACTGTTGTGACCTAAGGCCATGTGTAGGTAGAGTGTGTGAATGAACATACCCTGCAGCGGCAATGGCGGCAATGTCGCTTTCGGTGATCCATGTGTTCCAGTGGTTCTGGAGGACACCGAGGGCCGTGTTGTAATCCTGATACTGGCAAAAAGTCCACTCGTCGACAATGCTGCTATCACCAGTGTTGTCGAAGATGCTCGGAGTTATCCATGGCTAGCGGTCGGTCAGCCCGTGGTGGCGAAAGTCATGATAATGACGAACCTCCAGGACAAGCCACCCGCCGAGATTGACCCCCCGCACCTTCTGGGTCCCATAAGGAAATCCAGGGGCGAAGGAGAGGGCGGTGGGTAACACAGCAGCAAGCGCGAGGAGGGTGGTGTGGACAAAATACATTGGGTACGGGTGGCACAAAGGAATGGAGAACCCGACACCGAAATTTTTATAGTCTGGCGGGGGTTGGGTTCGTGATCGAGACTGAGCCGATTTGGGCCATCGAATTAGCCGGTTTGTTGAAAATGCTCTTTAAGATCGGCTCCTCAAGTGAGAACCCTAAAGACCAGATTCCCCTGCAAGGCGCAGTGGAACACCATTGCTTCCATGTGCTTGAGAATTCACAAAAAGGAGCCGCGGATGACCAGGCCACAAGCAAAGCATCCAGGTGGCCCATTTGGCATAGCTTTGTGAAAGAGGCAGACCACCGTTCCGTGGAAGGACTTATGGCTGGGGGATGAATTTGATGAATTGCACTAACGTGACATGATGGAGAAGACCTACGTAGCAGTGTTGTGTTTTTAGTAGGCGACCGCGTGATCAGCCCAATATTAGGCTCGGCTATAACACGCACCCCACCGCGTACAAAAATATCACTGACCATGGATATGCAACTTGCGAAGGCGTGGCCCGGGATCTGGTCATCGAGCTTTGCAGGTTGATCCACCGCACTGCTACCGTAGATCGTACAGATATCAATCTCAGCTGTATTTCCGAGAGTTCTCGAAGGTAGAAATTGAGTCACCCCTCACAACGAGTCTTAGTGTGTCAGTGTGTGATGAAAATGTCGTAAAAATGTCCAGGTCTTCCTCACCGATCCCGAAACCTTGAACAGGTGCCAACCAACTTATAGACTTGACAGCTAGTATCAAACCACTGCTCGAATGGCAGTTGTTATAATAAGTAGATAGTTAGTTTATCTCCTGCCAATCATGTCAGATCGATTGTCGGACTGCTCGCGAAGAATCCAGACACATACCCCACGTCGAGGTGAAGGTGCATAAAGTTATGTACATGCCGTGCGTGGTTGTGAATGTACTTGCGGGGACCGAAATGGAACTGTCCTTCGGGGCTATAAAGTCGGCTTCAGCCAGCCTTCTTATCCATCATTCAAATCATTTTCACATTTCATTGTCTTCATTGTCGACGTGATGGCTGCCATCGATGCCATTCGCAAGAAATACCAGGCAGCCGGGCAGGATCACCTCTTCACCTTCTGCCCAGACCTATCAGGACGAAGAGCGCAACGCCTTCATCCGGCAGCTCGAATCCATCGATGTACATAGGGTTAACAAGATATACAAAAAGGCTGTCGATGCAGAGAAAGTGATCACTGATCCTAAATACGTTGCCGATATCATCGAGCCTCTCCCCGTCGATGCCTGCGAATCTGTTGTCAACAACCCTTCCAACGAAACCAAGTGGCGTGAGGTCGGCCTCGAAGCCATCGCCCGTGGCGAGGTCGGTGTACTTTTGATGGCAGGTGGTCAGGGAACCAGACTGGGCAGCTCAGCTCCCAAGGGGTGTTATGACATCGGGCTTCCCTCCCATAAATCCCTCTTCCAGTACCAGGGAGAACGCATCGCCCGTCTTCAGACCGTCGCAGAGACGACGCACAAGAAGCCAAAAGGCTCCGTCATCATCCCGTGGTATGTCATGACCAGTGGCCCTACTCGCAAAGAGACGGAGGTTTTCTTCGAGAATCACAAGCACTTCGGCCTCAACCCGGAGAACGTGATCATATTCGAACAAGGTCGTCCCTGTGTGGATTTATCTGAGTCTGACTTACGCTCACTCTGCGTTGATGCCAGGAACACTTCCATGCCTGACCATGGACGGCAAGATCATGCTGGAGACCAAATCGCGGGTTGCTGTTGCGCCTGATGGCAACGGTGGTCTCTATGCTGCCACCCGATCCCCACTTTCGCCCTCAGACAAGCCGCGCAGCGTGCTCACAGACTTGTCTTCGCGGGGCGTGCTCTATGTGCATGCCTACTGCGTCGACAACTGCCTTGTCAAAGTCGCAGATCCCGTCTTCCTCGGCTTATTGCATCAGCAAACAAGCCGACTGCGCTGCCAAGGTCGTACCCAAAACTTCGCCTTCCGAGTCCGTTGGCGTCGTAGCGCGTCGCGGTGACAAGTTCAGCGTTGTGGAGTATTCAGAGATCACCAAGGAACAGGCCGAGCTGCGCAACCGAAAGACAGGAGAACTGATGTTTAACGCAGCCAATATTGCCAACCATTTCTATACCACTGCCTTCCTGCGTTCAGTAGAGTCGTTTGAGAGCGAGCTCGCGTTCCACATTGCGCGCAAGAAGATCCCCACCGTTGATCTGGAGACTGGCGCAGTCATCAAACCTTCCAAACCCAACGGTATGAAACTTGAGATGTTCGTTTTTGACGTGTTCCCTTTCACGAAGCGTTTCGCTGTGTTGGAGGTAGCACGCAACGAGGAATTTAGTCCCTTGAAAAATGCCCCGGGAACGGGATCGGACGATCCTGACACTAGTCGCCGTGACTTGCTGGCTCAACACAGGCGGTTTTTGGAGCAGGCTGGTGCACGCGTGCGAGGTGGCGTGGAGATTGAAATTTCTCCGCTCGTCACCTACGCTGGAGAGGGTCTGGAATCTGTGAAGGGTAGGACGTTCACAAAGTCAGGTCACGTGGAGAACGTCGAAGAATTGGATGCTTTGTTGTGACGATGTGCATCGTAGTGGTTCCCGAATTCTGGTTCTGAACGGGCTATTTCCTACTCACGTGTGTATCAGAGTGCGGCTCGGTCGTTACATGTACATTCAGTCCATTGTACGACTTATCCTTAAAATGCCTACGGAGAGAATTGGATTTTCGATGACGGAGGCATACGGGACACAGATCTCAGCCTACGCTAGTTTCATTCCCTCTTGCAGTCCGCTTCTCGAGTTCTTCTCGCAGCGACGAAAATAGCCGTTGTGTGCGTTCAGCGCTGGGCTGCCAGAATGAAACGGGGGTGTCAGCAAAGCTCCGACATCTTGGGAAGATGAGATGAAGATATACGAGAGAACACGGGCAACTCGATGCTGACCTCTTTACAGCAGCTGATGAGCTTGTTGATAAGCATCTCCTGCCCATTTTGTGCTTCTTCCAGCTCTTTTCGAAGTCGCCGATTCTGCAAATTGAAACCGCAGGTCGGATTTTGGACGGAATGGATAAGGGGTAAGGTTATGCAAGAGGCGGTCATTAACTAGGGAAGAGTGACCCACCTCTTCATCCACCTTGTTCGTTCGGGCTCTCTCTCCATCCGCAAGCTGCTTCTGTTCAGGCGGCTCGAGCTCGAGAAAGCAGCACCTCCAACTCCTTGGAACGGATGACACACTCGAAATGTCGTTCGCGAAGCTCGTATTGTCTAAGAACTTCTTTCAGACGTTCCCGTACACTACGACGGCGTAGTCAATCTCTTGCATGTACGAATGCTCAGGAACGACGTACACCCCGTCGAATATCTCCTCTAGGGAGCGTCTAGCTCTGATAAGTCACTGTAAGGGGCCAGATGCAAGCATTTCAACATAAAGCATACTCTGCAGGGTCGTCTGTCCAGTTCTTTTTAAGTGTCTGACGTCGAGGCTCCGCTAATTCATCCTGAAGTCGCCGTTACAACTACCCACGCCACATACCTGAATTACTTACCCACTCGTCGAGGCCTGGACCCTCCGTAAGGTCCATTAACTCGACAGCTAGGATTTCGTCATTATCCTCCACCCCCTGTTCCTCTGGAGTTTGATCAGGGTAGAGTGTGCGACCATTATGAGAGAAGATGAACTGCATAGACGTGGAGCTCGATGAATTTATTGTATGGGTGCTCGCAGCATCGTTCTTCGCGGAGCCATTGAAGGTACCATGCGGGCCTGCAAGCAATTTCCCATCTGCTTTTTTCCCCACCGTACCTGCCATCCTGTCCGTCCAAGCATTGAACAGTCGAGAGAACTTTGTCTTGCGCGAGATCTTGAAGAAGAGTTCAGCACGATACCGACAAACGACTTTGACGACAATGTCCGGCATTTCGCGGTATTTGATGTCTTGCATCCTTGCCCTGTCCATCCGTTTAGCCATGTCATTTTTCATTTGGAGTATCTGGTATTGGATAAGTCATGACATATATGGATGAAGAGTTGTTATACCTCTTCTTGTGCTTCTTCTACGCATTGTGCCAGGCGTTTGCTGTCCTCCTATATGTTGGTTAGAGTACCTGAGGTCTGTGCTGGACTAGGAAACGGACCCGGAGCCTTTTGTTATCCTGTATGGAGAACTGAGCTGCAGAACTGGGAAAGATAGGGGGACGGTACCTTTTGTAACTCGCGGGCGAGGTTCTCCATCTTGGCCTTGGTCTGGTTCGCCTTGGTTAGCTGACCTTTGGCTGTCACCGTGTCATAATTAAGGCCACTGCACTTGGGTCCATAAGTTTTACATGTAGAACCGACCTGCGTCTTTATCCTTGACAAGCTTCTGCTTCTCTCTAGCGTGGTCTCGTTCCAACCTTTTGAGTTCCGCAAACTGTGGGGAGACATAGGTATGTATAAAGGTTTTCAGTGTGTCACGAAGGACATACTAGTTCGATGTACTTGGCATGGATGGCGTTCTCTCCCAAACCTTTGACGGACTTCAAGGCTTCCTCGGCTGGATGACGGTGAAAACATGGTGAAGGGAGCGGGTTGCACCGACGTACCGAACCCGCGCTCTTCTTCCTCCTCCAGGACTTCCTCTTCCTCCAATGCAGCGATCCTGTTCTTGAGACTTTCGTACATGACAGCAGGATCCAGGGGCGCATCACTTTTCTTCTTGGGTTTCTGGGTGTTAGGATGGCTTCCATTGACGGTGGTGGATGGGACGGCTGACTTGTTGGTATTGGTTAACGGGGTGTGGTTTGGAGGAGCCGGAGGGGAGACTGTGGGAGGAGGGGGGGTTAGTTTGGGCGTACGCGCTGCTGCCTGCGGCTGTTGGGCGATGTTACTGCTGGTGGTGCCGTTCATGGGTGCAGTCACCTCTGTTGTGATGGCGGCGCTGGACCTACGTCGACGGCGGGGGATGCAGGGAACACAAAAGTTGAGTAGATGAATGTTCTTCGGAGAACGTTGGGGGAAAAACAAGCGGAGGTGTTCGGGTGCACTGCGTCAAGTGCAGCGACGATGATGAAAGTGGGTGAGTATTTATTCCAAGTGGATGGCTGTCGACCGACGATAGGTCGTTCATCGTCTACAATTCCAACTATGTACCTTCTGAATACTCAAGCCATCCCCGCTGATGCCCATCCCAATCTCCAGTAATACATACCCGTACTATAAATGATAATTTGTACATAACTCCCACCAGGGCCTCTTTCCGGTATCCCATTTCACTACTGTCACGTGATCACAGGCGCGTCGCGTTGATGAAGTGTCCTGCGCGTCGTCGACGACGACGACCACCCGAGTCATGAAGACTAGGACTAGACAAGGTACAAGTACACGTCGAGTATGTATGTGAAGTGGGATCGCTCTGACAGAGTCCCTGCTTAGCTTCCCTATCGCCCTCTCCAAAGAGAATGCGGCTTTCATCCCCGACTTATGACGATCAGGTGGAGGGTCTCAGCCAGGACGACATCAGCGCTTTTGACGCCGCAAATGCACTTCTCTCTCAACCTAGCCTAACCTGCGCTTCTGCGGAACCATGCCAGAAACACCCAAGCTTCCTCAGACTCGTCACACACACAACGCTATTACTTCGCTTTCGACATCCGACGACGAAGACGATCCATTCTCGTCTAGAGTGGGAGTTGATTTGGCAGCACAATACTGACATTCCGCATAAAGTACCCGTCGCCTCTCTATTTCTTAAAGCGTCTGCACTGAGTGCGGCAAGCTTGCCGACCACCCACGTTGATGGTCCAGAGGACTCCTCCAGCCATACGCCCCAAGACACTGACTACTTATCGTGGTTTGAATCCAGTAAAACCACTCCATTTTTCGGGCTTCAAAGTTGCGACGACTGCACTTCAAGGCCGTGAACAACACTCCGGCGGAGCTCCTGTCACTGGTGTTTCCGAGGGTTTCCTTATCCCTTCTGCCTCTGCCTTCCTCAAAGCGAAGCAGAAGATGAAACTGTGGCAAGAAGAAGAAGAAGGGGCTACAATCTCCGCAACCCAGCAGCATGACTCGGGGGAACTGGTCTCGTCAGTGGTGTCTTCCCGGATGGCCACCTGCACTCCAGCACCGAAGGCATCTTTATCTCACATGCCTGAAACCCCTGTGCCGACTGCGCACGATATGGTACCAGGCTCGTTTCAGTTCGCAGGCACCAAGCACTCGAAATCATTTAAATCTCCTTTAGTCGCTACCACAATCAACTCTCCCCTACAACGATCCACGATTGCCAACATTAGCACCCCAGTCAGCGGTGCTGGCCCGTCATTCGCACCGCCATCTCCTCAACTTCCGGCATCTACACTGAGGGCACAACCTTTTCAGCGCTCGTTAGGCTATACAATAGGCAGCGGAAGATCAGCACCTAAATCAAGGTTTGTCACCCCTTTCAAGAATGGCAAAGGTCCTGCCTCGTGGGACTTCACACCCTCGAAGACTTCAACCGCTCTCCGCTCCAGCACCATTTCTAGTCCGATATATCCCCCCTTGACCACGCGTAAGGAAAGTGACAATAGGCCAGTGACAAAAAATGCTCTTAATGCACGTAGGTAGAGTGATACTCAACACATTCCAGCGTCTGAGCGATCTAGCAGCTGCAATTGCTGGAAGGACGTTACTTGCCTCCTCAACGCTCAGACCACAATCCTATCGGGCAGAGGAGCTCCAAGGTTTTGGGATGTGCGTCTATTGCCGAACTTTCTCGAGAGACTCAGCTCATACTCTGATCTAAGAGACGTCAAGGAACTAAAGGAAATCAACCCTCGTACCGCTCTTTCCTATTCATTTCGGGCTGAGACATCGTCATCAGGCAGAAATTGTAATACACCGTTGGGTCACGCTGCCGCTTTAGAAGAGCTTCACGCAAAAGGGTGCTCTCTTGCGACAAAAGCATGGGTCGAAAACCATTGGTCACTCGTGCTTTGGAAATTAGCCGGTATGGTCGCCCTTGATCCAAGGAGTGAACTGGACCCAGCTCGGAGGCGCTGGTGCTGGTCTGAGGTGATACGTCAGTTACTCTATCGGTAAGCTCAAATTCGGAACGTCCTTGGTCCAACGTTCACAAACACCCAAGGTACGAGCGAGACTTAAATGGATCTTCGCGCCCACCGCTGCGCTTGATCGTGACCAGGGATGTATCAGTGGAGTCGCCAATGGTCCTTTGCATTTCAAATATCAGCTGGCCTAACGGTGAGGTTGACGAGAATGGGCGGTCTGTCGTGTCGCGTCCCGAACTGGAAGTTACGGACGGTTGGTACAGGCTTCGGACTCACGTGGACGAGCCTCTGGCCAGAGCCACGCGCAAGGGATTTATAAGGATTGGGAGGAAGATCGCTGTTGCTGGTGCGAAGGTGAGCTGCCATTACACATGTTGAGTGGGCATCCTTGCATATCGTCCGCAGCTCTCTTCACAACGCAAAGAAGGAGCAGAGATTCTCGAAGCCTACGATTCGACTGTCCTTGTCATCACCGGTAATTCGTCTCATATGGCTCCGTGGCACGCGAAGCTTGGTTTCCAGAGAACACCCTTCATAGCGACGCTGAATAGTTTGACGCCCGATGGCGGGAATGTCGCCGCGATGGTTGTTGAGATTATCAAGGTATGAAAGCCTATTTCCAGCGGACACGCGTTGATCGTGCTGCAGGTTTATCCAGTCGCATATATCGAGTTCGTCGAGGACGAGCGCGGTCAAAAGACACCGGACGGACCTCGTGACGAGAAGGAGGAGACAAAACTGCAATCACAGTGGCAGGTAGGAAATTCAGTACTATTCTTGCACCATCAACTGATTTGTGGCAGAGGAGGCGAGAATCAGAAGCTGCAAAGTTGTGGGCCATATATGACGAACGGTGGTCCACGATGCATGGTTACGCGGAACGCCTTGAGGAGCGGGCGCGGTCAGCATTTCCAAAGCACGGAGGTGACTTGTGTGCTAGTCTTCAGCCGCTAGGTTATCGATTAATTCCTTAGAGCCCCCGGACAACTTTCATGACCTATATGATGCACTGAAGGAGGACCCAGCGATGGCCAAGAAAATACTATCCTCGATTAGGCCTCAGGATGCAGGCTGGCTTGCGCGACATATTCAAAGTAGGACCGTTCAAGAGCGAGAGGACGCAGAGAGGGAGATTGAGCGAGAGCTCGAAGTATGAATATCTTTGCCTTGGAGTACCTAAGCTGACTTTGACACGCCCACAGGCTCTCTGCCCTGCGCGAGACGTGAAGGATTTTTGTGTCGTTGCCGTGAAAGACGCGCGCACATTACGGCGTCCCCAAAATCGGACAGCCCAAATAACCGTGTGGGATGCGGTTAGTCTAACAACGGGCGAGGAATCGATCAAGGGGTTTGAAACGGGTCAGCGATACCTGGTATGTCTGATCCCGCACGCAATGCCAGTGTCATTGACCCCCCGTATACATAGGTTACGAATTTAATACCCACACAGCCGTCAGCATGGATGGACAGATCCCCCGGTTCAGTGGTTTACCTGGCAACGAAAAGAAACTCCAGATGGACGCTAATACCAAATACTTCGTCGGGATGATCAACATGTACCTCTTCTCTATACGATCATCTAGTAATATACCAGTGTAGTAATGTCGAGGTTCGGAGCTGGGTCCCCTCTGAAACCAGTTCTACGTCTACATCGTACTATCAACTAAATACCAGATAATGAGTTTCTACCATGTACGACGCGGTCAACTCGAGGCGAGTCTCCCGTATGCAGTTAGAATGATGTCATTCGCAGTTAGGGTGATGATGCTGCGACAAGATGGTTGAGAGCCAAATACAACGCGATAAAAAAGCCTACACACGTATGTGGGGCAATACGTAGGAAATGTGCGGTTGAACCTGATACGTTTGCGTCAGCGTAACATTCTGTGGCAGATTAGTCAATCAGACCTTTGTACCACCCATACACTCCCTCTACCTTGAAGGTTTTCCAGAGACAGTCGATAGGGCTCTTGTACAGGCTCCCTCGACGCTTACCGTCAGGGCCCATCACGGTAGGCTGATTATACATTCTTGTGAGGGCCTAAAACTTATCAACAAGAGCACGATGTAAATAACAGGGTAATTACTGTATCAGCAGGCTGCATCACGAGACACTGCAGCACGAATAAGATGCGATGGAATGACATTACAATATAACAAACCCATACCACACAAACGCCGGAGACGGAGCTGCTTGCCAGGTATGTCCACACGCTATTTGCAGGCAGAATGCCGCGTGTGATAAGTTGGTTCTTTGTCCAGTTATACGTCGGCAGTTGCACAGAGGAACCCATTGCAGTACGGAGGATAGCAGCGTCTACGCCACGGTAGAGACCGCGAATTTTCTCAGACTTCCATATTGTTGACAAGGCGTCGAAAGAATTTTTGTAGAAGTGCTGTGTACCAACTGGCAGTGCGGGGGAATAAGCCTGGGATGACTGTTTGCAGTTTGGTCGCAGCGTGCAGTGAGTAACTTACTTGCATCCTAGCTTTGATGAGAAATAAGGGATTTCCAAGAGCAGCTGCATCGCTGTTAAAAATGTGCACTGGAACATGGATGCGACGAACCTCCCAGTGCACCGCTGACAGCACCAGCAGTTACAGATGTCAAGGGTATTTGATCCGTCACCGGCCTGCCAATGACACGATTAATGGTTCGCCGGAACGGCTCATAAAGTCCTGGTGGAGTGTCAGCACCCCGCAAATTGGTAATCCCATATTAGCAAGTGGACCTACCAAGCCGAGAGCCGTTAAGTAGCATCTAGCAAATCGTTTAGCCCCGTGTCTCGCTCATTCGGGAAAAAATGACTATGCCTGGTAAACGTACTAACAAAAAGGGTCAAAAACGTAGAGCTCTCGGGGAAAGATGTACTACACACAGCTGGTCCAAGACCTCTCTGAAGTCCGCGAATTCCCTCATTTCTCCAAGTCTTGGAGAGGACGTCGAGTGCATGTTTGTAGACCCTTTCACCGCCGCCTTTTGCCAGTTCACCTTGAAGCTGCATGCGTGTTTTTGCGACCTCGGCAGGATTGGAAACAGTTACCTGGCGGGATTTAGCTACCCTCATGTAAAAGCAACATGGGCTTACAGCGATACATGCTGCAAGACCACCACACAGAAAGCTTTCTGCGGTAGTCAGCGGACGACCTTGCGTGCTGGCCATGCTTATTAGGATGAGGGTATCGCAAGCCGAGAGACTTGCACTAGGTTATATTCTGACCATTACTCGGTTTCCGAAGGGCGTCTACTGGATTACGTAAAGGTCGTGTCCTGCGCGTGTTTTATCATGAAATGCAGCTGTTTATTACCAGAAGGTCCTCGAGTAGGGGCTAGATTATATTCAGCTACATAACCCGAAGGCTTTTGGATTGTTCCCGGAGTCCGTGCGCAACGTTTGACACTGGACCCCGAGGCCTTGCTTGATTTAGCTTGTCCGGTCCCTCGCGTCTCATGTTGTTAGCTTTCCAGAGTTGTCCGCGCATCTGACGCAATGAATCGCTTTTCCGTCCTCTACGACGGGCCTCCTGCCATCAACACTAGAACGGTGCTCTTTGTTGGTCTCTTCGCGATATCTTTGCCAGTCATAGCTCGCGTGGCTTCGTCGCCAGTCGTTCTTGTCGTCCTCGCCCCGATTTTCATCGTTCTAGTTGCAATTTCGTGTCTTCTCGCGAGTATCTCCCTCGGTCACACCTTAGACTCGAAGGAAGTGAACCGCGCCAGTCCCCTGTTGCATGCTGCCCGCCCACTAGCGTTTTCTACTCCCGCAGCATGGCAAGCAGTCCTCATTCGTTCACAGTGGTCCCATAGGCTATCCCAATCACCGTCCCCTCTGTTGCCAAACATGCCCACCGTTTCCACCTCATTGAACGAGGTCATTACCTTTGTTGTTCGTGACTTCGTGCTTTCTTGGTACGATGATATATCTTCATCCCCCGCCTTTCCTACCGCAGTCTCTACCACACTACACTCGTCGGTGGATCAGCTTTTGCAGCGTGTGTGTGCAGTTGACTTCCCGTCTCTCATTGTGAAGCGCATATTGCCCAAGGTCACTACTCATATCGAGCAATTTCGCCTGTCAGAGGTTGTGCTCCGTGGTGCGGGACTCGAGCGTCGTCTTACTCAATCGGAGGAGTTGGATATGCTACTGGCTAGCAAATATGCTAGTAAGGATGCCAGATTGCACCCTGCCGTAGACAATCTCTCCTCCACATTCACGAAACAAAACGAAGAACAGCACCTGAGGCGCATTGTAGACCGGATCTTCCCACAGATTCTTCCTGAACAGGACGCTCAAAGTAACGTATTAAGGATTATCGTGCGGGAGATTGTGGCGTGCACTGTGCTCTACCCCCTAATGGATATGATTGCGGACCCGGACTTCTGGAATTGCACTATAGACCAGGTCGTACGTGATTTCCCTTCTTGGCATCCTCAATCCACTTCATTTGTTATCTAGGCAGGTGCTGCAATACATCAACAGTAAGTCATAGACCGCATGAGTCGTGAACCCCCTCACAGACGCCTTCCCTCAGGAAGCTGGTATCGAAAGTGAGAAACGTCTTGGAAGCCCAATCATCGCGGCGACACCGATCCACCCCGTCAAAACTTACCTCTGGAGGGGATACAATCACTGTTCGCACGGACAACCGGAAATTTCAATCCTTTCTACGAAGTATCAATCGTTGTTCCTCACTACTCGATGCACGACGCCTTAAAAATGATATCATGGTTGAGATCCGCAGGACAAGACTGCTATTAGGCATGTTCAACTGGTTGTTTCTCCGTCAACAAAAGTCTCACGTCGTGTCAGCTAACCATGAAAAGGACGACTGGATTGATGGGGAAAGGACAGAAGACGTCGTGGCATTTCTAGATAGGCTGTATACTGCAAAGCGGACAGTTGAACAGCGTATTGCCATCCTCGGAGGAGGGGAGGATCCGGTGAGCTTAATCCAATCATTTTCCTCTCGTCATTACTGATAGCTATGGTAAGGTCACCAACATGTCGGAAACAAGTACGAGATCCCGGGTATCTTTCCGAGATGTCCTCAGCAATCCAACATCTCTGTCCTACTTCATGGAGTTCATGGATCGGCGACACCGTTCTTTACTGGTTCAGTTCTGGCTTACTGTGGAAAGTTTCAAAAATCCGCTGGAAGCAGTTGACTCAAGCTCCGAGGATGAGGATGATCCCATTCAGGATCCCTCCGCTTCGACCACTCTCAGGGAGGACGTCTCCATGATTAACGATCTATACTTCTCCATAACCCCTCCCCATCCTTGTCTATCATCAATTTCCAAGAAGCACGTCGATACCATTCGCCAATACGCGTCAAATGAGGTGACTCCAAGCGACCTTGAAAATAAGAAGGTTCGCCGAAGCGTCATGTTGGCTCAAAGAGAAGTCGAACAAGGCATGGAACAAGACTTCGAGGATTTCCAAAAATCTGAATTCTGGTTTCGAGTGCTCGAAGACTCTTCGTCTGATAATGCCAGGATGGCTGCTCCGCAATCACGATCGATAGCACCACTGCCCGCCACCACTCCCAAGTTGAATCTACTGCCTGCTAAACGAATTGCTCGCTCAGAATCGTCACCCAGTCTCGCATTCTCCGACCTTCACCTCGTTTCAGGAGGTCGACCGGTTGGCTCCGGATATGTAAAAAACCCGTCGGCGGTAGCCTCACGCAGTAACATCGACGTCCTTATGTCACCAGTGACTGACGCAGAAACGGCGCGAGCACCACTGTTCGACGATCCCATTGACAAAGTGCGTGATGCTGATGAGGCGGAGCGGATGCAGGCTATCCAAGCTGCTCTAACAGACATCATTGCTACGGACGAGCAGCTCCGCCATTTACACAGCAATGACGGTAATCTTTCTTCAACCGTTCAAGGTCCCGGAACAACCCACGGCATGACAGAGGACGATGAATATATCAACGCAGAAGACGACGAAGAAGACGGCACTGGAAGCAGTGTTGATACTGTGAAAGAGTCGTTTCAGCTTGCCGGTCCTGGGGATCTCCAGCTGTCGTATGAGATCGGTCGCTTGGAAAACAAGCTCAAGGAACTGGAAGCCCACGCCACTATGTTGGACACTCTGATCAAGAAGGCAGAATTGACTGGTGACACACAAGAGCTTCGGCTCCTTCGCAAAGCGAAATCTTCGATGACCAGAGAGATTAGACAGCTGCAGTTCCAGAAGTCTCAATACGAACAACAAGAGTCCGCCAATCGGCTCGTTCCCGAGAGCACGAAAGTATCTATAGTGAACTCGACGGTGGGCGAAGAAGAGGGAAAGTCTGTCGTGCGGTATCTTGTTGAGGTGCAACAGCTTGCACCCGATAGTACTCTTACTTCCGGCTGGGTTGTCGCTCGTCGGTATAACGAATTCTTGCGTATGCACAACCAACTTCGCGAGAATTATGCTCTCGTTCGTGCGCTCGACTTCCCAGGTAAACGGCTAGTCACATCCTTAACCAGCAGTTTTGTCGACACTCGGCGCCAAGCGTTGGAAAAGTATATGCAGGTAACGAGGTCACCATCGTTCAGCTTCGGATGTAATTGACCATTCACTAGAACTTGATCGCTATCCCCGCTGTATGCGAAAGTAAGGAATTGCGGGCATTTCTGTCTAGAGTTTCGCCTTTCATAGCGTCAGAAGTGAAAGATGAAGAGCCTAAAGGTTCCAGTTCCTATGGCCGGCACCTTGTTCGGACCATGTACCGCTCGGTCACGGAGAGCATCGACGACATGTTCTTTGGCCCGTCAATGCTGGATGTGATGATTCAACGTCTCACACGCCAAGCAGCCAGCCTAGTGGGGATAGCAGGTTCCGCAGTCAACGACGAAGAACTAGTTGCGCAGGCTCTGAAGGCGTTAGGCAAAGTAACACCTTGGGATTCACTGATGCAAATGTCAGGGGATTTGAAGCCGCTAGATGGCGAGACGAGCTCGTCTAGTTTCTCCGCCCCCATCTGCGATTTAGTTCTTGCCGTCTTCGAGCTTGACAAGAAGAATAACTGGCTTCGCCGCCAAGCTATTGTCATAATTCTTCAGCAGGTTCTGGGCGACACCATTGAGAGGTCAGATGACCTGGCTCATACCTTGAAAAATACTGACGGTTTTATAGGAAGATGCGCCAGAGCCTTAGCTCTCTATATGACGAGAGCCAACTAGCCCGCGCCCTTGGCATGTTGCGAGACACGTTGTGGCCAGGGGGGGAAATGAGAACACCACCGCAAGCACGTACGCCCGAGGAGAAACTCCGTAGCAGAAACGAAGCTAACCGCAAATTATCAGCCCTAGTCCCCGGTAAGGCAATCCTCAATTCCTTCTGTCTTTTCACCTGACATTGCTGGCACAGACCTCGCAGCTAACATGATTGGTCGGTCAAATGCCCGAAGAGGAGCACGGCGGATATTTGCCGTGTTGCAGAACCGTCGACTGAACCAACACATCTCCTATACCATCCTTGACGAGGTGAGGGAAATTACCTGATTTCCCTTCTGATGATAATCGTGGGCTGTCGGACAGTTGGTCGCTGCGATATTTCCAGAAAGGCCGACGCTCGCGACGAGTTCCCATGTGACCCAACCCTAATCCTGTGTATTTGCCTCTCCCTCCGACGTTCCCCTTTCCTGAAAGTCCAGTTGCATCGGCGTAGGGGGGCCTCTTGAAACTGTCCCGCTTTGACTACCTAACTCACACGTGTCATCAAAACTGAAGTACCATACGGTATGCATTGGTCAGTCACTTTTCATCATACCACGGAAGGGATATTTGCACGCACACTTTAATCGCGTGCAGGAGAAAGCCCCCTGACCCGGACGTGTTCATGGTTGGGTGTGTTCTGCCCGGCAACACCTGATAACGACGTAGCCATCCTTCAGTTATCGACGGAGCTAGGTATCTGGGAATTTGGCGCATATAGGCTTGAAGATCAGCTAGAAGCTAGGATAAAATTGTCAGTCCCATGTGGAATATTGCCATTATCAAAGAGGATATAGACCTGTAAAAACTGGCTCTGCACAACAATGGACGCTGATCCGGCCAGGTAAGGAGACAAGGCCTCCACAATCTGGAAGGGATCGTAGTCACTCGCGATAAGTAGTCTAAGCAAACATGTCAATGGCATCTCCATAGGGGAAAAAGCTGGCATACCCATCAAATCCCCCTGTGAATAGCTCTGACCTAGTTTTCATGACGGCGTCTGACACTGCCTTACGTTTGTCCAGCCGCACCCGCTGACGTTCGGAGTATACGCATCCTGGCGTAGGGTCCAATGGTGCGTGGACTGCGGAATTATATGAGCGGCAGTAACGCCAGAAACAATAAGGGACAAACTGGGGACATGGTCCTCTTGAGCGGTTGCCCAGTTCAGTGTTGACAGCACTGACGCAAGAGCTTTTTTATCGTAATTCATGAGGTTCAAAACGGGATACGCAGGGGGAGAATCGGAGTCATTGATTGAGATGATTCGGCATTCGCCTAAATGCGAACACATGTGAGTTGGCTTGACCCGCCAGGCCGCACTTCGCCTACCTCCAAGTCGGTCAAGAACGGCAGAGACCACTAGTCCGGAGGCTTCGTCAACGATAATGTATTTGCCCCCTGGCCGCACATTGGCCAGATTGAGCATTTGCGAAAGCGTATCGGTTCGAATATCTCGTATCCTGTGATGGTCCTTCTTGAACCAATAGTCGCAGACCCCGTATATAGTTGGCTCTATGACCTCAAAGCACTTGGAATATCTGAAGGCAGGCATTAGTCCTAAGTCCACATATCCTGAAAGGTCACATACTTTGCTTCTTTTCGTTGTTTATACTTCTCCTTGCTGTACTCCGTTTTCAAAGAATAGTTGGCATGCTGCTCAATTTGAGTCTTGATAATTTCCTGCCACTCTGACATCAGCACCCATGACGAAACTAGAGGGAGGGGGGAACCATACAGATGCATGAATGCCAGATTTTTTCATATCCTCAATTTCTGCGACGGTCAGAGGTTGCACGAAATCCCCGTCATTGATCAACTCGTTTGTAGCATCCGTCTCCTCTAAATCCGCGTCCAATTGGCACTTATACCCAGGACGCAATACACTCACCGATATCTTGCGTCGCGCGTGGGGGAAGCCGCTTGAGTTTCTTGTCGTGTATTTCGTGTGACAAACCGTAAGGCTGCCCAATGAGTTCGTTTGCGAAGAACGAGCCTACCCGGCCTAGCGATATGGTTCTGTGCAGGATCAATAGAACGACCTCTAGAGAAAAAACAGACGCGACACATACGAGTCTTTCTCCACTTTTATGCTCCGGACCTCGCCGTTAGGTAGTTTGAACAGAACATTGTGTCCATGTTGAATGGTACTGTTTCTGCGGAGATGGTGAGCATCCCCTGCATTGTTTCCAATATCCATAGCCTTGAGAAGGTGGTAAAAGCTTCGGGAAGGATATGGCACTTGATTTAGATTTCCTAGTGAGGTTGACGATCCACCCACACACCGATCAATCGTCACTCCACCACGATGAAGACCGAGTCTGCCAACGAAAGCAGCCTACAAGAAATCGAAGAAGGCCTGGATGCTCTACTTGACAAGGCCCGTCACTCACAACCACCTCTGCCCGAGCAACTGTCCTCACTACTGGCGGCGTTCATACCCTCACATCCTCCTCCTTTACACACCAAGGCGTACTTGGTACTCTCTACTTTCTGTCAAAACGCGCGTTCCTTAGCATCGGGGAGAAGCCAGCAGGAAGAGGCTGGCACGGAGTCCCTCGCACGCATCTTTCAGCCTCCTATCGCATCGCACTTGTCAGAATCCAGAGATTCCGACATAATTGCAGGTGTCTCGTTCCTATATGCTCTCTTCCAAGTCGATAGGCAATCTGCTTCATATATCTTCCAAGATGACGGCTTTGCTGACCTCTTGTCGACTTTGATCGTTTCTCCCTCTCCTCCCTTGTCATTGGCAGTTTCCCGACTGTTCGCGCAGGCGAGCGGGCACAAGACTTGTCGTATGGCCATTCCAGCCGAGGCTGTCACCTGGCTTCGAAACCAGTCCCGCCAAACAGGTGACCGAGCCATTCGCGCCGCTGCTATTCTCTCTCTGATTAAGCTGTCTCGCGGGATGGCGTCCGACTCCTCTGGCCTGGCGGAGACACCTTTACCCGGAAACGTCGAGCATCAGGATGAGGAATATGCTGCCCAACTAATGGAGATGATTGCTGGTAACAGTGATACCCGTGCTTTCGTCAGTGATGCCGTGGAAGGGTTGACGTATCTTAGCGTCACTCCCTCAGTCAAACAATCATTAGCGGATACGACTGTGCTGAAAACGTTATTTACACTCGTTCCGAAACGCACGAAGTCGGTCGTTCTGCATGATCATACGACTGTGTTATACGGTATTCTGGCCATCGCTGCAAATCTTTGCGCCTACAAGCCACGTCTGAGTCAGGAGGAGCGACAGATGGACTAAGCTGCGCAAGTTAGGTCAGGGGGAGAAGCAGTCTAGTTCTAAGGGTGATGAAGAACTCTCGCATCCGCTTGACGCAGATATGCATGTCCAGACTAGGTGCCGCACCGCAATCGATAGTGGAGTGCTGGATGTATTGACTGTAGCAACTGGGGAAGAGAGTGCTGCGTCAAGAAACCTTGTTGGTCGCATCTATTTGTGCTTGGTGGAGGACAGAGGAAATAGGGGCAGAGTTCTGCAAGGTGGTGGTGTAAAGAACCTCTCGCGTACCATCAAGTCGTATCCCTCGTCTTCCCAAGACCCCATTCCTTCTGAAGCGCTAGTCCCTATTCAAGCTCTTGCAAAACTCGCAATTACTTCTTCACCGATGCAGGTTTTTGGTCCGAACGAAGGGAATATGATGGACGCAGTCCGACCATTTTCGCAGTTGATCCTTCACCCTTCTGCTAGCACTCTTCAACAATTCGAAGCGATGATGGCGCTGACGAATCTGGCATCTCACAGCCCTATTTGCGCGTCTAAAGTTGCATCCTTTCCCAATCTTCTAAACAGAGTAGAGCTTTTGCTCCTCGACGATCACACTCTAGTTCGCAGAGCGTCTTGTGAATTGATCTGCAACCTCGTCGCTGGGTCAGACGAAGTCTTCGCACGGTATGGAGGGAATGAGGGTGGTAGCCAATCCGGAACCTCGAAAATACAACTACTTGTTGCGATGTCGGACGTGGAAGACCTTCCAACCAGAATGGCTGCTTCTGGAGCGCTGGCTATGCTCACGAGCACCGCCGGTGCATGCCGTGCAGTCTTTGAACTTCAGAAGGGGCGTCATAGGGCATTTTCGGTTATCGGTAGGCTCATCGATCCTTCGCTTCAAGTCGGTGATACAGGAGTTGTATCCGAAGCAATTCCGGTCAAAGGTGACTCTGGGTTGGTTCATAGGGGTGTGGTTTGTTTCCGCAACATCTTGAATGCGGAAAAGTTATCCCACACGGAACTCATGGAGGAGATGGAGAGGGCAGATTTGTTCAGGGTATTTTCAAAACTGCTGAATGGAGATCTGGGTTCCTACGACACTACTATCTTGCAATGTGCTGCTGAAGTAGCTAAAAAGCTTGCGGATTGGTCAAGTACACGCACGGGCACGTGACTAACGCTTTAGACGACTACCGTATGTACTCCTCGCGGTGTGACGTTGTAGGCAGATGGTTTCAACGAGACAACGTTCCCACTGTCATGACGATGCGGATGACCCTGCGTTCTTGGCACTTCCTGCCAGACTTAGACGCCGCGTGGACGAGGCTTTCGATGCATCCGCTGTGCCAAGGAAACCAACACCTGTCCGGCAAAATAACGACGAACTTGCCGCACCCGGAGGTTTTATAATCGACGACGTCGATAGTGCCGCTGCACATGCAGAGGAGGAACCAGGAGGGTTTTTTATTGACAGTGAATCATCAACTTCCCGTGTCCACGGCTCGGACATATCTGGCGATGATTTCTACGTTCCGTTGTCGTCCATTCCTGGCACTCTCCACCTGCTAGACCTGGAGTCTGATGACGAGATACTGGGTGTCTTTCGTAACGCCGCAAGTGGCTGGGGTGCTCGAAATACAGATATTGAGGGTGTCAACAGGAAGGATTGGAGGGCTGTTTGTGCTGTCTTACTCGAAGGGCAGGATGGGAATTCGCCAAGAAGCGAGGAGGCAGAGGTTGTTGAAGTCGAAGGAGAGAGCGGATCAGAAGGTGACGAATATCAGATTTCCGTTCTATCTAGCGACCAGGAAGAATCTTCGGACGAATACCAGGACAATATCTCGGGCATCGTCAAATCAAAGCAAGCAACCAGTGGTTCCCGCAAAGCTTCCTCGAAGTGTTCCACAGTCAGTTTGGATGATGTCCGTGTCACCGCAGAACAGAGAGCTATCTGCAGGGAAGATTTCGCGCGTTTTTTCCCTGCGATTGCAGACGCCCAATTGGATAGCCAACTGTATAACAGCTCAAGAGATAATTCAAGCAGCTCTGTTATTGAAGGAAAGCCTTAAGCCAGAAGAAGTTAGTTATGTAGCTTGTACTACGCCGGGAACCCCTGTGCTTATGCTTATCCCCTTGTCACAGGTGAGGGAAATGCTTCAGGTATTTTCCAGTTCGGAGGATGGCTCTATGAGCTTGGAAGACTTTGAGCACATGATGGCTCGGACCAAAATGATCCGATCCTAGCTGGAATGAAAGAAAAGGGGATGTCCATATAGATACAACGAAATGCGACGGAATAATGCAGGCACACCACTAGTCTAGCTAGCCTAACATGTGCCTCGCTTCTGCTGACAACAGCACTAGATTATGCAGTGGCTCCGTAGTTAGCAGGGGGAGCATTGGGTGCGTTATGCACGGGCTGGTAGGTGCCATTACCGACATCTGGAAACTTATCAGATATGGGCGGCGGATTGAATTAGGCGACCACTCACATACGAAGCCGCCTCTTCCGTAGCGCTCCTCAGCTTGCATCTTCTTGTAGATGAGCCAAAGACTATGCTGGGGCGACGGTTTAGTATAACTCATGACCAGGACCAGGACCGCTGAGTTACTCACCAGTAAGCCGGGGAAGTAGCCCAAACTATTTGAGCGTTAAGCGAGTGCAATAACAGGGACAATGTGATTTAGCTCACATTGTCAAGCATACGTTGATACATAAGTCGCAACTGCACCCTGACACGAAAGCAGCGGCTGCTGGGGGGAAGATAATAGCGACCTACGAGACGTCAAGAAATGCAATGACACAAGGATGCGGGTTTACTGACTAGGATGAGGACGACGTCCGACGACTTGACCATAGTGTTGGTTGTCACTGACGAGCTCGTGCTACGGTCGCTGAGCGACTCAGCGCAGCCGCAGCGGACGGGACCCCTGCCACCATGCTGGCAAGGGGAGCTCGGGGTCCTGAGTGCTGGTGATACAGCTGGAGATCTCACTTCTGTTTCGACCTTTTCAGCATCCACAGATGGTGCGTGTTTTGGGTCAGGCTTGCTGGGTTCCTTTCTCATCTCATGGGATAGGCAATTTCTAAGAAGGCGGGAAAGAAGGCTGCCGCCCCGGCAAAGGCAGGGGCCACGAAAGTAGCCAAGGTATGTTGTAGGCTTGGGACTCGCGCGATATCAAGATTAACTGTCACGCATGCAGGCAGACTGGAAGGAGGGTTTCAAGAAAAAGCAGGTCGGAGTCTCGGATATGACCCTGCTGACCACGATCAGCAACGAGAGTATCAACGACAACCTCCAGAAACGCTGGTTGAATGCCGAGATATATACTTACATCGGTGGCGTCCTGATATCCGTCAATCCTTTCAGAGGCATGTCCTCCTCCTCCTTCTATTATGCATAACGTTCACCCGGGCTATAATGCTAAGATCTTGGCATCTACACCGACGAAGTACTGCAGAAGTACAAAGGCAAGAACCGGCTAGAGGTACCTCCTCATGTTTTCGGTATCGCAGAATCTGCGTACTACAACATGAATGCATATCACGAGAATCAGTGCGTTATTATCTCGGGAGAATCGGGTGCAGGGAAGACCGAAGCTGCCAAACGTATAATGCAGTATATTGCTGCGGTATCAGGAGGCCAGGACAACAGCATACAGGAAATCAAAGACATGGTGTTGGCTACAAATCCATTGTTGGAAAGTTTTGGCTGTGCTAAAACTCTTCGCAATAATAATTCAAGTCGGCATGTGCGTGTCCCTTTCCCCTGCGTAACGATTGCTTGCTCATATTCGCATAGGGAAAGTATTTACAAATTATGTTTAATGCTCAGGGTGAACCTGTTGGGGCTCAGATTACAAATTACCTGCTGGAGAAGGGCCGTGTGGTTGGTCAGGTGGAGAACGAACGAAACTTTCATATCTTCTATCAGTTTACGAAGGCTGCGTCCGACGATCAACGGGGTGCGTGTGCTGGCAATGATATGCACGTAACGCTGACTGGCGCTGCAGAGCAGTTTGGTCTTCAGGGTCCGGAGTCATACGCATACACAAGTGTGTCAAATTGCCTGGAAGTCCAGAACATCAACGATACCGAGGATTTCGGAGCCACACTAGTGAGCATGCTGTTAGCTTTTGGAGCACATCCAGTTGATGCATTTAAACAGAATGCGATGCGGATCATTGGCCTCACCGCAAACGAGCAAAGTGAAATATTTCGAATGCTTGCTATCATCCTTTGGCTTGGCAACGTTCAATTCGAGGAGATGGACGACGGAAACGCCAGAATTGCAGACACGAGTGTTACCGACTTTATCGCTTATTTGATGGATGCGGACTCTGCCACGCTCCAGAAAGTGCTCACAACGAGAGTAGTGGAGACACAGCGTGGTGGTCGACGGGGTTCAATTTATGACGTGCCTCTCAACCCAACGCAAGCTACAGCAGGGAGGGACGCCTTGTCGAAGGCGATATACAACAACCTATTCGAGTGGATCGTGTCAAGAATCAACATCTCAATGAAACCAAGGGGTGCGACCGCTCATGTCATTGGCATTTTGGTATGTGCGATCCCAGCCAATAAACCACATACCTACTTCTTCTCTCCGTACAGGATATCTTCGGTTTCGAGATTTTTGAGGTATGAGGATACTGATGCGCCAGCTTGCGCACACTAACGTACATCTTTTCAGGACAATTCATTCGAGCAATTGTGCATTAATTACGTGAACGAGAAGCTCCAACAAATCTTCATCGAACTGACATTGAAGACCGAGCAAGAAGAGTACGTAAGGGAGCAAATCAAGTGGACACCCATCAAATATTTCAACAACAAGATTGTGTGCGACCTCATAGAAGAGCGGAAACCACCTGGCATATTCGCTGCGCTAAACGATGCTTGTGCGACGGCGCATGCGGACTCTGCAGCAGCCGATAACAGCTTCATGCAGCGTACGGCTATTTTGTCGTCTAATCCCCACTTCGAAGCCCGCGGGACACAGTTCCTTGTCAGACACTATGCTGGCGATGTCACGTACAACATTGCAGGAATGACAGACAAGAATAAGGACGCATTGATCAAGGATATCTTCGACCTCATTGGCAGTAGCGGAAACCAATTCCTTCAATCCCTCTTCCCGGACCGCCCTGATCCCAACAGCAAGAAGCGCCCCCCGACAGCTGGAGATAGAATCAAGGTGCGAACTCTGTATATTTTCAAGCACTGACTGATTGTCACCATTAAGAGTTCTGCTGGTGCACTTGTGGACAATCTGATGAAAGCCCAGCCGTCATATATTCGAACGATCAAGCCGAACCAGAATCGCAGCTCAACTGAATACGACTCCAAAGCTATTCTTCATCAGATAAAGTACCTCGGACTACAGGAGAACATTCGTGTCCGGCGGGCTGGCTTTGCCTACCGCAACACTTTCGAGAAAATGGTAGAAAGGTTCTACCTTCTCTCACCATCGACGTCATACGCGGGTGAATACACTTGGCAAGGGGACACAAAATCGGGATGCGTGCAGATCCTGAAGGACACAGGAATTCCCAAAGATGAGTGGCAGATGGGCGTTACGAAAGCATTCATCAAAAACCCAGAAACTGTAGGACTTTCTCCTGCATCTCGTAGCTGTTATAACCATATTCCAGCTTTTTGCGCTAGAGACGATGCGTGACCGCTACTGGCACAATATGGCTGCTCGCATCCAACGTGCCTGGCGCAATTACTGGCGCTACAAAAACGAATGCGCCAAGCGTATTCAACGGTTTTGGAAGAACAACAAGGAGGGACTTGAATATGCCAAGATTCGCGATTATGGTCATCAAGTGCTTGCAGGCAGGAAAGAACGCAGACGTTTCAGCCTTCTTGGCTATCGAAGATTTATGGGAGACTATCTGGATGTAAACGGCGAAAATGCGTTAGGCACGGAGCTACGTTCAGCCTGTGGAATTGGCAGTTAGTATATTCGCTCGCTGCGCATGTAATGACTGATATTGAGCTGGTTTTATATAGCCGAAGAAGTCAATTTCAGCTCTAAAGCACAGCTACTAATTTCAAAATTCGCTCGCTCCAGCAAACCGAGTCCTCGCTTCTTGGTAGTGGTGTGTACAATCTCGTTGGATTTGCCACTAGCGCTCATGTTTTTATAGACGAACAAAGCTGTGCATGTTGTCGTCAGCACAGAGAAGGATGGCCAGGCCCACTTCGCGCTCGAACGCAAGATACCGCTCATTACCATCAAGAGCATATCCATGTCAAATTTACGGGATGATTGGATGGTAGCATTTCATGGAAGTTGTTTTTTTGATGATTACTCACTGTCGAATCCTGTAGGTTTTCAACTGCAACGCCTCTGAGGAAGGCGATCCTGTTGTTCACTGCTACTTCAAGACCGAGCTCGTTGTCCAGCTTTTGCGTCTGACACAGGCGTCAATAAATGTCTCTATTGGACCAACGTAATCGTCTCTTCGGAATTCCTTTTCTTTTCTCTAATGGTACCTTAGCATCGAATATGCCAAAAAGAAAGAGAAGAAGCAAGTTATCACCTTCACGAAGGATGAGACGGTTGTTCGTGATGATGTGTACAAAAGCCATACGGTTCGTGTACCCTCGGGAGAGCCGCCGAATAGTGTGTCGCGCCCGCCACCAAAGCGGAAGCCAGGTACTGTGAGGCCCATTACTCAAGGAAAATTATTGCGGGCGGGTGGACCATCCAACGTGAGGAAATGTGCACATTTGTGATCGACCTCACTAATGGAAGCTCCAGAATTCGAAACGCGCGCCGCGTACCAAACCAGCTGCCCAACCGCTTCCTGGGAAGCCCGCAACTAGTGCTGCCGCGGCATTCCAGTCACCGCCCGTAGCTAGAACCCCTCCTCCTCCTCCGCCCCCTCCTGCACTGGAGGAGCCTGATGTGGAACAATATCGTGCTAAATTTGCGTTTGAGGGACAGGAAGGGGAGATATCTCTGAAGAAGGATGACGTTGTCGAGTTGGTCGAGAAGGATGAAAACGGGTGGTGGCTCGTTCGAAAAGATGGACAAGAAGGCTGGGCGCCTAACAATTATCTGGAGTTAGTGCCCCGGAAGCCTAAGAGTACTCCTATCGCACCTCCACCACCAGCTCGTCGACCTCCGCCGTTAGTGCCGCCGGCCGCGAACGCGTCATCTGCTTCCAAGAACACACCATCACCGAAGCCGGAGATAGCTAATGTCTCGGCGAAACCGGTAGCGGTCTTTCCTGGTATTGTTCCTTCGAACTCATCGGCCACACCTTGGAAAAAGCCGACCGCGAACAATACTACTAATGCTAACTCTACTGGCTCCCGGCCTGGAAGCGCATCGGCTGGGAAGCCTCCTCCGCCAGTTGCGACAAAACCTAAGCCGACTCCCCCTCAAGTAGCTACGAAGCCAGCTCCAAAACAACCAGGCAAACCACCTATCCCTGCACCCCCTCGTCCTCCGGTCGGCAACGGCTCGGCCCCGAAAGCGGCAGTCTCGAGGCCCACTGCACCGGCTGGTCAACTGGATTTAGCCGCTGCTGTAGGTATTCCGAGTTTTTTCCAATGATGTTACAGCTCATAGGTGTACTTGCAGCTTGCTAAACGGGCGCAACGAATGACAGGTGATTAATATTTAAGAACCAATTTTTGTGTGGCGAACGAGATATCTCTTTCACATCGCATCGACCCAAAGTTATACCGGATACCGTAGAATAACAAACCTGAATAGTTTTCTGAGGACATTGCCAGTACGGAGTGTCATGAAGTTTACCCCTGAACGTACGGAGCATGCTAGTTCTTCCATTAGACGACATTGAGGTTGCGAGGTGAAGTCAGGTGGCTACGGGTATACAGTAAAATCTAACATATGCTTATGGTCTATGAGATATGTATATGTCATGAAGGCGTAATCGTGATGGGGGGCAACGGGGAAGTTGTACTCGCAGGGCGTAGGGAACAACCCTCGACGCTTTCAAGAGAAGATTCACAGTCACTGCCTGGTACTGTGACAGTCGCTATTGACAACCGACTCTGCGTAGTCTGGTCATCTCCGTCCTCGTCATGGTTGTCGTCTGTTCGTGTTGTTGCAGATGCAATGAACCTCTCCGAGTCCCGCCACGAGCGAACTTCGTCTGCGTTGAGGACTTTTGCGGAGTTGTTTCTAAACTCTTCAGGCTTGCTCTCGAGTGCGCGCCTGCCAGATTGGATTAAACCATCAATGAGGCACCTTACTCTTTGGAAGCCTTCATCCTCTACACCTTCGATATCAATATCTTCACTATCAGCATCGTCGCCGTCCATTTCATCATCACCGTCATTAGGAAACGATGAATTGAGGGCATCGAATGCACGTGGAGGCAGAATCAGCCTTGATTCTCTCAGCTTACGTCGAAGGTCCCTTATTTCCTTTGCTTGACGATTCTTTGTTGTTTCGAGGGAAGCGTTGATCGCAAGAAGTGACCGATTGGTAATTTCCAGATCTGCTATCTGCCAGGCAACGGTAAGCAACAAGATCGATGGATAGCGTGCAACGCCCCAAAAACATTACAGACCTTGCGCTTCGTCTTCGCTTCAGCTCGTAAGTGCCGCTCAGACTCGTCAGCTGACTCTACATCACTTTCATGTTTGCGAGCACCGACTGGGGTGCCGGGGAACACAGCGTTAGGCTGAGTTGGAGAGGGACCCGCTGCACCCCTCCAATCGACGCTGCGTGCACGTCCGTGTGACCCGACAGTTATGGAGTTCGTATTTCCCGCGAGAGGAACATTGGTTTCGGATATGTGGGAGACCGAGGACTTAGAGGAAAGCGACAGGGCGGATATTGGGGGAGAATGTGGGGGCAGAGGAATGGAAGCAGGATCTACTTTAGGAAATGACGGTAATTTCTTTGGAGGCGTATCCTGGGTAGGAGCATAAACCTGCTGATTGCGAATGGGTGACTGTACAGGACGTGATACGTTGTAGCGGTGGGGATTGGCTGCTGGAGCAGCGGTGGTGATAGGATAAAACATCGGATTTGTTGGGGGTGAGGAGCTCGGCGTATGTAATGATATGCTGGATGTTAGTGAAGGTGCTCGGGTTCTGGTGACTGGTCGTGTTGTAACCCATGGCGGCGAGGACGAGGACGAAGAAGCATCATTGGAGTTAGTAAGTTTGGCAAGGTTGGACACCTTGGACTTTATCTTAGTTGGAGGTAATGTCGGTGTTAGTTGGAGATTGTCCAACATAATACGGTCGGACACGGGCGAAGCTTGTCCAGAGGGGGGGAGTTTCGGGGAGGGCAAGCCAACACTGCCGCTCCGTGGCCTGTCGTCGAGGTGTGGCATGCCGAGGTTAGGCGACGCGGAGGTGAGGGAGCGTTGACGAGACTCGGGAGTTCCTTGGCTCGCTATCTGAACTGGGGCAGATTTAATACCGGGCCGTGGAGAGTTGGGGTGCTTTAGATGAGTGACAGGTGGTGTTGATCCGTTTGGGGAGGGACGCAGAGACTTGAAAGGCGAGCCAGGCCTGAAAGACACATCATTCGACTTGGCGACGTTGAGCGAGCTGGAGCTGGACAGTTTGCGAAGGGTATCCCTGCCACCGTTGACCTTGGCCTTGGGGAGGAAGGGAGGAGACAGGCTGTTTGGTGGGCGAGCCTGGCCTGGAGAGGGGCCGGACGCGAGGATAGGCATTGTGATCGAGTCTCGCAGTGACCTGCACCTGCACGCTGGCAGTCGAAACGCGAATGGGAGAGTCTGCGAAGAGGACAGACTCACTTTTCTCTTGACGGGGACGTCCATTGCATTGAATGACAGCAGGTTTCGTGTATTGTTGACGTTGTCACCCAAAACAATCTACATACGTACAACTAACACTTCTGCTGGCGTCGGGTCAACACTTCCTCCACGATCTTCTCCACCAATCCACGCACGGCGTTGCTTCCCCCGCCAGCCAAGGCAGCCGCAACGCTCTTCTCTACGTATTTGCCCACCATGTCGACTTCGATATTCACCTTGGCACCCACAGGTTTTTTTGCAAGACTGATCTTCTCCTGCGTGTGCTTGATGAGCATCACTCCAAATGTGCTTTCGGCATCGTCAACTCCTGTCAAGGTCAACGACGTGCCGTCGATGGCCACATATCCCTTTGGAACCAGGTAGGCCATCAATGAACGTCCCTCCGGCGTGGATTCTGGGAGTTGGAACCACACCCGCAGTGATTCGCCATCCGGCTGTTTCTTAACGATCGTTGCCGTGGTATCAACGTGTCCCTGTAGACAATAGTAAACGACGACCATCCAGTACCGAGCATGCATCCATACTTGAACGAAATGGCCTCCAAATCTGACATGAGCTGCCATTGCCCGCTCGAGGTTCACATGGTCTCCAACTCTACGGTCACCTGCACTGAGTGTCAGAATGAGGTGGATCAGCATGCACATACTACATACCTAGATCTGTTCTGTCCAGTGTTTCATTTGCAAGCCACACTTTGAAGTACCCTCCGTCTTGTGCGGTGTCGAATTCAGTGACCGTCAAGCATGCACCGTTCACCGCAATGGAGTCGCCGACATGGCAATCACCCAGGATGTTCCCTGAATCAGATATTGTGAGGGCACACCCTCCCTCGTCGCGTTCGATGAACGACACCCTTCCCAAGTGCTCGATCTAGATTATTGTGAACGTCGCCGTGTCATCCTTGGCCGAGGTTCTGAACGTACCAGACCAGTGAACATCGTGAACAACCCGTGACATCATTACAAAGTGAGAAGTTTGTCCCAGTCATCACATCCGGTCTCATAGGGTGTCACTGTTTCAACCATGCAACCACATTCTCCTACAAAAGACCGCGTACGCAATCACTCATTGTGGGGGTCATACAAGGGTGAGGCCTTGAAATTTGCGCGCATCCGATCTCATCGACATGTCCCTCCAGTGCTGCCTGCCAGGACAAGACTTTACATATCAATGGGTGTCTGCACGCTGGGCGTAGCGGGTTTATTCGTCTCAGATTACCTGGAAAAGACCCTACCACCCACACCGCGTGGTACTGCAAAGTCGCCCTCGACTTAGATTGAACCTACTAATGTTCAACATGTCCGTCTTGTTAACGTGGCAAAGGGTGCTAAGGAAGATGTCGTGTAACGAATATCTATACATAGTTTCGGTGCATTTCGTTTCATTCCAACAAGTGACCGTTGGTGTATGACCCTGAGTACTCTAGAGGTCTTGCAGACATGAAGAAACAATAAAAGCATGTCCTGGAAGAGTGACCCTCGCATAAAATGGAATCACATCGAAATCAGAAACTTGCCTTGCAGTGCCTAGCAGCACAAGCAGTATGGTTGCTGAGAAAGGCAATGCCCACAGCGTCATCAGTGGAAGCCAAGCAGTGACCGTCACATTCAAAGCCGGTAAGAGGCACTCCAACCCTTGGACACTCTCCCACCAACACTCCTCAAGATGTCCTTCAGAGAACCCCTGTGGTTTTGTCACGAAGTCAGTACACTAGTTCCTGACAAGCCCTCTTCTTCTGACAGCCCACTAGTGCCACGCTGAGATGAGACCGTTGATGGTCCGTAGTTTGAGGCTTCAGACTCTCAGTCCACCCGGAAAGACGTCTCATACTTGTATTAGATTCCAGATCCCATATGCTCCTCCTGTCGGGGCTCCTTTGTGGAGAAGGTGCGCACTGCGCCCGCAATCTAGCTTCTCTTCCCCGCTCACAATTCTAAATACGATCGTTCATCAGCTGGAGAACCCGTCAGATGACCCCCGCGATTTCCAACGCAATCTTCATGATTTCCATGATCATCCCATCCCCGACCCCATAGATAACTTCTTCCGTTCGTCTGCACCCTCAGCCCATGTCCGCCTTCTGACATTTGGTTGCCTTTTGCTAGGTGGTATGCGAAATGTCTTCGGTCCACCACATGATCCACTTAGACACTCGACTTCCCCACCGTCTCCATCACGCAGCCCCGAGAGAGGAATGGTACCTATTGTCCGCACACCATTCTTATTCAATACTCATTCATAACAGGGCAGTGGCGCATTCCGACTGGAAGTACATTCTAGACCCGGTGGAGCGTTTATCATTGGAGGTCCAAACACTCTCGGGCGCTCGCCTAATCAGGGGCAGGGGGACAACGTACCCACGATGTCGGAGTCAGTTTCCCGGGCCTCTCTTTGTGATGCTGCTCACCGTAGTCCAGGTTTCTTCGTCGCGAGCAAGGCAATGACATCAATGGACGTCTTATGGCCCAGTACTTGTTGAGTTTAATCGGTCGTGATCCGACTGGCCATGACAGTGATCCTTTTATGGAGTTCTTCGGAGGTCGAGATGGTCGTTTGGGGGACTATGTCTTCACTCAGGATGGTTCGCATTCTGTCTATATATTCCGAGGGCGTTTACTGATGACTTCTCGTAGCACTTGATCAGATCATGACCCAGATCATGGAAAACTCCAGCGCTGGGAGACCCGTCCCTGCGACCGAGGAGATAATAATGAAGTTGCCCAGAGACCTTCTGACAGAAGGCTGTACGCGACATGTCCATGCCTTCGATGTTATCATATTAACGTCCAGCCAGCCCCTTTACTTCAAAAGGACTGCGCGGTTTGCAAGGAACAATTCAACTTACATCCTGAAGACGATGGAGAATTGATCGTAGTCACCCTTCCGTGTGACCATCCGTTCCATCAAGATTGTATCTTACCGTGGCTGAAGTCAAGCGGAACTTGTCCAGTTTGCAGGTTTGCGTCAAGTTGGTTTTCTGTTCCGCGGCTCCCCTTCTTATATTCATATGTTCTAGGTATCAACTCGTACCCCAACCAGGAGGGAACCCTGGTCAAAGTTCCCGTGGATCTCCGCCGAACCAACCCCCGCGTTCGCAGTCTCTGGACAATTCTAGGCGTGGCGGTGGTGGTACTGGGAACTTCTTTCAGTCGCTATTCGGTGGGACAGGTGGCAATTCAAGCGGCAGTAGCGGAAGCGGCGGTGGAAATAGCTATTCTTCAATGTCTGGCGGCAGCAGTACGCCCGACAATTCACGCAGCACACCATATTTTCCAGGACACTGGTCGGATGGCAGGCATTGACGTGCTATCTCGATGCCCCCGTGTTTCAGATGATAGAGGAATCTTGACCACCACGAACATTCTCTCACGCACTAGCTTTGAGGTATCAGTAGTGTCATTACATTTTCGGTTTATGCCCTCGGAGCAGGCCTGAGAGGTTTTTCTTCTTCCCAGTCATTGTGGTTTCGTGTAACATTTCCCTCACTAATTGTATTCTGTCTCGCGACCCGGGCCTGCTGCGAGCCACGCGAACATCTCAAGATTGACAACGCTCTCCATGCCAAGGTCATAAGATGAAATTTCCATGTCACTGACAACAACGAGAAATAGTAATGATACAAACACAGGGTGATGGATATGGTATTGCTGGACTATGCGAAGCGAACCTTCTCTCCCGGGCGACCGTCGGAAAGTAAAACAACGGCCTGCGTCCGCCTTAGCTCTCGGATCTAAGCACGATATGAATGGATACATACGTATTTCCCGCTTATCTTCCAGCCGGGTTCATCATCATCTAGCTTCTTCGCGATGAGGTCACCATCGTCGCCGAGGCCTACGACGACATCACTCTTGATCGTGCGCAGGCTGCAAATACGAGGGGCACCCGCCGCACTGGCCATTGGACCAATGGCGACATCGAACGGAGTGCTGGCTGGTGCATGACAGTCGTAGGTCAACTTGCGATGGTTCAGGTCACCCTTGAAGAAAACCAGGTCCGAGCGTGAAAGATGCAGAAACAAGTCAGGCGCTTCGCTGTGCAGGTCCCAGAATGTGTACCCGGTGCACCAGAATGGATGTTGCTCATATACCCACTTGCCGTCTCTCTCATATTGCTGGAAGATTGTCAGTCAGCTCAGAACAAATAACTGAGGAGGTGAACACTCACCTTCCAACGCTCTCCAAGTCTTCTCAGCGACTCTCTTTCGACCTCAGTAACTTTTGGGAAAAGATGGCCGTAAACCATAATGTTCAACAACCACTCCCAGTCTTTCCTAGTCACGTCGGAGACAAACCATGGGTACCGTTTGCCATGGAAGTGGATTTGTTTAGCAAGCCCACTCTGAATGAGGAAATCGGCTAATCAGGGTACTTTAGGGCAATCAAGCGGTATTGGAGCACCCATAGTCACCATAAACGCAATCACAGTACAGCTCAAATCCTGCGTTGTCGAGGACGAAATCTACGCGTCCACCTGTCTTCTCTCGGATCGACTTCACCGTTTCCCAAAGCCGATTAAGGTGGTTTCCAAGAATATTCTTCTCTGTAGCGGCCAGGTGGTCACCCCCAGTCGACTGCAAAGATTTGATTTGCTCCTCGGACATGTTGATTAGGAGGGAGAGGTCGGTGGAATTACCCCAAAGGCAAACTATAGCAAAGCAAATGAGAACGCAAGAGCAAAATGACAACTAATGCCGTTACCTTGCGTCAGCTCCAGGAACATGAGACGGTCAGCATCCAGTTTCTCAGCGTCAGAAAGGTTCGCTGCATGTGAGAAGGGCTCAGCGAACCGCATTGAAAGCTCAAAGACGGCTTCTGCCGATCTCGAGAAGGTATCGCACTGCGAACCATGTAAACAGAGTAGCGTTTGACAAGATACTGACGCACCTTCTGTCGATAGAAGACATCGTAATCTTTCCAGTATTTGCTAACGCTGAAACACTCGTGCAAACGACGGTACTTGTATGCCTCTGCGAATAACCAGGGAGCATTCATGAAGTCTTTGCCTGTGTTTGGAAAGAACTGGTGTGCCATCAAACAATGGGGTTGTGTCGTCAGACCCACCTTGGAAGTACTTTGCGATTTCTTTGTTCCAGAGGGATACATCTGCCTCAGCATCATCAATTATAGGTCGCAGTTTAGCATTCCCACTAAGGTCAACCATGAGCTGGTCCATTCTTTCAAGGCAGCTGGCGAGATCGATTATAAGATCTTCGGAGGATTGCTCGTTCAGAGTGCGAGAAGCATCATCGATTGCCTTTCCAAGAATGGTGGGCAGCCGTACACCCATGGTTGCATGAGCGAATGAGTATCGGTGGTAGCCGCGGAAGGCTGGCCACGGAGGGTTATTAGGGTCAACCTGCGCAAGGTAAACTGCATGAGGAACCAGTCGGTCTCAGAATGAGGAAGAGGAATACGAACCCTGGAGGGAGAACGTGGGTAGGGCACGCTCATGTTCGTCTTGCTCGGCAAGTGACCAAGATGAAGGGTAACGCGTGGAGGAGCTCCAGGCGAAAGACGAGATCCTTTAGTAGTAACTGCCGTCGGCTCGGCGCCATTGGGCTCACTTTTGGCAGAGATGGAGGACATTTTGTGTTTGTCCTGCTCAGAGTCTGAGGCACAAGGCGTCGGAGGGAAGTAGTCGGGCTGCATGGTTCAGAGGGAACGGGAGATGAGGAGACGAAGTGTGAGGAGGCGAACCTTTTTATACGCGAGGATGGCAACGGGCGGTCGCCTTTCAAAGTACGCAGCTTAAGGAAGTCACGCAGTCGGCGTTTATCGACTGAGCACTCGAGGGGACTCTATATATTTTGGATGAAACCGTTGTGTTTCTTGGGTATGGATTCCAAATTAGGAAGGTCAGTGGTTGACGACGACGTCATAGGCTGATCGAACCTTTTGATCTCTGGGCTATAGTGCAGAGAAAAAGTGGAGCTCGTCTACTGTCCGATCAGGTGCCCCCGCGAGTTCATGCAGGAGCAAGTACGCTTGTATACAGAATATATTATGCTCGCTCGAGGCAAACTCTCTGGTCATCTTATCGATGGATGTGCCTGCTCAGTTTCCTAACTTAAGTGACCTTCTTGTGGCAAGGAAAAATGCACTTACCCCTCACAGCCCTCACTCGCCATAGATTAAGGAGTGCTTTGTTAGGCAGTATCGGACGCCGTGCAGGCCGGGTCCCTCCTTCTCTGACGCCATAAGGACTAGAGTGGCGAGAAGGGAGCTAGCAAACTCTGATAGGGATTCTATGCATACTGCCCATAGATAACTTAAACTCAGCCGAGCCGGTTTGTTTTGCTAATGCGAAGTTCTTCCTTGTCCAAAAGTGCCGACAAAGCTCCATCGTTACGCCCCACGGACAGGTAAACGTGACGTGGCCGTGGGAGCAAAGTAGTGGCCAATTCACTGCTGATCCACTTGGACACGTTGTGAACGTCATTATCGTCGTCCATCCGTTGTGTTGGACACCACTTGACTCGATGCTCACAACGCAGTGCAAGTTAGCGCTTGCGAGGACTCGTACGGATAGTCGTTCCACGTGCTCCTCATAACCGCCGACGTCCACCTATGCCTTTCGCCCTGGAAATACCTCAATCAAGTGTTTGCTTTATGATCTTTGTTCCCAACTTTGACCGGGTGCCTCGGACTTGCGAGTTCATTTACCTTCTCAGATAAGTGGCGTTCCACATTAACACTCGAAACCGTTCTATATCTCCGCGCGCTCCATCGTTCTCGGCGTGTAACCACCAGCCAGCTCATATAGGCATTAGTTATGCGGATACCTCAGGCATGTGTCATCACAACGTGTTCACAGCACGGCCATCGTGCGTGGACAAACTCGAAGCTGCAAGTCTGGTTGGATCGTAACCAAGCTCCTCGGTTAGTATCGGACAGCCCTGCTGCAGAGCAGTGACCCCGCATTCTTCGCTTCAATGTTTCAGGAGATCCGGGTCAACTCATCTGGCATTCCTTATACAACTGAGTTCCGTGATCCTTCGTTTTTTTGTTCATCCAGTACCCTTGAGTCAGCTCATCATGAATGCCCCTCACCCTCCCTTTCTTCCCTTGCTGACCTGACTCTTACACGTCTTGAATCCTATTCTCCATCATCTTCTACATCCTCTTTAACTCGCGTTCTTCTCTCCACTTCTTCGCCGTCGTTACCTCTGCAGAAAGCTACTGATAAACCGACACCGCGTCGACTTTTCTCTCGATCATTCTCGTTGCGCTCTGCGTCCTCACTGCTGAGACGGAAGCCGTGTCGCGCAGTTTCTGATCCTCTAGCATTTAATTCTTCCCCGTCGCAAAATTGTGTTGACAACAGCAACATCCGTTCTTCATGGATTGTTGTTCCACCAAAACCACTTCCGGCCCTGCCACAGATGCGATCTCCTCCCGAGTCGGATTTGCGGGTGGCTGGGCTTCACATATGCTTTCGCGCACATGTGGCTGGACCACAAATGCACCCGAAGAAGAGGCTCGTACACTTGCAGAAGACTTTGGCTTCTGCTGTTTTAGCTGCAGGAATGGAAACTCCGGCTACTGGCGCCGGCTGTTGTGCGGGAAATATGCAAGGGAATAAGTCGCAGATAAATAAAGAGAGCAGCACGGGAGGTTTATTCCGCGGGACATACGGCCAGGTAACGACAGCCTTGGAGAGTGCGGGACTGATCGCGACGCCCTGTGACGGTGATGGTATTGCTGGAGGTCAGTATACCGTAGTCCGAGCTGCATTGATCCGCTAGCTGATATCGCGTCTATCGACTAGCCACGCGTCTTGGAGCTCTCTTCGTCGCACGTCCCGATGGTCATGTTATGCAGCTTACCAAACTCACATTGTGGGGTTGAGGTATATATAGAGCACGACAGTGTACAAGTGACCAACGTTGTATAACTGAGGCTGTGTTCCTTATCTATACCTGTGTATGCCCTTGGAAGGTCCTGGTGGCCTGTTTTCGTCTACTTCTGCTCTTGTAGTGTATACACAGCTGCCGGGTTAATCATTATCACCTGTTCTCGCCTAATCTCGGGCAAGTCGTCGAATCAATGATTCGTAAGCCTTTATCAGTCTCAAGCGCTTGCACTTATGTATCTTGCGCTCCTGACTCTCAACCACGTTTGACGCCATAGGTAGCATTTCAACCCCAAACCAGGCGCTTTCACTATGGTAGCCCGAGATCAGTCTCCGAAACAGCTAGTAGTGCTCGGCGCCGGCGTTATTGGTCTCACGATCGCCTACCTTGCATCTGTAGCTCCTGATGCTTTGTTCAGGGTGACTATCGTAGCTCGAGATATGCCTGAGGATATGGAGTCCCAGGCATGGGCCAGTCCATTTGCGGTATGCCATTTAGATGTAATCACTTCACTACACTCAACACGCCAATTCTTGGCACAGGGCGCAAATTGGTCCCCCATGCCCATGGGGGGTATTGATCCACGTGTGCGCCGACGGGAGCAGGTTACCTTGTAAGCAGAGACATAGTCATCCGTGGCTTGTTAGACTTAGGGTGGCAAAAGTGACAAGTTCTGGAACATGATCCCTACTGGCCTTGTGAAGGTGAACGCACTTGGTGTTCCAGGTTGGATAAACCCTTTACGACTTCGTATGTAGAAACTTCCTTCCAAGATTTACTCAAAAAGTGCCGGAAGTGCGTCCGAGTTGTGGTGGCATGATCTAGTACGCGAAGTGAGTGTCGACGTTGAATTGATGCAAGCGCATTCGATCGTTGTTGCTGCGCCAGTTCCGAATTCTTGCTCGGGAGGAAATACCGGAACCATATGTTGCTGGAGTGGCTTTCTGCACTGTTTCTATCAATCCGCAGGAGTATATACCATGGCTCAGCTCGGAGCTCAGGGCACGTAATGTTGAGTTCGTTCGCCAACACGTGAGAACTCTGGAAGAGCTGAGGCCCCTGGTTGGGGCTGATGGTATACTGGTGAATGCATCCTCTCTTGGTACGTCGGGGACGTTCTACTGTTCTTCACAATGTACGAGGACCCGTATAGGTTCCAGATCAATCGTTGGTGTCGAGGACACCAAACTGTTCCCAATACGTGGACAAACAGTTCTTGTACAGTCTTCGCAGTTGCAAGAATTTCTGGCGTTGAAACCTGGTATTTGATCCGACATCCCAAGGGAGGGTCGATGCATACTAACCTCGACAGACGACGGTGCAGTACCGGACACCTACATTATACCCCGCCCTGGAAGATCGCTTGCGGATACGGCACTTCTCGGGGGCACATTCGAAGTGGGAGATTGGGATACCTCCCTCGACATGAACATTGCACAGGCTATTTTTGATCGTTGTTCGGAACTGGCACCCAGTCTAAGAAATAGTGAACAGACCAAGATACTGGCACATAATGTTGGCTTGCGCCCTGCGCGTGAGGGTGGACCACGGCTGGAGGCTGAGATCGTCCATTTTCCACTTCGCGGAGAAAATCACAATCTCGTCCCCTGGAACACGATTTCTTTGGAGGAAGGAAAAATGCGGGTCGTGCATGCATATGGGTTCGGGTAAGTACCGAACCTTGGATAAAGGTTATCTAAACATGCACCATCATAGGGCGGCGGGATACCAGACTTCGTGGGGGGTTGCAGAAGATGTCATGGCCATAGTTACAGGGTTGTAAGGGTGTAGGATAGTACGACCACGTGACTGGACGCGTCGTTGTTGTGTACTGTTGTTTTGTCCTGCGGAGGTTGGTCACGATCGAAGTGGTCTGCCACCATCGTCCGTCCAAAGTATCATGTCACTCAGTGACCTGGGCAAGAATGACGTCTCTGCAGAGATGCAAGCTATTAAGGACAAGCTCGCAAGTCAAGGTTTGTTTGCTCATCATGGTCGTCGAGCCATTTGCAGAGGCTTACCAACTCTCCAGATACCGAGAATGCGGGGTTACGGGCGCTCCTCATGAGACGCGAAGCTGAACTAAACGAGATTAAGGCATCCTTAAATGAAACCCTCCACAAAGTCAAGCACTTCTCACTTACTAATGCTCCGCCTTAGACTCACTGTCTCACAGCTTAGCAAGGAGGCTGACCGGGCCCTGCGGCTTGAGGGAGCCCTTGCGGACCGCGACACGGAGCTCAGGACAGAACGCGTATCGAGGGAGAATGTAGAGCATTCACTGATAGCGACACAAGAGAAGTTCAAAGCTCAGGAACGCACCACCAAAGAGCTGGAGGCCACGATGGACACGCTCTCTCAACATTCACAATCCACCAATGCAGAGCGCCGGGCTCTCGAGAACGAAAAGCTTGCGCTGCAGAACCGTGTGCGCGAGCTGCAAATAATTTTTCAACAACATGAAGCGCAGGCAGCTTCGTCCCGTCTTCCCAAAAGGGGCGGAAGGCGACGTTCTTCCTCCCTTACCAACCACCGATCCCCAAATTTGGATCAGGAACTCAACGATTGCAAGGTCCAGCTAGCCGTCAAAGAGAAGGACCTATGTACTCTCCGCGAAAAACTCGTACGCGCCCAGGAGGACCTTGTCAAAGCAGAGAACATGCGTATTTCCGCTGAGAAGGCAAGTCAGAAGAAGGTGTCAGAGTTATTGGCTACTCTAGAAGCGAAAGAGGAGGAGTTCGAGGCTTTGAAAGGAGGTGGGACGGACGGCGATGCAAGGGAACGGGAAGCTGCATTGCTTCAAAGAATCGACGAGGACGAAGCCAAGATTGCCGCACTGGAAAGCATGCTGAAAGGGAATCAGGCGAATGGCGTCAATCAAGCCGCATACAACAAATTACAAAGTCGTCTCAAAGCAGAAAGCGAGAGATTGCATCGTTGCGAAGACTCCCGAGCTCAGTTGCTTGCTGAAAGGAGGGAGTTACACGAGGAGCGGGGCACTATCCGGCAGGAGCTTTCAAGAAGTAATGAACTCCTGCAGGAGACGCAACGCCTCCTCCGAGACTCTCAGTGCAAACAAATGTAAGTGGGAAGCTTTTCTCGTGATTTTCGCTTATTGGGGATCAGACAACTCCAGGCGCAAGTGGAGACATCTGAGAACTGGAAAGAGCGAGAGAGTGAACAGAAAATCCATAATGCCATGGATATTGATGATGCACCTGGGAGCGATGTGGGAAGGCGCTCGACTCATGTTAGTGAGTCGGCAGTGGCAAGTCATATCGAGACCCTGTTGCACGCTATTGATCGACTACGTAACGAACGGGACGAAGTGAAGCGAGCACTCGAGTTCTCCGAGGTCGAGTATCGAATCACTGTACAGGGTTACCAAAATCAGATTGCGTCATTATCGAAGGAGGTGTCTGAGCGTCCGGCTCAAGTCTTAACAGCCCCTTCAGTTTCTAACCACGGGAATACGGAGGTTCAAATTAGGCAACTAATTAAATGCGCAACTGCCTTTTCCATTGTCATCACCAACCTGCAAAACGCTCTCGAATCCTCGGAACAGCGAATCTGGTCCCTACGTTCTGATAAGGATGTGCTTAATTCCCGCCTTGTCGACCTTAACCAACTTGTCCAGCAGCGGGGCCATGTTCTGGAAGGGGCAGAACAGGAGCAGAGGGTCCTGCTCTCTAAACTGGATGCGTTGAGCGCAGAGGTTTCCACCTCTGAGCACCAACGCACCCAGGCATTGTCGCTTGTGGCAGAACTTGAACGGAAGGTGCAGTCTCTGGAGGAAAGCAACGCTGAAACTGAGACGGCTTACAAGCACGCACACGAGGGTTTTGCCGAGGCAAAGGAGCGTCTTTCAGAATTAAGCAAAACGTATGAAGTGGTCGAATCGGAGCGGAATTCGCTATCTCTCCAAGTAGCAAACCTGCAAGACGATCTTGCTCGTGCGCAAGATGAACTCGCCGCCTCTCAGGATCGTTACAATGCCCTGCGAACCCAGCAGCTTAACGACATGTCCACTTCGGAGATGACTCGTGCCCTCAAGGATCATATACAGGAACTGGAGTTGCGTGTCCTCCGTCGTACAGAGCAGATTGGTATTCATCAACATGACATCCATCGCTTGGAAACCAATATGAAACTCCAAGAAGAGCGCATCGCGGAAATGACATCAGAGCTGGAAGTCCTAGGGGCCCAGAAGGAGGCAATGGTGGAGGATTGCGCAGAAGCCCGCGAATCTCGCGACCGAGCGATCCAGAAACTGGAAGCAGCGGAAGAAGACATCGAGAGACTGGAAGAGTTGCTTGACCAGATGAAACGGGATAGCGAAGCGCAGCTGGCCACGATGTCTTCGGAGGTGGGAAGGTTAACTTCAGAGCGTTGCGAACTGGTTTCTGGTGCTGAAAGCACAGAAGGTCGCATCGCTGCGCTGGAGTTAGCCAACGCAGAATTCCAAGTGGAAATACAGTCGCTAAAGACCGAACGGACGGTGATAGATGGTAATTTGAATACTGCCACGAATCAATTTGAAGAATTGAAAGCGGAGACGCACGCAAAAGACCTCGAGATTCAACAAGCGTTCGTCGCGCTCGCTACCCTACATCGTTCTTGGCGAACCTCTGCTCAACAGCTACAAACCGCTTCTGGTAGTGCAAGTTCCTTGCAGAGTCAAATCGATACACTCTCCCAGGAGCTTCTGTCAAGACGCCGGCATGCTGATGATGTTCAAGAGGAGGTTCACGTTCTACGCAGTCAACTCACGGATTTCGAGGCAGCATCAGAGGCTGCTACGAAAATCAACGAAGTTCGCGAAACGGAAATCAATAAACTGCGTTCCAAAGTTGTTGATTTGCAGTCACAGCTGGAGGACACTGCACACCAGCTATCTCGGGCCCACGCAGGCCTTAAAGACAAGAACGTGACGCAGGAGGAATATGCCAACGTTGAACGGGAGCTGGACCAACTGAAACATCGTTTGCGTGATGCTGATGCCCTGCGCAAATCTTTCGACGCCATGGTCGAAGAACTCGCTGAGGCAAGGCAAGCCCTGGACGAAAGTAGAGTCTGTCACGCACAAGCGGAGGTTCGGATGGCAGAACAAATCAAGACCATGTCCTTACGCCTGCAAGATCAAGACGCCGTTCAAAATGAGCTCCGGGAGGGAAGGAAGGAGATCGACGACGCTTGTCGTCTATTGCGAGTTGAACTCGAAGATGCAAGGGCGAAGGCCCACTCGTCTCAACAAAATCACACCAGCCTCTTAGAACGCCACGAAACCACCATGAACGAGCTAAGTTTGGCCAAGCAAGATCTCGAGGACAAACTTACCAGTACAGAGGAGCGGTTAAACGCTCTGCACGCTGAACACCAGCAAAGCGTTCTTGCGTTGGAGAAAAAGCACAGAACGGAGTCCGACTCACTCTCTGCCCAACTGGACGATCGCTTACGCGAGCTGGAGGCACTGCGCAGGCAGCTCGAAGCCGAAACGGATGCTCGCAAGCGCGCCGAGACGCTTTTCGAGCAGGAAATTAAAGCTGTAGAAAGTCGGCTTGCCAGCGCGACTGCGACGGAGACCGAACACCGCCAGGTCATCGCTCAATCACGGCAACAGCTTGATGAGCTGCGTTCGGAAGTGATGGTACTCCAGGACGAGAGGAATGCACTGCAAGAACAGATTACGAACCTGGAAGCGGAAACACAACGGTTGCATTCACTCACACGACACTTGGAAAGCAGGAACAGAGAGAGGTGTTTACGACTGCCGTTCTCCTTACCATGTCTCTGACCATCTGTCAGCGAGTCTACTTGCGTGACATTACAGAATGCTCTGCAAGAGTGCCAAATGAATCTTGCGCAATCTGAAAAAGCAGGAAAGGCTGCCGAGCTCAGTCTTGTCTTGCAAGCTACTCAGCATGAGAAAATGGCCGCAGCATTCCGACACCAGCTCACATCTTTACAGTCTGGTCCCGACTTGCATGCCGCCTTGGTCGAGTCAGAGGAGAAAAACCGCGAGATGGACGACCTCCTCAGGGCTAAATGTGCTGAAATCGAGGGATACGACGACCGAATTCTTGAGTCAGTCAAATGCAATGTTTGCGCTCGAAATAAATTTAATATTCACCTCACAGAACACTCAAGGCGAATAAGAAGTTGACTTCAAAGGTGGAAACGTTAACTCGGAAGGTGCAAACTCTGCAAACAAAGCTTGCATCGACAAAGAGCCAAAACCCGCAAATTGCGTCCCCTCGAACTTCATCGATGATGCCTACACCGCAACAAGCCGGCGAGACGTCTTCGCCTCCTCAACTTCATGCGACTCCGAAAATGACAATGTCTCTCACACCCAGAATGACAAGTACACACGACCATCGTGCCACGTTCGCTCCATCAGCTGTCCCAGAAACGGCTGGAAATGTTGCAACCATTGTGGCAGGCATGAAACGACGTGCACCCGACGATGACGAAAGGGACAGTGTTCCCCCGGAGGGCCATTACGCCGCCGACATCCTTATGCGAGATACCTCCACACCTCACTCGCGACGAACCTTACACACTAAGCAGACCGGGTTTACCCCTAGTCGTAGTACCCGACCGCGCGGTGGTCATCCATCTCCAGCACGTCATGCAACCACTGCTGTAACACCATCTCACACTATAACCGATGTCACTAACAGTCCGCGTACGTCTTCGCACAGCGAGTCCCAGGTAGGCAAGAAGAGGAGTTGGCTGGGGAAGGTTCGGAGCAATTCCGCGTCTCAAAACAATAGTGTTACAGTTCCTGCAAAACCATGGACATCGCATTCCAGCGAATTTACGAAGAACAAATTATCCTAGTAGCATACGCTACCACCATATGTACCTTTCATTAGCAGTGATCGCTCTCGCATTACACATTATTAAGCACTTACTCAATATCGGTATGCTGCCTGAGGCGCCTTAGCCTAGCACTACCTTGATGACACATGGTACATCAACATGCTTTTTTCTAAGTTGACATCGAGACACCAAAGTGAGGCTTTCTCTGATCTAACTACAACCAAGGAAGTGGGTGACTGGCATCCAAACATTCTGCGGGTTCTAAATTTTCACTTCGACCTGGTCACCATCGCATTCGATCCGACATTGGGACTCCTTTCGAGTGGTACGTATAAGTTATTAGGCGATGGTGACTGACGTTAGATCACGCCTATCAACTCTTCCATAGGAACTTCGTCTGGTGTGATCCGTATCTTTGGAGCTCCGGGTGTAGACGTGTCGCTAGACCTACCAGAACCACTACAGGTATCCTTTCTTCGGTTTTCAGCTTCCACACGTCAACTCGTGTGTATCGGTGAGCAGATCCTCACCGAAACCCGCACCAGAAGAAGTTGATCGTGACCCCAGACGAACGCGACCAACTACATGTCTGGGACCTGAGCCAAGTTGGACGCCCGCTGCACCAACAGACGTCGGCTTTGAACTCTTGTGTCAGGTAAGTATAGAATCTTCAGACACCTCAAGAGTTGATGAGCTGAGGTGTTTCGCATTTTGACAGCGACATATCCCTTTCTCCCTTCCATACCCATGTAATATAAATCCCTTTCCTGGGGAGTTTCGGGTTGACTTATAATCCCTAGGCTCTCATTGTGTTTCAAACGGGGGAGATCAGAGCATATGACCTGCTCTCCCTCCAGATGTCGCCGTACATGATCCCTAATTTGTGGAATTTGCACATCGAAGATGTAAACGCGACCATGAAGTTACCCTCTGACCCGGCGATGTGGGTCCTTGACCAATTGCAAAGATTCCAATGCATCGACAAATGATTTGCATCTAGGGAGCTGCCCATAGAAATTATCTGTCACCCTCGAAACTTGAAATGGATTTTTGTTGTGTTCACAGGTGTGTCCACAAGTCTTTCACGCTATGGTAGTATTGATTCCTGGCGGGCGTAGGTGGGGTAGTGCTTTGTGACTTGGTTCGTGCTACTATCCAGCTACCACCCTTTGCCATCATGACCTGTATCAGGCAAAACGTTCAGTGGTGGCCGTTTATACGCGTCCAGAGCCCGTCAGCGTCAGTATTCGTGTTAGCGAACTCTGTATGCATACAACAATAAACCCTTTCTCCAGGTGGGTTCGATACACAGTGCATCATTTGCGACGTCGATGGCCATCCATCCTTCTGGTCATTTCTTCGCCGTTGGCTATGCAGATGGTGTCATCGGCTTCTGGGCGATCGCAGATGAAGCGCGGCCCTTATCCGTCAACACACTTGCTGAGTTAGGTGAGCATGTCGGCGGTTGGTCGCCATTCGAACAGTCACCTGGGGGTGTTGGTGAAAACAACCAACATCCAAATTTGGAGCCGGTATGCAAATTGGCATGGTGTGGATTCCCTAACACAAGCGATTCGTGCGGAGGGAATTCTTTGCTTCTCGTACTCGGAGGGTGCCCAACCACAAGCGATCGGGGACTAGTAGCGCTCTTGATGCCTACATTCAACCCCGACTTATCGGCACCCTTCCCTGACAAGTCAACTTCCCTACACCAAGCTGCGCGTGATGAGATGGTTCAAGTATTGATACCCAAGAGGGCACACATTTACTCACCATCTGCCCAAGTGCGTGACTTTTGCGTTGTCTCCTGCCAGACCCCCCACTTTTCCGGCATATGGGATCCTGCTGCCGTAATTTGCTTGTGTGGCACTTCGTCTGGCTCGCAGGGCGTGGAAACGTATAGATTTCCCCCACGGAGTTTCCTTGACAGTTCCCTTGCTTGTTTGGGGAATTCATCCGATTCGTCAGAAACCGATATCGTTGGCCATCTCGCTGCATTACTAGAGGAGATGAAACTTGACCTTGATCAGGAGCTGTTAGTGCCGCCAAGTGCGCTGAGGTGCGGCCCAAGTAAAATCGTTAAAGTCTATGCACTGGACGTCAAATGCGAAATCATGGATTATCTGTCCAAAGCTTCGACCGCAGGGAATGCGTTGGTCTTATGCGGTGGCGCAGCATGGCTTGGTCCTGCCCGTCTAACACAAGCCAAACTCTCCAAGGTGCTTACCGTTAAACTTGCCTCATGCAGGAGCCTAAAGAGTATACGCCTAGTACCAGCCAAGACGACTCCTCATAACGATCCATGGTGACGCCAGCGTACGATTCCACGATATCAGTCCACAGCTTCTCATCACCACGCGAGAGTCTCCGATGACCAAGGACTTCCCCGAAACACTCGTTGACTTGATCATTAACATATGTGACATATTTGCGGACCCTCAATTGAGCAAGGTCAATCTGCCGATACTCCCAAAAATACAGTCAGTTCAGTTCACTCAAGAGTCGCTGGAGTGTTCGATTGCCCTAGAGACGGGGGAAGTTCTTCTCTACCGCTTCCGGCTGAATGATCGCCAACAACACGTGCCGAAGGAGGTGGACGATGAAATTGTTGTGCTTGATCAAAGTCTTGCTGCAGGTTGCAAATTTCGCCCGTACCTGATGTTGCATAGAAGACCAAGTAAAACGACGTCTCATTCCCTCAATGACGTTGGCGAGTTCGCAATTCTCCCGCTTGTTCATTACCTGCTGATGTTCCGATAGGTTTCCTTGCAGTAGGTTATGCAGACGGTTGTATCTCTGTCGTCGACTTGCGGGGCCCTTCCATACTCCGTGTCCCGCGACCTGATCACCCGCGAAAGGGTCCACTTGATTTCCATCAATCACGCAACTGTGGACTAGACGGTATTGTTTCCCTGACGTGGACTGTGTCAGGAATAGCTTCTGGTAACGCTGGAGTCCAGTATAGTGGAATGATTCTGACGTCAAATAGAACAAAACCTTTTCTTGAGGTTGATTTCTGTTCATGAATCTGGAGCATCCTACGTCTACAAGCTGGCTCGGCAGCCGGGCTCGTCATCATATTCATATGTGGAAGCAGTCACCACAGAGACCCTACCCAATCTATTTGACAATTCATCCTTCGTGATTGACTCCAGAACTGGCGCACTGATGCGCGCTGACAAGGTTATGTTTGCTGTTGCACTGCGGCAAGGTGATAGTGTTGCAGCGAATAGCTGTTTTTGGGTCACAGCAAGTGCGCAAGGTGCAGAGTGCAGGGTGGATATCACGGGGAAACGGGTGGGGAGAGTGAACTGGGACGCCAAACAGAACATAATCCACGCTTCGCCCGTCGAGAGAAACGGTAAATTTCTCAATCCAATGCACCTACCTGGTGATTGATGCAGGCCAGGTTCCCAGTCATTCGTCGCATGGGGGTCGAAGGGTGAAATATTAATGTACACCCTTCCTTCTCTCGAGCTCTTGCACACAAGCACCTTCTCACCGATGCCTGCAAGGTAATTACATGGCTCTGACCGCTTCGAACCAGAGATCCTAACTATCTCACCAGCCTCAATCTCATATCCGTCGACATAACCGGTGACTTCATCTATTGTGAGACGACCGAACGGCCGGCTATGTCGAGGGTTACGCTGGCTTCTTTGTTCTCCTCTAGAGGCGTCTATGACGAGCCGATTACGGCTCTATTAGAGCACATGACTACGACACCACCAATACCACCCCAGCCACAACCAGCACCTCCAGGACTGTCATCAGTTCTAAGTGCATGGCTCGGCCCCCATATGTCTGCGTCAGGGGAACAGCAGCTTGATAACATATGTACGACAGTCTGCTTGGAATTGAGCTACCTTACTGAATGAGTTTTAGTTGCTGGTCAAAATAGACCTGTGCCGCGCCTTCGGTTTCCAGATAGCGGATCCCGGGACGTTGAACCAGTTGACCATTCGAGTGCCCAGTCTGCAGTCGCCAACACCCTTCGACGCGCACAGGATGACGTTTATGGCAGGCTGAGCTCCGCTTTAACGGAGAGAGGGTAAGTCTAATCTTTTCTACAGCTGCATGACTTTCATGGCGTGTGGTTCCAGGGAATTGCTTGGTGCCGTAGAGCAGCGTGTCGAATCGACTGCCCAACGGACGGAAGAGATGGTCGCAGAGGTAACTTTTACTACATCAGGATAGGTGTGGTACTGAAAAGTATTTACCGCCAGGCAAGGAGAGTCGCGGCGAAGCAAGGGGCGAAGAGATGGTTTGGGTTCTGAATGATATGTGGGCGATATTGCGCAGAGGAACAGGAGAAACGAAGAGCAATAAGCAAGAACACTTGCCTTTGTTAGAATGGTAGTAGATTTGAGTAATAAGCTTGGGGCTCAGTAGTTGTCGTTTAGACAGAAGAAAGCAATGTGGAATTGCGATAGGGACTCTGGTCGAAAAGACCGAGTTTATATACATGTAGCTTTACACATGGACCAGTAGCATATATGGAAAGAGCTAACTATGTATAGTAAAGAACAGCATAGAAGGTCATGGAATATGATGTATAGTATTGCATCATTGTGGAGCCAGACCCTTCAGTCACATGTAATCCAGAAAGTGGGTCATCCGACATGCACATTTGGTCCTGAAAGTGGGACTAACTGACATTGGCCTATAGACCCTGATGGTGGATAGGCCGACATGTTGGAGGGAGGTCGGCTGACCTCACTGGGGGATGGACTCACACCCTGGAAGTGGTGTTGGCCGACCTCACTGGGGGATGGAGCCACACCCTGGAAGTGGTGTTGGCCGACCTCACTGGGGGATGGACCCACACCCTGGAAGTGGTGTTGGCCGACCTCACTGGGGGATGGACCCACACCCTGGAAGTGGTGTTGGCCGACCTCACTGGGGGATGGACCTGCACCCTGGAAGTGGTGTTGGCTGACCTCACTGGGGGATGGACCTGCACCCTGGAAGTGGTGTCGGCCGACCTCACTGGGGGATGGAACCACACCCTGGAAGTGGTGTCGGCCGACCTCACTGGGGGATGGAACCACACCCTGGAAGTGGTGTTGGCTGACCTCACTGGGCAATGGACCCACACCCTGGAAGTGGTGTCAGCCGACCTCACTGGGCAATGGACCCACACCCTGGAAGTGGTGTCGGCTGACCTCACTGGGCAATGGACCCACACCCTGGAAGTGGTGTCAGCCGACCTCACTGGGGGATGGACTCACACCCTGGAAGTGGTGTCAGCCGATTTCACTGGGGGATGGACACAGACCTCACCACCTGGAAGTAGGGTTGGCCAAACCCTGAAAATTCCCTTGGCATAATCAATTGCTTGTCAATTTAGATGTTACCAGAAGTATTGACTCTGATGACACTTCCAGATGGACATACCCCCTGAGACCAGTGTTGGCCAACCTCACTGGGGGGTGGCCTTACCCCCTGAATCCATGGCCATTCTTCACCTCCAGGTGATGTCAGTGATCTCACAGGGTTTGAAACTTGCAATGAGCATGGGTAGCCATATATAGGGATCCTTTTGATTCACACCATCTACAGTTTATTTATAGACCAAGACCCAGAGCTCTCTTGGTTGGTTGACGAGCTCTAGTTGATTTCTTGCTTGCCTCTTCACCCTCCTTTGCCATCTTCTGATCAACATCCCCACTGCCTCCCCTTTTTCTTTTCCTCACATCCTTTCTTGTATTCCGGGATTCCTTCATGCCACCCCCCTGGGTGGGACAGGAATCCCCTGCACTGACCCCAGTTGTTTCCTGTGCACCAATCCCTCTGCTTGAGCCACCAGAATTCTGCTGCAGTCTTGCAACTACCAGCCCCACTGCACCCATAACATCTTCCCCCTTGTGGATATCAAGACCTGAGCCTAGCAAAAAGCCCAGATTAGCAGCTTCAGGGTCATCTGATTCTATGTCCTGTGCTCTTTTGCACTCCCTCCACAACAAACCAAATCCCAGTACAATGGTAAGACCTTTCTGGGTGGATGCAAACTTTTCACTTTGCAATTGATACAGTGCCTTCCAGAAGGAATCCCCATTGCCATGCATCTCCTGGGGCAAATACTGGGCACTCCAGGCCCAAGATGCCCAGACAGGCAGGTTGACTGGTCCAGCATCAGGTTCCTGTACAAAATGTTTGTTAACCTGGTATTTGAAGAAAGTTTATCACTTACTGTCTCTGGCAAGCCATCTACAAGCTCAACAAGTTCCTGGTACCTGGGCATGATGCAAAGGGACTTTAAATATTTCACCCTGTCCCCATTGGCATGACAAGCAGGGCTGGATTCATGAGGGGTATCTTCAGATGGGGCCCTCCCAGAGTCAAGGATATCCTGGGCCCCTGATGAAGTTGCTATAGGGGTCATACCAGCCCCACCAATTTCTTCCCCTAAATCTGAGGGCTTGGCCTCCACCCCAGCTTCACTGTCCTCCCCAGGGCTCATCCACTCTCTCTTTTTGGATGGGGTTTTCCTGTTCCAGGGCCTTCCCAATGGCTCGTCCTCCTTTTTGCACTTGATGAATGAAACAATCACCTTATCCTCCTCCTCTTGGGAATTCCAATGATTCCAAAGCATCCACATGTTGGCCTTGGTCCATTTTGAAGGATCTTTCATCACAAATCCTTCTGGGATGGAATCGGAACTCAGATACTCCAAATGGGACTTGATAAGCAGGCCCCAGGGAACCTTGGCCTTGGGCTTCCCTGTAAACTTTGCTATGTTTCCAACTTCCATCAACAACTGTAGATGCACTTGACAATCAAGAACATACCATAGGCAGCCTGGAAGACCATTCTTGCCAAACTCTGCTGGACCTTGAGTTTCTGACCAGTCCAAGCTGGTACCTCTGGGTTTCCTTCATCATCCAAGGCTATCTCCACCTTTGGATTCTCATCATTCAAATCTTCCTCAGCTGAGTATGGAATCAACCTAGGTACACATATTACATTGATCACCAACATTTATCACTTACCAGCTTCAGTCAAAAGATAATTGGTTAACATTTGCTCTCCCTTTAGAACCCAATCCTTGGTGGGCTCTGAAGACTCTGAGAAGGCCTTCTTCCCATCAGGGGGTTGTGTTTCAAAGCTAGGTTTCTTCATTAGCATTGGATAGACAAGGTAAAGGGGAACCTACACTGCCATCTTGATCTGAGAATCAGTAGTCTCATGAGCCAGAAACATCACTATATTTGACCCCATGGTCCTCCTGACTGTTTCAATAAAGTCTCTGGCCATGTTGGGAAAATTTTTTCTCCTGTACCTGAATTATTGCATGATTAGTATAAGACATTTGAAGTAGACCAGCACTGACAATTCATGAGTTTCTTTTGGAGCTCCCAACTTATTCCACTTGGAAGCAGCCCTCCCTGCTTCAGCCTTCTTGTCATCTGCAAGAGACTCCCACCACTGTTGGATGATTTTGGTCCTCTGACCTATGGTCTTGGGGTCCTTGGTGTCCCTCCTCTCCCTATCATAGGCATCCATGTCCTCTTTGAAGAGCTGCTGGGAGGCAGTAAAATCAGTGAAGGGTTTTCTGTAATTTCCAGCCTTGGTAGGTCTGGTCCTCTCCTCTCTGCCATCCTCATCCTCACCAGTCCCAGGCTGCTCCTTCCTCTTGTCTGTTGCAGCCAGGATGCTCTCAATGATGTGTTCCTCATCATCCTGGTCTTCAGGGTCTAGTTCTGGCAAAAACACCCTTCTGATGGCCTAAATACACTTGAGATATGTGAAACTTGATGAAAAAGATACCCTACCACTCTCAAGTTCTGGGGCAATTCCACAGATCCTGAAGATGCTTGCTGAAGGATCTGGGATTTCACATCAGCCAGGATCTGGGCCCTGAGGTCAGGATTCCCTCGGGCATCTGTGTACTGCTCCACATAGGAGGACAGCAGATCAGAGTAGACTTCAGACCAATCAGCCATGAGAGAATAAAATCAGGGGGATAATTAGCAGCACAGATGATGGAGGTTGGAAGCAAGGTGAAAAATTTTCAGCCTTTCCCAATTTAGGCAGGAGGTTGAAGTTTTTGGCCATCACTCTTTTAGGAAAGGTACCATTATGGTATGATTGTTTTGATGTATTTGCTATTCACTTTGATTCAGATACCAAGTGCAAAGCAAGGGTAATTGGAAAACTATACACATATACCCATGTTCTAAATACAATCCATTTGTTTACCTTGGAACATCAATTGGGCCTTTTTGGAAAAGTCAGTCCACAACACTATCTGCTTATGAGCATAAGCCTTTTTCCCTGGTTCCAACAATTGTAGAGCCCTTTTCTCCCATATGTCCTTCTGGAACTCAAACCATCTCATGCCTCACCAATGACAATTCTTCTTTCCACCTGTCCCTTCTTGCCCTTGCTTTGAGCCAGTTGATCCTGTAAACTGCCCCACAATTTATCAGTGAGATTTTTTTGAGTAGTATTAACACTTACACTCCTCCATTAAACCCCCCTTCTCAGCATTCAGTTGACCCTGTTCACCATCCATCATCCAAAACCATGCCATTTTGCTGGTTCCCTGCCCAAACCGGTTCTCCTCTGTAACATCCTTACTCACTGCCAGGTCCTGGGGCTGAATAGCCTGATATTTTTGTCCAATCTCTTGATTGGGTTCCAACTGGAGAATGGCCTGCCTTGCCCTCTGATAACTTCTGACCTGCTTGTTTATCCGAGCCACCACTTTTTGGATGTCCTGCTTGGTTCTTGTACCTTCCCTAGTTGATTGTGCACTGTGGAAGTTCTGTCTGTATAACATTGCCTTGTGTCCAAGGTTGGTTTGGAGCTGGTCTAGACAATCATTAGCTTGCCCAATCCTGAGTTCCATTTCTTCTTTGAGGAGGTCATGAAGGCCAAGCTCCATCAGTTTGGTTGCTCCAATGGATGAGGGCATCCATATACTCATGAGCTCAGCAGGTAGCTCCTCTCCTTCTTCTGTAGCCTCCCAATCCTCATCATCTTCCCAGTACTCTCCATTGTCATCAATTTCTTCACCTTGCCCAAGGAATGCTGGATCATCCTGGGGTATGAAGACATCGTCCACCTCCAAACCTTTGAGAAATGCCTGGCTGGTGCCATGGAATTTGTCAATCCTGGCAGAAAGTCTTTTTCTTTTCTCTGAGACTTTGATTTCTTGTCTGGTAGACATGTGGCTCTGTCTAAGCTCAGATCTTAGCTGGTCCCTGCAGGTCTGGTTAGCAACCTATTGCTTCTGGAAACCACAGACCATACTGTGCATCCTCTATGCTAATTCCTTCCACAAGCCAAGCCACAGAACCATGGCTCCCTGGGGACACAGGTGGATTTTTCATGAGCTTTAACTGCACTTCACCCATGGTAGGGGCTACAGGCCATCAGACATGCCCAGGGTTTCTTAGGAACATACTGACCTTTTTCCCCTTTCAACAAATAAATGTCTAGGGAATCACCTCGATTTGCTTCTGCCTCAAGAACATCCGACTCCCATTGGGCAAGTTGGCCAGGGTCTAGAACAGCTGTCAACTGCTCATATGCCTGATTCATTTCTTCTAGGCACTTGTGTGAGGTCTTGTATTTTTTCAACAGTGCAGGAACTGAGATGTACAGGGTAAATTAACTTCTCTTTGAAGAAAAGGTCTCTCACCCATGTTGACAATTTTTTTCCAGTTAGAATCTCTCATATGGTCATCATACACTTCTTGTCTGTGGGCCTGAGTCATAGACCTTGCAGTGGGAGAGATCTTATTGAATGGAGCCCACAATGTCTCCAAAATTTCACCATCCAGATGACCAGCACCCTTGATAAAGTTGAGGCTATATCTTGGAAAGCAAGAGAGTTTGTGGGCAGCAAGATGAAACTTCCCCACAGCAGGAATGATTTCCAGGGAGGGAGGGAGATGGAGAGAGCAGCTGGATTTTACCCGACTCTGGAAGTTAATACTCCACTGGCACCCAACATCATAAATGACAAGGGCCTTTGTGATGCTTTCTGAATGATAATCAAGAGCACTGCAGATGGAGTAATCTGTGTTCATGTACCTAGCACAAAATGAGTTCCAAAGGCTTCCAGTACATCCATCAGGTCCACTCACTTTTCCCCTTTCTGAAAGTCCACCACAGAATGGGGAACAAAGCAGCCATGCTGAGCACAGGCTGTGGCACCAATCCCAGTGGACCGGAGATTGGACTTGTTAATATTAGCAGCATTGATTGCCCTGTGATTGCTGCAGGTGGATCTCTACCAGTACAGTGGGTCATTTAAACTCCATGACCTTGGGACAACTCACCTCCTTGTTATCCAAAGACCGCTCAAGATGGGCCTGGTAGGGCTTTTCAGCAACCATGTAACCAGTTCCATCTGCTAATGACACATCCAACTCAGGCTTGTTCATTTTCATATGCTGAGCAGTGAAGTTGCCATCCATGACATATTGCCTCATTATGGTATCACTAAGGGGGGAGGGGAGTTAGAAATCAAAACCCTACAGATTATCACTCCATACCTGTCATATCGGGTTTTCCAATCTGGAGGTAAATTAATACCTGGTTGTGGGCAGGCAGGACAAAAGAGTGCAAGTTCTCCTTGTCTAGGATCTTGTTCTTTATCATGACCAAAGCCAAACCATTTCCTATGTTTCAAATCCCTCCACAGTCTGGAAACCCTCATCAGCTCTCGGTACCTGTCCTAATTGGAAATGAATGCATTAATAGAACCCCCTAAGAGCAAATAGTGCATGGCACTCAACTGGTATACAGTCAGGAAATGCATTGTTGGTGAACCTCTTCAGCTTCTGATAGAAACTCATAGCTGAAGTCTTGCATTCCAGGGCATCAATGAGAAAGTGATTAAGAACATCAAAGGTGAAAGCAGTCTTGGGCTTTGTTATACTGGCTGGAAAGAGTCTTTCCCTGAGTAAATCAAGGTGCCAGTCGATTGGATCTGATCCAGGGCAATTGCACCAAGAAATCTCATGAGTGAAAATTCCTTCTGTGTGCACTATGGTCATTTTTGATCTGAAGGATCTCCTGCTACCAGAGGTTAACATGGAGGCTACAGGATATGACTGCCATTGACCTGTAATTGGGAGGCCCTTCCCCAGAAGTATAGCCCAACTCCTCTGAGTCTGGATCCTGATTCTGTCTGTTTTGAGGGCAAGGACAACCCCCATGGCCAATGTGCCAAAGGAACCCAAGTGCCATCAAAGAGGTATCCTGGTAATGAGTAGCATTCCATCTTTGTACCTTGTGGAATGGAAGATTTTGATGCACTTTCACAGCACAAGGACCACACCAGGCATGCACACCAATGCAGGACATGCATCTGATACTTCCTTCTGCCTGACAGCACTGCTCACATATCCCCCCCTTAGCCAGCTGCTCTCCCTCAAGAATGACTTTGAGATATTCTGCTCTCCAAGGCAGCCATTCTCTGATGAAATCATTTTGACTCTAGGGGATAATTTAGCCAATGCAGTATCAGGCAAAACTTCCCACCTTGGTAACCCTCCTAGTATTTGGGGTATCTTCCTCATCATTCCAGTCCAAGGTAGGCATGTCAAAGGAGTCTGGGACAACATTTTGGGAGCCTATTGTCCTGGGGGTCCTTGGAGTTGAAGGTTGACTCTGAGATGGGAGGTAGAGGTGTCTAGCATCCACCTCCTTGTAGGTGTCCTTTCCTCTCCGGGTTTTAGTGACTTCAAATTTATACAAACCTCCTGCAGAGCTTTTGCCAAGGACTTTGGTTCTACGACGACGCATGATTGAGCACAGGAAGAGTCAAAAGCAAGGTTTTCAGCTGTATTGAAAATTTTTCATCCCCAAAACAACACCACACAAGTCCAGAACAAGGTTATCAAATGTATTTAAAATATTTGTACCCAAAAATTGCCACTAAAATGTGTTTTAAGTGTATCTGACAGCCAACCCAAGAATGTCCTTTTGGGTAGTCCATGCTGGTCTTGTGACCTTGAGTCAGGTCATGTACTTTGTCCTTCATATAATGCACCAATGCAATTCTTTCTCCCTTCTCCCACTTTGGCACAGAATGTTGAAGGATTTTTCCTGATAGGAAAATCATGGTGCCTGGGGAATAAGCCAGTTCAGCCCCCAGATCTGGAATAAGGAATTTAGCATTGTGAGAACCCAGGCTCACTAATGAATCCAGAAGGGTTGGGGTGGATGTGACATCTCAGTGAGAGGGAGTTTCCTGATTGACAATAATATCAATGTTGGTATAGACCGATGGCCAATCCAGGGATATCTCATTCTCCACCCTGCCAGCCTTGGCCAACATTGCTTGATCACCAGCCCTGGCCATATCTGGCAATGAGACCTTTGCTATATTGCTCCAGAAGTGTTCCACATAAGAAATCTTGAGCAGCCATTCCCTATTGGCTTTCTGTTTGAGGGATGTGCTTTGATAGAGTGTATCAACCAACCTCTTTAAATTTGTCAGCCCCTACCATGGAAATCACAGCACCTGGACAAACCTCATGAGCCTGTTGGAATGTGGCAGGAGACATGGAAATCCTGCCATGTCCATACATGACTTGGTCAACAGGCTGATGCTTATGGCCATATCAGTTTGTTAAGCTTGCTTTTGTCTTTTGGCTTGTTCTTGGGCTCAGTCTGAAGATTGTCTTTTATGGAAAGGAGAAGGGAATTGAGAAGTTCCTATGATATAAAAGCTGTAGTGAAGGGTCGTCAGAGAATGAAAACACTCACTATCCGTGCATCTGGGACAATACCAGGCAGATACCATACTATCACCCTGCCATGCACATCCAGAACTGTGGCAGGAGCATTGATATACCCAATTTTTGGGTTTTCAAAATGGATGGTCCTGTCCTTGGCATGCACCAATGGTTCAGAAAACCTGTCTGCATCCCAATGCAACACATCTATTAAGGGTCAGACTTGGATCACTTGCAATTGTTGTGGAAATCACCTACAGGGATTGAGGATGGCATGTGTAATGACTGCAGATGCCAGCCTAACTTCCAAAGATGTAATAGCATCTGAAGTTAGACCAGATTCCCCTTGCAATGTTGCCCTGACTTGGGTTAACTCAGCCAAGGATCGAAGTCTATTATCCAACTAAATACACAGCAAGTGTAGCATCACTGCTTATGGCTTACCTTGGCTTCCTGAGCTGGTGATTTGAGAAAATAGAGCTGGAAGAGATCATAGGGACTGTTCCAAAGGCAGCCTTCAGCATTCCAACCACCATTGTATGCAGGGAATCATCCATGATGATGTGGGGGGTGTTGGAAAAGTCAAAGGAAAATTTTTCAACCATGAGAAAAATAGTTAAAAATCACTCAGTACATAAGTTGGAAGTTATTCTCCACAAGGGACCTTGCTTGACTTGGGGGAAGATCCAGAATCCAGAAACCCAACTTAGTCTACTAGATACACCATGTTTCTTGAAACATCTAGTCATGTAAGCAGGGGCCTGGAATGGTGGAATCAAACTCAGCAGCAGTTGAACTCCAAGTCAATCCAGTCCAGCAATCTCTTGAGCATCATGGGAAACCATGGAACACCAATACTAATCTAGCAATCTAGCAACATCCAACAGCTAGGAACACATCCAGTCAGCATTTGAAGGGAAGATGTTGGGTTGCTAGTAATGCCATTGGCAAGCTCTTGAGCATCAAAGGGAAACCTTGCTTAAGAAGATCAGCCATGGAACACCAGTGCTAATCTAGCACCATCCACCAGCCAGGCAGACTGACATGAAACAATACACCAAGTCATTTGCTAAGGTTAGGGTTAGAAGGAGACTTGCATGAAGAAATACACCAAGTCTTATGCTAGGGTTAGGGTTAGCACATGCTTCATTCAAAAAAAGAAGCATAGATTCCCACACAGCATTCAAATCCAATCAAAGCAGTGACATTTACAAGGTCATACATAAATTCAACTACAGTTACAATTTCAACTACAAAGGTATAATGGTTTCATAAGAAACCAAGGCTTGCCTGCATTCCAGAGGGGGCCCTCCTCCAGAAGTACAGTTGGGCCAATAAAAACTGTCCTCAATTCAACCAAGTTCCCAAAAAAGCGCACAAAAGCTGATAACAAAGATACTAAAAACACATTAGCATCAACACAACTTTGCAAAGTTCACATACCTGAGGTGCACTATTTATTCACCAGGAGTCAAAGACAAACAGCTCTAGAAAGTTTATGTCAGTACAACATAGATTATACAGAAGTTGAATACTCACTACACCAAAGCCTGACCAACTAGCTACTACCAATATATACCAACACATACCACACAAAAAAACGTCATAGGCTGACCCACACAGGTGGGTACAGACCAAATAAAACATCATAAGCTGACCTACAATGTAGGTACAGACTAGCCCCCAGATCCCATATGAGCTGGCCTACAATGTAGGCACAGACTATTCCCCCAGACCCAACATATTACCCAACAACCAAAAATTGTGCTGGCCAAGCACAATCTAAGGTCAAGGGCAGCCCCTCCCTACATCCTGTAGCTGCAGACTACAGTCAATAGTGAGGCACCAAGGATGCTGCAAAGTAACGGTAATCAAGTAATGTGAAAATTCTGGGATCAGAGGTGCCACTTACCTTATGACAGCCGAGACGATGGGCTGAGATAAAAACGAAGATGACGTAGCACACAAAATGGGAGAGAGAGAGGGGGAAAGGGAGATGGAGATGGAGGGAGAGGGAGGACGATGGAGGGGAAGCATCACATCGCAGGGAAATGCAGTAAGGGAAAAAACATGCCACTGACTGGGGGGGATTTATATACTTGAGTCTTATGTACCATTGTTTGGCCACAGTCCAACTAGCGAGGTCACCATCAATGTCACATTCTTGGCCTCGGCGCATGTTCAGTTGCCATGAGTGCCAGCAACTTCCTCTGAGTCAGTACCGTGTGTCGTACTATACATCGTGAATAGCGATGTCACATGACTCCACTGTCACCGGATTCGGCTTCTATATACTAAATACTAAATGTTCGCTTGACATTCTCGTAATTGCATTGTCGAGCCGAGCAAGCACTCCCTCATGCCATTGGCTGAGCGGTAGTGGTGGCTTACCCTTGGGATTTCACAGAAAATGTATTGTAGTAGCACTACCGGATCATTTAATACATGTAGTCACTTATTGAAACCGGAAATCGGCCTAGCAGTGACTGACCACTCCGTATATAGTCCTATGTAATGTTCCAGAGACACATCCAAAGTACGGGTAGACACATGTGATAATCATGACAGCCGTGACATTGTTCATGTCACAATTAAGGTTGTGTCCAAGATTATCATAGGTCTCACTACGTGACCTGTCCAAAATCAAGATCTGTGCATCCGAGTATCCAGATTGACATGGTCTTTTGCTCCTCTCCTCTTGCCACACAGTGTCTCCCTCACCGACCGTTGTTGTGTTATCCCACTCTCTGGCCCCACTGCATCTCAGCAAAATTTTTGGTATGTCGTCGTCCTCTGGATCTCTCGCACCTCTCCCTCTCTAAACACAAAATAGGTATGTCGTGCTGCATCTCCCTTCAAAAAAAAAACAAAAAAGGTATGTTGTCGAACCTCTCATGGCTTCAACACTCACATCACACACCAGGATGCTGCCATTCTTCTCAGTCTATTGCACGTTGTTCAGTGTCCCATACTACTCACAAAGCCCATTCATTCAAAAAGAAGGTAAGTAGCTTCGCAGCATCCCTCTACAACTCACAAAACACCCCCCCCCCCTCTCGCCAGGTCTCATCCAAAAAACAGGTATGTCATCCCAGTGCGCAGCGTCTCTCTACCACTCACAGAACACCCCCTTGCCATGCTCATCCAAAAAAAAAAGGTATGTCGTCCCAGCTTCGCGGCATCCCTCTACAACTCACAGAACACCCCCTCGCCATGCCTCATCCAAAAAAAAGGTATGTCATTCCAGCTCGCGCAGTGTCCCTCTACAACTCACAAAACACCCACAGAACACCCCCTTGCTGTGCTCATCCAAAAAAAAAGGTGTGTTGTCCCAGCTTCGCAGCGTCCCTCTACAATTCACAGAACACCCCCTCGCTGTGCCTTATCAAAAAAAAAAAGGTATGTCATCCCAGGTTGTGGCATCCCTCTACCACTCACAGAACACCCCCTTGCTGTGTCTCATCCTACAAAAGGTATGTTGTCCCAGTTCCTGGTGTCCCTGTACCACTCACAAAACACACTAGTAGGCTATCAATTCATATCTCCCTCCTGCCACACTGCATCTCCCTTGCTGTGTCTCATCCAATAAGGTATGTTGTTGGACTTCTACTTCATGGTGTCCAGATGATACTTACATATCACCCTCTTTGGTCTGCTTATCCAGTGCCCAGTGTTGTGTAGTTGCATACATTGGCTTCTCTTTTCCATAAATATGTAGATATCTATCCCTGCTGCATGATATATGTACTAAACTAAATGCATTTATTGTTATCTTACTGCTTGTCCCCTACACCTTCTGTGTCTTGTAAAGATAATAAGGTATGCTACTGTTCCCTTCTGTGTCATATGTTGCTGCCACTCACTAATGTTGGCATAATAGACTCAGATGGTGAAGACCAAGCAGACAGCTAAGAAGACCACTGGGGGTAGAGCTCCCAGGGTATCTCTTGCTGGTCTGAAAGCTAGGGAAAAACATGCTGCCAAGTCAAGCAAGGCCCATGCTAGGAAGGCCCCTGTTGCCAAGAAGAGAAGGATGAGGAACTTGGCAAGTCTCTTTTTATATTCCATCCATCTTTCTAACATTCTATGCAGTTCTGTGTGATGTGCAGGGATGGAGGGACATTGTGGCCTTGTGATCAGGCAGGTTGCAGAAGGGTAGTGTGTAACAAGTGTGTTGTAGTACCTGAGGATTGCCTTGCAGAGGTCACCCAGCTTCCTGTGACCTTCAGGTGTGTTAACCTCCCTTTTATGAATTAATTCCATTGACTCAAACTCTGGATGAACTTCAGGTGTGTTTCCTGTCATTGGAAAATGACAAGATTTGAAAGTCCTCAGCCCTATTTTGTAAGTGCATATTGCCACCCCAATCACTTCTAACTCCAAGTACAGGGCTTCTACTTGTCAGGCAAGCCAGTCCTGAAACACCCTCTTGTGGTCATTGGGGGGTTTGAGCATGCCACCACCTCTGAAGTGGCTGGTAACTCTACTGCCATTATCCACCTCCACCTTGAGTCTCTAGAGCTTGGCCATGCCCCTGTGCATATCCTTCACACCATGTTGCAGGGATATTTCAGACAAGACACCTACCACTTCTCACAACTGCCCTTCAACTTTGCCACTGAGGAGTCCAGAGCTGCCTATGACACTGCAGCATCAAAGCTAGCTTCAAGTCTGACTACCTTTGCTAAGGTAGTCATTTTCCTTACTACCCATACTGATGAAGACAGGGGGGATCTGTTCTCTGGAATGGAGAATAAGGTTCCAATAGCCACAGAGGTCTTTGAGGTAAGTCACCATTGTTTGACTGTCACTCCCATCTGACCAGTTGCAGTTTCTGCAAGGCCTTCTGTTACCCCTCTCCAACATTGTCAAGGGTGGAGACCTCATCTTCTTTGTATGTGGTTCTACTGTAAGGAAGGAGCAGAGCTTCCAAGGACTGAAGGCAGCTGTGCAACAGTAGGTTTTCTTTCAATGTTGGTGGTTATGGCTGACACCATATCAGCTTCAAGCCAAGGTCCATGTTGCTTTTTGATGCTGAGAGACTTCAACTAGTCACCACCATTCCCTTCCTCATGAGTGTCCTTGACTCCACCCTTGTTCAAGGCTTCCATGTCCAAAGTGCAGTCAGGTATGCCCTGAATGACTGTGGTATGTTGGGTAGGCACTCCAACATCATCCTGATGTTGTGGCAGGAGAAGGTAGTGGTGGAGAAATTTGTCTGGACTGACAAGTTCATCAGGCCTTGGGGACAACAATTGCCTGCCCAGTGCCCTCAGTAGTTATAGCATTCAGAAGTGGGAAGCTGGTTGTTCAGGGCAGACTTATTCCTATGAGTGCAAGAATCCTGGCTGTGGGAAGGACACACAAGGCACATCTCAGCCTCCCCAAACCTATACTATCTGCATGTCCAAAGGGGCTACCAAACTGACACAGAGAAAGGGGCAAACATCATCCTGGCTGTTGGAATCTTTGTAAAATACCCTACCTTGATACATATGATATGCATGTACTACAATCAAAAATAGCTGCTTTGTGTTTTCAAATTTCATATGACATTGAATGTTCAGAAAAACAAGTAATTTCCTGCAGGACAATTCCTCCTTAAGTACTGATACACAACTGAGTAAATTTGCCCAATGTTAATTCCAATACAATGGCCAGATTGGTAGAGTTAACTTCAATACCACAGGATAAGGATAGGATATAGGATTTTTCCACAACCATGTGGGTTCAGCCAGCTAACTACCAAGGAAGTAGTGTACTGAGTAATAAGATTGGCCAGCCCCACTAACCCACTAGCAAGATATTGGTCTTTCTTGCAAAGTGTCTGCCCAACCACAACTCCAGGTCATGGTTCATTCCCCCCAGCCACATCAGCTGACCCCACTGCCAGGACATCATCCCTTCCCCCAGCCATGTCAGCTGGCCCCACTTCCAGGTCACTAATCTATCCCATAGCTGGTTTGGCCAACCCCACTTCCAGGTCACTAACCTATCCCATAGCTGTGTCAGCTGACACCACTTCCAGGTCACTAATTCATCCCATAGCTGTGTTGGCCAACCCCACTTCCAGGTCACTAATCTATCCCATAGCTGTGTTGGCTGACCCCACTTCTAGGTCACTAATTCATCACATAGCTGGGTCAGCCAACCCCACTTCTAGGACACTAATCTATCCCATAGCTGTGTCAGCTGACCCCACTTCCAGGACACTAACCTATCCCATAGCTGCATCGGCCAACCCCACTTCTAGGACACTAATTCATCCCATAGCTGTGTTGGCCAACCCCACTTCCAGGACACTAACCTATCCCATAGCTGCATCGGCCGACCCCACTTCTAGGACACTAATCTATCTCATAGCTGTGTTGGCTGACCCCACTTCTAGGACACTAATCTATCTCATAGCTGCATTGGCCGACCCCACTTCTAGGGCACTAATTCATCCCATAGCTGTGTTGGCTGACCCCACTTCCAGGACACTAACCTATCCCATAGCTGCATCGGCTGACCCCACTTCTAGGACACTAATCTATCTCATAGCTGCGTCAGCCAACCCCACTTTTAGGGCACTAATTCATCCCATAGCTGTGTTGGCTGACCCCACTTCCAGGACACTAACTTATCCCATAGCTGCATTGGCCGACCCCACTTCTAGGACACTAATCTATCTCATAGCTGTGTCAGCTGGCCTCACTTCTAGGACACTAATCTATCTCATAGCTGTGTCAGCCAACCCCACTTCTAGGGCACTAATTCATCCCATAGCTGTGTTGGCTGACCCCACTTCCAGGACACTAACCTATCCCATAGCTGCATCGGCTGACCCCACTTCTAGGACACTAATCTACCTCATAGCTGTGTCGGCCGACCCCACTTCTAGGACACTAATTCATCCCATAGCTGTGTCGGCCAACCCCACTTCCAGGACACTAATTCATCCCATAGCTGCATCAGCTGACCTCACTTCCAGGTCATCAATCCATCCTATAGTCATGTCAGCCGACCCCACTTCCAGGGAAGTTGATCCATCATCCTGTGACATAAGCTGACCCCACCTTCACAGTCCGGCCTACCCAACCCTAGGGACCACCGGCCAATGTCAGTAAGTCCCAGTTTCAGGACGAAATGTACATGTCAGATGACCCACTTTTAGGACTACAAGTGACTGAATCATGTGGTGGAGCTGATCACCAATCATAGTCATGTGACATACAACGTGTTGATACACGTGTAAGTCTAGTCGCATCTAGAGTCGGAACTATTAAGGATATTTCCAACACTCCCCCTCGCTCTAGAATGGTAAGTTTACCAAACCCATCGACGAGCGATTAGTTTCAAATTTTTGCCATGTCAAAGATTTTGTAAGACTGTCTGCCTTTTGTTTATCGGTTTGAACATATTCAATACTGAATAAACCATCTTGAACACATTTGTGAACGAAGTGCCATTGGACGTCTATATGTTTTGACTGTCCATCAGATACAGGATTCTCAGCTATAAAGCGAGCTCCCATATTGTCACAGTATAATATGGTCTTTTCTGTTTTTAGTTTAAGTTCCTCAAATAGCATATGAAGCCATTTGATTTGACGTGCAGCATCACATAAAGCCATATATTTGGCTTCAGTGGAAGAGAGTGCAATGGTCTTCTGTTTGCGAGAGTGCCAAGAGATGAGAGAATTGCCAAGATACATGGCATAACTGGTAGTGGAATGATGAGTGTCTTTATTTGAAGCCCAATTGGAATCTGCAAATCCAAAGATCCTTGACTTGAGTCCAGAATAATATAAAGCCAATTTTGGAGTAGATGCAACATAGCAAACTATGTGCAGGGCTTTATTGTGATGATCCTCTGTGGGATTCACCATATATTGTGACATGCAAATGACAGCAAACGCAATGTCTGGATGAGTTCCTAGAGCCATATAGAGTAATGACCCTATTATTGATTGATACTGGGATCGAATGGATAAAGTTGCTTGATAATCCAATGGTGCTTTTTCTGGTTGGTATCCCGAAGGTAATGGAGTGCAAACATTTCGAGCACTCTCCATGTTAAACCTTTTAATGACCTTTTTAACATATGGTATTTGATCCAAGTAAATTTCTTTCTTGGAGCGATTTCGGTGAACTTGAATACCAAGATATTCCTTGACTTCACCAAGGTCTTGGGATTCCCATTTCTTCATAAATTCTTCTTTCTTGGCTTTTAGAAGATGTTTGTCTGATCCTAGGAATAATCCATCGTCAACATAGATGAGGAAAATGACTATGCCAGCTTTTGACAAGAAGATGTATATGCCAGCATCCACTTTTGAATGAATATAGCCCATGTGAAGAAGGGAAGCATGGAGGGCTTTATTCCATGCTAATGCTGCTTGCTTTAAGCCATATAGGGCTCTAAGCAGCTGATAAACCTTGTGTTCTTGACCCAAAATTTTGAAACCTTCTGGTTGCTCCATGTAGATTTCTTCATCGAGACTGCCATATAAAAAAGCAGTTTTTACATCCAGTGCTTCAGTTTCCCAATTCTTCTGAGCACAGAATGCGAGTAAGATTTGCACTGTCTCAAAACAAGCAACTGGAGAGAAGGTATCTTCAAAATCAGTTCCAAATTCTTGTGTGAAGTCTTTTGCCACAAGACAAGCTTTATAACAACCATCGCTTTTGATAGCGAAAACCCATCGACACTTGACTGGTTTCCAATCTCTTGGTGGTTCCACCAAAGTCCATACTTGTCATTCTTCTATCGACTTTAATTCATCTTTCATCACATCAAACCATTTCTTTTGTAAATCGGGAGATAACTTTAGCACATCTTTATAATGTTCCAGAGATTCTTTAACCCATGCAGCAAGTGCAAATTCAAAAGGATGCATTTCTGCTTCTTGACCAGGCATTCCTTTTGGAGAATCAGGAGTATCCAGAATAGGAGTAAGTGGAGATCCAGGAGATGGTGGTGTAGTTCCTTGTGGATGTTCAGTCCACTGATGAGGAACTTCAGGAGGTACTAATGCAGGAGGTAACCTTGGAGAAGGAGGTCTGCACTCTTCTGCATATCTCTGAATATCTTCTCTGGAATTGCGAGCATGCTGCTCAGCATTATGAATCCACTGTTGTGCTTGATCCCGATTTTGTTGTATATCTTGCTTGATTTCTACTGGAGGTCTATTTCCATAGATGTTTCCAGGACGAGATACTGGTATAAATCGATGCTTTGGACAAGGTTCTCTGTCATCGGCAGGAGGATGAGCTCTATGAACATTATGCGAGTCTCCTTGAATAAATTCTGGTTGATGAGGATGCCTAAGATGACAAGGGTCGACTGGTGTTACAGCAGTGGGTGCTCTTCTTGGAGCTCTATGCTGGTCCACAGCTCCCTGCTGTGGGTTTAGTGATTGTGGTGGAGTAACTGGACGAGGTGGTTGCCAGTGATGAGGCGGCAGTTGGATCTGATCAGGATCTGGAAATGAATGTAGGCTTTCAGCATCAGAAGATATAGATTCATGGTCAGTCTTCAGAATCAGGGTCAAAGGTTTCAGTCTTCTTGTTATCCAAACAGAAAGGAAAAGAGTCTTCTACGAATTTTGCAGTTCAGTGAAAGTATTATTTTTTGACCATGCAGAAAGTGGTATCCTTTTGTGTTAGGCTCGTAGCCTAGGAAAACCATCTCTACTGCATGTGGTTCCAACTTGTCTTTTCTTTGTTCTTTAGGAACCCATACATAAGCTTTGCAGCCAAAGGTGCGAAAATAAGTGATATCTGGAATTTTTCCTAAGAAAAGTTCGACCAGAGTTTTGAATAGGATCCTCTTAAGAGGAGTACAGTTGTACACATGAAGTGCACAATCGAAGGCAAAATTCCAGAAGCGTTTTGGAATGCAAGCATGATGTTGAATGGTCCCTGCTTTTTCCAGAATTGTCTGATTAAATTGTTCTGCATGACCATTTTGCTGAGGTTGATCAGCAATGGACAATTGGTGAGTAATACCACATGAAGAAAGGAGTGCTTTAAAGGTAGAACCCATGAATTCTCCCCCTTGATCCAAACAGAGCACAAGTAAATGATGGCCAGTCATATTTTGCATAGACACCAGCCAATTGGCAAATGCAGTATAAGTGTTGGATTTGTTACGAAGATAGAGACAAAAACCGTAAGATGAAAAATCATCCAAGAGGGTTAGAATGTATTTGGACCGGAAATAAGATTCGACCAGTAATTCAAGTAAGTCTGCATGGACCAACCCAAGAGGTTTTGTAGCACATTTCCAAGAAGGTTTAAAAGCTTTGGAAGACAATTTGCCCTGTGCACAACCTTTACATGAGGATTGCTCCCCCTGTAGATGTATGTCTTGTTTCAAGCCTAATCGGCAAATATGTCTGAGAACAGCCTGAGCTGGGTGACACATACGATTATGCCATAAAGACTCTTCATGTTCCTTATCCAGAGGGCAAAGGACCGTGAACGCATTGGTAGGTGGAAGCAGTATGCCCACAAACCAGTGTAGCGGTGAAGTCGGTGAAGCTACTTTCGCTTCAAGGACAGTCCAGCCATCTGGTGCTCAGATTGTCTTGCCAGTAAGTGTCACTGTACTCTTGTACCTGTTTTTCAAGAGTGCATTTCTTGAGCATTACCTCTTTGAAAAAAGAGGACTGTAAACAACATTATGTAGTGGCAGGTTACAGCCATTTTCCAGGTGAATAACCACTGTTCCTTCACCAAGAAGTTGTACTCAACTCATGCCAGCAGTTGAAGCAAGAGAAGGATTTTTAAATTCTCGATAGGTGAGGAAATCAGTTTTAAAAGGAGTCACATGGTGTGATGCTCCAGAATCCAACATCCATAAAGACTCACCCTTTGGAAGGTTCTGTTTTAGTTTTGCATATGACACACCCAAAGGGTAACAGTCATAAGAATCAAAGGCATGTCCATCAAATGCAGAAGGGAGATATCCCGATGCAGATTCATTTGGATCATACTTGATGTCTGGATTATGCTTTATACGAAAAGGTTTACATACAGGCTTTTCTGGCACAGATTTGTGAAATTGAGATAAGGACATAGTCTGGCAGTTTTTCTTTTTCTGATTCTTTATAAGTACGGATTTTCAGAGAGATCCTCTGTCATCACAATCATGTCCTCGAAATCGAGAGGCAGACTGATCAACAATCCGTTTCGGCGAAGCTGAACTGCCATTATCCTTAACATTCCTATCCTCCACCATGTTCTCACCAACCAAAATGGAAGTTCCCACTCGTACTGAGGGTTCACAGGAACCACTCATACATGTCCCATCCTGCTCAACAGGGGGAAGGGAAATCGTCCTCTGATAAGAGTCCAAGTTCTTCCATTGAGACTGTTCCCGAAGGGACGAGTCCAGCAGCTTGCAAGAGAGGGCTGCTCGGTGACAAATAGAACATTGACATGGTGTATTAGATTTAGGAATTTTGACATGAATCTTGACTAACTCAACTTGATCCAGTTGGAAATTAGCAATTTCCTCCAGATACCAAGGAGCAAGATTGCCAGTGGTAGCATCAACTGGATAATTGGAATTTTTTCCAACTGTTTCCATAGCCATAGTAAGATCTTGACGTGAAAGATCTGGATCATAGTTTTTGGTCTCTGTGATAACATGAGATCCGAGATAAGTATTAAGGTCATTTGAATAAACTCTTTCAACCGGAGTAGCTTCCGGGAGAGAATATTCTGGAGTATCTTCCCGAATGGGAATATCAAGAGCGGTTATATCAAAATCAGCAGCAGCATTTTCATAATTCTCAACGAGAGGTTGATCATAGTGATCACCAAACTATCCAGCATAAGAGTGAGTGTTTGGATCATAAGAGTCCTCAAGGAACTCTTCGATATAAGCAGAGTTAACTGCTTCTGCACCCTCTACTTCAAGATTATTGGCTCGGGCTTTGCCTTTGCCACATCGACAGTTCTGTCCATGGCCACAACCACCTGAACCAGATTGCTGTTGATTATGTGGGTAAGGAGTATAGCCTCCTCGTCCACATCCGTGACCTCCATGACCTCTTCCTCAGCCACCACAGCCTCGGAATGATCCAGAGCCTGATCCACTGATATGATCTTGAGTATTATGTCCTCCTCTGCAGATATTGCAAAGAGGAGGTTTATTCATGCATGCCAGAAGTGAATTTGATTCTTGTTTAATCTGAGTCTGAGAAGAAGACCCAGCCTTTTTGGTTTGGGGAAGTATAGATTTGCCTGATTTGTGGGCCCAGACCTCTTTCATGTGAGGTATAACAGTATCAGGAGAGAGTTGGTTGGCAGGGATAGATGATAAGATATTGACAGGTGCTTGTTCCCAAGCTTGGGACATAGCATGAACCAGGATGAGAGCTTTCATTTTATCATTTAGGGTTATACCCTGAGCTGCAATGGCCATAAGGAGCATTGTAATCTCTGAGATCTTGACCATAATATCATCCTTTGGTTTTATTTGAATATGAATGAGGTGTTGAAACTCCATGAAAGTAGTCATTGCAGATGGAGTGCCATAACTCATATTGAGAGCAAGCCACTTTTCATTTGAGGTGGCTAACCTGTCAATGGACATTGCAATCATTGGATTGCAATAATGAGTTAAAATCCCCTGAGCACGAGCATCAGAGGTATCCCATGCATCAAGTTCAGCTTGATTAGCACCAGCTCCAGGACGAGGAGTGGTACCGCCAACGATTCCCATAATACCGAGTGTTTGCATGTAAGCCTTCATTAGAACCAACCAAGAGGCATAGTTCAATCTGTTAAGTTTTGGGATTTGTTTCGAAAGACCTTTGGACATCTTTAAAAGTCCATTAGAAGGTGTTCGAATAAGAACGAGTGAGTCAGATGAATTTTAATGGATGGAGGATTTAATTGATGAAATCTGATTCATTTTGGTCTGCAAGCTGATGCTCTAGCAGCTTGAGATGGATGGCGCTTGTGAAGTTTGGGAATATGAGGACGAGGATTTCGCCAGACCTTTTCATGCTTTGTGCCTCTCTCAGTGAATCTCCTAGAAGAGATGCGAGAGTTGTTGCGCTCTAGACTTTCAAAGTCTAGCGGAGGGAAGTAGTGGTAGCTTAAGAAGCTCCAGTTGCAATCATGCAATGGTATTCCATCTGAATGAAATCCAAGATATGGATCAGTGCATGAATATGGTACATTAAAAGCATAAGAATGGCAAAAATGAAGATCTTTTACAAAAACTTCAAGACAATTGTAAGACTCGTCAATAATACAACTATCAGTTCCCATGTCGTATCACCCACCGGATACATACAGTACATCCAGAGTACTTGGAAGAGGATAGCTTCTGACGTATGGCTTGAGCTTCACGAGCTCTGCTAAGAGCCATAGTGCATATTCCTCGAGGTCAGGGTTCTGCGAGATAATCAAAAGTACCTTTCTCCATGACACGTTCGAGATCAGCAATAATCTCTGCTGTGCTGGGCCAGTAAGTGAAGTTAGCATTAGTGGGGTCTGTACCCCATGAAAGATGCCAGTTAGTAGGTGTATATTGCAGGCAATCTCCCATATCTGCTTCATCCCAGAACCGTCATATAAACATAAACAGACCGCTCTCAAAGCAGTCTCCTCTGCATCACCATTCTCAGAACCACCTGGGGATGCACCAGACATCAGTGCTTCCATCAACCCAAACTCCTCTGAAATGGAACTCAAGATGCTGGTTCCAAAGGTGGAGAGGAGGGATGATGCCATTGAAGCATGGGTCGTAGAGTGGGTGGACGTTGTAGTAGATATATACGAACGTATTGTGGGTGACTGAAAACGCTAGAACAGTGTCAAGGGCAGGATCTTCATAGTAAGCTGAAGGAAGATCACAACTGTTAAAATTGGCGATGGCATGCGGAGTCGACATATGAGTGAGTTTCGGGAAGAAGTCGGTTAGATATCCATGAAACATGCTATATGAAGGCCAGGGTAGAAGAAAAGTGATTTGAACCTGGGAAAGTGGGGCATAGTTTGCCACACTGTTTCCACGGTTTGCAGTGGAACAAGGTATGTAGCCACGTTTGGCTTCTTGAAGTATGCGACTGACAAGGGAATGGCCTCTCTCCAAGACAAACAGTCCTGTACATACAACATCTCAGTATACTCTATGATCTCTTTAACCACATACTTTCGCCACTTTCCATCATCATACATCCCGTCTCACTGTTCAGCAATATGAAGTTCAGTTTTCTTGGCAATGACCAAAGACATCTTTGTAATGACCATAGATTAGTTCCCGTAATGATTGTAAAAAACCACGAACAAATTAGAGTAAATCAAACTCAGCATTGTCATCAAGGATGACAGCAAGATCAAGCTCAGGATTGAGCAACTCGTTCATGGCTTGCACTTCCTCAGGAAGAGGAGTTGGTGCACGCCTAACAGGAGGTGCATCTAGTGCCTCAATAGCATCATAGGGTGGAACAGGATCTAGGTCAGTGTCGAAGTCGACATCAGGAAGATGGAAATGTAAATAATGCAGTGGAGGAGTTGGCGGATGAAGAATGAGATGCTGTAGCAGCTGCTCTGTGAAGAATTTGCTCTTGTAGCAACATCTGTTGCCTTCACCACCAAGCGGAGAGACCTAGAAAAGAAAGCCAAAACGTGGTAGAGCATACAAACAGCTCCCACAGGTAAATTGGATCATAACCACCATAATGAAGTAATAAAACTGCCTGGTTTAACCCAGCGGCCAGTGACATGGCGAAAACAACTACTACCATTCCTAGTGCATTTAGGCCTATGACATCCATCATGATTTGCCCATCGGCAGTGATCACTCAATGCAAATGTGTAAATAGCACACCAGCCTAGAAGGCGGGGCTCATAACCTATTGCACAGAGGAATGGGAGAAATGAAGAGCAATAAGCAAGAACACTTGCCTTTGTTAGAACAGTAGTAGATTTGAGTAATAAGCTTGGGGCTCAGTAGTTGTCATTTAGACAGAAGAAAGCAATGTGGAATTGCGATAGGGACTCTGGTCAAAAAGACTGAGTTTATATACATGTAGCTTTACGCACAGACCAGTAGCATATATGGAAAGAGCTAACTATGTATAGTAAAGAACAGCATAGAAGGTCATGGAATATGACGTATAGTATTGCATCATTGTGGAGCTGATCACCAATCATAGTCATGTGACATACAACGTGTTGATACACGTGTAAGTCTAGTCACATCTAGAGTTGGAACTATTAAGGATATTTCCAACATGGCGAGCGTAGCACGAAGTTAGCAGCACTCGACCATCACTTGCATGATTTTATGTAACTCGTGTGCTTACATCATGGTACCCGGCATCTGCCGCGCCTGTGGCCTGAGCTCCTGAGCGCAGTCCAACGTTGGCTCTGGTCAGTCAAACGCAACGTCCATTAATTGCAGGTCAAGGACACGTTTCATTATCATGGCGACGTATGATACTCTACACCGACAAAGCAGGACCCTCGAGTCCCTGTTTGACACCAAGCTGACCGCGTATTCACGTATGGCATCTGCTATTGCTCGGAATTCAGAAGATGTAGAAGCTGGGTGTTCACGGGAAAGGTGGCGTGACGTCGAGGGTGAAGTCGAGGATCTCTTGGAAAAGGTGAATGATGCAAATACTCATCCAATAGGTGTATCTGGCTGATACATGATACAGCTTAAGGAGACGAATGATGCTCTGCTTGCACTCTCCAACAATCCAAGGACATCACCGCCATCTCAATCCATGTCCCGTGCTATCCAACGACATCGGGAAGTATACCAGGATTACCTACGGGAGTTCCATCGGACAAAGGTGCGTGGTCCCTCGGTTATTCTTGATGTATGCTGATTCTCTTGCGTCTAGGGTAACGTGAAACAGGCTCTGGAACAAGCAGATCTCCTGGCGGGTGTACGCAATGATATAGAGTACGCGAACTTCATCGTTTTGGCGGTAAAGCTCACAGCCTTTGTAGCGCTTACAAGTCGTCCACTGCTGACGCCCTACTAGCGGAACGGGGGCGCATCGACAGCTCCCATCGAATGACGGACGATATCCTGGAGTGAGTATCCTTTGACACCGACTGTTTCCTTATCCCAGAAACTTAAGTGTCGGGTCATCAGACAAGCATATGAGACACGGGCCGAGTTCGGCCGTCAACGAACCACTTTATCTTCGGTCGGCAATCGAATGGCCGCTGTCGTCGGTAAGCCGGAGCGTATTCGTGGCATGAGTACATGATTGACGTGTACCGTAGAAACAATGCCTGGTATAAACAATCTTCTGTCGATGATAAAGAGTCGGAGGAGGCGAGATTCTGTTGTACTTGGGACTGTCATCGCCGTGTGCTTGATATTGCTTCTCAGTTATATCACTCGCTAGTCGCTGTTTTACATGCAAATACCCGTGTCTAATTGATGGCCCTGCGTCTTAATGTACCGGACTTCATCTTGCTGACTGCGGAGCAGCGTGATTTCGAAGGCGAAACTCGTGCCAATTGTTCTCCAGATGTCGGACCACACCCCACTCTTCTTCTCTAATGTCATCGTCGATCCAGGTCATCTCCACAGACCACCCCTTAACTTCAGCAACAGTAAGCACCATGTCCCAAGTGCGTCTGGTGCACCCTTCGATAGCGTGATAGTCCGACTCGACCAGGATGCGGTGAGGAGAACAAGCCGCTATGAGTGCCCTGTGGTTTGGCGAACGACCGTTTATAGCGGTGGACAACGACATGAAAACATTGCGATGGCGTTTCTGCACATCATCAGAAAGTAGTGCGAGATAACTCGTGATGGGAAACTCGCCTCTATAGCTTTCCAAGTCTCTACGCTAACGCCGCAGCTATGGAAGTCGATATTTATATGCAACCAACTGGCCTTGTATTTGTCGTGCATTCGATTCAAAAGGTCCAAGGTAGCTTGATGGGACTTTACACTGTGAAGGCTTATATTGCGACCGAGTTCTACTGCCACGTCCATCTGTGCCTCCAGAATGGCGAGCTGATGTTCAAGGGGGACCGTGAAAGGCGTTAGTTCCACAATGCTAGCAGAATGATCCACTGGGATGCGAGCAGCCCGATCGATACCAACTTCTCCTAACATCGCCCTTGGAAACGCTTCGAAGTTCTGGCGAAGCGTAAGGAGCACGTCCTCCAACAGCACGGGATCGGGTAAACAAGACAGCATCGTTCTAAACGTGTCTTCTCGTTCATTGGAAGGAGAGAAAAGTCGGCGGTAGTGTTCCTCCCGCGAAACACGTGGTTTCAGGGAGATCCAATGAGAAAACCACGGGTGACATCCTAGTATCGTGGTCAACGAAGGATTGATTGATCGTCAACCTACTTGGTAGAGAAAGCGAGCAGATGAGCATGACATGATGCTAACCGAAACACGGGACGACTTTTTCAGGATATCTCAACGCCAGATCTCGCACGAGGGACTGGTCGGAAGGGCGAGAAGACATGGCGCAAATTGTTATTGGTAGTTGGTCCATAGCTGCTGGCGTTACGGGTGAGTCTGTCGGGTGACAATGGACATCGACAACATGCTGCAAGACGCATGGCGATGGCATGGGTAGTTGCCACGGCGAAGACATCGTCGCACTGTGCAGAAAGGGGTTGAACTCGCGACAGACCACATATGCATCGCATCTCATCGACCATCCTCCACAGCACGAGCTCGTTCGGACGACAAAATATGCAGCAACTTGCAATGGACATGTCGCCCCCTATACATCGGTGGATGAAGGACGACTTGGACAGATCAGTTTTCCAGAAATCAATCATGGTCCTTGCAGCCCGTATCCCAGCTCAGAAGACCACTACATTTTTGAAATCAGATGTATTGCGAAGGTGAGCCTGTATCTTCCTGGTCGACAGACTCCTTACATAGGATAGGTACATCGTGGATGTACCCAAGATCCGTAGCGTCGTGTGGGATCCATCCGACATGCAGGGCCGACGCTTGCTGTTATTCAAGGTCGCGACGGAAGGTAAGTGAGCCTTTCGTGATGCTACGATCGTCCCTGTCAATGGTCGTTACGAACCAGCCGCCCTGTCGTCGGAAGCACGTATATTTCTGACGGAGCACTCGGCTGAACTCGTCGACCACACGATCCACTTGAACTACGACTATTGGACAGCAGGTACCAGGATCCGTGTCATCTTACCATCGGGACAGCACTTAATACCATGTAGACGACATCTTGCAAGCTGTACTCCCTGAGGAGCTGCTCGACGGCTCTCCGACAGGTTTCTCTATAACCGGACACATCGGTGAGCTTCAAGGAGGGCGCACCTTCATTTCCGCTGATGTTCCCGAACCAGCGCACTTGAATCTTAACAAAGAGTACTTACCGTACAAGAAGATAATAGGCAAAGTCATTTTGGACGTGAGTCTGTAGCCGCACTTGACCCTGACCACTATTCAGCGTTCCGCAGAAAAATCCAGCCATCAAGACCGTCGTAAATAAGATCGATAGCATTGACACTAAATTTCGATTCTTCAAGATGGAACTACTCGCTGGCGAGCCTAATTTTATCGTAGAGCATGTTTGTTCCCTTCATCTTGACAGGCGATGATGCATCATTGACACCCGTCTTGTAGCACGAATCCAATTGTCGCTTTACCTTTGATTTTTCCAAAGTTTACTGGAATTCCCGGTTACACACGGAACACGATCGTCTTGTCCAACTTTTCAAGCCAGAAGACGTTGTTGCGGATGTTTTTGCAGGCGTTGGACCTTTCGCAATACCGGCCGCCAAGAAGGGATGTGCTGTGCTGGCGAACGATTTGAACCCGGACAGTGCGTATTTTTTATCGACGAACATTGTTAAAAATAACGTAGGTGATAATTATGGGGTTTTATCATCGGCGCTAACTTGTCCGCAAGGTGGTCGACTTGGTCCGTGCTAGTTGTGAAGACGGTCGTGACTTCATCCGAAATGCGGTCTTCAACGTCATGGAGAACCCGTTTCCTCCATATTCTGGACCAAAGCTCAGCCGGCTCAAGGAAAAACAGTCACGTCGTGATCAACAAGCACCGCTTCAAAGTCGCCAGGGATTTAACACATCCTCTAGCTCCTACTCTGCCCCCAAGGAAGGTCATTACGCGCTTTGTTATGAATTTACCCGATTCCGCCTTAGATTTCTTGGATGCTTTTCGGGGTATAATGGTCTCACGAGACGGGACTGGAGAAGGACCAGGCAGGCTATACGATGCTATGCCAATGATCCACTGCTATTGTTTCACACGGGAGCTGGAACCGGTCAAAGCGGAAGCGGATATAAGGCTGGTGAGCCGATATTAGCCTCACAAGATCGAATCTGAACGAAGGTTGCTTTCACTAGAGAGTGGAGGCAAAGATTGGGCACAAAATTGAGGAAGATGTGGACTTGCACTTGGTGCGATCAGTTGCTCCGAACAAGGACATGTACTGCATTAGCTTTAGGTTGCCGCGCTCTGTGGCTTTTGCGCGGTAATGCCGTGTTGCGGCTGTACACAGCTTAGATAATCAACGAGTATCCCCGCACCGGTTGCCTCGGGTGCTTGGCTAAAAACTTGTTGACCTCTCTTTCGACATCCTCTGCAGTTTACATAGACTGGCTTCGGCGCAAGCCTACTCCCGCCGGGCGCATTCTTCATAGAGATACCCATACTCTCACATCTAATCGGATAGACCTGGAAATCTAGAGGAGTGCTAGGATGATGTTGCCTCTATTGCCGACGGTACATTGCGATACCCAAGCTAATTCCTCGTTTACGGGTTCTGCGCTGAAAACAGTCCGGAACGCCGTGTCCACCCCAGAGAATGAACTAAGGCGTTGGAGGCGGGTATTTGATGCTAATGCGAAGGTGGTGGTTAACGGGGAAAAGTAAGCAAGGGATTTACCGGGCGCCAATTACATTTTCGCTAATGGTAAACGTCAGATACCTTGACCCAGAAAATTTTGTCAATGCCATTGCACCAAGAGGGGACTTGTCTAAGATTGGTCGTGCCCAATTCGCCATTCTCTTCCGTGTCGCGGACACGTCGAGGCGTGGCCTAGTTTCATGGGACGACTTCACTGTCTTCGAGACGATGCTAAAGCGCCCCGATGCCGATTACTGGATAGCCTTTCAATACTTCGACGTGTGAGTCCGAAACATTTTATCCGGAATGCCCCAGTGTCTGATTATTTATATAATAAGCGATAACTCCGGGACAATTTCTTTAGACGAGTTTAAAAATGTATTTACTGCCAACGTCAACTCCTCCGCCATTCCTTTTGATTTCGAATGGTGATTGGCATGTTTTGCGCGTCATCGAGTCTCAACTGACTTCTGGCAGTGATTGGGTTAAGTTATATCTTGGGAAGAAGAATGGAACCCGTGTCCTTGGATGTCGGTATACTGTTCCGAGGGGTCGCTCTAGCTAACCAACACTTATTTAGACAATGAATTCACTCAACTGATGAAGGGTCTCCAAGGCGAACGAGTGCGACAAGCTTTCCAGTACCTAGATGCGAATCAAGATGGCTTCATCAAGCCAGACCAGTTCAAACAGATAATACTAGTATGTTTGTATCTCAGCAGAGCCCATTAGACCATTGTAACCCCGTCTCACTTAGGAAATTGCTGGACATAAACTATCAGATGCTGTTGTGGAACGCCTACCGACCTTGTGCACGCTTACACCTGGGGGTCGTATATCCTATTCGGAAGTGGTGGCCTTTCATAATGTGGTTCGAGGTGCGTGATGGTTGAGTTTATGCAACATGGACGCTGAGTGCTCCTCAGAGATGGATATGGTAGAACGGTGCGTAACCAGTAATATTGCCAACTCAAAATTGACATTGCCGTAGTATCATTCGAGAAGCTACCGCAAAATCCAAAGACGGACGTATAGATCAATCTGATTTTCTGAACCATGCTTCGATTAGCTCTCGTTATTCTTTATTTACACCCATGGAGGCATCTATTATCTTCCACTTTGCGGGGAGAGGCAGCGCTGAAAAGCGGCTGGCTTTGGTAGACTTTGCGCAGCTGTTGGACCCTCGTTGGAAGGCTCCTCATGAAGAGACTGAAGTGAAATCTGTTTCTGCCCAAATGTCCTTCTTAAATGGATTCCTGCAGTCGGTCTACAACTTCGCTCAAGGAGGTATGCAAGATGACCTGTTAACAAAGTATCTTCTAATGCCTTTTTAGGTATCGCAGGTGCATTTGGAGCAACTATTGTATACCCGATAGATATGGGTGTGTGCTCGTCGATTATGATCTCTAATATAGTGTACTGACGTGCCACTCGACAGTTAAGGTGCGTTTGCTAAGGTGCTGAATACTTGCGAGATGACAGAAGAATTCCTGTCTTTTAGACCCGGTGCGATACAATGGAAATTCATTATTTATTGCTATGCTAATTCTCTCCATGGAATAGGATGCAAAATCAGCGTAGTACCGTTGTCGGCCAAATGCTTTACAAGAACAGTTTTGACTGTGCGCGTAAAATTTTCCGAAACGAGGGTTTTATCGGTTTCTATCGTGGCCTTGGCCCTCAGCTGATCGTGGGTAACAGTTTTTCAGTTCCTAATGATGACGAACTAAGAAGCATTAGGGCGTTGCACCTGAAAAAGCCATTAAGCTTACTGTCAATGATTTCGTACGGCAGCGAGCGATGGACCCCGAGACTGGTCGAATCAAGTTGATATGGGAGCTCATCGCTGGGGGTACTGCGGGCGGTTGCCAAGTGGTGAGCGTTACCATCCATCGACGCGTTTTAAGTGCTCAATCTCTTAGGTATTCACAAATCCTTTGGAAATTGTGTAAGCCCCATTGATCTGCGATGGTTCTAATCAATTCAGAGAGCCTTCAGGAAAATTCGCCTACAAGTGCAAGGCGAGACCGCGCGTGTGGAAGGTGCAGCTCCCAAGGGTGCCGTTCATATCGTGCGGCAGCTGGGTATCCTCGGTCTGTACCGAGGTGCTAGTGCTTGCTTGCTTCGTGACATTCCGTTCTCCGCTATATATTTCCCCACATATTCGCATCTCAAGAAAGACATCTTCCACGAAGGGTACAACGGAAAGCAGCTAAGCTTTCTAGAGACTCTCGGTTCGGCTGCGATCGCGTGAGTGTCATTCCGTTGCTCATCGCTCTCATCACAATTTTGTTGACCCAATATACAGTGGAATGCCAGCAGCCTATCTCACGACACCTGCTGGTTTGTATTTTGGTGTATGTTATTCTCTTGTGCTCGTGTTGATTTGTTGCAGACGTTGTAAAAACTCGCCTTCAAGTTGAAGCTCGCAAAGGTCAATCTCATTACAAGGGACTTGCAGATGCATTTGTGAAAATTTGTTCGTGACAAGCTCCGTTGGACTTGAATGATTAACGCTGTTGCACAAATTTAGATCGTGAAGAAGGCTTCAAAGCACTGTTCAAAGGCGGACCTGCACGAGTTGTGAGGAGTAGTCCACAGTTTGGTTTCACTCTGCTTGCGTACGAATACTTGCACAAGGTATGCTTCAGTCCATGTAGTATATTTACCGCGATGCTGATGTTCTACGTTCTTGCAGTTCCTGCCGGTGAGTTTTGCTAATTGTATTTTCCACCATGACTGGCTTATGCTTTATTCAGTATCCATGGGAGGAGAAACCACCTCAGGTACAAACAGCGCTAACATCCAGACAAGATGATATATCAAGAATCCGCGCCCGGAATGCGTTGAAGATTTTGCTGGACGTACACGGTGATTTCGGTCGTCGTGCTGCGAGATTTACTCCACCCTTCGTACCTTCTGTTTCAGAGCAGGCATGATATTCTGAGTTCCTTAGAGCCTTCCGTGTTTCTAGGATATCTGCGATTGGATCTTCTTTCCGTGACCCCGGCTACCCTGAATCAGTTTCTCTGCCATCTGACTGCGTACACTAGATCACACTCAGCTTATGCTTACGGAGTCATCGACATCCGTATATCTTATCCTATGTACATATGTATGGGTTGCGTCCCCAGTTCGGAATGCGGTGGGCATGCAGTACTTCCGTAGCGCCTGTTAAGTTAGGACTTCGGAGCTCGGCTTTTACTGCGCTTGGACAGCACCACACTTGGTACTTCGGCGTTATTCAGATCATCAAGAATCAAGATGCCTCTTCAAGAGGCTGAACTTGCAGCTCTCGCGACTGGTCAAAACCGCTTCCTTGTTTTCTTCTCATCTCGAGTGGACGGTAAATTGTGGTGCCCCGTGTGTTCTTTTTCTTTGCATTTTCGTGAAGTTTTCTCCAACAGCTGTGGTCAAGGACTGCGCAGCTGTGGAGAACTTGATCAACGAAACCTTTGCTCCAGAGAGTAGTCCATTCGCGGTTCTCGTATATGTTGGCCAGAAAGCAGAGTAAGAGCAATATATCCTGCTCAGCCGAATGATGGCACTCAATTCCACGTAACATGGTCAGATGGAAGTCCCAGGACAATATCTTCCGCAAGGACCCATGGTGCCTCACCGCCATCCCAACGATCGTCAGGTTGAATGATGTGAGCCGCCCACGTACCCAGTCTATGCGCTGAAGTTTCGGAGCGAATTGCAGGCAGATGAAGAGATCAGCCGTCTGGTGGAAGGTGACTTGCTAGATCCCATTAAATTCTCGTCTTTCGTCCAGTCACACGACGCTTGATACTCTTAACTCGCCTGTTCATTACGATCCAAGGTCCGTGGCATTAGGTGTGTTTGGCCGAGTCGAATTGACTGTAGGTTTGTATCAGTGGATAGATGGCGTCCGGAGAAGCTTCGGCGAATAATCAGTCCCAAACAGATGACGGCTGTACTGTCTTGTGCCAAGATTGTTGACCAAAGCAATATGTACGGCGAAAGTCAGACGGTTTAGAACCGTCTGATGAAAACGCTCAGTTCTCTACAGTGAGTATAAAAGCACGAACGCCGGTATGTGGGAGCACGGACGTGCGTTGTCGGCTGCGGGCGACTCAGAAGCTCCTTCATCCGAAATACTTATACCATGCAGTTGCGATCGTCAACCTTTGGTCGGGTCTTGGTCTAAAGTATGCACCGAATGACAGTGGAAATGTACCCCCCCCGAAGATCTCGAGCCGAAGGAGTTCTGAAACAACACTACCTGTTCCCTGCCTGGAAGCTTGAGAATTTCATCTGCACCCCCCGCTGATACCATTATATTCGTTTCGACATGCCCATTATTTGCAGTGCAAGTCACCCAATCTCAGTCTGGTGTTACAAAGGCTTTCCAGATTTTCACCAAACTGCACTAGTTGTGATGAGTTCATACTTCGGACTATGTAGGCTGCGGCCGCAGGAATCACATCAACAATATCGATAAGCCCCGGCCGGCTATGGAATCTGTGGTTCCCCCAAATGTCATGGTTCGGAAATCGGCCTCAGACTTCGAACAAACCGCTTTGCTAGACTAACTCTAGTTATCTTACTTGCCCTCGTCACGGACGAAGTCGCCGCTTTTCCCGCCACTCTTATGTGATACCATGATATTCCCTATGGCCATATCCTTCCCAGCTATAGCTTTCAGCATATCCCAAACTGTGAGAAGTCCGATGGATACAGCTGTCAAGGCTTCCATTTCGACACCAGTTTTACCCTCACACGTAACCGTCGCTGTGCATTTGATTCGGCATGGTAGCCTATGTGTGGAATGTTGCATTTGCTCATCTTGTGGTGTTGCCTCAGGTGTCAGAGTCACCGAGATATTAGATAGCGGTAAGGGATGGCAGAGCGGAATCAGCTCCGGCGTCCGTTTGCACCCCATGATAGCCGCAAGCTGCGCTACTGTCAGGACGGGTCCTTTACTAAGGGACTTCGCCCATGCTTTCTCATGCGACGGCGGTGGCCGATGGGCAAGTGGAGAATCCATCCCCAACACGAGATCGTAGGCGATCTTGGGGATGTAAATGTGGCCGATCGCAGTAGCGCTGCGTTTTGTGGCCTCTTTGGAACTTACGTCGACCATCGACGGTTGACCAGTTACATCTATGTGCGTTAGTCGCGGCTCATCGGTAGCGGATCGCGCACTCCATCGACGCTGGTCGCAGCCACGCGCAAGATGACCAGTAGGGGTCGCAACAACAGAATTCGATGGCCGGATAACAGCTGTTGTGCTTCCCAGATGCAGGACCGAATGCTGAGAATTGCGGGGTCCTGCGGCAAGCGGCGAAAGATACGTTAAGGACGGAAGGTACTGTGGTCGTATCCCGCAGAGGTTGCTACGCGTGCAAAGCAAAGAGCCTAACCTCCGATAAGAATCATAGGGCGGTTCGAAACAGTGTCAATATTATCCATGCCTGCGTGCTTTTCCTTCTTGCCCCAAACTGCGGATCTAACGACTTCTAGTAGCTCGGTATCGTTCGCACCGCGTCGCATCTCGTCACGAAGGCTGATTTCCTTTGGGTCGAATAAACAAACCTGCGGCGCCATCTTGTGAGTACGTGTTCAAGAACGGAAAGTGTACCGACTTTAATCTTGCCATCAGCGGTGATGCGCAACCGGTTACAAGACGAACAGAAGTGATCGGACATGCTGCTAATGAAACCAATACCGCCCTTGTGACCTGGGACTTTCCATAAACGAGCCGTGTCACTCGGCACTGTCTGCACTTGTTCGATGCTTGGGTGCTGCTTCCTGATCATGGCCAGGAGATCCGCTGACGGTACCACCTTATTCCTGTCCCACTTGTTCCCTAAAACCAGTCGGGAGTGAGTGGGAAAACCCGGTCACCGAAGAGCAAATCTTGCCTGAGAAAGGCATAAACTCTATGAATCGCACCCAAAGATCTCTGTCCCTGGTCAAGTTGACAAAATCAAGAACCTCGGAATCATTGAGGCCTTTCACGACGACGACATTCAACTTGACTGATTGTAGGCCTCGGCAAGAGAGAGCGACGCCTAGCGACTTTAGGACTGCATCATGCCCTAGGCGCCGGGTCATAATTTCGAATTTGAAAGGGTCAAGTGTGTCGAGGCTACCTTAGCCATAACCATCAGGGTATTCCCAAGTCGATTAAATAAACGCAAACCTCAGGTTGAGATGAGTTAAACCCGAGTCGACAAGGTTTGGCAGCTGACGATGCAATGCAAGTCCATTGCTTGTCATCGCGATTGATGTTAAACCAAGCGAACGCAAAGAGTCGAGCCTCTCTGAGACGACCGTCAGCCAAGTGCGGCCCCGTAAAGTTAAGTGTATTACTGATGAGTGTACCCAAGCCTTTTCTGATTGTCGGTTCACCCCCCGTCAGGCGTATTTTTGTTATACCACTTCTGACGAACAAGGTTGCCAAATGAATTATTTCGTCGTCTGTGAGGATATGTTCCGCTGGGGAGAGTTGGACGCCCTCGCTAGGCATGCAGTAGAAGCCTATCATCAACTCATTGGCGGGCGAAGGTCAAGAATACAACAACACAAGCGCACATCTTAGATTACACCGTTCAGTGAGGGATATGCGTAGATAATCGTGCTTCCTCTTGAAGGAGTCGACAAGCTCTGGAAGGGGATTCCGGGAGTCTATTTGAATGATCCGGCCCTGGCTTGAACGTCGAAAAGTGAAGCAAAGAAAGAGTGGGTGATTTCACTGTACCCGAGCGCGGGCTTGCAAGTCCGTAGCTCCTCGCAGCGAGTAAAAGCGTAATAGGCTACGCTGACCCAGTGCAAAGAATGGAAGTCGGAGTGATGTCTGCATGCTGGACTCTTCTGAAGTTGTCCACGGCGATCGGCGATCAGATCGACCGTGACGTGACCTGTCACGCATCCGTGACAGAAGTGGACGCGTCAGAACTGTGGTCGCCTGGTGGTATGCATTCATACCACCAGTTAACGCGTACCATCGTCAGCTCGACCTTTGATACAAGATGGTGTGTCCCTAAACTAGGCTTCCTTCTCTCCTGACACAGTGCTGCTACAGTCGATAATGGAATACAACGGTGGCTCCGTCATAGCCATGGTCGGGAAGGATTGCGTTGCGATTGCCTCAGACTTGCGGTTTGGAAACCAGGCTCTGGGTATCGCATCTAATTTCCAGAGAGTGAATATCACTCTTGTTTTCCGTACCCTCCTGTTCACTAACTACTTGGTAGATCTTCCCTGTGACTGATAGAACCTACGTTGGCTTGGCTGGACTGGGTACTGACGTGACTACTCTGTGAGTCGAGATGTTCGCTCCTGTAAGGCATTGTTTAACGTGTAGCAGTCGAGAACGCTTTCGCTATCGTGTCAACATGTACACGATCAAGGAGGAAAGGGACATTGAACCTCAGACCTTTGCTCACCTTGTTTCCTCCACCCTCTACGAACACCGCTTCGGACCGTATTTCGTCGAGCCTGTTATAGCCGGGCTGGAGAATACTTCATCGGGCTCCAAACCATTTATTGCGGCAGCAGACCTTATCGGCTGCCTCAATTTTGCCAAAGATTTCGTAGTTGCTGGAACTGCGAGCTCCAAACTTTATGGTCTGGCAGAGGGACTATGGGAACCTGACTTGGGACCTGAAGATCTCTTTGAGACTATTTCACAAACACTCTTGAACGGTGTTGACAGGGACGCGTTCTCTGGCTGGGGTGCGGTTGTACATGTCATGTGAGATTCCCTCTACTTCTGCTATGTGAGACTGACTGTATCATAGTACCAAAGATCGCGTCGTAACACGTACGTTGAAAGGCAGGATGGATTAGGCAGCAGCTTTGTACGGACTTGTCCAATTATCAGAGTCCCTGTACCAATTATAGCCAATACACATCATACGAGATGGGATGAAACCAAGGCCCGGTCGGGGTTTCAGAATTGATGAGTGTGTTGCCCGCGAAAGACCGTGGGCTCAAACGCAGAGGCAAGCTACATCATTGTCCCTAGTCCATAGTATGCAGTGGCCCTGCAGGACCCTGGCCGTACTGGTCGCCGCTATTGTGGTGCTTCTTTCCGTGCGATTTGCGATCTTCTTATCCTGCGAAGAGCTAGCCGCGGCGGAACTGCCCTTGCAGGGTACCTTCCACCCGGGATTCTTCCTTCCAAGTTTCGTGGATGGTATTGATGTGAATATCAGTCGTGCTCGTTCGCAGAATACAGTTACTCCTCGACAACGTCCTGATGTCACTGCAATTGTGTTGAACTGGTCTCGCTTGGATAATGTTGTTCGCATTGTCTCCTTGCTCTGCGAGGAATCGCTGCTCGACACTGTCGCCGAAGCGTTCATCTGGAATAATAGTCCAAAGGAACTGACGTATGAGGTTGGTGTATATTGTATTCGATGAGCCTGGCCTGAGCATCTGAATACTGCAGACGTTTGCTAGCAGCGGGTGCCCCAAGGCGAAGCTTAGACTTTACAACTCTGAACGCAACCTCTACTTTCACGCGCGGTTTCTGGCGTGTGTTCAGGCTAAGACACAGTTTTGTTTCTTCCAGGTCAGCGTCAGTTAGTGGCGTCTTCCTCATAGCTCACTGAGTGGACTCCAGGATGACGACTACCTTGTTCTCCCTCAGATCATACAGACACTTCGATATCGGATTGCAGAATCACCGCAAACTGCAATCCACCTCCTTCCGGCGCATGAACACTTATCAAGTCGCTTGCGTACAATCTTGACTCCTTCAGGTGTTCACTCGGGGTTTGCATGGCTTGGTCATGGTGCCATCATGTCTCGAAAGCAGGCAGTTGATTTTGTCTCCCTCCTTCGGCATCTCAATATGCCGCCTGAGGAGGTTCGTTTAGCAGACAACTACTTCACGATTCTCAGCAACCAGATACCAGAGATATGGTTTGATCACGGAGTTGAACTCGGTGGAGGTGAACCATTCACTATTGGTCAGGAGGGCCATGAGCGCAATTTGCGACATATTGTGAGTGGGGTAAGCCCTTGGTCTACACTGTTTCACTTTGACTGCCAAACATATAAGATGAATGCTTGCGCATACCTTGACCAACTCGTGTCTGGGATCCATGACATTTCCCATCAGGAGACTGCATTGGAGGCGTTTCCGTTTGTAAAGGCAGCCGCTGATATTGGGCAATGGTTTATCAGCAGGTCGCCCTGTCTTGGTTCCTCGTGTTTGTTGGAAACCAACATCCGCTTGCTGGGCGATGACGTCCCCAGTGGCCATGCTGCGACTGATCTCATCGCTCGCGAGGGACAATATGCCAGTGCAATGGACAAAAAGGCAGTATTGAACTACACTCGTCACTCCCTGTCCAAAGCGGTGGACGGCATGCCTGCTACAGCGTTTCGCAGCACGTCTTGTGGGTTATGATTTACTTATGCTTAAGTTTAACCTGAGGCTCTCATCATCTGCAGTGGCAAGACGGGGGGAGTACGTCATGCTCGATTCCCTCTATCCTGTGGGTTCCTTGGATGTCAAGTTGGAGGTTGTCTTCCTCGTTCCCCCTAGCAGTGAAGAGATTCTCCGGAAATCTGTCTTCCAATCCTCGGTAGATGGAGGCGATTGGGTAAGCCGACTGACTAAGCAATTATTCCTAGGCTGATTGTTGCTTCAGTTTTCTTCACCCCACCCACTGATGTGTAGGAATACATCAATGACCACTACCTTATTGTATAATCGGTTCTCTGAAGATTTTGCCCTGGTCGAGTGCAGTGTCCGAGTGGTGGATGGAAATGTTCGTTACTTCAAGGCTCTACTAAAATCTGACGCATCTGTGGCATGGACCATTTCCGAAATTTGGCTGAGAGAGCTATCATAGTACCATGTATTACTAATCACCTTGAACGCCCAAATAAGGAATGATCCCCCTGGTGAGGCTAAGCCCGCTCCTGCGCCACTACGTTTCGTCTCTGTGACTGCACCAATGTTGGGACACGTAGCAAAGTCTCCACTGAAGCCCAACTTTTTCGTGAAAGGATCGAGGTGTATATCAGTCAGGGTAATATCTAAAATTCTTCGTCACTGTCCCCCTCACCGAAGTTGCCAGTCCTTACTTCACGGATCACCCGAGGCGAAGAAAGCTGGTGACATAGAGATTCTGCAGCACTCGAGGCTCGTTGCGAGAGGAAAATACGTGCATGGGTTCGAAGGTCGAATACACAAACCAGCTACTCTTCATCAGTCGACCTGACCTTGCCCATAGTGCATCGCGCGAAGCCGGACTCCATCGACAAGTATAAGGAAGCCGCGTGGGTAATTTGCACTCTTTTCGTTGCAAGTGTTGACAAGTTTTTCTTTTAGAGAGAACTATTACGCCGGTATCAAGAGTGATCCACGACTGCATGTCAAGCTCACGGGTAGCTGGGAGACTCTTGTCGGCGACCAGGATGTCTTTGGTAGTCTTGGTTATTCATTCCAATGCAACCACTCATAACGTACTTTCTCAAGTTCACATCCTGGAATACGAGAATTACGCAGGCTACGATAAGACAATGGAGCTCATTAGAAATTCGCAGGTTAGTTTCTCGACATATTCCGTCTTTCTGCGTTGCTGATATCAATCGTTTTAATAGCACGTGGAGTCCTACAGAAAGCTTCTCCCACACATAAATTCCCGCACTACACAGCTTGCACAAGAATTTGCTTTTTTACCCACCGCCCCGCCACATGCTCAAGGCGGAATCTTCGAGCTCCGGTGTTATCAGCTGAAACCGGGGACGCTACTGGAATGGGAAAACGCTTGGTAGGTGCTCGAATGTTGATGACCGCTGTTGAAGTTATCAATGATGCCGCACCGTTAGGCGTAGAGGGATAGAGGCCCGTCGCAAATTTGTATCGCCAGTCGGCGCGTGGTTCTCGCAGATTGGAAGACTTCACCAAGTGCATCACCTATGGCAATACCCGTATGGCGTGATCCAAATCTGAGAACTGCCACTTACTGGTTCTTGACCCTTGCAGGAGCCTCGATGCTAGGAAAGAAACAAGAGAGAAAGCATGGCAAATCGACGGTTGGGCGGAAACTGTTTCCAAGGTATTGTGCACACACGTACTTCCGGTTCTATGTTGAGCGTTCGCTTTAGACCGCACAGCTTGCTAAAGAGATGGATTCTTTCATACTCGCACCACTCCCGTACAGTCCCCTCAAGTGAGGGTTTATTACCGGGACATTGCAATATTGCAGCTTTAGCTGTGTTTCAATGCTCATGAACAGCTCTGGAGAAACATGGCCAGTTTCCTGACTGTCGGCGTATATAACATTGATTTGTGTCTCCAATCCTGAACATCTCCCTAGTTGTTCCCAGCCTGTTCCTCCGTTCGGCCGGGTTCGGAGGGTCTAGCTTTGAATACTTGTAATTTATTCAAGGTGATGCGTGTGAAGGTACTACTAAGATTGTGACTGAGTATAGACATATTATCAATCCAGTCGGAACAGTGGGTGTTACTGAAGTAGGCTTTCGAAGTCCTGTGTGTCGCCATGTCAGCAGCTCAGTGGAACGACTCAGAGCCCTCAGACGACGAGGTCACTCAAGACCAGTTTTCTTCTCGAAAACGCAGTACTCGGGGTATTATTGCACGCTGTTCCTCAGGTCGTATTGTGTGCTAAGTGGTCAATTCAGCTTGTGACCAGTGCAGGAAGACGAAGAGCAAATGCGAGCCGTCTCATGTACCGGGATCTTGCAGGAGTTGTGCAGTCGGTGGTAACAGTGCGTGGATTTTCGTACCGCCCTGATTGAGTGGATTCATATGTTCCACCCACTTAGCATGTACTTTCCTCGGTAAGTTCTACGTGCAGCAAAGTCAGCTTGGCAGTCAACACTCTTCAGGGCCAAGCTATAAGCGTGGGCCTCCGAAAGGTTACATTCAAGCAATCGAACAGCGGTGGCATCAAGTCGAGGCTCTCTTAGGGGCCATAATTGCCTGTTCCGATTCGCGCGTGCAAAACTTACTGGCAGAGATTCGAGAGGATGACTTAGCACGAGAGATTTTGGACAGGGTGGACACTGGCCCATTCGTATGCTTGTGCTTTGGGATATAGTTCCGAGGCTGTCACTCATCTATGGTGCAGGGCCCTTCAGGACGCCTTACACAAGCTACCGGGGCTACCAAAGAAGACTTTTTAGCCTGTATTTTTCGAAGCAATGAAGGTTCTGTGCGCGAGTCCTCACGGCTCAGGCGTCAGTCTCGCATGTCTAGAGAAATTGTATCAAAATCATCCAGAGGTATTTAAGGCGTCTGGCTCGGACTATTTTGTGGCGTTTCCTGGCTCACTTCCTATGTAGCTAATTCATTGTCCACATTTCCTACGACGGACTGGCAGGATCGCTTGACTGCGCGGTTAACAAGGTCTGCCTTCGACAAAGAAGGAACCAGCGGGCAATCCCATTCTCCATCCCGCCCTTCGGACATGGGTCCCGTATTACGACGACCTCGGGTAAACGAACCAGTCATCGCCCCGACCCCACATCAACCCAACTGGAATGAGATGTACACCATAGAAAGCTTATCTGGCGAGTATTAAGGTTAAGCTACCCGTCTGGTTGCTGAGGATTGGGCATATGCAGACTCAGATGACGTAGATGAGTCTCGTGCAACCACGGCCTTCGGCCAACTGTCGTTGGATGAAAATCAAGAGGTAAGATCCTGGCGGTTTCTTGATCCTACTTCTGATGCTTGTTGAACCAGATTCGATATCACGGAAAAACAAGCGGCCTCCATCTCCTTTCGAGGAGTGATCGTTTGGATAAACGCAATGAAGGAGGGGTTTGGTTGGGCTTACACCTTCATCTTTCATTTTAATGCACTAACATCTCTTCAGGAGACTCCCTATGGCCCGATTTTGGCCATCTACCAAAGCTAACATGTCATATGATGCGCCTGAGAATGACATAAACGTCAAATTACCTCCACCACCTGTTCAAGATCAACTTGTCAACCTATACTTCTCCTACGCCCACCCGATGTTCCCTGTCATTCATAAGGGTCGGTTTTTGCGAGAGTGGAACGAATGGTGAGTGTAAGCTTTGTGCCCACAGAAATGACTTGCTTGACAGACTACCTCTATCCAGGAAGCGAAAGTGGGATTTTAATTCTTATCGTTTTTTATTTGCTCACTGCAGTGGAAGGAGCAACCCGGCTACGCCTGAAGCCAGTGGGAGCTCGTCTTCGCCGCAGCCGGAACCATCACAAACTGTTACCAAACTGCTCCTTCTCTCCATGTTCGCTGTTGCTGCTCGTTACCTTGACAGGCCGAATCCTGGGTCGACGGATAAATTATGGGAAAATACTACGTGTGAACATTTTGTCCAAGCGAAGAACATTCTAGGTTTGCCTCTCAGCGTTGCTTCGCCGTTCAATGACTGATCAAACTGCAGCGCAAGTATATCAAAGTTGTCGGGCTACCACATGTCAGGCGTTACTCCTCTTAGGCCACCGTGAATTCGGGATAGGTAGGGCGCATATGCGTCGAGGAGAAACCTAACTCATGGATGTTCTAGGCTCCATGGAGCAAGGATGGCTTTATATTGGTATTGTAAACTTGTGTGGGTTCAGGCAGTTACTGAAAAAGCTCATTTCTGTTAGGAATGGCCATTAGGATGGTTTGTATTCGTTCAGATCTAGGTTTGGAGGTTTCCTGAGGTGCAATCACAGGCATTGGATCTTGGACTAAATCGTTCCGCGGACGATTGGCAGTGCAACGGAAAGAGAATGTTCTCCGCTGAGGAGAACCAAGTCAGGAAACAAATTTGGTGGGCATGCTGCATAGCAGACAAGTACACATTTTTTGTCGTGGAGTGCCAGGTCTTTGTTAATGTTTGGTTGTCTAGGCATACTTCCATCTATATGGGTGTGTGGGCATTGGTACGACTGTTTTCTATGTTCACTTTGTTCTTAGGGCGTCCTGTTTCTATAAGGGAGAATGACTATGATACGCTCTTCCCTGACGCTGACGAGGTGGGGTCGTTTCTGTCGCTGTGCAAATGAATCTCATCAATCAACAGTACGAGGATGAAGGTGGCGCCGATTTGGTCACTCGCCAACCATTCTCAACTATACTAGTAATGCAATGTTTCCGTGCTGCCGCATCTCTCTGTCCGTGTTGTCTCTTGTACTTCATTGTTAACAGATGCTGAGTGCGCTACCTGCAGCTGTAGTCATAGGGTCTATCTCATCCCAAGTTTATCCGGTCAAGGCCACCAGGCGTGGTTCGAGGCGTGCAATTCTAAGCGATCTCGAAGCCCGCCTGGATCAGTGGTATCACCAGCTTCCGGACGGCCTTAGTTATGACCCAGCCAGCAAGCGTATTGTTCCACCACCTCCGATCCTGTTTATCCATATCAAGTACTGGTCCGCTGTCTTACTACTGCACAGAGCCTTGTGAGTAACTTTCCCCATCACCTCATGACTTACTCACATAGCATCCTGATGGCAGCATTCCAAATTGGAGTGGGTGAGTAAAACAGGTTTCCCATCAGTATAACTGATCAACTCCACTGCTAGCTCGGATTCTGACTTATACAACAAGCCTGGTAATTCAGATACAACGACGCTCAAGGCATTTGATCTATGTCAGGGCGCTGCTACATATATCAGCAATATTGGTAAATAATTAGCCTTCTCTCCGAGGGATGCGTGCTCACGTGGGGTTAGTAACAACCTATCGTGAGAATTTCGATATTAAACACAGTACACCATTCCTTTCTTCCTATCTTCTCAGTGCTGGGTGAGTTAATTGCAGCATGCTGTCGTCTTGAGTATTAACTTTTGAGGCAGCATTATGCATATCCTTACATGTGAGTTGCCAGGTCGACAGGAGATTTTGGTTAGTGCTGAGTGCGCTCAGTGACGCTATTTCCCTCAAACGTCCAAGCGTATATTGGGCTTCGACAGCTGCTGGCCGCCTTGCAAGAGATGCAAGTAAGTGTGCATAACATATACGTGGCGATGTAGTAACGTCCGAGTAGGGGACGTGGCCAAGCATGGGGAGAACATGGGATCTCCTGAATGGAGCCAAGGTGAAGGTCGACAGTAATATTGCCCTACGGCTTGAACAGAATGCTGATCGGCAAAAACGTGGCGCGGACGACGCGTTTGGGCGAGAGAAGTGCCCCGATTCGCCTCAGCAGGAGGTTTTTGCTGATCCTGCAGTAACGGAGTTCATGACGCCCACCGGAGGGATCCAAGACATGAGCACTCGCATGATGGCTCAAATGCTGGGATTAGACATCCCAGGCATCGACCTTGCCACATCATGTCATCCTGGATATGAACCGTGGCCCCAAACAACGACTTCCTCTAATCCTCAGCCATACTTGCAGCCTCCAATCGTAAATATCTCTGCTCAGGGTGCACTTCCTCCCCTGTGTTATCAGCCCAGCTGGTTGGATCAGGAGTGGGAATCGCAAGCGTCCACACCTATCAGCTATCAATATGGTCATGGACCCTTTAGTGGTTATTATTAACGCCTTTTTCTCTCTCTCTTTCTTTTATTTTTCTTCCATCTTCGGGCTTGCTTGTATGTATGATTTTGATTATTCGATGTAGAATATCGTTGGATTAATATTAGTCCAACTTAATAACCAGTTTGTCAGTAGGGTTATTGATTCAAGAAAGAAATGATCGACTCCTGCTTAGGTAATCCATTCTGGACCCACAACACACCTCAAATGCGCGTCGGGGACTCGACTGTATATACTTACAGCTGTCCGACTTGACGGCTGCTAGCAGGTCTCTTCGTGCGCAAGCATGTCGAGCATTAAAAACTTGCTTAATCCTACGGAAGATCAAGCGGAATTATATGAGTATGTTCCTTTTTAAACATGGAAGGCTGTGCTCATTTCTTTCACCCCTTTGTCGATGGTCGTCAGACCGTCGTCCAGCCCCCGTAAGCGCGAGGATGGTCGGCAGTCACCCGTATCTGCATCGGACGCGGGTGCAAGTGTAGTTGCAGAGCCAAGCTCCAGTACGGCGGATCTGAGATGTGCGCAACGCAAACCACACCCCAACTGTCCTGATACACTGGACTGTCTGCCCGATACAGATGGTCGGCCACAGCATACCTTACCCGTGATCCTTCGTTGTGCGATACTAGGAAGTGCTAATAAGCGCTTGACTATTCGCGAAATATATGCGGCTATGGAAAACAAATACACATATTTTCGAAACGCAGGCCCTACTTGGAAGGTATGCCATCACATTATGCAGTTGTTCGTAGTCACTTTTTTACACCTGTCTACAGCAATCAGTTCGCCACCACCTCTCCTTAAACAGGCTTTTTGAGCGTCAACCCCGCCCAGTCACTGATCCTGGGTTTGGTTCATACTGGACGGTAAATCTTTCCGCACCCCCGGGCACCAAACGACCGCGCAAGCGCGGACGATCCTCGAAGACTTCAGAAAAAGATTCAGAGAAAAAGAGACGTGGAAGGCCAAGGAAGCCGACAGAAACTATCAGTAACTCGAAGTTACCAAAAGTCTGGACGGAGCCAGAGTCAGCATCTCCAAGCGAATCACGCCTAAATTCGGTGTTACGCTCGCAAATGCAACTCGATGCAGCTGAAGAGCGCTCTACCATAGCGGCAGAAGATGACGAATGTGATATGTCAGAAGTGGAGTATGAGAGCGAAGAAGACATGATCGTCCCTCGTAATCATCATCCATCAACTTCTAGCCTCGGAATCTTTGGTGTTCGCGAGGGCCCTTCACGTGTGTACAGTCCAGAACGGAGCCTTAACGTGTTTGCCACCGTTGACGAAGGCCTTATCGACCGTCTGCAAATAGAAAATGCAGGGCTGCGTCGCCAATCTGCGGACGCGGTATCCCTGTCGATGCGAATATCAGATCAACTCGCAGAGGCGCATGCGGAGGCTGCACGCGCAAAGGCTGCCCTGAGAGTTACTGAGAATATGCTGGAAGAAGAAGGTAGGAAGAGAAGGGAGGCCGAGAGGGTGGCACAGGAGGAAGCACGATTGAGAAGGGTTGCCGAGGAAACCATCTTCCGACTTCAGAGTCAACGGGAGAGCGTAAGTCATGCGAGCTGAAACCTTCTGCCATCCAGTAAGTGCTGATTCCACTTAACGTTTCGTCGTCCTTTACTGGAACTTCTCATCCGAAGGTTTCCTCGTCACAACTATTGCCACACTATCTCTGGTATCGCATGGAGCTTCCCGGGTGGAATCTCCTTACTCTATTCTGACTGGCGAATTTCCTCGAATTCCATGCCACCCTCCCGACATTCGCCCTTGAAGGCCCGCATGCTTAGTATGCATCTTCCATCACTTCCAGTACATATGTAGAACACGCACATTGGATACCGGGTAAATACAGAAGTACTAACGAAATGTTTATAATGATGTAGTCGCTGATAGACCACCGATAGTACCATATTTTTTAGAACTTGCACCTAGTGGCAGGATGGAGTATCAGAACATGAAATGCGTGTCAGTGGAGAGAGCGCCCGGTGCAAGCCGGTGAGTATGTTCGTTGCTGGTCCAAGCCCGTAAAATATGTAACACTCCGGTTGGCCGAAGCCCACCAGTAAGATCAACCTTCCGCAATTGTACACAACTGTGGTCGAAGGATGCTTTGTAGGCGCTAGCGAGGAATCGCGACTGTACAGAGCTGCGCGTGATGAATTTTTGTCACGTGATTCAACGACAATCAGACTCGCGATTTAGTGTGTACATAGGCTGCAAATACTGCTGGTGCTCTCAGACTGGTGTTCAAGTGACCAAACAACTTCCAGTACCTCGACTAAGAAATATGGTAGGAAATCAGCGTTTAAAATACAGAGGGTGTGTCGTTTTCGGAATTCCTACGTAACGAATACGCTAACAATCGGGAAGCTACAAGAAATTGCGTACGATTGAACCATTGTATACAGGTGGCCCGGTAGCGATCACCTCGAATGGTTCAAACATTGTCACCTGTCTCTCTGGAGAGGCGCTGTTTACGGACGTAAAACGTGGCCGATTACTATGTCGATTCCCGAGTGTGAGTGGTGCATTTGCTACTATGTGTTGGCTGTGGTAATTCTGCGTGCAGGATGGCCAAAGTATTACTTCACTTTGTTTGACGCCGGATGCATCCCACCTCGTCACTTTTACGGATGCACCTTCTCTCAGGCTTTTTAAGATTCCCAAAACGCTTACTGGCCAACCTGCCCCACCCTCTCGAATAACAGCCCGTCCACATGATGCTCCAGTCCATGTGTGCGCTGTCGACCCAACTTCAACTTACCTTGCGTCCGGATCAGCGGACGGTGTCGTAAAGGTCTGGGAAATATCCACCGGGCATGTGACTCACGTATTCAAGGGGCACGGTGGTGTAGTTAGTGCGTTGAAGTTCAATTTTCCAAGAAACGAGTCTCTCGGCCAACATGAACGTGTCGCCCAGCTTATAACCGCCTCTGTTGACACCAAGATACGGGTGTTTGACTTAACGGCAACGTCGAGGAACGATCAGGGGGCACTGCGTCCTGTTGCTGTTCTTGAGGGTCATGTCTCTGTACCCCGTGGCTTGGACGTCACACCAGACGGCAAATGGCTTCTCAGTGGCGGGAGAGATGCGGTGGTTTTGATATGGGACATGACCTTTTCTGGTGCAACCCTTGGCCAAAACAAGGGCAAGTCCAAAGCTTTGGTCACCAGTCCCACCCCGGTCAAGACTATCCCCGTAATGGAACGGGTGGAAGCCGTCGGATTTGTCCACTGCGACTGTGACGGCTCCTCCACGGCCGCCGATCAACATCTATTTACTGCTGGAGAAAAGGGCGTTGTTAAAATATGGAATTGGAAAGGAACTCTCCTTCATCATCTGGGCACAGGTTGGGAACAGGAGCAGGAGGAGCAGCGACAGGTACTTGAAGCGATGTAAGCACTGGATCATCACCGTTTCCTGCGATTCTCTGAATCAAACAGGTACATACCGACTCTGGAAGCTGTCCTTTCCGTTCACGCAGACCAGAATATCTTCATCCACTCTGTTAATTCCGGAAAACTTACCCAGCAGTTGATTGGATTTAATGACGAAATTGTTGACGCAGCCTTCTTATCTCCGGCAGTTTATCCTTCGAATGCCTCCGAAAGCAGCGTCCATGACAATTACATTGCCCTCGCTACCAATTCCTCTCTGATTCGTGTATACTCGACTTCGGGTTCTAGTGTTCAACTGCTACCTGGCCACTCGGACATTGTGTTGTCTCTGGACAGAAGTGCAGGTGGTCATGTGTTTGCAAGCGGTAGCAAGGATAACTCTGCGAGAATATGGGCCCCTTCGCATTCGTCAGCCGTCAGCGCGCAGTGGACTTGCGTCGCTTTCTGCGAGGGCCACGCAGGGAGTGTTGGGGCGGTTGCAATATCTCGGACGCATAGTGACACCGATACACGACTTCGGTTCTTATTTACTGGCAGTCAGGACCGCACGATAAAAATGTGGGATTTGTCGGACGTCCCACTGACGAGTGACGACCAACAGGTCCTTAAATGTCGCAGCCTTACAACGTTTAAGGCTCACGAAAAGGATATAAACTCCCTCGACGTTGCACCAACCGACCAATTACTGGCATCGGGGTCACAAGACCGCACAGCAAATGTCTACGAAATCTTCTATTGTCCGTCTTCCGGGTCAAGACCTCCGTCTGGCGAAATTAAGATCCTGGGGACATGCAAAGGGCATAAACGGGGTGTCTGGAATGTGAAGTTTGGGAAGACGGAACGTGTTCTGGCTACAGGCAGCGGTGACAAGACCATAAGACTGTGGAATCTGGAGGACTTTACCTGTGTAAAGACATTCGAGGGACATGCCAACTCAGTTCTCCGCGTGGACTTCATCAATCACGGAACTCAGTTGGTTAGTTCCGCATCCGATGGCCTTGTGAAGCTCTGGAGCACAAGGGAAGAAGAATGCACTGCGACGTTGGATAACCATGAGGACAAGGTGGGCGGTCACTGCTATTTGGAACCTTTTTCTTATGGACTGCTAGGTCTGGGCTCTTGCTATCAGCACAGACGAGCGGGTTATAGTTTCTGCAGCTGCTGATTCTGTTGTCACGTTTTGGGAAGACTGCACTGAGGAATATGAACAAGAAAAAGAAGCGAAGCGCGTTGAGCAGGTTCTCAAGTGAGACACTCGTAGTGACCCCTTTTACTTTCGCTTGACCTGCCTGTTTTATAGAGAACAAGACTTCGTGAATTATATCGCGCTGCATGACTACCGCAGAGCAATAGAGCTTGCGCTCTCTATGCAGCAACCTGGGAAGTTGTTTTTACTGTTTGGGGATATCAAGTCATCAGCGACAGAGTCCTTGTCAGTAAGCAATGGATCCGTGACTGGCCATCTGGCAGTAGATGAGGTACTCCGTTCGTTATCTGGGCAAGACCTTGCACTACTCTTGCGGTACGTTCGCGACTGGAACTCCAATGCCAAAACGAGTGGGGTCGCTCAAAGTGTCTTGTACGCTATGGTGAAACTACGGCCCATCGAAGACATCGTCTCTGCCTTTGGAAACGAGTCGTCGGACGCCCTTTCGTCCGAAGCTAACCCCCGAAAGCAGGCAGGCGGAAGAACCGCGTTCAAGGAGTTGATTGATAGTTTGATTCCATACACACAACGTCACCTCTCTAGGTTGGGCCGATTAGTCCAGGAAAGCTTTGTCCTGGACTACATTTTAAGTGAAATGGATGGAGAGATTTTCGAAGGGGAGGGCCACGTGGTAGCGGGCGAATGATGCGCACGAGTTGATTGACCAAAAAAAAAAGTATACGTATTCCCATCTTTAATCGTGTATTCGCACCCTTCCCAGTCGACAGCCAATGACACCATTGAAGACCAATACCCAATCATTATCACTAATTGTATTCAGTAAAAATTCATTCTCTTCAGCCTCGTAGATGCGATCATTTTCCAGCAGCCATTGCCGAAGTACCCCCGATATGCAGCCAACGCTGAGTGGTGGCGTGACCCACTTCCCTCTGCGATAAAATGCTATGTTGCATATTGAAGTCTCCGTCATTGCACCAGACGTATTGTATAAAATCACGTCGTCCGGACAGCCCGGCGCATCCACGCCATGGGGCGGAACGCCCACGGGAGGCATGCCGGCGCGTGCACGAGCGTCGTCATACGGTTGCCTATCGGTTGTCTTCATAGACGTCGTGCCCGACGTTGGTTGGGTGTCAATATGAATTGTCCAGATCGGTTCGAGTGGAACTTGGGAAATCACGTCTGGACTGAACAGTGATGGTAAAGTTGGGTCATATCGCAGCGGGGGAATAGGTACGGCAGACGCAGTAAGGTCACCGGAAGGTGATAAAATGACGCGTATCTATTGGACGGTCCTGTTGTCGCGTGGTCAGGCAAAGAGATCCCCAAACTCACCTTTAAGGGTTGTCGCATACACCCACCGTTTACGTTGCATACAATATTGTCGCAGACGTTTTTCAGTTTGTCAAAAGTTAGGTGTGCGGAGGGCCACTGGGCGGCAACGCTAGCCGATACCAAACGGTGAAACTGATACGAAAGCAAAAAATATGGTGAGGGGGGACCGTCTGCCAGGTCATTATTCCAGGTAAAGGTCTCGAGAAACGGGTCAAACCGAATCGTTGCCAACAGCGAGTGAGGCATCTTGATGCTGGCTAGTTCTGGGGCTGACTCGGATATTTCAAGATCTGAAATCTTGCTATTTTTCCAATTACATAAAAGGGTTCTGAGGATGTGACCCTGTCTACAAGGTCCACTGCAGGTTGAAACCTGTCAGAAACTCTGCATTTTCCCCGAATACCGCTCTTCGGTGCTCCGACTCCACTCAGCTGGTCGTGTGAGTGGGGGTGATGAAGAAGGGTAGGAACTTAGGAGGCTTGTGGGCATTGTAAACACGTCCTTTTCTAGTAATCTTATATACTGGGCCCACGTGAGGCTGTGCCCCGCTCGCTCCAGAATGAGAATGCCACCATACGTTTTAGTCGCCGACTCACAGAATTGAGGCGTGGTTAGGAGTGAATGTTTGTCTTCTTTGTGGTGGTCCAGGCTGACACCAGCTTACAGCGACTTGAGCAACCATTACGCATGATGAAGCTCCGCTGAGTAGTATTGTGGAGGATGGAATCCTGCCTTGCAAATAGTGTGTCTCCAAGGCGGGGCAGGTTGCAGTGCGACAAATCTTGCCCTCCACGAAGCGCGTCTGGACATCCCGCAACGTTTTCCGCACACGTTAACTCGATAGCAAAGGTATTATTGCATAGAAATTCCGAGAGTCGCAGCAGCTTTCGGGGTTATTCGCTTCGTAAAGAAGTGAGACATGGATTGGTTCGTCAATTGAGCGCGAGTACTGGACCTCAACCAACAAATCTCATCGCATCAGCATCAATGTAATACTTGGCAACTTCCCCGACCTTGGCCAATGGCGCAACGGGATCCGGAACCAGAACAAATGTTTGGAAGAACACCCGAGGTTGGTCGTCGACGGAGCGACTTGAAGTCAACTTAGTTGCTGGAACCTTTCCGTGGGAAACACTCCCGGAAACAAATACTAACAGCGAGGGTGGTTGCGTCCCTGAGGTAATTGAATACTGAGGCAAGAGAAGGAGAGCCAAGTTACCCACCGGATATGGGGTGGCAATCGTATGACTGGACCTCGTGTCGGGTGCTGGGCATGTCTTGGATAAGTTTCTTTACGCCTTCGGACCCTTGACAAGGATTCCCATTCCACGTTAGTGTTGAAGTGGGGCGATAGAACTTGGGGAGGTCCTCCACACGAGTGGGGGAATCATAAGTGGTGTAGTAGAGGCGCGTGAAGTGATCAGCCGCTCTCGTCGATATCTCGATACTATCCATTAGCACGTCAGGTAAGTATCGTAACCCATACAATGCGGGAAACGTACTCTTCACGAGTAAACGCTACAGCCATCGTCGCCTGCTCTGCCACTGAAATGGCAACCGCGTTTACATTTTAATGAGGAGACGATCACGTGATGACTCCCTAATATTTGATGACCATGACGAGCGGTTAGCAGTGGCCTCATGGCAGCATGGACGTCATTCGGGTTGCCACTCTTAACTGTTGGTGAGTCGAGCTCGTACTACAACACACTTCTGAATCGTTCATGTTATTTCTGCAGGGGTTTGAAATATGTCTCGAGAGACCGTCGGGAACGCATTGCAGCCATTGCCGACGCTTTCTCCAATTCCGACCATGATATTGTTGCCCTACAAGAGCTGTGGGTCGAGGGGGACTATAATGAAATTCGAAGCGCCGTATCACACAGGCTGCCATATGCCAAACGATTTCTAAGGTGCGCTCTCTGTGTGCCCTTTTACGATTTTGTGTTGATACCATTATCTCAGCGGTGCGTTGGGTGCTGGTCTGGCTATTTTCACGAAATGGCCTATCATCTCCACCAGCGTCACACCATATTCTCTTAACGGAGAACCAATAGATGTGGCAGGTGGTGACTGGTTTGTTGGCAAAGCAGTAGGCAGTATTGTCATTATGCACCCTATCCTTGGAAAGGTGCAGGTTTTTGATACCCACGTAAGCCCAAATACCGCCCTTCTTTGCGGCTTCTCAACCCGCTACCTCAGTTATACGCTAAAGGAGGCGAAGATGGCCCAGAATACAAGCGCGCTCATCGCCTGGTCAATGCTTGGGAATTTGCAAAAGTGGTCAGGCAAGCTGCTGAGCTCGGTAATTATGTGATTGCTGTAAGTAACTGGTTGTGTTCACTGATGGCACCTCACTTACGCTGTTACTCCAGCTAGGTGATTTCAATAGTGTACCCAGTAGCCTTCCCATGCGCGTCATCCTTGATCACGCTGGTCTGTTCGATGCCTGGACGGTTTCCCACAATTATGTTTCACCCCCCTCCGAAGTGATATCTCCGGTCGACGGCATCGTGAAGTACGGCGTTACAGCCGACTCCCCCTTGAACTCTTACCGTGATCCAAAGCCATCCCTCGATCCGCTGGTTAGAATGTATCAAGGAAAACGCCTCGATTACATTCTTTTTCGTCGTCCCAACCATCCTTTCCACAACCCCCCCATCCCAAAACTGGAGTGTCAGGATTCCAAGGTCATCTTTACAACCCTGATCCCGAGGAACAATTGCTCCTTTTCCGATCATTTCGGGGTGGAGGCAACATTTGCAATCGATATGCCTGAGGCAGCAAACAGGCCGGCACCAGAAACGAACGACATATTAAAGAGCACTGCGTCGATATGGGCCAGGGAGGCTTCTGAAATGTCGTTGACATCCGTTTCGGCGGTCCTTGGGGCGCTCCAGGCTGCCTATCGTGTCTCATGGGGACGGTCGCGCCGCGAGCTGACGACGTTCGCAATATGTATTCTAGCATTGCTGATCCTCACGTTTGGCTCTATGGCACTTGCTGTCCCGTGGGTGAACCCTATCTTGGTTCTGTTTACTATTGCTATTACATGGTTGGCTACTACCATGCTATACGAAGGATTTATATTCGGAAACTGGGAACGGAGGGCCCTGCGCAGTACACTTGAAGACTTGGAATTGCACAAGCAAGCTTTAGTTGAACACTTCTCCCAAGAATGACCCGGAGTATAAGCTCATCTGTAGGGACGATACCAATACATCACCTATTTAAAAATGTCGTTTCAGAATACTCATCGTATGCGAACGCGTGGGTACCATGAGCGTAGGTGGTAAGTCACAGAAATTGACGATCACAGACTGCCAATGAGCGTGACACAGGCACTTTCCGTTTCGACCCACCAATGAGCCCCGCCGTCGCTACAGCAAGGTGCGGCGAGCCTTGTGCACGTAACCTACGTGTTTATAAGATGCAAGGTTGTATGCATACCTTCGTGGAACACTTGCTGGAGAGGAATCCAAAATTATGTCATCTGCAATGAAAAGTCCTGTCCTGAAATATATCCTAGCAAATGGTAATGTCGATGCCTTCGGTCTTAACATAACTGAATACTAGTTGTCGAGCGCGAGTATGAGTGTTTCGAGAAGCGGAAGCTCAACGGGGTCTGGCAGAAGCATCTGACTAGTGGTGTAGCTGGTGAGTAAGCGTATCGTAAGTAGCTGGGCGGGGATAAGCAGAGGTATATGAGCAATTGCGGTCCAGTTCGGGTGACCATAGAACGTCAGATCAAGTGTCGTGGGTGTGGCAGTTGCAAGTTCAGGTGTAGGGACAAAGTTAACAAGTTTCAGATTCCTGAGGGCAAGAGGCTGCAGCAGGTCAGGCAAGAAAGAATACGGATGGGTGCATTCCCCATGCTTCTCGATAAGAACGTCCTTGAGGAGAAGGCAATTCCAAGCCCGCGAGGCCTTTAGTTTCAAATGCGTAGATGATGCTATGCAAACGGTACTAACCAACATCAAGTATGTGAGGGTGCTGCCAGCGATTGGCACTGGCAAAGAAGACATCTGGCCATAGATGTACCACGTCGAAGTTGGGGTTTCTTGCACCATCACCCACCCAATTTATAATGATAACGTTGAGAGGAACCTGGGTTTCTAGGTATGCAGCAGTGAAAGGCAGCTTGTCGGTCAGCACGATTTCACTCCAGAGTTATGCGAGTGCCCCAAGACCATGTCATGGCTCTAGAGGAATGTGACATTCCTCCAGAGCCATGATACCGTCGACAAGTCTGTCCTGTAGTTCATAGCTCTAGGAACTCTCCATGTTGGAGTTCATCACTTTTACCTTAGTTGTGGTTCACCAAGCACAACATTACATAATCCAAAAGCGGACACTTGGCAGATTATTTTTTCCTTACTGCACCTCAGCTTCAACCAACTTGAAGTCTGAGGTGGGACTCCTTCCATTCATTATATTGGAACACTTACTTACCTACCTACAGTATAATCCTCTCCATAGGTAGTTAATTGTTCAGCTTCAACCAACTTGAAGTCTGAGTATATTCCTCTCCATAGACTTGACAATCCTGCAGCTCATCATCCTCCAAAAGGTTATGAGCCCCACTTGTGAGTTCTAATCCTAGGAAAGTTGAACACATCAAGTCTGGTACAAAGTGTCTACTATGTCTGGTCTGTCAGCATCCACTTCCAGTCCCTCAAAGGTCCTGGTCTCTGCCTCAACAGTAACCTCTACTACACCTTTGGGTAAAGCTACTCAAGCCTCCAGTTGACTCTATGACATACCATCCCTTGAAGACAATGGTTCAAACTTCCAGATGTGGAAGTACCAAATTATGATGATCCTAGATGTCTGTGGACTTTGGGAGCTTGTAGAAGGAAAGTTGAAGGCACCTGATGCAGCAGCTGATCCAGTTGCATGCACAGACTGGCACTACAAGGATAAAGAAGCAAGGGCTCAAATCATGCTTACTCTAAAGGATGACCCACTTAGTGATGTTCTGCATGCCACGATGGCAGCAGAAGTCTGGAAAAAGCTATGCAAGTGCTATGAAGGCAAAGGGAAACAAATGATAGCCTACCTTATAGGCAAACTATTTCATGGTACCCTAGCAGATGATGTCTCAATGGAGATGCAGCTTAATGCCATGTGGCAGAAGGCAACAATCCTAAAGTCTCTTGGACAGCCCCTTGAAGACTCTCTTGTTGCCATAGCCATGGTCATCTCCCTTCCAACCTTGTACTCAACCCTTTGCACTATACTCATGTCATCTGATGAGAAACTAACTCTGGACTCTGTCATTTCCCAAGTCTTGATAGAAGAGAAGTCTTGCCACACCTCTTTGGCACAAACTGCCCTCATAACAAAGATGCCTAACAAAAAGGGAAAGAGGAATGACAAAAAAGAAGAAAAAGGCTTGTGGCTATTGCAAGAAGACGAACCATGTCAAAGATGACTGCTACAAGAAGAAGGCTGATGAGGCAGCCAAGTCCCTGTCACAGGCTGAAAAGGATAAGCCTAAGGAGGACAAACTTGTTGCTAAAGTCGCATGCATCTCACCTGCTGAAGACAGCACCCTACAGCTCTTCATGGCCACTGACAATGGTGAGAATCTACACATGCACTGGGTCATTGACTCTGGTGCCTCTGTGAATATGTGCTGTCAGCAGAAATGGTTCGCTTCACTAAAGATGCTCTCACCCCCACAGCCTGTAGTCGTTGGAAATGGGAGCACAATTCCTGCTACTGCCATTGGACAGATCAAACTTTGTATGGACCTTCCAAATGGGAAGACCAGTAGAATCCTACTACAGAAGGTCTATTTTGTTCCAGATCTCAGTGCAAACCTCCTCTCAGTGGCATACCTTGCTACTAGAAATGTCCAGGTCACCTTCATGGGTGGAACATGCTCAGTCACCAATGGTACAGACACTGTAGGTGTGGGTCGTCATCAAGGCTCACTCTACATCCTTGCAGCAAGGACTCACTCTCTGAGTCATGGAGCACTTGTCGTACAAGGACCATCTCCACTACTTGACCCTACCCTTACTTTCCTGGTACTCGCAGCTGCAGCACCAAAGTCTGTAGCCACACTTGACTTGTGGCATCGATGACTTGGGCATGCAAATACAAAATCTGTGCTTAAACTGGTTAAAGCAGGAATGGTTGAAGGCATGGAGCTTACTGGCACTGAGCACTTGAACTCAGTATGCCAACCTTGCCTTGAAGGGAAGCAACACCATAAGGTGATACCCATCAGGTCAAACATTGAAAGCCCAACAGTACTCTACCAGACATACTCTGATGTATGTGGCCCCATGGAGACTACAGCCCAAACTGGACACTGCTACTTTGTAACCTTCATTGATGCTCGCTTGCACCACCTTGTGGTTAAACTAATAAAATCCAAGGACAAAGTCTTCCCCTCAGTGAAAGACTACCTTGCTTGAGCTGAATTCAAGACTGGTGAAAAAGCAAATTATTTTCAGAGTGATGGAGGTGGGGAGTATGGCACAGATGAGTTCAAGGCCTACCTCAAGTTGAAAGGGGTCCACCATGAGAAGATGAATGCCTATACCCCACAGGAGAATGGTGTTGCTGAGCAGATGAACTGCACACTTGTTGAAAGTGCATGGGTGATGCTAAAAGATGCTGGACTGCCAAATAAATACTGGGGGGATGCTATCCAGTATGTGGCCTACCTAATCAACCGATTACTGACCCGTGCCATCTCCAAGGATGTCACACCATATGAAGCCTTTACAGGGATTAAGCCATTGCTGGCCCATATCCGAACCTTTGGCTGCACTGCACATGTACATATACCTGAGGAAAAAAGAAAGAAGCTAGATGCAAAGTCCTTAGAATGCATTCATCTGGGCTTTGCAGAGAACAAGAAAGCATACCTGTGCTTACACCAGCCCACTGGTCAGTGTCTTCGAATCCTGGGATGTAGTATTTGATGAGGGAAGCACAGCAGTGGGCCTAGATCATGTCCAGATAGAAGAAGATCCTGCAGGCATGGTTAGTAAACCAGCAGACATAAGAGGGAATGCCCAAAAGGGCAATACATTGCACCTGGATACCATCAGGGCTTCAGGCATGGAAGGCCATGCTCACATGGAGTCTGATGATGGGGATCTTGAGTCTAGTGAGAGAGAGAGTGAAGATGTTGTCCATGAGGTCAAAATCGAGTCAAACGACGCACCTGATCACTCAGGATCAAAGGTAGATCATTCCCCACAGCACTTGGAGGGTAACATGCCAGGCAGCAGCCAGAGTCCTAAAAAGGCGCTTGAAATGGCCTCAAAACCATCAGTAAAGTGAGCTAGGACGATGCCAAAACCTACCATGCATAAAGCGACACCCCTGCAGCTCTATCCAACTCCAATTCTGCCTCAGGAGACCTGCAGGTCCACCAGATCACAAAAAGCACCACCTAGAGATGATGATTATCGCTTTTTCATCAATTCCTATGACAGGACAACCTTACCTAGTCAACAGCTTGCAGTGCTGGAGGGTTCAGGTGCAGAGAGTGAGGGTGGAAGCCCCATCAACAAAGTTGCTCGAGAGTGAGAGCATGTGTGTGGCAACAGCGAGGCTGAGGTGGCTGAGATGAATGAGGAAGTGGCTTACAAAGCATCCACAACACATGACAATGAACCTTGCTCATTCAATGATGCAATGCGATGCACTGATGCAGATCAGTGGTACACTGCAATGATTGACGAATTACAGACCTTTAAGTCCATCAGACTGTATGAGGAAGTTGCCCTGCCTCCTGGCCATAAACTGATTGACTCGAAATGGGTCTACAAGATCAAGCAAGGGCCAACTGGTGAAATTGAGAGGTACAAGGCTTGTTTGGTAGCCAAAGGCTTTACACAGGTACATGGGATCAACTACATGGAGACATTTGCACCCATCACCAAGTTCACAACCATCTGCATACTCCTGGTGCTTGCTGCTAAGTATAATCCTGAAATTCATCAGATGGATGTTAAATCTGCATTCCTAAATGGACTATTAGATGAAGAAATATACCTTTGCCCCCCTCTGGGCTTTCCTCCTGACAGCAACAAAGTCTGGTGGCTGCTACAAGCACTCTACAGCCTTAAACAGGCCCCCAAGTCATGGTACTCTTGTCTTTGGACTGTTTTCGAATCCCTGGGTTTCACTTGAAGCCAGGCCAACCATAGCCTCTTCTTTAAAGTCGAGAACAGCATACTCATTGTTGTTGCTATCTATGTAGATGACAAGCTAATACTCTCAAAGTGCCACACAACCATTGAGCATGTCAAGGCTCAGCTCTTGCAGGAGTATGAGATGAAAGATCTGGGGGAGGCATGTTGGATTTTAGGAATGGAGATACTGCACAACCATGATAAAGGTATCATACAGCTCTCACAGAAGAGATATGTTGAGAGTATTCTTGAGTGCTTTGGAATGAGTGAGGGGTGAGCCATTGTGACCCCCATTGAGCCTAACCTAAAGCTCAAAAAACTAGAAATTCCAGAGGCCAACACCAAGTCATACCAGGGTGCTCTGAGCCCTTATGTATGCAATGCTAGCAACAAGGCCTGACCTTGCCTTTACTGTAGGCATGTTGAGCTGTCATGCTGCATGCCCTGGGCATGAACACTCTACTGTGCTAAAGTGCATTTTTCGCTATCTGTGATGCACCCCCAATGTCCATCTTACCTATAAGCAAGACTCAAATGCATGCATGATTGGGTATGTAGATGCAGATTGGGCAGCGGATATCAATGACTGCTGCTCTGTTACTGGCTATACTTTCATCCTTTCTGGTGGAGCTGTTAGCTGGTCATCAAAAAAGCAATCATCTGTTGCTCTCTTGAGTACAGAAGCCAAGTACATGGCCGCATGTGCTGCCACGAAGGAAGCTATCTGGATTCGTACCCTAGTCCTTGAACTCAAGACTGTGTTGTCACATGAACCCACTCCACTCCTCATTGACAATCAATCTGCTATCTCACTGGCTCAAAATGTGATGTTCCATGACCGCATGAAACATATTGCAATCCATCATCACTTCATATGAGAGAAGGTGGATTCTGGAGAAGTAGTTGTCAACTATGTGTCTACCAATGACCAGGTGGCCAATGTGCTGACTAAGGGTGTGTCTAGGGAGAAGCATGTTCATTTCTCTGAAGCTATGGGTATTATTTTCTTTTAATTCCTTCTTGACTATACTCATTGAAGGGGCATGTTGGAGTTTATCACTTTTACCTTAGTTGTGGTTCACTGAGCACAGCATTACATAATCCAAAAGCGGACACTTAGCAGTTTATTTTTTCCTTACTGCACCTCAGCTTCAACCAACTTGAAGTCTGAGGTGGGACTCCTTCCATTCATTATATTGGAATACTTACTTACCTACCTACAGTATATTCCTCTCCATAGGTAGTTAATTGTTCAGCTTCAACCAACTTGAAGTCTGAGTATATTCCTCTCCATAGACTTGACAATCCTGCAGCTTGTCATCCTCCAAAACTCCAGACATGCTGTAGTCATCACACATAATGTACCTACATTGTACCATATGACAGGGCCAGCAGAGGCTGACAATTGGCCATGTCCCATGTGTTGGAGTTTATCACTTTCACCTTAGTTGTGGTTCACCAAGCACAGCATTATGTAATCCAAAAGCGGACACTTAGCAGTTTGTTTTTTCCTTACTGCACCTCAGCTTCAACCAACTTGAAGTCTGAGTATATTCCTCTCCATAGACTTGACAATCCTGCAGCTTGTCATCCTCCAAAACCATGGGCCAGTGGAGGTTGAGCCCTACATTGAGTCATCCCCCTGCTGTATGGACCAGCCCAGCTTCTATTATCAAATAACACATGAGTAGGCCACAATCAAATTGTCCCTGTAGTACCTGGAGTAGCCTAGTATGAGATGTCACCTATCCAGTGGCATGCTGCAGCATGTGTAGCTCAGCACTGGAAGTTGGCACAAGACCTCAGCATGCTTTGGGATAGCTCAGCAGTGCAGCACCTTGTATTTGGAAGCAGTAGCATCTGACAGATATGGCATTCCACATTATGGCACAATGCAACATGCAGCATAATTTATGGGGAAGTTGTGGCAACATGTACTGCAGCACCTAGCAGCACCTACTCTGGGAGTCTCTGGAGGGTTGTGGCAGCTGGCAGATATTGCTCAGCACACACTGGCAATGTGGCAGCAGCTGGTGGCATGGGCATGGCAAACAGTGGTAAACACCTGACTGCCTTAGGATCCACATCAAGGTTTGATGTGTGGCATGGATGGTTCTGCATACAGCAGCACACAGTTAGATGCAGAAGAATAAACTGGCAGTTCTCAGCAGCCAATGGCATTGACCCAACATACCACAGCACACATCCAGATTGAGTAGGATTCATGTCAGTGCATGGCATCCAGTGAGGATAGTTCTGTATACAGCAGCACACAGCTAGGGTGCTATAGATATGGACATGAAGCATAGCATGAATTGTCAGTATACTGCATATCTTACCACCAGTATAAGATCATAACCTATACTTCATATGATCACAGAATGGTGGCTAGTAATATTGCATTGATTTCATAGATTTCATTCAAACTGGGATTGTGCTGATCAAATACTGGATGCCTGGGGCATTAAATAAGTATTGTGCAGAGGACAGGCTACTATGAAGAGCTAGACAAGAGCACTTGCCTTTATGAGTTAGTGAGTAGATTTGAAAAGGTAAACTTGTTGGTGCTCAAGTGTGTGTATGAACAGTAGATTGTCTGTTTGAGACGATGGGGACTCTAGGAAAGATACCCCAAGTTTATGTACATGTAGCTGTATGCACGGTCCAGTAACTTAAAAGGAAAGAGCTACAGTATAGTTACTATGTATAGTAAAGAATAGCAGAGAATGCTATGGAATATGATGCAATAGATGATATCATAATGACATCATTGTGGAGCTGATTGGTGAGCAAAGTCATGTGATGTACCATGTGTTGATACACATGTAAATCTAGAGTCAGAACTATTATGATATTTCCAACAATAAGGACCAATACAATACAATACAGGGTGCCATGGGTGCATTACATGCCTGTGAGAGCCTGCCACACCAATGGAATGTGGATCCAATCACTTCAAGGGACTCCAAGCCAGTTGTGAATATTGTCCTGCATGTAAAATGCTAGTGAGCAATGGTTGCCGCTCACATCATTCACACCATGCTGCAAAAGCTGGCCAGAAAAGGCTACAACAGTGCCAGGCCAGTAATCAAATTGAAGACCAAGAGAGGGAATGTCAAGAATGCATTCAGAATAATTGCTGACACTAATGAGCATGTCATACCAGTCAGCATGGGATTGCAGGTCATGATGGAGGGGAGCCAACTGGTTAGCAATCATGGAGATGTTGGTGTAAACCATTGGCCAGTGTTGGAGGACTGCCAACATTTTGGGATCATTTATGGCAGACCACTCAGTCAGCTGCTGCATGGCTTGGTGACCAGCATTGTACAAAGGAGGGTGCATAATTGAAAGTGTAGCAGAGAATTGCCAATGGTGTTTGGATGGCATGGATCCATTGCCAAGTGGCTGGAGCTGCAAGGTTGGCAGATATGGAAGGCTGGTGTGCCAGTGTCTACAACATTAGCAATGAGTATTTTGAGATGAAGCATGAGGATGACCCTCACAGCATGACCAAGTTGATGCCAGGGTGGTGAAAGCTCTAAGCAGCCTGCTGGCAAATGGTGATCCACCAGAAAGTAATTGGGTGATGTTTGCCAGGAACCATGGGATATGCTTTGAGTCAACATATTGGAAAGTGGGGGAATAGCTCCCATCATCTGGTCCTTGATAGGGTTGTGAACTGAGGACAGCAGGATACATCACAATGCCTACCTGCATTGATTGTGACAATGCACTGGGTAGATACCACAAAGCAATTGCATCCTCTTCACCCGGAATGATTGCAGGAACATCCAAATACACCCACTCAGATATGGTGGATGAGCAGAAAGGATGCAGGCCTCCTGGTCCAAATTGAAACCTGTTTCTCAAGGTGATAAGCTTTCCAACAGCCTGATTAATTCAATGCTGGAGGGAACTGCATTAAATGTTAGTGGGATGTGTGGCAGCTCTCTTAAAACAGCATATGGGGATTACAATAGGCCTTGGCCAGTGTTGTCACCATTTGATTGAGCACAATACATGTCTGAATCTTGAGTTTGAGAGGTTGTGGCAGGACAGTGGCAATGCAAGGATGTGTCTCATGGAGAACTTGGCAGTGCATGTACTCTACAAGCTGGTCAGAAAGTAGATAGTTGGATGGGAATGTGCTGGTACCAGACATTTCTAATGTGATCAGGTTGGGGAAGTTAAGGGAATCCACCAGCAACAAGGAGGATATCATCTGGAGATGCAAGGAATACACATGGCATGGATCCCTCTGGCTGCAGCAATTGTGTGGCCAATGTTGCTGGCAATGGTAGTGACTAATGTGGTAACATTGAACTAAATGTGGCATAGAAGCTCTCTGCAGCAATGAGAACACAGCCTCATTGGCATTTTGGAATGCAGCCTGGCTGGAACACAACCTTGAACAACCATGAATGCTGCTGAAGTATACATTACAGAAGATATTAGCCCCTTCCACATGTTCCAATTGGGGGTTGCACATTTCCAATACTGCCAGCAACATGAATCAAGGTCCAGATGACCAGCTGGTTTTGCTAGTGGCATCTTTGAATGGGCAGTTTTCAAGCACCATGCTGGAGATGGTTCAATGGTGCTGGCACATCATGGATCTCTGACTGTGAACCTGGTGGATAGCTTTATAGGCTGCTGGCCCAAGAATGACATTGACATGATTGTGGCCACAGGGAGAAGAGTGCACAAAAGATCCATTGATCAAGGGAATGCCCCTATCCATTTACCAGCATAGATTCTGATAAGGTAAAGCTACCAGCCCCAAAGTAAACTCATTATAGATGGTTGATAATATGTACAGAGGCTGTATATTCATTCCCACATGTTCAACACTGACTCCACCCACACAACCTGTAAAGCAAGTTTAGATTGGGTAACAGCTTCTATTGATGACATCTGCTCCTGTGAATGTAAGATTAACTTGGAAAGATATGATAACTCTTGATCAATATCCTTCAAGCCTTCTGTGCACATCACATGTAGTGCAGTGCATTCAGCAGTGGGTGATGGATGTGAATTAATAAGCAGTGGTAGTGAGATGCTGCCATTCTGATACAATGGGTGAGTTGGAAGTGAGCAAAGGTGTGCTGCCACTTACTGATACTCCTGCGAAAAATTCTGTGGCTTCTGTAATTATGTCCCACAGAGGTCTCCTCTCATATCCCAATTCCACTTTGCCACTGTTGTTCTGCCACCATGCATGGGACATGGTAGTGGCCAGTTTGACATGGCACTCCTTAATCCTAGTCAGGCAGGGATTCAAGCTTCTGATGAAAGCTAAAATGTTGCAGGGACTCCAATCACCATCGTTCAGGTACACTAACAGCCTGTTGGCTGTGAGCAGGCACAATCAGGGTAATGGGATGGCGAGATGCTGCGCCCATCAGACACTCCATTGTACCCTGTACCACTATCAACCATTGCACCACCACAGGAACAGTGGCTTACTGCTTCTGCCAGGAAATGTTGATACCAACTAGTGTGCTGGTATTCAGACCAATCTGGCTTCTTCATGGCAGCGACAAGGCAACAAAACCTTATTCCCAAGTACTGTATGGCCATGGAGAGTTTGGCCATGGTGAACATTGATGACATGACTTACTGGCATGAAAGATGAGATGTCATACTATATAAGTGTTGGCCAACTTTCCCATGGCTTTGCATGGTGGCATGCATCTGCCATTAAGGCAGCACTCATCAGCAAATGCTCAGCTTGCATTCAACTACACCAACCAATATACAATCCATAACCCTGGCATCATTTGGGAGATCTCAAAAATGATGTCATTGCAGATAGCTAGTGGTCTCTAGATGGAAATGGTTCACAGAAGACATGCTGATCTGCCATACATCTGGCATTTCTGTGCAGAATAGCATGCTGGCCTGGCCTGTCCCTTTGCCAATGTGGCAGCCTTTCTGCCAGTCCAAAATCTTACCTTGTTTTCAAAGAAGTTTTTAGTCCACTCCTGCTCACATTTCAACAGCTGAACCTCCTCCTTCCATCTGTCCCGCAGTGCCCTCATTCAGAGCCAATTGACCCTGTAGACTAGAGAAAATGATAAGTAAATCTCAGATGCTGCTGCCATGTGATTGCTCCTCTCACATTCTGACATCCAATCATTAGTGGCCATGTCCCTTGGTACATCCATTGTCCAGATCCAAGGTAGGGTATCATCTCTGTGACCTCTGGCATTTGGGTCAGATACTGCCATGCTGATAGTTAGGTCAGGGTCATTCAACTCTTTGTATTGCTCCAGGATATCCAGTGTCACACACCAAAGGTGTTTGGTGAGGTGGACATGGATGTAGCTGATGAATGGAGGTGAAGACCATAGCCCTCATGCGAAGAAGGACAGCCAGCAATGTCGGCAGTCATCCCTCACACAAGAACAAGTTGTCAATAGCAAAGAAAAAGGAGGAGGCAAGTGAAGTGCCAGTAAAATTCTTAAGCGCCCATGTACGGCATTCCAGTTTTCGACGTATCTCCACCAATTCTGCAGACACCGAAACCATTCCCACACTTGCTTGTAGTGCTCAGCCACGTGATCCTACCTTCCAGGATTGGAAAGGATTTGCACACTCCACACGTTTCTACAGCACTCCCTCCAAAAGATGCTCATTTCGCTAATTCTTCTGATATGGCTGCCTCCACATCAGTCATTTTGCTTGTCCCCTTTGCTAGGGACCATGGCTACATATATCTACCAGGAGTTCCTACCAGCTTCCATCCTGAAGCATCCTGGTACATCCCACCCTCATCTGCCCCCTCTCAGCCCATCCAGCTTGGACAGCGTGTTCTTTTTGTCAGTATGACCTCCAGGAGGACATTCTTTGGTCGCCTCAGGTCTGTCATTCGCTTGGAAAGGTCTTATGTGGTCGTTTCAGTCTCTCCAGTCCAAGAAGCATATGGATCCTTCCTCCCTGCCCCCTGCAACATCTTCATACCAGTCTCGTCTGTCATTCTCCCAAAATTGCGACAGCTACAGTATAATCTACTGTTCTCCACTCTCCCTGATTGCGTCCATGACAAGTATGATGCACATCTTGCCTCCTTGTTGCAAGATACAGCAGAAGACGCTCCCCCTTCATCCTCTCTTCCAACAGAGCCTCGTTCATGAAGTTTTTATTTGCTTCACTGAGAGGATGGTTTGGGGGGGAAAGTTGTGATCCCCTATGCTCCTGTCACCCCACAGACCCCCAAAGCTTGACCCCTGTTGACATCTGACTCACCCTGTCCACTTTTGGATGTACTATATCAGCATCAGATCAGCGCTGCCTCTCTGTCATCCCACTTTGGCCTAGAAGTGATCTCTTCAAGATGTGACATGCACAGCCTCCCCCTAATGTGATTCCAGTGCACTTTCCCAGTTCCTGACATTGCTTGACTCATACTGTGACATTCTGACTGTCTTTGACTCACCTATTGCCAATACTTACCAATCTTTTGACTTTGCTTACTGATTCTTCACTTTTTGGCTTACTTATCCTTACCAATGCTTACCAATGCTTTCCAAGATGATTACCCATCGCTTACATTCCTTACTCATCAGTTACCAATCACTTACCAAGTGTTTGCACCTTGTTTTCCATAGGCAACGCCCCTGTACTGTATATAAGTCACTGTACTTAGGTAGCAAAAAAAAAAAAAAGACATCAGAGAGCCCCTCTTGCTCGCAATTTATCATCTCTCAGTAAATCATTCATCAGCTTCGATAGTTGAGACTTTATTAAGGGTCTAGCTATCATCTACTTCGCTTATCATCATCTATCATCCATATACTTCGCTCCAAGCCCTCCCTGAGCTCAGTACAGCTTAGGACATCGAATTAAGTCACCATCCATCCTTCTGTAGGCTGACAGCAGTCTACCCTATCGCTTTCTATCACATTCTTGCTCCCTCTTCGTCAGGAGCACCCCCAACCCTCAGCACTCATCTTTGAGTGTTGTAGCTCACAAAAACCCTCCCAAAGAACAGGTTCTACCATCTAGGTTCCGCATAGGCACACCACCACTCACTTTCATTGTCTTTTGTGTTGGTTTTGGTTGGTTTTCACCACTGAACCTCACTTTGACTCACACCGGCCTGGCCCCTAACCTGCCCATTTGAATGTGGCACTGGAAGTACACAGCAGCATGACATTGCACTGCTGCTTCAGTGTTGGCCACCCTTCCCCAGGCATGTGTGGCCATGTGGTAATTACTTCCATGGTGAATGTCAGTTTGAAAGATGACTGCCTTCTCTGCAAGCACAAGCCACAATTCATGAAGACAATCATTGGCCTGTCCTTGCCACAGTTGCAGCTCCATTATTGTCACATACCCCAGGCCAGATTGTTCAAAATGATCTTTGCCAACATTGGATGGCAGCAGCAATGCAATGGTTTCTGGATCATGTGGGTTAGATGACCAGCACAGCTTGGCATCCTCAAATCTGTTCCCAAATAGTTTTTCAGCAGTGTCAAAAATGCCATGTATATGGGACTGGAGATGATCACAGTGACATGCAATGGTGGAGATTTTGAGCTTCTGTTGCTCTTGAGGTGATGTGCTGGCATGCCACTGTAAGCTGGATTTGTGCTTCCTCTATCTTCAATGCCTTCGCAATCCAGGTCACCATACCTTGCGAATGCCCTGGCTGGGGGATGGCCAGTAAATCTATCTCGATTTCCTTTTCAGAGGGAGCTTCAATACCACTCAGTGCAAATCCTGTCCAGGTTAACCTTCATTACCTACCTTTCTGCAGCCTGACCTCATATATATCCATGGCCTGTGGCCTTGACAGCTGGTTTTCCAATGCTGCTGCTGCTTCTTCCCCCCATGATTGGCTGATTGCCAGTGGGACATTACCATTCAAATCAGCAAATCTGCCTTCAACCACTAAATAAGATTCCTCAGCAACCTTGAGTTTCTGCTTGAGTCTCATTGCTGTAGCCTGTTAACCATGCAACCATGTCTGATACAAGCACTAGACTTATGCATTCTGACCATTTTCAGGAAATTGCTATCATTCATTTGGAAATCAAGTACCTCCTGCTGATGGGGAGTAGCCATGCCTCTAACAGATGGGGAAATGATATTCAGGGAGGACCACAAGGTTTCCATGATCTCCCCATCCACCTGGCCAGCACCGACAATGAAATTGGGAGCATATTGTGCAAAGCATTCTGTGTGGTGGCCATGAACATGCCACAACCCAATGCCAGGGCAGATCCACATGCCATCTGGCATGGATATATAGGCATTGGCATGTAGCCATCATTCTAAACCTTTGCTATACTGGCAGTTAATATCATAGAAATGTATCACTTGCTGGCCAGGGACTGTGCCATGCCTGATGGCATGCACAAGCACATAGTCCATGTTAACCTGCCTGTGATGTCAATGTCAATAATGTCATACATTGTTACAAGGTTATTCATACTGTTCACCCTTCTGGAAGTTGACCATTGCATGCAGCACAAAACAGCCATGCCATGCACAGGCACATCCCCTATTCCTGTAGATGTGAGCCACTGCTGGTTGGCATTTGCTTGATTAACTGCCTGATGATTGCTGCAATCTGAGATCTTGTAGTGTGATCAGTCCATTGTGTAATACATTCATACACATCACCCACCTCAACCACATTTTTAGTGCTGCTCAAATATTCCTTGTATGGCTGTGATGTGACCATGTACCCCTTTCCATCCATCAACCAGGCTTTGCTGCCAGCATCCTTTGGATGCATATGCTCTGCCTTGAAATTCCCATCCATGACCAAGCTTCTTGCCAGTGTCCAACTGGATTACACATTGTATAAATGGCTAGCAGTGTTCATGTTATCACCCAGTGGGAATAATCTGTTTCATCTTCAGGAATGTTGATGCTGGGCTGAGGACATGCTGGACAGAATAACACTAATTCCCCAGGGCTGGCATCTTCTGCACTTGTGTGGGATCCCTGCCATTTCAGTAGTTTCAGGAGCCACCACATCCTAGCAACTCTCAGTTCCCTGTACCTATCCTATCATCCAGCTAAGAGCCATGTTGCAGTGATACAATTCAACAAATAGGATGCACTGGCACCAGATGAGGAATGGCATTGGAGGTTATGCAGTGAAGTCTGCTGTAGAAATTCATCACTGAGGTACCACATTCCACATTGTCTCAAATGAAGTCATTGAGTACTTGGAAGGTAAATGCAGTCCTTGTAGCCTTTGTGGTAGCAGGAAACATCCCAGCCCACATCAGCTGTATGTGTGAATCCTCTGCCCCAGGGCATCTACAATACTGCACATTGCAGTAGTGTATTCCATTGGTGTGCACAACAATTAGACAGCTTTGGTTCTTCAGGGCCTGCAGATTTGGTGGACAACCATCTTGATCCACATCCTCCCAATCATCTTCCTCCTCAGCTGTGACTTCATCATTTGAACAACCACTGGCTGGGCAGTGCTTCCCACCATGCCCAACATGCAGTACCAAACTGGCCTGAATGGTAAATACAGGAACAACCATCATGATTCAGCTGCTTACCAGCTGCAGGGATGATTCCTCAAAGAATGTGCCATTCCATTGTTCCACCCTGTGGAATGGCCAGTGCTTGTGTTCTGCCTGGCAACACATGGTGCAGAAGACTGGCTGATGGGCACACTCAATGCACTGGAAGATTCCATCTGCTCCACACAGGACACAATCCCTTGGCTCAGGTGGGGCCTCCATGTCCAACAGGATGGCTAGATAATGCCATTGGTGTGGCAACCACTGCTGCAGATAACTATTCTACAATTGTGTGACACTGTCATTGCAGGTTTGTGGGGCAATGTGGCATTCCACACACCTGACTTTTCCAAGGCTTAAAAGGTGTTGCAGGCAATACATCATTATTGGAAGGCAGTTGTTCACCCACATCATCCAACAGGCAGTCCAGGTGATTCAGGATAACAGAGCCAGGCTGCACAGGCAGCTGAGTTGCATGGCCTGGCACCCACTTTCTGGGTGCTACTTTTACCATCTTATCCCTATATCCTTGGGTGGTATTCACTTGTTGCCAGGTCACCTGGGTCACTCTTGTAGCAGGTCCTGCTGGTGCAATCTTTGACTTCCCCATGATGAATGTTGCAATGCAGAAGGGTTTTGATTGCAACAAATACATGCAGCCAACATGTGCTAGCAAGGTCTGACCACCAACTATGGTAATGCTGTCTTAGGATCTGGCACATGATTTCAGTGCTGGCACCTGCACATTGCCTAGAGATCAATGAAATGAATGAGCACTTGCAAAAAGCCTTGTCCTACATCATTTCCATAGTGACTATACCATCCACAGTGTCTCAATGCACATTGCCCAATTACCAAAGATCTTGGATCCATGCAGTCTGAGAGGCACCACCTTTGCACATGGCTCAGGGATGGAAATCTCATGATTGACTAACAACCTTAGCCATCTTTGGAAACTGTCTGATCAACTGGCATGCAAGAATGGACTAGACATGGAAATGTAACCTTCATTGACATGGGAGAATGCCAGAGAAGTCTATTCTCTTTAACAGACATCATACTAGCTGTCCCCAGAAAATTTGTGCATGAGCACCTCCATCATCAATGGCATCCAGTGACTATGAAAGTGACTCTTTCTCCAACAACACTGAACCCTCCCTGCTGCAAAAGGGAACCAGTCTTCAGCCAGCCAAAATTGAGATTCTTGAGGCCAAGCTAGAGTCATGGAAAAATGCTGACTGAAACAAGAGGAGCTCCATCATGTTAACCCTCAGAAACAAGATAAAGAACCTTGATGCAAATGTGATGCTGAAAATGCATGAATGGGTTTGGAAGAAGAAGGTGTGCCACACCTGTGATTGATTACCTGGCATGTCCTTACCATTTCCAGGCAATTCAGACTTGGTTGTACAACCACAGCCAGAGCCATAGTTGACAGGCTCTGATCAAATATGGTGGCAGTTGGACACTGAGGAAGGTGGTCATGCACCATCAAAAGAAATCAATCAACAAAGCATTGGAAGAAGCTGGTATCAAGCAGGGATCCACAGAAATGATCAAGTCTTATCAGAAGGCTGTTGACACCATCATGAAGTCCCTTACTGCTAAGGAGATACAGGAGGCCAAGGCATTGGCCAAAGAATGGAATGAGCAGCAGCCACCTCAGGATGTTCAGTCAGAGTATGTACCATTTGGCAATGCTGCCCATCACTCACAAGAAACAGAACCACAGAGAAGAAAGGCCATAAATATGCTGAGGAATTTGCTAAGGAAATGTGGAAGTGGTGTGGTGCTGTTATGCTGCACTCACATTGTTCCCTCTTACAGACACTTATGTAACCTGTTCACGCTTTGTCTCGCCTCTTGAGGCATTCCCTTTACCTGCAAGCCGCTCTCTACACAGTTGGACTTGCATTCTGTATGTTTCCCCTTCTCTGTTTCCTTTTATGGTAGACCCCTGTCTACCCTGCATCGTGTTATATCCAGGCATTGCACCTGTTCCCCTTCCTTCTGTGATCTGCTGGTGGCCCTGATCCATGTGGTCACATGATGCATTTAACCCTGGTTGAGTGCTCCACTTATGACTCGTATGCAGTTAATCCCTCTCGCCTGTGCAGGTTTAATCCCTTGTTTACCCCTGTTCCCTTCTGTCTGCAGTAGGGTTGCCCTTGCACCCTCTGCTTTAGGGAACTGGTGAGCGATTAACCTTGTATTCAAATGTTTGACATATGGTACTGTACATACATATATAAACCTGCATGTATCATACCAGTCCCTCATTCAAAATCTACTTTGCAACCACCCTTAGCTCTGTGCACTGTACCAACAAGGACTCGCCAGTACGACTTCAGTTGGCCAAGACTAGTGTTCTGTTGCTAGTGAAGTTAAATTATGCGTCACTTCTCACACAGTCACATGCTTGTGCTTCATCGCACTCAATTCGTGACATGATACAAGTTGTTGGCATAACAGAAGATCTCGAATCACCCAGACACATCAAAGCCCAGTTTACCTTCAGATACCTGTGGTCTGGAATCCTTGCTAGGCAAAATAGCCTGCAAAACGACCACCTCCCACCACTTTAACAGGAACCACTGGTTTAATATCAGTGAGCTAGCCCCTAACCTTTGGCACTAACCTTCCACTTTGTCAACTTGTCTTCGAACCGCCAAGAAGAAGGAAGTAAGAGGCCTCCATCAGCAGCCTCTTCGTTCAAACCTCCTGTACCCTCTTGTAAAGGAAAAGAAGTCCTCCAAGCGAGGCCACTTATTTGTCACCCTTCAGTGCAAACTCCAAACCCACATATAGGTCTTGAAGACCTGCCAGTAAGGCCCCAACTCAGGCAAGCAGCAGAATTGACCTCTCCAGTAAACTTTACTTCTTATCGTGATCCCAGGCCTTCAAGCCTGGACATTGAAACCACTCAAGGGACAGCCAGACCAGCGGACCCCTCTACTTCATCTTCACCAACAAACATTTACCTTCCTACTACTTCAGCCGATCAGATGGCAGAAGAACTCACCCACCAAACCTCTGGATTAAATCTCCAGGACCCCTTTGCCAGACAGAGTAGGGTAACCCCTGAAATGGCTGCCAAATTCTACAAGTCACTCTTTAACCAAGATGTGGTAAGGCCTAAGGGCCCCTCCCAAGGTTCTGAGGAGAGAAGAAAGGAACACAACTCTAAGGGAGGGGGACTGAAAGAAATCGGCCTGAACAATCCCTTCTTGTATAACAGAGCACACCAGGACTTCTCTGCCTGGTTAAGCAGCATCAAACTCTATCTTCGCCACTAACGACCATATCTATTATGAAGATCAGTCCAAGATCGCATTCACCCTCTCTTACATGGGGAGTGGTTCAGCCTGCACCTTCACTGAGGCCTACATCAATGAAAATACAACTGCTCTTGGAGATCTCAAAATCTTCGATGGATGGGACAAGTTTGTCACTAAACTAAAAGAAACCTTCCAAGTAGGAGATGCCAAAGCTACCACACTAATCTACCTATCGGTGATCTGCCAAGGAGACCACTCCCTTCACGAGTATATTCGCTGATTTCCACAACTGCCTCAACAAAGCCAGAATATCCACCCACAACACTACTGCTGCAGTGTTCTTCGGAAAAGGCCTTAATGAGGAAATTAATAAGTGGATCCTCATGTCAGGCCCCAAGCCTGATACCATTCAAAATTGGATCCAGCAAGCAACAGCAGCACACACAGCAATGGCAACTCTCAGGGTCTTCACTGGAAAAGCTTCTTTCCAAGACTGATCCTACTTATGGAAGCAAGAACAACAAGGTTCTCACAGATCAAAATCTGCTTCATCTCTGAAGACTCCATACCGAGACCCTTACACCATGGATGTCAATTGGAAGTCCAAGGTCCGATCACAGAGCAAAGCTCCTACCTGTTATGGATGCAGTAAGACAGGACACATGAAGTCTAAGTGTCCCTCATCCACAACAAACAGTAGGTCTTCCTTCGCCCAGAAATTCTGTACTCACATCCTGGCCATGCTCGAGGAGCTCGACAAGAATTCCGAAGAGGAGGAAGATTCAGAACCTATTGACCACTACTGTGGGGAGAATGACAAACCCACAGATGACAGGGGACCGAAAGGGAACCCAGATTTTTGAAAGGCTCCACTGGTGTAGTGTCAGGAAGAGAGCCCATCATATCCTGAAAGATAGAGGTTAAGATAGAGACCGAGAAAGTGTATGATTATGAACAAGATATGTCAATCACTTCTATCACTGGTTTCGCTTACCTCATTGATTGACAAAATGCTACTGTCTGAACCATCCTGGACTCAGGCACCGAAACAAACATCATTGACCCTGCGATAGTTGAGAAGTACGACATCCCGACTCGAAAAATCGCAAGACCATGGGAGTCAAGGAGCTACAAAAGCAAGACAGGAGACTGGGTAACCCATATCGCTTCCTTCAGAGCCAAGATCTGGGGAAAGACTATGCACATCCACATGTATGTCCTCAAGCTTGGAAATTGGGAATCCCCCCTTCTCAGAATGCCTTGGCTCAAGGAACACAACCCCATAATCAGCTGGATGTCAAGAAAGCTGATTGGTTGGGGAGAACTAGACCATGGCCTTGATAGGAAAAACCGAGTCCACAGAACTGACTTCACAAGGATGGTCAAAATAAATCACACATCTATCTCTACGAAGCTCGAGGCTTCGCACATACAAGCAGAAGTTGAGTTACCTCTGGAATATTGGGACTTCTCAGTAGTCTTCTCCAAAGAAGAAATCCCTCTTCTGCCTCACCGAGGTTTCCTTGACCACAAAATCTGCCTGAAGCCCAGCTTCCAGCCAAAGAAAGGAGCAATCTATCCACTTTTGCTAGACAAACTCAAAGCCCTTGATGAGTTTATCAAAGAGAACCTCAAGTGTGGAAAGATTCGCCCCTCGAAATCTTTGCAAGCTGCCCCCATGTTTTTCATAGGGAAGAAAGACAGCAAAAGAAGACTCATCCAAGATTACTGGTACCTAAACTCTCACACCATCATTGACTTGTACCCCCTTCCTGATGTCAAGTCCCTCCTTGACAAACTTGCCGACTCCTGCTACTTCATGAAGTTTGATGTTCGCTGGGGATTCATGAATATCAGGGTAAAGGAAGGTGACAAGTGGAAAGGGGCTTTCATTACCCCTAGAGGACTCTTCAAACCAACGGTAATGTTCTTTGGGCAGTGCAACTCACTGCCTACATTCCAGAGGTACATGGACAACACATTCAGAAAGCTCAAAAACGAGAGAAAGGCCATCATTTTCATGGATGACATCACCATACACTCAAGAACAAAAGAAGGACTATGTGCTGCAGTCCAACACTTCCTCGAGATCACCTCAAAGGAACACTTATGTCTCAAACTCAAGAAGTGTACCTTCGAAGCTGAAGAAATAGAGTTCCTAGGGTTCATGATCTGTCAGGGTCAATACAAACCATCGGAGATTAAAATCAAAGCCATCAAAACTTGGCCTGCTCTGAAGACCCTGAAAGAACTCCGTTCCTTCCTAGGCTTCTGTAACTTCTACCAACAGTTCATTTCTGGCTTCTTGCAAACCACTCAACCACTGCACGAT